CAGAGAGAGAGAGAGAGAGAGAGAGAGACAGAGAGAGAGAGAGAGAGAGAGAGAGAGAGAGAGAGAGAGAGAGAGAGAGAGAGAGAGAGAGAGAGAGAGAGAGAGAGAGAGAGAGAGAGAGAGAGAGAGACAGAGAGAGAGACAGACAGAGAGAGAGGACATCAAGTTGAGAATAGGTGTCGCTATGAGCGAAACGAGCAACAACAACAAACCACAAACACAGCATGCGCAGAATTGGAAACATACCTTCAAGGATTTTGTTTTCCACGAGTGTGCGGGGTGATGGGCGATCAGCAATGTGACGCTCCAGTGCGCTTTCGAGCTGTGCCTTTCGCAGCAATTCTTGTGCAGCTCGTAGCGCTGGCGCGACAGAGTTTTCGCCTGCAACAAGGAGTTTACGGAGTTTTTTTGTGAGCGCAACCGCAACAGACTGAGACAAATTGGGGTGCCTGATTGTGCGTGGCGTACCTTTGAGAGTGCTCTGTTGTACTAACTTCTGAGGATCGACCTTGTTGCGCACCTTTCCATCACCACCTGATCAACAAGCGCAGCAATTTTTCGAATGAGACGGAAAAGCCAGAGGCATGGTCGAAGCGCAAAATCAACCATTACCCTCTCGTTCCGTGTTAAGATGGCCTCCGCGCTGGAGGACAGAGTGTTCGTGGAAGCATCCAGTGCAGACTTTGCTTGGTGTTCCATCCTGATGACAAGTGCACGCAACCAGTGAGTTGAAGAGCAGAATCAAAGGGGTCAAATTTCACCCAAATTTTCTCCTTCTTTGCTCGGGGGCGTTGAGTTTATGCTATTTTGGATGGGAGAGCTGCCGTTGAAGCGCGGGAGTGTTGCACACTGGCTGGACAATGCGTGGGGACATGATTCTGGTGCCAACCCAAACCAACCCAAACAACCCAAACAACCCAAACAGGCAGGACGCGGGGCGAATTTTTTGGATTTTGCATTCGCTGCCTGGCTGCCTCTCACTACGCGTGAGTCACTCTCTCTCATTCTCTCTCTCTCACCCACTCTCGCCCACTCTCTCAGTCTCTCATTGTCCCGCTGCTTTCGTCAAAGGAGAGCGACGACAAACGTGGTGAAACACCGCAGAACGGAAGGTGCTCGAATCAAAATCCGCCATCTTTGCGGTTTCGCCTTGGGCAATTTGGTATACCGGTTGTTTGCGTGTAAAGCGTCTATTCTCACTGCGCTCCTTAGAAAATCCTACCCTCCGACTTTTTTCTTGACATCGGTTTTTGTGGTTTTTTTTTGTTTGTTTGTTTTTTGTTTATCGCCTTCCACTCTGGGTACAGAGGCGACCTTACGGCTGCAAACTCGGCGTCTGCGTTCAGGTTGAGGCGCTTGTTCGAATGAGCAGCGCAGAAGATTCCTCCGCAGCGCCTGCAGTGGTGCTTGCGCTCAAAGAGCGAGAATGGCACACCGCAGCTCGGATCCATGCAAAGCGACACCAGGTTGTCTGGCAGCCAGTGCGTGCGCGAGGGCTTCTTGCTGCCACTGCCAACACCAGGGCTCGTCGGTGACCCGCTCAGCAGGTGGCTCATGTCCTTGGAGGCCAGGCGCAGCTGCGGCGGCGGTCCTCCTGCGGCGTCTGCAAACAGCGGCGGAGATGCGCCATTCGTGACTTGGCCTGCTGCTGCTGCGGCTTGGGCTGCTGCGAACGCACCGCTGGGTGGGACGACAGGAGCCGCACTCCCGCCTGCTAGCTGCGGGAGGGTGAGCGAGTTGCCGCTGGCAGTGCGTGGCGGGTGCTGCTGCTGCTGTTGCATGGACGAGACAGACGGGCTGCTTCGGCCGCTGCTGCCGTTGCTCCCATTGCTGCCACTGCGTGCGACGCCAGCCGACTGGAAGGCCAGCATTGCGAATGAGCTCCTTCTTAACTTGGACCAAACCCCAGTGATCATTATTTTGTTGTTGTCATTGCTGTTGTTCATCACGAAGCGAAGCGTACAATGTTACAGTACAAATCTTTGAATCTTTGAGCTCCCATCACAAATGGGGTCGAGTTTACGGTCGGGGAGTTCCAATCTCGATGCTACTTTGCTTTTGTTTGCTGATGTACTGCTGTGTTTTCGTGAGATTGCTGAAGCGAGGTCCATCGGGGTTTGTGGGACGCTCGCTCGCTCAACGCAATCTCGAATCTCAAATTTGCAACGTCTCGCCTATTGAACGCTTGATCCGCTTTCAAATGCGATTGCGTACTGAGTTTGGATGCATCCAGTGAGTCCGATTTTTTCTCCCAAACCTCAGTCTCTTGTTTTCTTCCCCCGAGATTTGATTGCGAATCTCAGAAACCGAAAGACGCGCCGCCCCGTTTCTTCCCCGCCCTCCGATTCAGTCATGAGCAACCATCACCAAGCAGACCACCACCCGCACCACCCGCAGCAGCACCGCGTGTCGTTTGCTCCGACAGCCACGTCCGCGCCTGAACGCCAGCACGACCACGACCACGACAACGACAACGAGGAGCAGCACGGCGATTCGCTCTCCGTCCAGCAGCAAGCGTCGTCGTCATCCTCTTCGCATTTAAATCGCCGTGCGTCGCCATTGCTCGCTGCCGATGCGCACTCGCCCGAGATCACCCGTCTGCGCCAGGACGCCGCGCGTACGCACAACTGGAAACGCTGGGGTCCGTACCTGTCCGAGCGCCAGTGGGCGACGGTAATCCTTTGGCTGCTGCGATTCAACTTGTGAATTCGTCCCATTCTATCTATCAAATAATGGTTACTCACCCAGATCTCATCACGTCTCGTCTCCATTGGTACATATGTCACTTGCCTTGTTGGTGTGCACAACGGGAAGGTGCGCGAGGACTACTCGTCGGATGGCAACTGCTGGAAGTCCTTTCCCCATGATCATGCGAGATCGCGCGCGTACCGCTGGGGCGAGGATGGCTTGCTCGGAATCACCGATCGTGAGTGTCGGCTGTGCTTTGCGCTCGCCCTGTGGAATGGCAAGGATCCGATTCTCAAGGAGCGGCTGTTCGGCCTCACTGGCCCAGAGGTATGTATGTGTGTCGGATTGAATGAATCTTGTGCTGAACTAGCCACTCAACGCTGATTGTGGGGGCTCTTTGTGTTCACAGGGCAACCATGGCGAAGATGTCAAGGAGTGCTACTACTACTTGGATTCAACTCCAACCCACTCGTACATGAAGGCACTGTACAAGTATCCGCAAGGAGAGTATCCTTACTCCCAGCTGGTCGACGAGGTAAAACATTGGTTGCCAATCCAGAAATTGTAAACTCCCCCGTTGTTTCCTCACGAATTTCGTCTTGCATTTGCAACAGAACCGCAGGCGTGGCGTGCATCAGCGCGAGTTTGAACTGGAAGACGCGGGCGTGTTTGCCGATGGCAGATACTGGGACGTCCAGGCCGAGTACGCCAAGGAAGCCGAGGACGACATTCTGATCAGAATCACCGTCACCAACCGCGGCCCCGAGGCTGCCCGCTTGCACGTGCTGCCCACCCTGTGGTTTCGAAACACTTGGGTCTGGGGCTGCACGCACGAAGGCTGCACCATGCGGCCCACCATTCGCGGGTCAAACGACAAGCCGTCATCCGCATCGTCGCCCCAGTTTGTGCGCATGACGACCACGCACGAGACACTCCAGCCCTTCGAATGGGAGGCTGATGTTGGTCCAAACGGCGCTCTGCCAGAAACCTTGTTCACGGAGAACATTAGCAATTCAGAGCGCCTGTGGAACCTGCCCAACGACAAGCCCTACGTCAAGGACTCGTTCCACCGCTACGTGATCAACAACGAACATGGCGCTGTCAACCCAAAGCACGTCGGCACCAAGGCTGCAGTCGTCTACGCGTTGGACGTCCCCGCAGGCGAGCAGCAAGTGTTGCGCTTGCGTCTGCGCGCGCTTGGCACCACCGCCCAAGCTTCGTCGGCACCGTTTGGTCAGGGATTTGACGAGATTTTTGCCCGCCGCATCAATGAAGCCAACGAGTTCTACCAGCAACACGTGCTCAAGCCCGACATGTCCGACGACAACGCGCTCATTGCTCGTCAGGCGTACGCTGGCTTGCTGTGGACCAAGCAGTTCTTCCACTACATTGTGCGAGATTGGCTGACAGGCGATCCCAACATGCTGGCGCCGCCTTCAGAACGCATGCATGGTCGCAACCATGATTGGCAGCATTTCTTTGCGCGCGACGTCCTCTCCATGCCCGACAAATGGTGAGAAACGATTGACACCAAGACGAAGTTGTGGGGGGGGTTTTTCATTCCATGTTCTGATTTTGCAATTTATACTTGTTTTTCCGTGTGTGTGCGCAGGGAGTACCCGTGGTTTGCGTGCTGGGATTTGGCCTTCCACATGATTCCATTTGCCAAAATCGATCCAGAGTTTGCCAAGCATCAGCTCAGCCTGATGCTTCGAGAGTGGTACATGCATCCGAATGGTCAGCTGCCCGCCTACGAGTTTGCCTTTGACGACGTCAATCCCCCTGTTCATGCGTGGTACGAACAGAAGAGTTGATTGCATTGTCTGGCAATCTGGGATGAACGGTCTTGTATCTCACACTGCTTCGGAACCTTCTTGTACTCTTTCTTGGTATTCTCTTTCAATCCCAACAGGGCCGTCTGGCGCGTCTACAAAATGTCGGGAACCAAGGGCAGTCGCGATCTCAACTTCCTGACCAGCTGCTTTGTCAAACTCATGCTCAACTTCAACTGGTGGGTCAACCGCAAAGACAAGGATGGAAACCACGTATTCTCTGGTGGATTCTTGGGTCTTGATAACATTGGTAATCGAGCATTCTTTTGTCATGGGGGGGGGGATTGTTGTGTTTGTACCTGGACTTTTGGTTTGACTTTTTCAACTCTTTTCTTGGACTGGTTTTTCTCTCCTCCGTGGATAGGCGTCTTTGACCGTTCCAAACCGCTTCCGACGGGTGGATCGCTGCAACAGGCGGATGGCACGGCCTGGATGGCATTTTTCTGCGTGACAATGCTCGACATGGCGCTCGAGCTTGCACAGCACAATCCCGCCTTTGAAGACATTGCGTCCAAGTTCTTTGAGCACTTTGTAGCCATCACTGACGCCATGAACCACCTTGGTGGCTCCGGCCTGTGGGACGAGTCTGACGGCTTCTACTATGACAAGCTGCAGACACACTCCTGTGAAAGTCACCTGCGTATTCGCTCGATGGTTGGCTTGATCCCCCTCTACGCTTGCTTGGTGCTTGAGCCCCGTGTGCTCGACAAGCTGAAAGGATTCACCAAACGGCTGAACTGGTTTTTGCGCAACCGCAAGGACTTGGCCAAGAGCATTTCCTACCTCACTCCCCGTCAGTCCCATGTAAGTAGACGGGTGATGTTGACTCGGAGGATTCTCTTCCCCTGCAAGCAGTATGATTGACAAGCCGTGAGACGATTTGATATTTGATGCACTCCTAATTGTGCGCTATAGGGCGCAAAGGACTCGGAAGAATCCCAAACCTCCTGCGACGCGAAAGGGGGCGTGCACTTGCTGGCCATCCCATCGCGAGAGCGCCTGGAACGTGTGCTCAAAGTCTTGCTCGATGAAGACGAATTCCTGTCTCCTCATGGCATTCGCTCCTTGTCGCGCGTGCACGAGCGCTCACCCTTCACGCTGAACGTTGGCGGCGAAGTCCACCGCGTCGACTTTGCCCCTGCCGAGTCTACCTCGTATCTGTTTGGTGGCAACTCAAACTGGCGCGGCCCCATCTGGCTTCCCGTCAACTATCTTCTCATCGAAGCGCTCGAGCGGTACCACTACTTTTACGGCTCGGACTTGATGGTCGAGTGCCCAACCGGGTCTGGTGACATGATGAATCTCAAGCAAGTGGCGCAGGAGCTGTCGCGACGCTTGACTTCGCTCTTTGTGTCGGACGAGAACGGACGTCGCCCGTGCCACGGTGACAACCCGCTGTACGCCAACGACCCTCACTGGAAGGATTTGGTGCTCTTCTACGAGTACTTTGATGCGCTGGACGGTCGTGGCATCGGAGCCAGCCATCAAACCGGCTGGACAGCGCTCGTCGCGCGTTGTTTGGACAAGATTTAATCGGTGTGGGGGGGGGGCTAAGCTCGAATAATGTGTGCTGCTGTTGTGTTGTTGTGGAGCATTTGGGTGTGTGCACGGGTTGTCAATGTGAGCTTTGCAATTTAATCTCGTGGAATTCTGGAACACAGCGTTTTCAGTTGTCAAATTTGCGGATTGTCAACTGGTCAACCACATGACAATCAACTGGCTGCGGGGTGTACCACAGCGGATTGGAGGAGCGGGAGGTAGTTTCATCCAGCTTTCCGCGACCGCGCAGAGCAGGCCATTCACGCTTGACTTTATCGACGCCAATGCCCTGCAAGTTGTAACAAGTTATGGCAGCGTGTCGATATAAAGTTAGTCCTCCTCCCATTCAAAAATTGCGAGAAAATCCTCCCCCCGCTCAACAGAAAAAAACAACAAAAAAAAACTTACAAAGACAGTCAACGTGTGGTTGATGGTGTCAATCCTCATGCGAACAAAGCTCTTGTAGTCTTCGACGCGCGTTGCAGCGAACAAGTCGTCATTGTGGCGGTCAAACCACCAGGACGCAGCTGTCATGTACAGACCAAGGACGATCGGGCCGAAGATCATCCCGGCAATCCAGACAAAAGCGCGCGCAAACAGCGTCCTCAGAATTGGCACGTTATTGTACAACAGGGAGGTGGTGTGCATCTCGAGCTGCTGATCAGTTGCCTCGTAGGCCTCGCGGAACGACGTCAGAACAGCTCCTAGCGCGCCAGCAGCGGCGCCGTTCAGAGACGTGCTGAGCTGCAGGTACAGCGACTCGAGATCGGCTTGAGACAAGCTCTTCACGTCTGCCAAGGTTGAAAAGACAGCCCGCAAGGCTTCATTCGGATTGGCTTCGGCCGAATCGGCAAACGTCGACGCGCCGCCATTGGCTGCCGCGCCAACAACTGGATCGCGATGGATGAGAAACTGGAAGGCGTAAAAGTGGCCCACGCCGGCCAGGAAGAGATGCACCGATACATGCAAAAGGCCGATGAGCACCGACCAGAACCGAGATCGATGGCCAACGTCCACAAAGAACGACAGGCCACCCCAGAGCACGAGAAAAAGCGAAAAAGAAAGTGACGACCACAAAATGCCTTGTAGCAAGAAGGTAAAGAACGTGAACGGTGAAGAAAACGGCATGTGTAGAGGCAGCTGCGAGGAAACGGAAGGTTCTTTGGCGGATGCTGGGACGTGCGGCGGCTCCCACAGCGTCCATGGCAAGAAACCAACCATGAAAAGGTATAAAACAGCCGTCACGAGCCCGAAAGAATAGTTCTTGGGCAAAAACAGCAGGCCTTGAAGGCGAAGTTTGCGCGAAATGGCGGCCGACGGAAAGACATTTCGCAAGTCGTACTTGCTGTGGAATGAGCAAGTATTTTCCACTGCCACGGTTTTCTCGAGCATGTGGGTAGGATGCAAAAAGGCGCTTTCAAGTAGGGGGGAAGGGGAAGGAATTGTAAGCGCAATCCAAACAAGCAAAAAAAAAAAAAAAAAAAAAAAAAAAAAAAAAAAAACCAAGCAAATGCAAAAAAAAAAAAAAAAAAAAACGCTATCGCGTGCTTACCCTCCACCCCCTGCAACAATCATATTGATCTTGCCATCCTGACGCTCGTGTCGACTGTAAAAGTGCAAATCTCCGGCCAGGATTAACTTGAGCTTGTCACCCAACGCCTTGTCGAACAAGACCGACAAGACTTCGCGTGGGTGTCCATCCAAAATCCAAAACGGACGGTGCATTGCCTGGTTGTGTCCAACATCCGAAAAGAAGAGCATGAGGAGAAATGGGGATTTTGACGGGAATTCAGTCAACAGCAGGAGAAAAATCAGCAAAGACAACAAAAACCTGCGTTTGCTACGTACCACAATTACACGGTCGGTTGGCGCCATGTGAGCAGCCACGTTTCGGAAGTAACGGAATTGGCCGTCGTCGATATCGTAGGTCAGCTGATCGTCAATGCCAAACAACCACCAGCCATCAGGAAGTTGGAGCGCAAAGTAGCTGCGGCGTTGTGGCAAGACCCAACCTCCGAGTCGATGCCCGCTGCACATGACACGACGGAAGGCGACCAGGCCGTCCAACCAATCGTGATTTCCGGGGATGGCAAAAGCATGCGGATGCGTGGAGGAGGTGATGTGTCGCCGCTCAATGTCAAATCCAGAACGAAAGTCCTTTTCTGGCCAAAGCGCTATCAAAGTCGCCCCCGCCCCCCCCCGAAGTAGTACAACACCAAGAACAACAAAACAAACAAAAACAACAAAACAAACAAAAACAACAAAACAAACAAAAACAAAATCAGAATAGGAACACCATTGGAAAGGTTTGGTGGTTGATGTGGAACAAGGTTTTTTGCAGGACGGAACAACCAGGGTCAGAGAGCTCACCATGTCTGAACGGCTCGACAAACCGGCTCTTGTAGTTTTGAGGGGACGGGTCGGGATAGCACAAATCGCCACCAAGAACGAGCACTTTGCCGCGCTCAAGACAGATGTATTCGCCTGTAATCAGAAGGGGCAGTCAGCAATCCGGCCACAAAGCAAACGGAACGATGACAGAAGATACCCATCCCAACAGAAGCAGTGCTCTCTAACCGTGCTTCGGATCCAATACGTCGAGGCGAGGCTGGGCCAGCAGGGTCGCGATGGTGAAGGTGGAATTCCAGCCGTCGCCCGTGTCGGCGACGAAATCAAGAGTGAAGACGGATTGGCCGTGGCTGTCGTACGAATGCCACGGTTTAAAGTCGCGACCAGGAGGCAGCATGGACGGCGTGGGTGGCGCGGTGGTGTCGACACTTGCCGGACGCTTGGACGCATAGGCACCGCTCGCTGAATGCTCGTTGCTGGAGGAAGTATGATGCGTGGAGGGGCTGGCGATCGGAGACGACATGACCAGGGCTGAGACCGACGCACCAATGGCAGCGGCCGTCGACGTGGGCGTGGCAGGATGGGGAGTCGCAAAGCCAGAACCGGACTTGAGCCCATGCAGCTCTTGGGTCAAAGTGTCGACCGTGTCCATGAGTGCGTAGAGTGGCCGTGTATCCGTGCGCTCGCCAATCGCCAATGTGACCAGCACGTTGACCAGCGTGGACAGAATACTGAGCGGATTGTACCAGGTGGTCATTTCCAAATGTGCAACGCGCTTGACATCCACGCCCCACTGCTCTGGCAACCGGTGCAAAATCTGCAGTCGCAGATCGGACGGATTTGGGGAGATGATCATTCTAAAGCAAACAAGAAAAAAAAGTCCCATTCGGCGTTCGTGAGTGCTCGGAAATTTGTCTCAGTCAGTCGGTCGGTCTGAACGCTCCTTGTTGTTCTGAAAGTTTTTTCTTTTTCTTTTTCTGTCCATCTAAGTGTGATATTCTCTCTCTCTCTCCCTCCCTTAAGAGCATGTTCTATTTGTGTCTGAGTGGGCACACCTTCGAGATTGATAACCGAAACATTGTTGACTGCGTGTGCGTGACTGATGTTCGCCACCTGTCAACCCACCACCCCCCCCCACTCAATTCACTTCACAGCAAAAACCTCAATCGAAACCCCCATTCCATTCAACGGTCATCCACTACTCTACTCTACTCTACATCAGCAAGACAAAGAGCACAAGAGCACAAGAGCACAAGATACTACACGACGAGAAGGCGGTCACTTTGTGCTTCAATTCTGACACACACACACTCACCTCTGAAGAAAGTTCAGGCGCTTGTCCTCCTCGCGGTCCTCGACATCGGTGGTCAGGTACGGATTGAGCATGGCGAGGCCTTCGTTCATGGGGCGCGACTGGCGAAACCCGGTGAATGCGGCCTTCTTTGGCGTCGTCGAGCTCGTTGCCGCGTTGCCAATCGAGCCGACTCCATTGGCCACTGCTGCTGCTGCTGTGACGGCGGACTCTGCGGACGGAGGCAGCTGCAGCGATGATGGCAATGATGGCGACGTTGATGCCAAGAATGAGGGTGAAGACGAGACGGACCTGGGCTTGAGATTCGAGTCAGCACCGTGGCCAGGAGTGGCGCCACTGAGACTCGAATGGACCAAGCCGGACATGACGAGGAGGATGAGAATGACGACTGCGTAGACATGTCCATCGTCGCGATCACCATGAATTGTCTCGGTAATCATGCTGTGTGTAAGGGGGGGGTATGACCTGGCGTCAAAGTGGGAAAAGTCGAACAAATTGGTTTCATCCAAGACACTATTTTGCTATTTACCAATGACCGCCAAGATGAACAAATCCCACACGCACCTCGACCTCGCTGATAGCGAAAAGAGAGACACTATTATCAAGTCAATCGACCTCAATGTTCCAATGCTCATCATCAAATCACCAATGGGCTCTGGAAAAACCACTTGCTTTGCGGAAACACTCAGACCGCTTTGAAAAGCGGCACAATGCAGCATCATCAGGAACGTCTTGGAAGAACAATAATACAAATCGAACGATGGTTTATTCAACTCATTATGGGTTGACAATGGATTGCCAAAGCTGAGAAAGATGACAGCGCAGTTTTTAGTTTCTTCTTTTGTTTTTTCTTGTTTTATCCCGAAATGTCGGCTGCGGCTCCAGCGGCGGCTCCAGCTGCGGCCCCGGCTCAGCAGCAGCCAGCTTTTCGGGGTGTGTTCGGTTTCATCGGCGGCGTGGTCGCCAACGCGGTCTCCTCCATATTCATCATTATGGTTGTGGCGGCTTTTGTTGCTCAGCACGTGCTGGACCACAAGAACACGATCGCCAAGACCCACTCGCCCGAAATCGTGCTAGCTCGCATGCTCGCTCGCTTCGAGGCCGGCTCCGTGATCCCGCCCATTGAGGGATACCACGTCAGTCGCCCAGATGCTGTGGCCATGCTTCAAGCGGTGCTGCGCCCAAACAAGGTGACGCGCTACCCCGTCGTCGTTGGCGAAACAGGCTGCGGCAAGACCAGCGCCGTCCTCGACGCCATCCGACCCAACCGCACTGGCATTGTCTACCACATCGTCGGCGCTGAGCTCCTCGTTGATGTGCCGAAACGACTGGCGGGGTCTCTCGCGTTCGAGTTCAACCAGTTCACCTTCACGGCAGGCTACTTCAAAGACCGTGGTGTGGAGATGGAGCAAGTCACATCGGCAGCAGAACCGTTCAAGAGCTGGGCGATACTCGATCTCAGTCTTCGGGACGTCGCCGCACAGTTCAAGGCCAAGCATGGTCATGTTGCCACGCTCGTCATCGATGCCGTGGACGAGATCGACAAGCAGGGTTCAGAACTGTTGCATGCGATTCAAAAATTTGCCAAGTCGGCTGCTGACGAGCAGCTGCTCAATGTTGTTCTCGTCACCTGCGATGGTTCGAATCTGCCCGCGCTCAAGGAATCGTCAGCAATGACTCGTGCTCGCGTTGTCGAAGTGGGTGATCTCACCGACCAACAAGCTGTCACATATCTGGTGCGTCGTGACATCCACGAGGATTTGGCCAAGCGTGCGGTCGCTGAGATTGCTGGTGGGCGTCTCATTCTGCTCAACAATCTAGCAGACGACCTTCAGTTCAAGACTGTGGAACAGATCTCCACTCAGCTCTCCATTCAAACTGCAGACTCCCTTCAAGACGTCATTGATTATTCCGAGATGCACAACGCAACATCTGCCGTTCACAAGTCACTCTGCGATCTCACTCACGGTGCTCTGCACATTAACATCGTGCACCGCTCTCTGGGGAAAGACCTCACCAAAAAGCTCCTCGCCACCAACATCAACATTCTCGCTTACCATCCCAACGACACGTACACCCTTCACTCGCGCCACGTTCAGCGCTCTGTGGCTGCCCTGTTGAACTGCACGACACCGTAGGGCCGTTTCATGTTTCTGGCTTCTTGAGCCATCTTCAAGCGTTCACCCTCTGCCAACCTCGCCTTCGTGTGTTGCAATGCGTTCTCAGCATCTGTATTGTATCTTGAAGACGTCGCTCTGAGAATAAAAGGCCAATTGTAAAGTTTATCGGCATTCTCGATGCTCGTTGAGCGGACGACTTGCTTTGCAAAACGCTTGTTAATCTGAGCTCTGTCTCGGCTGTGGATTTTGAGCACGAGTACCTGGAAGAATGTGCCATTTGGTGCTTCTAGCTTGGTAGGCATGATATTCAGATTGGACAAAGTTTGAGGTGGTTTGGGTCTAGATGATCTAGATCTAACAAGTTGAGCCCATATGGTTTGATGCCTAGATCGAAAAAAGTACTTGCGATTGCACAAACAAAAACAACAAAAAAGAAACAGCTTTGTCTTTTTGTTCCAAATAGAAGAAAAAAAGAAAAAATCACATTCACTTTCGCTTCATCAAACGGAAATGGGCATAGGCACGGTTGGCCTCGGCCATGCGATGCATGTCCATCCTCTTCTTCATGGTAGTGCCGCGTCGGTTGTACGCATCGAAAATCTCGAGAGCCAGGGCAGGCGCGAGGCCGTGGGTTGCGCGCTTGCGGGCCGCGTCGATAATCCACTTGAGCGCCAACGAGACCTGGCGAGCAGGCTGGATGGGGAATGGGACTTGGTATGTCGAGGCTGCCACCTTGGTGGACTTGAGCTCGATCAGCGGGCGGACATTGTCGATCGCCTCGTGCAACATGTCGAGCACGGAGAAGAATTCGAGCGGCGTTTTAAAATCGCTGACAAACTCGGCGCCGGCAACAACCTCTGCACTGGGCTGATCGCCTTCCAGGTCTGACGATACGCTCAATGTCGGTTGCGAGACACTGTCAGCGGTGGTGGTGGTGGTGGTGGAAGGAAGGAGACCATCGAACGAGAACAAGTCCAAGGCGTTCGCCTGGGCGCTGGACGATTGGGAAGCAGACGCGTCGCTCGCAGCTGCTGATGCCGATGCTGCTGCTGCTGACGCTGCTTGCTCGTAGATGGCACGACGGGCGGCTTGGGCCTCGGTGGCGGACATGAGAGGGCGCGTCATGGGCACAATGGTTCCGACAAAGTGCATCTTTAGGAAAATCATCGTGTCGATGAGAATCTTTTGAGCCGCGCGCTTCTTGCCGCTCTCCATCAGGCAGTTGACCAGCTTTTGCAAGATGGGGTCTGAGCCGATCGTGTGCATCAGATCCATGGTCGACGTGAGCGGTGGCGGGGCCTGTCGCTTGCGGCCGCTGACAAATTTGACGTGCATTGCAGCCTGCTCTCGCAAGGCCTCGACGCGCGAGTTGTATGTGTAGGACGCGGCCGTGCCCTTGGCCTCCTCCTGCGCTTGGCGCGTTTTCATCAGCGCATCCACGCGCGGCTTGAAGAAGGCTTGGCGCAGCGTTTCGTTGTCGGCGCGTGGCCGCACAGAGCCGTACAGCGTCGACGGGTACTTGACGTGCGGATGTGGTCGCAACCGCGAGAGCGTTGTGTTGGTCAGCGGCTCGAAGCCCGCTGTCTCCGAAGTGGCCTCTGCGTGTTGGTCGCGTGCTGGTGCATACGTGTTGTCCAGCACGGCCTGCACCACGGGGTCTTCTTCGAGGGTTGAAGCAGCGGATGACGATTGGGCGAACGAGCCATCGGCCACTCGCGCAAGCCATGCCTTGGCGATCGCATCTCCAGAATCGAGTTGCGCATGTGCACTTGGTGTCACAGCCGCAGCGGCAGCGGCAGCAGCGCTTGTGGTCGTGGTCTGTGATGCGTTGCTTGAATGCAGGAGTCTGTCAAAGCAACATTGCACACCAGTGAGCTCGGCTTTTTGCGACTGGGTTTGGATTACAAATGCCACGACATGAAGCTAGTCAGTCGATGACCACCCCTTTCGCTCAAGGGCGTAGGGGAGCGTTGAACAAGCAAATGAGGAGGATCTCGTCCTTTTTTTTTTTGTTTCTCTCTCTGCTGCAATCTCAATCGACGGCTCAGAGCTGCCGGGATGCAAGTCTCGTGCCATCAAGCAGGCAGACTAGCACAGTCCACAGCTGGCATTGGTCGGTGGTCACCCGCGTCGGATGCACGATGGGATGGGACGAGGCATTGAGCGCTTTGCCTCGTGCTTTTCACTTCTGCTCTCGCTCACTCCCGCCGATACCCCTCCCTTGACTTGTCCTGTCCGCTGGTTGCGTTGAGAAGCACACTCGTCAAATCGACTGTGAGCGGATTCTTTCGGTGGTTTGTACCTTCGGGCGCTGCTGCGAAGAGCCAACAGCGGCTGCGCTGCGAGCCGTGAAGACGCGAGCATCGCTTGAGAATCAAAGAGTGGAGAGGGGTGATGGTCTGAGAATGAATATCGTGCACGACAATATTGACTATATGAGAAAGATAAGTTGCGAGAGAGAGAGAGAGAGTCAGCGGGAGTTGGTAGGAACGATCAAAAAAAAAAAACCACAAGAATCCAAAGCAAAAAAATGGACTTGAACGGAGTCGAACCGCTGACCTCATCGATGCTAACGATGCGCTCTACCAAATGAGCTACAAGCCCTTAGATGAGTGCAACCCTGGGCAGTTGCAGCCTCGTTCAGCCACGTTGGGCGACAGAAATCGCAAAGTCAAACAGAAAATCCGTCCATCCACTTGAATGATGAACGTTCGAACAATGCGAGTTCGGTGGTTTTTTTTTTAGAATGGGTCGTGTACTCTCTAATTACAATTTCAACGTCAACAGCTGCGACAACTTCCATGCAACGGTTTTGATTTCAGTTCAGGCCTTCAAGCAACGAACGACGACCTCAACAAGGGGAAAACACATTGACCAAAATCGCCACTGGAGCAATACCGCAGGCGTTTGCGGAAAAGGACGTGCAGTGAAGCACAGCGAGCAGATCGACTAAGAGACAATCGACGAAGTCACGGTGGATTCGATGCCACACTTGTTGGTGCCACGACCAATCCAGAAGTACCCTGTTTAAAAAAAAAAAATTGAAAAAAGTCAACACAACAAGCCGAGAGAAGTCAGGACAGAACTGCGGCAACACGAAACAAAAGAAAAACAACGACTGCCAAATCTCACCATCCAGACCCCAAGTAGGACCCCACGAATTCTTGATAATCCAGTACGGCTTGCTGCCAGACACACCCCATCCGACGAGCAGGACGGCGTGGTCGAGGTTGGCCGGGTTGCAAATCATGGGCGAGTAGATGCCGCTGTGGTAGAGGCTGAGCTCGCCAGCGTTCAACAGCACGGAGAGGGGACCGGTGGTCATGAGCTGGGCCTGGATTTGGGTGGCGTTGTTCTCGACCTGGTGTTTGAAAATGGGGGGGGGAATGGAGCACAAGCAGACCGCACCAAGCGAATGAGCTGCAGTTTCGGCAAATTCCGAGAAAAAACCAAAAGCCAACAAAAAAGAACAGGACTATAGAAGAGAGCAACAACCACAGCAACGACCCAAAAACGTACAGCAAACCAGTCAATGACAGTGGCCTTCACGTTCTGGGGAGTCACCAGCCCGCAGGAGTGGCGAGTGGTGTCGCAAGAGTTGTTGTAGTCGCTCTCGTCGCCGCACATGGTAAAGTTCCAAGGAGAGGCGAGGCAAGGCCAGCAGAAACCAGGCTTGCCATAGGCGAGGCCTAGTTGTCAATTCGGTGCCAAACAAGAGCAAAAGAAGAAGAAGAAGAAGGAAAAAAAGTCAGCCACTCGCGAACGAGATCGCACAACACAACGAACCACGCAAAAAGCTGCCAGTGGTTTACCCGAGCAATAAGGCAGCTGGTCGTCGCTGATCAGGCCGTAGTTCTTCATGATGTACTGGTAGCTGAGGTAGGGCCAGCCGCCAAAGCCCGAGCAGTCGTTGTAATCGCACTCGACAAGCTGCTCGGCAGACAGGGTGATGGAAATGTTGTGCTTGAGGAATTGCTGGCCTTCGACGTTCTCCTTGGTGCTGAATGCCCAGCAGGTGCCGAGGTCGCCTTGGTCCTCAACGGGACGCACTGCGCCGCCACCGAGCTGCTGGCGCCAGTCAAAGGACTCGGGAATGTCCTGAACATCGAGCTTCGGCGCGTAGCGGGCGGCCTCGTGCACGACGGGCGCGCGCGGAGCCATCAGAATCTTGTGGCCAAACTCGGACTGGCTCATGTCGGCAAAGCGGGTGATTCCGAACGTGGTGCCAGGGTTGGCGCGGTTGAGCTCGACGATGCGCTCCAAATTGGCCTGGTAGTTCTTGAACGCCTTGGCTTCGGCTTCGGCGGACGCGTACAGCTTGTCGTGCTGCTTCTTGAACGCCACGAAATCGTCGTAGGTGGACGCTGTTGTTGTTGGTGCAGCAGTTGTTGCAGTGCAGCAGAGTGAGTTGCAATGTGTGAGCTCGTTCGGAGGTGTCAATAAGTCGATAAAAAAATTGATTGAGGGACTCAAAAGCTGATTCTTTCGCTCTTTCGGCCGAGGTGAAGCAGGGACAAGACATTGGGGGGGGGGGCAAACAAGCAATGCGACACACAGAGCAGCAACAGCAAAAGAATGGGAGGCAGACAGACAGACAGACAGACGGACAGACCTTCGGCGAGGGTCGCGGCAACGACACACGCAACAAGAATCAAACCCGCAGAAACACGCATTTGTGTTTTTTGTTGTTTTTGGAGAAAAGAGTGGATTTCAGCCATTTTCAGCCATGCGAATAAAAATCGAGTTACAGTGATGCATGCAGTGAAATTCCATCACAGCAATAGCATTGGTAACAATTTGGCGTGCTGAAGAACAGAGCGAATAAATCAATGGAGGCCGTGCAGCAAGAAAAATTGTACTCGCAAACAATATGGCCACCAACAATCACACAACAATCACACAACGCTAGGCAAACGCTTGTAGATTGCGCAATCGACATATGAACATTGGATCTCCACCCACAGGCGAGTTGGGGACACGGGGGAGGCTGCAAGGTCGTTTAGATGCGCGAGGGGTAGAGCATCTGCGGATGGTTTGAAACAAGAACGAGGGCAAAACAAGGGCGGGGTTGGTGAGTGAACTCGGTGACAGGCAGAGTGACAGTGAATGATGCTTTGGAGGATGAGTGGAGGAGAGGGGGAACTGGAAAAGATAGTGAAGGCGCAACATGCTACTCCGCGTTTGGAGGAGAGCAATAGCCACCACCCCTCCCACCAAACGCACAATTCCTCGAGCAAGCGCGCCATGAAATAGCCCAATCGACCACAACATTGCACGACCAGGACGAAGGAGTATGATCGTTCCAATTTCGCTTTAACTTTCTCTCTCTCTTTCTCGCTTTCTCTCTTTCTCTCGCCCAACCACAGACCGCCAAGCTGCAAACAAACTGCGATAAACTTACAACTCGGACCGAAGCGCCGAAGGCCTTGGCGGGGAGGTTCGACTTGAACTGAGCGCGGACACCGCCGACGTTGCCGTGAGGGCGGGTGATGCGGCCCCAGATGACGCGGATGTTGCTGCCGTCGATGATGCGCTTGGCACGGTAGACGTAGGCGACACGCTTGCCAAGGTAGTGGGTAGCGTCAGCACGGGTGGAGACGCCCTCAAGACGGAGGAGCGACGAGTTGGGGTCCTGGTTGCGCTGGCTGCGCTTGAAGCCAGAGACGACGGCCTTGGTGTAAAGTCTGCGTCAAGAATGCAAAACAAGCAAAAGGACGAGAGGCGAAAAGTGAGGACAAGAAGGGGTGGCAATGAAACGAAAGGAATTGAGGCGGTTGTAAAAAAAAAAAAAACTCAAAAAAAAACTCAAAAAAATCGCAAAAAAAAAAAGTCAGCTCAAGCCGGTGGCATCGCCAAACAAACCGAGCTACATCGTCGCACAGCCGAGTTGGCGCCCAGCCTCCGTGCCAATCCAGCACTCAATTATATGCTTTATTGGATTTTGCAGGCTAGGGGCCGGAAGACGTCAGCGCAAGCACAGGATGAGGGCGCAAACGCAGACGAGAGCGAACAAAGCAGTCTCGGTGCATGCGACTCTGTTCCCTTCGTTGCTGCCAAGCCAAGACCCGGCTCGCATTGGCTGCTGATAGCATACAGTGCAGACATGCGTCTGTGGAGGCCCAGACGTGCCAGCCGAGGGACCAGAGGACGAGAGGCAAAAGGGCAGTGAGGGCTTCAAGGGCAAAACCCGAAAAACCGTTGCTGCAGTCCCGTGCGCCGTCCCCAAGTCCCTACATCAGCCCACAGAGTGTTGCCGATGCACACACAACACACAAACGAGTGCCAACTGGCCATCGTCATGTGAAGCGTCGTCCGCAGGCAGGACTACAAGTGCCACTCCAAAGCCCCCATGTCTCATTCACTTTTCACGACATCGCTCACCGCATTGTTGCCGCTCCAGTCCCCCCAATCTCCCCCATAGTGCTGTCCCTGGTCTCAAATAGCGTATGCTGCTGATTGGCATCGGTTCAAGGAGCGAGGCCCGCAGCTGCCAGGCGAAAGAACAGTTCGTACCGGATGGGCTGCGTCATTTGCTGCAAATGAAGAGAGAACGATCGCCAATTCTAAAACTGGCGGCATTGAATTTGTTTCCACAACCTTCGACCCAGGCACATCACATCATTGCATGTGGATACGAATAGCAGTGTGGAATTGTGCTACAGGAAAAATCCTGCACGCGTGGCTGATGGATTGTTGCGGAGAAAACGAAAACCGGAAAGCAAAAAACAATATTTTTATACAATTCAACAAGCCAAGCCACGACTTTCCTCGTGCATCAAAGTCTCGATGCTGGTCGGCGTAACACAATCAGTCATGGATCTGTGTGGACGTGCAAGCGTCGCTGAAACTCGGCTCGACACGGGGGGGGGGAAAAAAGCGGAAACAACAAAAAAAAGCCATGCATTTTTTGACACAAAATGACAAAAAAAAAAGCGAGTAGCTCACGGACGGGATCGAACCGTCATTTGAAGATTCAGAGTCTTCCGTCCTAACCATTAGACGACGCGATTGCCAAGCCTGGGCAAAATGGGAGAGGATGTCGATACGCGACGGAATTGCAAGATAATCCAGCTGATCAGCGCGAACGGAGCCTTCCTGCCTGACGCAAGTGGGCCACAAAACGCGGGAGGTTGCAATGCGTGACATGGGATTCAAAAAAAAAAAAAGGAAACCAAACGTGCAAGGGAAAGAGGAGAAAAAAAAGTAGTATCAACACGCAAAAAATAAGCGAGAGCTCACGGACGGGATCGAACCGTCATTTGAAGATTCAGAGTCTTCCGTCCTAACCATTAGACGACGCATTTGCAGAGCCGGGGCAAAGCATATTCGAGCCGTGAATCTTCGTTGCACAAGTCAAAAAATCTTGATTTTGGTCACGACGCTCAGTCCAGTGCGTTGGTACAGCAAAACGAAAAAAATCAACCATCACCAAGTCCGTTCAAAAGTTTTTGAGCGATGTTGTGAAAGAACAGGTGGAAAAGAGGCAGGGTAAGAAAAAAAAAAAAACAGGAATCCAAAGAAAAAAATGGACTTGAACGGAGTCGAACCGCTGACCTCATCGATGCTAACGATGCGCTCTACCAAATGAGCTACAAGCCCTTGCTGCCATAAGCCTTGGGCTTCTGTCTACAAGATTGATGAACGCGTGAGAACTTTGTGGTGCTTTTGGCAACAGTGCGGTCTTCTTTCTGTGGGTTTCGATTAAACATCAATGGAGTTGAACAAACGACATTGCGAGCTATACAAACACACATGGCGTCAATCAATTCAACACACACTAAAATTTGCTCTGGATTGATGTCGCAATGGAAAACTCGCGCGGCGAAGCAGAACACGACCTCGAAATCCGCCACAACCGAAATCCGTGCGCCACGCAACGATTTCCAAGCACCACATGCCTCTTCAACATGCAAATAGACTTTAAATGATATTTCCAAGAACATGAAAAAATGCAAGCACGCCTGTCTCTCAGGTATGGGACTGAAACACGAATGGAACGGGAGGCAGTTGGAAAATTCACCAAACTGACACATGAAGCACAATTCTTCGTTTATACAACTTCAAAGCAATCACAATAGTTGCATCTTAGATGAAGCAAAGACCCTGCGACGTTTGCTTGATAGGAGAAGAAGGGCCGCTGAGGACAAGCAGCACTATTCGAACAGCAACGGTGAGCACGAATACTGAAGCCAAAGCAATGTTCAGACCGAGCAGTGCACAGCTGTATCATCAAGCCATGAAGCAGCAGTACCTGTGTGCCTGAAGTCGCTCATGGATAGTGGCTTGAAGTTGGGGTAAGGTGATGCTATCGAACTGAACAAAGGACAACCCATCGTGACATTCAGAATGAGATCAAGACCGAGCCGCACCCACGAAATTAGCCAGAACAAGATCATTTCAACACAGCGCGTGCGTTGAACGGAAGATATCCGGACTGTAGCCACGAGAGAAACACAAACCGAAAAACAAAAAAGAAGCAGCCGTTTTTGGTTTTCTCAATCCTGCAGTTTACCTGCGTATCCATGGCAAAACCACAGTGATTGCACATGATGGCTTGCATCCGTTGCGATAATTGGCCCTGCCAACAAAGGGGACAGACGGTGGAGTCGGCTTGCCGGAGTGCTTCTTCAAAGTAGGCGGCCGATTCTGCATCGTCCTCAACGTCAAACTCGTTGTCGATGTCGGCAGAGTGTCGTGGAGCTTCATCTCTCTGCAAAGCTTTTTCGTAGTCGTCGTACAAGGCAAGATTTCGCTCGCGTTCTGTGATTGAGAGCATCCAAGAGAATGCAGCATTTTCACGATAAGCTTTGGACTTTGTCGAACCGTGCACTACTAAAAGGCATGGAATCAAAACAAGCTGCAACCGAAGGATGGAGTGCGGCGTACCTTGCTCGATGAGCTCCTGCAAGACCTGAAGCATAAATTCCTGCATGATCTCTTCACGTTCGTCGTCCGTGTAGTCCCGGTCTTCATCATTCTCAGCAGCGCTCCGCGTCGACTGAGCAAGAGCAGCCTCATAGTTATCAAAGCACTCGTCTGCGGTACCGAGTTGCATCGCGGTTGCTGAAGCTAGTCCCGACGAAGCTTCAACAGTCGTCTGTATGCCGATAGCAGGACAACGACCAATGTCGCAAGCCACACGAGATGAGACAAAACACATACACACACCTTGTTCAGGCCAACCAGACCCGCGGCTGGCAAGGGAAATGGGATGACTGGACTGACCGTTCCAGGTGCTGCGGTTGCCCCTGCGCGATACGAAGCCAGCTCGGATTGCAAGAACGAGTACAAATACGCATCAAGACCATCGCCTTGTTCTGTGGGAGCTCCCTCGGACGTGCGCTCGTTTTCGGCGGAGGAGTCGTCACCGAGCCCTCTTCGTTGATTGAAAAATCGAGATCGCGCAGCCTAACAGAGCAACAACGTCCAGACATGCCAAATGCAAAAAAAAAATATCATGAGTCTGTTTCATGGGCGTTTGGCTGAGACACCACCATGCAGGTCATCACTCGAGTTCTCGAGTTGGCGCGCAAAACGACAGCGCCAAAGCCTGATGCTCTGCGTGTCCCACAACCCGCCTCACCTGCCAGTTCTGCTTGCATCGCTCTGTGAATGACTGGCGGAAGGCTTCCATCGAGTCGACGGGGCGCCCGCTGCGGTGGTTTTGCCATTTGGCAATGTTCTGCCAAAGCAGCAAAACACGCAAATACGTCCAATCCAACATGAGCCCTCTGAGCATGACACAGCGGAGAACGAGTGCCCACAACACAATGGAGCACTTGTGAGTTTGATACGCACTGAGCCTGGGTTGGCGCGCTTTGGCGCAGACATTGGAGATGTTTTTTGATAGGTTTTGGCGGGAATGTCAAACCCCAAAAAAAGAGAACTGCTCTCAGAAAACAAAATCTCAGAAACACGGACGAGTCATCGATCAAACGGATTGGAAATGGATTCATCTGTTACAACCTCACTCTTTTATTGACTGACGTTTGATCGAAACAAAGGCAATGGGCAAAGTCAGAGCAAGAACAAGCCGAAACGCACAATCCGCGATGAGCGTCGACGACGACGCATCGACATCGGCCCACGACGCCATGATGGCTGAGCTGACCATTGTATGTGGATTTTTGATTCGTTTGTGTTTGAATGGGGGGCACATTCAAAACAGCAGGATCGCTTCACCGCGAGTCGGCGTTTCCACATGGGCGCGACTGTGCTCAACCCCCACGAGAGTCAGTCCGAGGTCCAAACTCGGCCAACAAATGTGCAGCCAAAGCGGGCTTGCACACTATGCGAAGAAGGTCACTGGAGCAAGAGCCTCACTGTGGTGCCTTGTGTTTGATTTCAGGTCATGAACGAGTCGCTCGTCAATGCACAGCCACACAACGAGCAGCTGCGAGCGGCTGCAATCCAGGCCAACGCATCCAGCGCAATGCTCATCCAGGAGCACGCGCAGAACGTCCAACTTGCGCAAATCAAGGAGCTGCAGCAGGCGCGTGGCGCGGCGACAAGCTCGCTCGAGCAGGCGGCGATCGCTGCACGAGGCGGATTGCCGCTCTCCAAGCAGAGCAAGCGCCAGTTGCGCCACGAGCAACTCATGGCAAGTACGTCATCTGTCGAGTAGTGTTGAAGCAATTGGCGACTTGACAAGCAAACAAGCGATTGGGCGAATGACCGACGTTGACTTGTTGGGATTGATTTTGGATGAACGTTTCTCAGAGCTCAATCTCAGCCATCGCAACTTGCGCAAATCTCAAACCATCAAGACGCATGGTGTCATGGGTACGATGGACGAGTTAGACGGTGCATTGCCCTCGTTGAGCGTTGGCGCAGCGCTGTCGGCAACTTCGTCCATCCAACAACGGGATGGCAAGGCGCTGGTTCAGAATGCGACCAAGCGTGTCAACTCGCGGAAAGGACGCAACCTCACAGCGTAAGGAGTTGGTTCTTTTTTTTTTTTTTTGGTTACAAAAGGAGATATCGTGTTGTAAACTAGTGTGAATTGGGCAGTTTGATTGTTGTTTTTCTGACGCTTTTGTGGATGTGCCGTCCATTACTCGACAGGTTGCGCGAGCTCCAGAAAATGTCTGCCGTTCTCAAGCATCCTGCTTTCCAATCCAATCCGTTTGGGGCAATCCAACAGCACGTGTCCAACTCGATGGCTGCCGTGGAGGCAGCAGCAGCGCCCGCACCTCAACCACCTCAACCCCAACGTCGGGCTGCAGCTCAACCCGCAGGGCGGACATCGAGCGCATCTACCAGCACTACTGTGCGCAAAGCCAAAGCGCGACAGGCAATGGAATCTTGATGGTCGAGCGTTGATCATTCAATACAGAGTTCAGTATTCAAACAGGCATCTTCCCTCATGTCTACACTTGCTGGATCTATGTGCCAGCTAATCGGAACCATGTCGCACACCTCCCAAAGTTCTCAATATTGTCCATTCATGATACGACAGGGTTTGAATCAACATGGACTGTCCATCACAGCAACCCATCTCTGTGTCTCTGACAGACTCATCCCAAAGCAAGCCAGTTTCGCTTCGACTCTTTCCAGATTCGTTCTCGGTATTGATGATCATGGTCGGTGAGCAAAAGTTGGCGGGAGAAAAGGTCATGCGATCTAGAGCAGGAAATTAAAGTGTTCTTGTCAGGACTCGGATCGTGCTACAGCACGTAGCACAACGACACGATCGCGCAGAGTTTCCAAATTCGCGGGAACAACATAACTCGCCACATCAGCAGACGCGAGGCCATTCGCAAAGGACGCGCGGTCGGGATCGGGCTCAACCATGTTCCAATTACTCTTTAGCATGGCGGCAGCTGGATATAAAGCTTGGTGCCGTGATTTCCCTTGTCTCAGGAAAAAGTGGACGGACTCGGCCTCCATCACAAGCTGCGCACTATCGGCGTTGCTCGATACAAAATGTAGCTGATTGTCTAGAACGCGAATCGTGCATCCTTTGAGCAACTCGTCGGCGCATATTGGCTCGTCTTTCACATCGTGAGAGGTTTGATCAGGAGATGCGGCAGTTGGTGAGACTTGCACGCCCGCAAACCCTGAATAATGCACAGACACAGTGGTTAAATCAAAAGGTCAGCAGAGGATCACGGTCTGAGACCTATGTTTGCATTGCAACAGTATCATCATCTTGTTACCAGTCAAGATGGCCCAATGCGCCTTGTGCCCGCTTCGTAAACAGGGAGTGTGATTGCGATCGGCGTCATATCTGTTTCAACGCCTTGTTGGTGAGTATCACAATCCGTCAACAACCCCCGCCCCCCTCGGGCTTACAGGTTCACTCTGAATGCTGCGTAGGGTGCTCTTCGTTGAGACAATTACTCACGGAAAGAGGACCAGATTGCCTGCTACGAGTTCTTGCAGAATGGCGCTTAACGTCAAGGGCGTCAGCACTTTCGCCTGAACGGAACCATGCTGCATGGAAGCCAGCTCCGCCAGCCACTCTGCATAGAACATTTCACCATACGCGCTGTACTTGTGCTGCTTGGCCAGGGTGAGTATCCGCCAGCTGTCGGCATCCACTTGCGGCGGTCGCGCAGGATCAGCCGCCGCTAGCAACAAGCTTGGAGAGTCTGGCGCCTTGTCATGAGCCGATGTGCTTGCACTGCTTGTCAAGTATGATGTTCCCATTCCGAGCGCTACCATTCCGCACCTGTTGGCAAAATCAATCAGAAATGTTGTCCGCGACGAATGTTCAGCACGTACGGATTGAGCTTCGTTCGCGGCGACTTGACCACAACGACATGGATTCACGATTCGACAGCCCAAACTCACATTGGACCATGCTGCACGCGAGACGGCACGTTGCGGTTCAAGTACGACCACTGCTGCTGCGGTTGTTGCTCGAGTTGGTGGTGCTCTGCTTGCCAGTCACTCGCAGCGCGGACGACCAAGCGCCTCGTCTCGCTGTCAAACTCGGACGCGTGTGGCTGCCATTCAACATGGCGCGGCGGATGGCCGGCGGTTGATCCCTTGGTGCCGGGGGTTGTGGTCATGGCTGGGACTGGTGGGACTGAGACTGAGACTGAGATTGAGACTGGGACTGAGATTGAAGAAGCATTCGCAGCCAACGACATTGCACTGGTTGCAGGACGACTGAATCGCATCTCAATGGATGAGCAATATTGACTCGATCGTCTCTCTGTGTTGATCACACTCACTCAGCATTGAGGAGATCGAGTCTTTCACATTGGCCTGGCGATGGAACGCTCTTACGATCCATGCTGTTCCATGTCATCATTGCTAGACTCACAGATCCAGATGATGACACGAACATTGCTCCGTTGCGATTGCGTTGCCTCAAAGCGATCAGTCCCGTTTCCGTGTTAGTTGGTGCGAATCGATGACTGGTCGCATGGTCCACGGTGCACTCTGCCACCTCATCGCTCGCTCTGCTTCCACGCTGCTCATCCACCGTGCATGGCGTGCTCCTTCCATTGATCTGGCGCGACGCAGCGGCGCCGACCGAGCCTCGTGTCAGTCACTGAAGCGCTTCTTCGCTTCGACCACCACCGCGCCCTCGGCTGCCACTGCCGCTGCCACTGCCACTGCTACTGCTACTGCTGCGTCATCATTGTGGCAGCAACTCGGCAGGTACCGCGACTCGCAGGGCTCCCACGACGTGGTTCTCGCGCTTGGCTCCAACGTCGGCGATCGCTACGCCAACATCAAGCGTGCCCTGCTTGCCATTGAGCAAACGCTCCACGACCACAGCGACGCAGGTGGTCAGCATCCATTGATCACATCTGCATTGTATGAAACAGCGCCAAAGTACGTCGAAGACCAGCCCAGATTTCTCAACGCCGTCTGCAAGGTTTGTACCAACTGAGAGAGTTGCCAACTTGGAGCCATCCGCTCGTGTGCATGGGGCACAGTCTAGTCAACTTGGATTGCTTATGAACTGCACACTCATGACTGGTCTTACTTGATGAAATGGAACTTCAGATCCGCACATTACACTCGCCGCACGAATTGCTCGATCGTGTCAAGAAGCTCGAGCAAAATCTGGGAAGGCAACCGCGATTCCGCAACGGACCGCGTGAGATCGATATTGACATTATTCTGCACGGGTTGCATGTTGTTCGCGACGGTGACCATCTGGAGGTTCCGCATCCCCGGTTAACCGAGCGCGATTTTGTGCTCAAGCCTTTATGCGAGTAAGTGTTGTGTTTTTCGTGACAAGCGATTCATGATGGTTTTGAGTGCTGATCTTTTCTTCCCATTGCTTTTTTGGTCCTCTGCCCAGCATCTCCCCACATTTGGTGCACCCCGTGCTCGGCAAGACTGTGCAAGAGCTCTGCTCGGCTCTGGAGCAACGCACACAGGGGATTTCGCGAGCCGATGCAATGTATCGCGTGCTTCCTGTCGGATCGACCATGCTCCCGCTTGGTCGTCAAACACACGTTATGAGTATTATCAACACCACCCCTGACAGCTTTTCGGATGGCGGCAAGTGGACCAAGCCAGATTTGGCTGTGACACACGCGACCTCGCTTTTGGCAGCTGGCTCTGCTATTCTCGATATTGGTGGCCAATCTACCCGGCCAAATGCCGAGTACGTGTCGGAAGAAGAAGAGTCAAGACGAGTTGTACCTGTCATCACGTCCCTCGCGGCACACAGCGGCAAGACTCCGGTGCTACTGTCGATTGATACATTCCGTGCCAGCGTAGCCAAAGCGGCCATTCAGGCAGGTGCTCACATTATCAACGACGTGTCAGCCGGGACGATGAGCAAAGAGATGCTACATACGGCTGCTGCACTTCAGGTGCCCATCGTTCTGATGCACATGCGAGGTGACAGCGGTACAATGACGAGTCTGGCAACGTACTCCAATGATCGACCGATTGCAGAGCAAATTGCCGACGAGTTGCGAGAACGCGTCGCTGCTGCCGTCTTTGCGGGAGTATGGCGCTGGAATATTATTGTGGATCCGGGTATTGGATTTGCAAAGGCAGGCGAGCACAACTTTCCACTTTTGACGCAGCTCCGCCAGTTTGCCAAATGCATGGATGGGCTGCCCACGCTCGTCGGTCCGTCTCGCAAACGGTTTCTCGCATTGGCTGCGCAATCTCCCGAGCTCGACACACCCGAGCACCGACGCTGGGCGACCGCCGCCGCCGTAACCGCTTGCGTCGACCAGGGTGTCGACATTGTTCGCGTGCACGATGGGCCAGAAATGATTTCCGTTGCCCGTACTGCTGATTTGATTTACAATCGAGTCCCCAAGTGACCTCGAGGGGGGGGGGAGATGCTCCTTGTAGCCGAATACAGCAATCGCGGACGAATCCTTGTCAATGTTGGTGCTGCATCCTCCATTTCAACTTGTATTAACAAACACATAAATTTTGCAAGACAGTCTACGTTTTTCAGTCATTCTATATCTGTGTTTTGAGTGCGCGTGCGCTTTGTGGATTGGTCTGAGCCAATTGCATCTTCAGTTGATTCTAAAGCTCTGCTCAACATGCCCCCGCGTGGCTCCTCGTGCGTGCGGTCGCGGCGCATCTGCATGCTCACAGCTGCTACTGCAATACTGCTGCTGATCGTGGTCGGCTACAGTTTGATCTCAGGTGAGTTGACTGTGGCGGGAATGGAGTTCCACAGGGACCAACACTGGACGAGCCCGCCAATCCAAGATCGCCGTCAAACCAACGCTCTCACACACATAGGCAACATTGAGAGCAGTGCCTTTGTTGCCTCGGATCGGATCAGATTTGAGGGGGGGGGAGCAACTGTGATTCACTGCAAAGCTCAAATCCCAAATGGTGAATGCATTCTGAAACAGAGAGCGAGCTCAGTGCGACCGGACAGACGCCACGCCAGCGACTCCAGCTGCTGTTCAGACAACAAAGACTGGATGCGGCAGCTGCAGCAGCGGCGGACGGGGACCAGGCCGAGGCCATGGAAGAAGCCGAGCTGCTTCCACCGGTGCAAGCTCAGCCCGTCCACCTGCTTTCCGATCACATCCCGGCACGGATACCTCCAAACGATCGCGCAATATTGGTTACTGGCGGAGCTGGCTTTGTCGGGATGAATGTGGTCGCGCAGCTTGCGCGTGACAAGCACGCACACACGATTGTTGCAATCGACAATTTTGCCCACCCTGCCGTTTCGGACAAGTGGAATGCACGCACGCTGATGCAGGATCGTGCATTCAATATCTCCAGGATGCACGGAGTTGTTGTGGTCGATGGCGACATTTGCAACCGGCCATTTTTGGCGCGATTGTTCGACAGGTACCGCTTTACCGACGTCCTCCATCTAGCCGATGCTCGTGCAGGCCGCCATTCATCAAACCACACTGACGTCACAGTACGCGCCAATATCGACTGCTTTGTCTCGCTCCTGGAGACAATGAAAATGTTTCTGCATCCCAAAGAGTCGTTGTCGAGTAGTCCTGACTCTGGCAGCAACGTTCACCGCCTTCCTCGTCTAATATTTGCGTCTTCAGCAGACGTTTATGGGCTAAACGACGCCTCTAGTGGTCCTTCAGCGAGCTGGGCGCGCGTTGATCGTCCTCATAGCATGTACTCGGCAACAAGCAAGGGCGCAGAAGTCCTTGCCTGGAGCTACCACGCAACAACCGGCATCCCGATGATTGGACTCCGGTTGTTTTCTGTGTTTGGTGCGTGGGCCGATGCGAGCTCAGCACTCTCTGCGTTTGCGCGGGGATTTCTGTCCTCGAGCTCCAAAGTCACCTTGCACTCGCTCCGAGCCAAGGCCGGCGCCAGCACCACAGAGTTTCCCGAGCGAGACTTTATTCACATCTCGGACGTGTCCAATGCTGTCGTGCTTGCAATGAACGCCGATTACATTGATTTCGCTGTCATCAATCTCGGCTTTGGGCAACCAAGGTCGGTGAGAGACGTTGCAGCCCTCCTCGCGCAAGAGCTCGTGGACCAACTGGGAGGCAAGTCGTTGAACGACGAAATCACCATCGGTCCACTCCCGCGTGGAGAGCTCGCACGCACGTGCGCAGATACGCAAGACTTGATCATGACGCTGGAATATTTGCCAGCCGTCTCGTTTCGCGCGGGTTTGCAAGACTTTGTTCGCTGGTTTCTGTGGTACCACCACGTCAGCGCAGACCGTCGAACACTCTCCACGGAATGGGTCACACCATCCCCCGCAGTCGGCGAGTTTATCGCCAAGCTGGAGAGCGCTCGCGCCAAGCAACAGGAGAAGAGCGAGAAAATGATGGCAGCAACGATCGCAGACGCCAAGCGCGCTCGCATCGAGTCGGATCGCGCTCATCTCGTGGCTCTCGATCAAGCGAGAGGCGTTTCTCTACCCCTCTTGGACGGCCTGAGTACCAAATCGTTCGTCCTGGTTGAAAAGCTCTTTCCCCAGTCCGCAGACATGGTACTGCTTGATTTTGCAGTTGACCGACCAGACGAGCTAATCAAGGCGTGCAACCGGTACGATGAGTGCTTGGCATTCACCCCTCACGATGGCTATTTAAAGCATCAGCTCGGCGATATTGCCGCTGCCCAACCCGTCGATCCCGTTCGCGATACAAGCACGGGTACCTATGTCGCAGGTAAATCAACGTTCATTTGGATTGGATTTCTTGGCATGTTTTGCTCCCTTGGTTGACTCACTCGAACGCAATCCCGCCCCCCTACAATTGTTTTTAGCCATCAACCCTTGCGACTATGACTTGCATCAGTGCTCGCCGGATGCAACTTGCGACTTTCTCCAGTATGGCGCTTTCAAATGCAGGTGCAAACCAGGCTTTGTTGGAGACGGCATCTTTTGCTTTCCGCCAGCGGGGATACGAGCGCTGCGGGCGTCCAATGGCGAGCCTCTACCGCTCAAGCCAATCGAGTATCAGTTCCATCCAAAGATGGATTCGCCCGGCGGTGACCTGCTATTGCGCTACGCTCTGAAATTTACAGCGGCTGGCATGCTGATGGCCCTGTGTGACTCGACGCCCGACTGTCAGGGGTTTAACACCAACGGATATCTCAAATGGAAGATGAGCTCGGAGCAAGAGTTTGAGCTTGGTTTCCTTTCAGCAAGGGACGGCACCTACTCTATTGGTAGGACTTTTTTTGTGTTTTGATTGTGAAATGACTGAATGGCTTACCTGTTGCACAATTTCCCGGCCCCCGTTGTCATGTTCCTCCAGCGCAATCTAATTGCGAGCATGTGGGTCTCCATTGTACCAATGGCGCCCCTTGCCGCCGGCGAGGCCGAGACCAGTTTTACTGCCAATGCCAAGGAAGTGAAACGGATTGCTCTGTGCCTCTTCCACTCGCGGCTCCGACGGCAACAACGAGCTCAGAAAAAGTTGCTGCCCACAATGCCAACAACGATGCCACACAGGCCCGCTCTCCGATCCACGTCATTATTACAACGGATTTGGAGCACGTCGCGGGACTGGTTCCGCTCATCAACTCCATCCTGTCCAATTCCGCCGAGCCAGGCCGTCTGCAGATTCACTTGGTTGCAGCGCCCGATGCAGTCGACGCCATATCGCGAGAGCTATTTTGCACGGCTCTTCACGCTCGAATTCAAGTCCAAGACAACCCAGCCATGGTTGGCTTTAGGACTGCTGCTGGTCTCCGCCAAGACGAAAGCCAGGCCAGCATCACGATCACGGCCTTCTCGCTCACTTCGCGCCAAATCAACCTGATCAAGGTGTACGACAACAAGCAGGTGTTTGGCAACCTGGCCAGCCCAGCAAACTATGCGCGATTCTACTTGGCAGACTCATTCACCTCCCTTGACCGCGTCATCTACTTGGACGTGGACGTGATTGTGCAGCAAGATATTGCAGACTTGTGGAATACTTTAACCACCACAAGCAAACCGTTTGCGGCCCTTGAGCGTGCCACAAGCACCTATGGCTCCATCTTTGCGAACGAACGCGTCCATGCCTTGTTCAGCCAGCAGAATGCAAAGAAGATGGACTTATCTGCTGGCACCTTTAACGCTGGTGTGATGATTCTTGACTTTGTTGCTTGGCGTGCCGCGCAGCTGACCACCATGGCCGAGTTCTGGATGAAGCAGCAAGCACAGTCGCAGCTGTGGTCTCTTGGAACTCAGCCCATCATGCTCTTAATTCTGCACGGTCGCTGGGGTCCGTTCCATCCAAAGTGGAATGTCAACGGCCTCGGGTGGAAGGAGGACATGGACACTTGGCAGCTCGATGCTTCCAATGCTGCTCTCCTTCACTGGAATGGCGCACGAAAGCCATGGCTACCCAATGGCTTGTTTGCCGAGCGGTGGAGCCCGTACGTGCTGCAGGTTTGTGGAGGTCGGGCGCGGGGAGTCTGCGAGCATGCTTTTGCGCCTTCGACCGGGACGCCTACATGGTCGTGTGGCTGCTTCCCACCCTGGAAATCCCCCCACTGCACCGAGCAATGAGTACTCTTCGCCAAAGCCTTTTTCGTAGTGTGTTGAATTGATTTATTCGTGTACTATTCATTAAACTTTGTATTTCTACTGTACATGAACTTGATGAGCACAACCTTTTTGTTGTTTTTTCAAATCCAACGCTCCAGATGGATCTTTCGAGTTTCGCGAATCATTTGCACGCACAACAACAACGAAAATGCACAGCAGCCAGCGGAAATAAAAAACGAGGTCTGATAGCAGCTTTCGCCGTAGCAATTGTTCCCGTCGCCGACGATTTTATCATCGTACAAGGCAGCGGACATTGGGCCAAAGAGAAAGACGCCCACTCCAGCTGCCATTGTGGCGAGGCCAAAGTTGGTGCCATAGTGTTTGGCGCCGAAACTTTCGCGGACAAGCACTGCGTACTGCGAAAAGATACCGCCATCCGCCAGTCCGACCAAAACAGCGGCCAGATAGAGCAAATCCACCGTGCTCCATGCAAGCAGCAGCTGAGCACCCGTTACAATCACGACGGCCATCGTGAGGAATGAGGCACGAGAGAGATGCCGCGAAAAGTGGTCGGAGAGGTACCCAAAAATGACGCGGCTCACGACGTTGAGGACTGAAAAGACAATGACGAGATTGCCGGACTCGCCATGCTGCCCACCGTACGCCTCGTAGATGGAGCCGAGATTGTTGATGAAGAGCAGCGCGGCGCCCACAGAAATCATAATCACCGAGAAGATCAGCACAAACAGCTTGGTTCGTAGCACTTCCAGCGGCGTGAGGTCGGGTCGCTTGAGCAGATCAGCATGTGTTGCGCTCGCCAGCAGGATGCTTGAGGGATTGACCGATTTGTTGTTCGAGTAGCCTGGAACGGGGCGTTCGTCTCCAAGCAATGCCGCCTTGCTGCCGTCCTTTTCCGTATCGGAAGGGTACAACATTTCGTCTTGAGGGAGGTGTCGAAGGAGAAACAGACCACAAACGAGGCAGATGGCCGCTGTTGTGCAGGCAAGCAGGATAAAGTAGCCTTCGAGATCTGCCGAGTTTTGGTATGCCAGCTTGTACACTGCGCTGAAGATGGCTGCAGAAGAACCAAAGCCGGCAAACAAAAAGCCTGCCACTTTGCCCTTGTCTCGAGGCCGGTAGTTGCGCTCGTTTGCAGCCATCGCAGCAATCACTCCAAAGATGCCTCCTTGCCCAACGAGGGCCAGAATAGCGCCCATCAGCGGCGCCTTGCTCGGTGCCAAGTCTTGCCAAACGGCAATGTACATGAGCAGGTATCCAAGCCCAATCATCACCGCTCCAATGCTCGCCGCGACTCGAAATCCAAACCGGTCATAAACAAGACCTGCAGGAATGGAAACGTATCTACCATTCCATCAGAGCAAAAGTGAGCCAGACCAAACCAAACAAAAGTAAATCTGAGTGCGTTTGTCGCGAGCGTTTTGTTCCAAATCGCACACCCTTTCCCCCAATGCTCCAATTTCAGTTTTCAGGTGAATGACTCCAAAAGCCGAATCAACATTCGGACATTGGTGAATTCCCCGCCGCGATCGGATTTTGCCAAAACGAAAAACTCCCAAATTGTTCAGTTGTCTGGTGATCAACAAGCAAAGTTCAAGCTTGAGGCGCTTTTCGGTCTCACTTTCCAAAGCAACCATCTCGCTTGTGTCAAACAAGCGTCTGATGTCCCAAACCAAACGGAAGGAAGGCGAGACGGAGGGGGGGGGGAATTGGTCGTGATGGCTGGCAGAATTGTGCGCCTGGACGTGTCATGTGGTTGAATCTTGCTTGGCTCTGGGCAGCCACTGCGCAGTGCACGAACACACACACACACAAGCACATGCACACGTCCATATTGGCAGCGGGGGCTTCGGGGTTGGGCGAGTGGGGAGTGGTCGTCGGAGGTTGGAACCAGTAGTGTTTGATTCGCATTGACCAACTCCCAGACAGCGGATTGGCGGATTTGAGCGAGCGGAGGGGAGGACTTTTTGCTTGTGTGTCTGTTCTGCTTACAGGCCGACATCGGCGATGGATGTGATCAGATTGATGTCTGGCTCGGTGTAGTTGAGGCGCGACTTGATCTCGGGCGAGTACGCAGAGATGCCGTAGAGCGTCCCACTCATCACCATGATGGCAAACCCCGCAAGGAGCGACACCCATCGCAGCACAGTGACTCTTGTGCTATTGGTATGACTAGTGCTGTGACTATGACTGCTATTCATGAGTGCTTCTGTTGGTATGACTGATGAAACTAACTAAACTGACTGAACGTTGCTTGCTTTTCCAAATTGAAGATCTCAGACAAGAATAAAATTCAATGTCTTTGGCTGTATCATGCCAACCCCCGGTGCCTGCGAATGGATGAGTTTATTCCAAGCGAGATGTTCAAGCTACAAAAAGCTTCCGCTCAGACGACGCTCGTCCGACCAGAATTAGCAACGCCCATCCATTTCATTCATGCATATCTACTTTCACAATATCGAAACACTCGAGCTGTGAGCCTCATGTGCATCTACTCACAAAGTCAAACCTTTTGAGCTTGGAGTCTTTTTTGAATCTTTACAATGTCAAAAATCGTAAGACCTCGAAACCCCGAAGCGCATTGAACCGAGTGTGTACTGCATCTACTTTCACGACGACGTCCACCGCAAGATCTCAACTCCTTGACCATTGAGCGTATTGAAGCACCCCCTTTTTGAACTCGTTTTGCTGTTTCAGTTGCTCGCTTTTGTTCAGTCTTCTTCTTTTTTTTTTTCTTCTTCTTTCTCGTCATCATCGCTGCTCTTTTTTTTTTTTTTTTTTTTCATCGCTGCTCTTTTTTTTTTTTTTTTTTTTTTTTTTTTTTTTTTTTTTTTTTTTTGCGCAACCAAACACACACACAATGTCGCTGGAAGAGCAGCTTGCGACAGAGCGCGCGGCTCGCTCTCAGATGGAGAACGACTTTGGCATGCAACGCAAAAAGTTCCGCGACATGTACATTGGCCTCGAGCGCCAGCTGAGCGAGGAGAAGGCGCGGACGGGCGAATTGCTGGGCCAGCTGCAGAGCGCTCGCGCCCAAGTCCACCAAGCTCAAGCTCAAGTCCAACAACAAGCTCAAGCTCAAGCGCATGGAGGCAGCCACGCAATGACGATGGGCGCTGCGGACGTGGCGGCACAGCTCGAGCAGCTGCGGAGGGACAAGCGCGCGGCAGACGACGAGATTGCGTCCCTGCAGGAAGTCATTCGCGCAGCGTCCGAGACGCAGGAGCAGCTCACGCGGGACAATCGCACACTCGCTGGCACACTGGACCGCGAGCGCAAGGAGGCACGCGCAGTCCAAGACAGGATGCGTAGGGACGCGGACGAGCTCCGCGCCTTGCTCAACAGCCAGACGACGACCAGCGCAGCGTCGCCCTCACCGTCGCCGTCGTCGGGAACGTCGTTCAAGTTTGGATCGCTGTTTGGCGTCAATCCCACTGCTGCGACCGGCGCGTCTCACGGCCCGCCTCCTCGTCGAACGGGCGGGGCTTCCCCTGCTCCCTCGAAATCAGGTGCTGCTACGAGCAACGCGACGGTGGACCAGCTCTTGCTGCTGGACTTTGATTCGGCGCCATCGCCAGTGGCGACAGTTCAGCCAAGCATGGCCGGCGGGGCCGCTGCGTCAGATTCACGGCCAATGACGCCCTCGCTCCTCGAGCCAACCCCGCTCGATCCCTCTGGCAGCTCCAACGACTCTTCCGCCTCTTCTGCGGCGGCTCTGGTTCCTCTGCTCCGCCAGCAGCTGGATCAAGAGCGCCTCAAGTCGCAGTCGCTGCAACAGCAGGTAAATGCGCTCATGGAGCGAACCCGCGATGCGCGACAGGCGAATGGAACATCTCGTCCGTCTCGTGACGGGGGGAACGCAGGAGGCACAGAGGAGCAAGTCTCTGCATTGTTCACTCAGTACGAGAGCCAGATCCAATCCCTCATGTCGGAACTCGAAGGCGAGCGACTCATGCGCACCGAACTTCAGCAAGCGTACGCCTCCTCCACACCCCTCAGCCACAGTGAGTCGGCCCCGATTCATCGCACCAACTTTGACACAAACACGTCCAGCCCCATGCGCCCCGCGACGCGGCCCTTGTCCATCAACGCGGATGGCGGCACGTCGTCATCTTACGCGTCGCCCTACGGCTATCCGAATTCCAGTTATTCTTCGTCGCCCAACAATAGCTATGGTGGTGCGAACGGCATGTATCAGCAACAGCAACAACAACAACAACAACAGCAGCAGCAACAGCAACAACAACAGTACACCCAGCTGCAGATGCACGCCCAGCATCTCCAACAATCATTAAATGCATCCAATGCCGAGACGCAGCAATTGCAGACTGCGCTCGCTTTGGAAAAGCAGAACAGCGCTGATCTGCAAATGATGCTCAACTCGCTCAAACTGAACTTTGATGCCGAGAGTCAGCGGCTGAACGAGCTGACAACGAATTTGCACTCTGAGCGTCAAGCGCGCGAAATTGAGCTCCAGGAGCTGCGCGCAGAGTATCAGACGAGCCAAACAGCCCTCGCCCAGCAAGAGGAGCGCCTTGGTGTCAGCGAAGCTTTGCTGGAAAGCACTCGCGTGGCTCACGAAGAGAAAACGAGTGCGTTGCAAAACGAACTCACACAAGCCCGGCAGGCGCGGGAGACTTCCGAAGCAGCCCATCTCGCCGCTGCAGCTGCGCTTCAAGCTCATTTGCAAACAATTCAGGAGCGCATCACTGCTCAGGAGAGCACTATCGAAGCCTTCAAGGCGCTCACGGCTGCCGCAGTCAAAGCGGCAGAAGACGGCAAAGCTCTGCTCGAGCACAAGCATCAGGCGTTGCAGCAAAAGCAGCAAGTTCTGGATGCATTGTTGCTGCGCGCTCAGTCGGACGCTGCTGGCTCTACGCCTGCTGCCATACCCTTGCCTGTTTCTGTCACATCGACCAGCGCGTTGACGTCTGCCAGCGCATCCCCGCACCCGCCAGCATCGCCAGGATTAGACCATCTGGTCCCGACAGGGTCTGTGTCCTTTGCACTGTCCCAACCCACAGACGCACAACCACAGCTTCTGATTCACACACTCGAACAGCGCATCCAGCTCCAGATCCAGGACATTGCCGATTTGCACGAGGATGCGGCGCGTCATGCCAGCTTGACCGCCGAGCTCAAGGGCTCACTCGATATTTTGTCCTCCAAGCTAGCCGCGACACAGACGAGCCTCCTTGAAGCCCAGTCGGAAAATCAGCAGAAAACCCAACAAATAGTCTCCTTGAATGCTCAACTCGAGGAGGTGCAAGCGCGAATGGCAGGGCTCGCTCAGGCCAATCCGGCTGACACTCACTCCGCCGAGGTACTCGAAGCAACCAAATCGGAGCTCGTCTTGCTCAAGGAGCGCGCCGTGGCTGAGCGATCGGCTCGCGCTCAGTCGGAGCAGAACCTGCGCGCAGAAATCGAACGACTCGCCGTGCAGCTCGCAAAGGACGCAACCGTCGTATCACAGCTGGCCGACGAGCGGACTGCCCGCGAGACTGCCGAGAGGCTACACCAGGAGTTGGACCTGCTACTGCGAAACACCAAAGCCAAGTCCCGAGAGGTGATTGTCATGCTCCAATCTGAGCTAGATGCGGAACGGAAGGCCAAGCTGGAGCTCGAGCAAGAGGCGAGCCGTTTACGGGTCAAGCTGGACGAAAGCATGTACGTTCAAAGCGAGCTCGTCCAACAGTCAAAGGGGCTTGCCATTGCGCTCGAGTCCCAACGCGAGCAGCAGAACACTATTCGATGGGAAACGGATGAGGACGTGCATGCCTGTCGAAACTGCGAACAAGCGTTCAGTGGTACGCGTCGCAAGGTCAGCAGACGACGCATTCCTCGGCAGATGGAGTGTGAGAAGTTGGCGGGGGGGGGGCGAGGAGGGCGGAAATGCCCGCAGAAAGATTTTGAGGCTCGATACGAAACTCTGCGCTCATTTTTTTCCCCCCTTCTGCGGCTCACGTTGCGGGATGCTGTATTGAAAACGCTGTCTCACTTTGAATTTTTTATGTTTTTTTTTTCCTTTCTTGTGCTTGGTTGTTTCGCAGCACCACTGCCGACAATGCGGCCGAATCTTTTGCGGACAGTGCGTCAAAATGACGCAGCTGCCAAATTCTGCCGGCCTGGCACAAGTTTGTACGAGTTGCGTGAGCTCATGGACGATCAAGCGATTTGATTCGCGATCGTCCGGTCTGCAGTCTCCTGCCCAACAATAGCGTTATTCCTGCACATGTTGTAGCTTGGTTTGTTTGTTCGTGTTATCAAAAGATTTCTGCCATTATCGATTAACATCACAAGAATTCAGGGGGAAGGTGATTCAAACACGCCAGGCCTCTAGCCGCTCCTTCACGCTTGTTTGCAGAGCTTCTGAGAGGTGAGAAAACTGTTCAGAATGGACAACAGAGTCTGTCACGCAATCGACAAAACGACAGTGAGCATTGTGTGTTTTTCTTTTGACGAAAAGCAAGTCAGCCTATGAGCTCTCGTACCGAAAAACTGCGAAAAGGGCGCAGTCTGATCTCCTTTCTTGAAGCCATCGACAACTCGCTGATCCACAACAATTGGCAAGAACTCGTCCAAGAACTGCTTCGAGTACGGCGCATCAACGATCTCGACAACCTGGACATTCAGAGTGTCATCAACGAGGTTTTGTCAACCAGGTTGGTTCAGTAACAGACCCACGCTTCAGTCAACCCATGAAAACGAAAAAAACAATTACCTCGCTGGAAAAGTGTCGAATCAGAGACAAATCAACACGGTCCGAGACCAGACACTCGCGAGCAAACTTGACAATTGGAATGACATAGTCCAAGCTCAACAAAAAGATGCATCGATCAAAGATGGCCTTTTTCAGACTGAGCTCGACAAGGGCATCGAGATCAAACTCGGCCGCAAAAAGTTGTTGCAGTAACGCAAATACCTGCCCATACACAAACAAACAAACCAACAAACAAAACAAACAAACAACCGATCAGCAAAACACTTCGTGCAAGCACCGCAAGCACAACCAAAAACTTTAACACACCTTTGGACGATGCAGCGAGTGTTGGAAAGCAATCTCGTCCAGCACGGCCAGGTGCCATGGCGGCGTCGACGTGGTAAAAGAGTTACTTAGCAAATGGGTGCTGATGAGCGCAACCTCAATCCAGTACAAGACACACGCGGCGACAACAGGGAATGTGAGATGGGGACACAGCGCGCGCATGTCGGCTTGCAAGTCACTGCTGGAGGAATGCTTGTGGCAAATTGTGTGGGCAGCGTCCAGTGCGGCGTACGTCACGTCATAAAAGTCGAGCACACGCCGCACAGACTTGCCAGTAATCGAGCTGGTTGTTCGAACAGCGGTTTCAAGGTCCATCGGCAAGCCACCGTTGGTGGCGTCAGCCGAGTCGGTTGGGATGTCGTACACCGAGGCCGCAAAGGCCAAAATAGCCAAATATTTGCCACGGTGCTGAGGATTGACGGGTTTTCGCGGATCAAACAGAGCGCTGATCAGGATTGAGAAGAGATCGGGATCCCGCAACAGCTCGATTGGTGGAATCAGGGTAGGATCGACGGGAGGATTGCCGGCAGCCATCGTAGGGGCCGCGAGAGAGCCAGCGGTGGGTAAAGGCATGCCTGGCGCCGCCGGACAGTAGCACTTTGTCAGCGTATTGATGTCGCCAGGAGTGCAGCTCTTTGCGTTCAACATGGAGGCGACGGCAGACGTAACTTGCGGAAAGGCGGGCGAGCCATTCAGCACCAGCCCAACGTGACGGGCAATGCTGTCGTTTTTGGTGTCAACTGCGTACAACTGCACCTCTTGAAAGAGGCGCCGAAGATTGAGCGCATGGAACAGGGCTTGGGCGTAGAGGTAAGTGTGCTCGCCATGGCAGACTGTTTTCTGTGTTGTGGGACAAGATGCACACCAACGTGGCGCGTTGAGTAATGGCATTAGGCATGGCATTATTAGGCATGGCAAAAACAACGCAAAACCGAGCACCAATCCGGGCTGGGGCTGGTCTGGCGTACCACAAAGTCTGGCAGAGCCTCTTTAATGGCATCTTCATCCTGGCGAACAAAATTAAAGACGGAAAAGACAAGCACTCGACTAAATACGAGAGCATCTGTCGAAGCCGTGGCTACGCTGGCCATTTCTTCTTGATGACCAGCATCCGAGATTTTCTGGAATGCGCAAATGGCACGGTCGAGTCGAGTTAGCCGTGACCTGCTCAGGGAAGCGACTGTCGCGTCACCCAATTCAGGTAGCTTCATACCTTAATGGCATAGTTCAACAGCACTGATTCAGAATGTGCTTCAGACAGTTGGTAGATGAGCGAGCGCCAGGACGAATGCGAAATCATCATATCGAGCCACACAGGCGCAGTCTAACAGCATTTCCCCCCAACAAGCGAGAACAGCAACAGTGCGCAAAACCATGAGCATCCGAATTGGAATTGATGATACGCTGAAGGCGCGTGCAATTCGACTGTAATAGCAATCCGTTACCGAACTAGCGGTGAACTTGGTATCGACCAATTCTCTATCGAAACGGCTTAATGCGAACTGTTTCAGCTGCGATTCGAGCAGGGTCTGGATTTCAGCTTCCGGCATGTCTGCATCAACAACGACAACGACAACAACAACCACAACAGCCAGAACGAATTGCAGAGTTAGATTGCTTGATCAGAACTCAAACACTGGCCCCCTCTCCCACCATCACAGCAGTATTCGTTCGACGTGATGACGAAGGGGGCTCCAGCGTGAATGTTTGCACTTGGCTTTTTCAAAAGCCGTGCACGACCAATCCAGCAATCAACGAGCGCTGGGTTATTGCGCTGTTACCTGTAAGCTTGAGCCAGTCCATGAGCAAGTTGCACATTTGCGCAAATCCTTGGTAGTTCTCGGACAATTCTCGGACGACAGCAGCGGGCGGTCCTCGCAATCGCATGTACCTGCATCAAACCCCCGAATCAATGGACAGTGGCATTGCATTGAGAATTTGCATAGATCTCGCATTTTCCCGCCAATTTCAGCGACTTCCCGCTCAAAAATCAAAAAGCAGCGCGCAGGTTTCCCCGCTCAGAACAACAACAACGCAACGACTCAACTGCTTGATGTTTGGGAGCAGAGTGGACTCCATGATGGCGTCTGGCGTGGACATTGAGCGCAGGATCTCATGCTGCTGCTCCTTCTCGGTCGGCGGCGGTGCCACTGCGCCAGAGCCACCGCCCGTGCCAGATCCAAACCCAGATCCAAACCCAGATCCAGACGCAGATCCAGCGACAGCAGAGTGGGAGTGGGCGTTGAAGCCGCCGGGCGCGGTCGTCCCTTCCAAGCCATTGCTCTGGCCGCTGGCACTGTGGTCGCCGCTCGTGTCCATCGGCATCGCGTACGTGGTGTTCATCATGAATGCAAAGCCAGAAAGGCAATAATGGGGTTTGGGGCTGGAAACGTTGTGATTGAGTGGACGACGACGACGACGACGAGGAACTGAGAAAAAAAAAAAACAACAAAAAAAAAAAAACAAGACTGAGCGGTTCAGACTCAAAACGTCACCATATGATCAGGATGGAACAGAATATATATTGAGAGGATCCATACATTGGATTCGCAGAGGGAAGGGGAGGGGGGAGACAAGATTGTACACAAGAAACCAAACAAAAATCGCAGCAAACTGCCATCCTCATGCTCGGTTGACACGAGAGGAGCCTCGATCAGCAGTCATGCGAGGACGAACAGCCACGCAAAGTTGGTGCTGGCCTTGGGCCTGCTCGATCAAATGACGATTGACAATCACTTGGGCGGAGCCTGGCGGCAAATCCATAATTTGCTCAAACTTCAAGTCACCGAGCGGCAGCTTGGCGTCGAGATAGGTCAGCCAGTCGTGCGAATGGAAGCGATGCAGCATTGCTACCGATACAAGCTCGAGCAGCTCGGGAGCAAGCGCCTTCGGCGACTGCGTCGACACAATCACGCGCATGCCGTCGTGGCGCATCAGGCGTGCCGCATCGACAATGGCATTGCTGAGGCCGTCCGTCGAGAGACCGTTCATGAACTTGTGCGCCTCGTCCAACGCAAGAATCTTGCCGCCAGAGACGTGGGCCGTGCGGAATTGCTCGGTGAGCACTTGGAAGATGCCGTTCGCCTCGTCCCGCGACAGAAGCGGATCGGTCAGATCAGCGACCACAAGGCTACCGGGAGCAATGCACTGCAAGAGATCTGCGCCACTCGCGCGTAGGTCTTGGTTTAAACTGCTTTCGGCCACCATGGCCTCCAAAAACGAAGCGCGTTGTTCGAGGGCACCGCCTTGCCCTGGGAGCTGGCACTTTTCGCGCACCTGCTCCATAAACCCTTGGAAGTCAGGCGTTTTGTTATCGCGCTGATAACGACGCAGCAAGTCCAACATCGAAGAGACGTAAAGCTGGCTGTCAGTGTCCTTGATGCGCATCAGCTTCTTGATGTGATCGGCGGAGAGCGTGCTCCAGCGGAACAAGAGCGGCTTCACCGTGCAGTACGCGCCATAGAACTTGCGACGCTGGTGGTAGTAGCTCGGGGAAACGAGGACTACTAGCTTGTCGCGAGGAAGCGCCGAGATTTGGAGAGAAGGATCGGGCGAAATCAACCCGGTCGCCTCGCACACGCTCGCAGTATTCTGATCATAGTGCAAAACCAGCCCTGCCATGGGGCGGTTGAGCCGAACAATCTCTCGACCTGCGGGGTGAGGATTCGGCACGAGACAATTTTCAAGAACGACCGACATGGTGTGGCTCTTGCCAGCACCCTGCACGCCCACTGCCACGAGACAAAAGGGCTCGTGAGTGTTGAGAAAGATTTCATTGGCACCTTCTTCGGGAGTTTCGTCGACATTCTCGCCCTGGTCGTTCGCCGTGCGATTCGGCCGGTGCATGCCGAGGTAGGCCGCTTCGGCAAACTGCTGGCGAGCGCTCATGCGGTCTCCGAGCACAAAGCCAATCTTCTTCTGCGAAGGCGCGGCCACGGGAGAGTCAAAGAAGTGGCGAGTCAGCTTTTGTTCGAGCGTGAGCGGGGGACCCGCTGAGGGCAGCATGCCAGCCGAAGGGTTGAATACGTTGTGGCTTGGCACGACACCTTCTGTGCCGTTGCTAGCGTCCTCATAGATGCCACCGCGTTGAATGACCTCGTCATACGTTCGGACATCGACAGAAGCGTCTGTCGTGGCAACCACAATCGCTGGACGCGCCTTTTTGCCTGCAGAAGCTGGCGTGACTGGCGTGACTGGCATGGCTGGCATGACTGGCTTGGCGGGCGACTGTGGGACTTCGGATGGCCCTGCGAAGGAGCCATTGTACGTTGGGGCTGTGACAGTGGAAGGTGCACCGGAAGCAGCTCGAGCGACAGCGCCTGGCTTCGGCGAGAAGGTGCACGCTCCACCCATCGGCGTGTGAGCGATGCGTGCATCGCTTTGCATCAAGAAGATGACACGGAGCCGGAAGCTCTTTCGCTCCGGCTCAGACAACGAAGGCGGAGGGGCAATCTGACTGGACTGGAACGCCTTCCCGGCGAGCACTTGTGCAATGTACTCCTTTGCGAGCTTCTGTGCGATTGCCTCGAGGTTGAGCTTCGGCGGCGGGGGTTGCGCTGGAGTACTAGCAGCAGCAGCAGCAGGAGCGACTGCGACTGAGGGAATTGCAGCAGGAGTGAAGAAGGTTGCCCCATTGACCGTCGACGCAGCCAGCTTCTCGTTCTGCTTCATGAGGTAGACGACGCGCTGGACAAACAGCGCTGAGAGGTCCTTTGGGATTGACGCCGGGACGACAATGGCGGAGGCGGGAAACCCCAGTCCACGTGCGACGATCTCGTTGGCGCACATTGTCGCGAGCCGCTGCGCTTCAACCTCAGCAGGGCTGGCGGACGGCTCGGCGGACGACGCAGCAGCAGCAGCAGCGACTTGGACCATGGCGAGCGGAAGGAAGGAAGGAAAAGGGAGCGAAAGTGGAGAGAGAAGAGGGAAAGTCTGGTAGAAAGACTGAGACCAAACCAAACACAAATTCAGAAGAATAGAAAACACGGTACTCCAATAAAAGTACTCCAACTACAACCAATAACCAATGGAAGGTTCGTTCTCGTTCTCTCGGTGAGTGTACTCGCATCATAGGAGGACTTGTTTGATATGGACTAGGGTACAGACAGAGCGGAAGAGGCGGGGATGGTTGGAAAATAAAACAGCAAGAAGCTTTAATCGGCAGTTGCTGATTGAACAATCGTAGGTGCACTGTGAATCACTGCCAAACAATGTCGCAGTTAAAAAGACTCGTGTCAGACAGACAAGGGTTGACATTGCCATCATCAACGAGCGCGGAGATCTTGACCCGCTCCTCCTCATCAAAATACAAAACCAAAAAAAAAAAAAAAAAAAAAAAGTCGCAATCACCGCATGTCTAAACTGCGATCGATCGACCAGTGTGCTGGCAAGTGCTGTGGGCGCAACGACTGAACGAATGCTCGACGCCATCGACGAACAAAGTCGAGCAGAGCGGCATCGGTCGAAAGTCGAGCAACAACTAAACGACCATGATCCGCTTCATCATCATCATCATCATCATCATCCTCATCATCATTGTCGTTGTTGTTGTCATCGTCATCGTCATCGTCGTCGTCATCATTGGCACGGATGGCGCCATTGTCCTTGCCACTATCGCCATCCAGACGACCGGAGTGCGGTGCACCTTCTCCTTTGCTCAGATTTGGTCGTGACGCGTCAGAAACGGTAGAGTCGGCCAGCTCCTTTTCACGAGCGGCCTTCCGTCCCAACCGCTCACGAGCGTCTTCAGGATGTTCACGGCGACCGTCACGAAGTCGAACCTTGCGCGCCGATTTGCTTTTGCTCAAAATGGAATTGGCCACATCCACGACTTGCTGCAGGTGTTCCAATACTTCGGACGATGTTGACCACCATGAAGGCAGAAGATCCGCATCACCTTCTTTGGTTGCAGCAAGCTGTGTAAAGGCGACATGACCCAGCAGCTCCGTCGTCAAAAGTTCAACTCGTGCCGGCGGCATGTTGTGTGAGTGACCATTGAGAGCCGATCCCAGTCGGGCAATGCGCTCGACACGCTGTTCATATTCTGTCAGCGGTGGCGAGGTCTGCCGCAGGAGAGCGAGGAGAAGAAGCGTGATTTGATAAACAACAATGGATCGATCGAAAACAAATCATGAGCAGAGTCCCCGAACTTGTTTCTCGCCACGTCTCTGCCTCATTTGATCTGCACGAGTTTTTGCCATCCACGTATCTAACTTACATCGACGGGCACGCCAAACTCCTTGGCGAGCTGTTTCATGACTGCTGCGCGAACGGGATCCAACCGTCGAATACAAGCGCCGCACAGCCTTAGAACGTCATGTGCAGCATGAGACTTGTAGATGCGTGGAAAATGACGGCGGTACAGCGACGGAACGACGTGGCAGCGGTAGATGGTCGCTGGCGGCGGGTCTGAGTTGTCCCCTGAGGCAAGACCGCTCTGCGACGCTGCCGGTGTTTCAGCTTCGCGGACGGCGCGCGCTACATGGCGATCGAACGCGCCACACACAAAACACCGGTTTGGCAGGGCCTGCAGGTAGAATGGATCGTTGACGCGACCAAGTCCCTTTGGAGTGAATGTGAGCCGAATCGCTCGCGGGCCGGCAGTCCCGGCCGCAGCAGCTCCCGCGGCAGTGGCATTGAGCAGTGCTGCTGGACTTGATTCCAAGGCGGCAGGCTGCAACGGGCGTGCAGCGGCGGCCTCGTCACCTTCGGCAACGTTGGGATTGAGCTCCTGTCACACCAATACAATGTCACTTTGAGAACTTGACAACCTCCCAAGCTTTGATTTCACTGGAATCAACTCGAAGATGAAGCATGATGCAAAACCACTCGCTGGGTTGGACGTACGACGGCCAAGGAGCGCTTGAGGTACCAGTTGAGCTTGCGATCGTCGCAGAGGAACATGAGCTGCCCAGCGGCTGAGAACACGCGGTGGTTGGTATAGATTGCCTTGATTCCTTTCGTCAACATGAGGAGATATCTTGGAGGGGCAGCAGCAGTATTCGATCACCGTAGATGGTGAAAATGCAGTCTAAAAACAAACAGAGTCGACACACAGACTAAGAAGGACGACTGAGATACAGCTTCTTTTGAATAAACAAACGTCCGTTAGCCTTTTTGCGACCAGGGTTTTGCCTGTTGGTTTTTGAGCAAAGAACGAACCGATCTGACCGACCCCCCAAACGACAAGTGCGGGCAGGGCAAACCAAAGGGAAAAACGAGAAACGATTCAGAGCTGCTTTCTTTCGTGTCCCACTCCGACTGCTACTTGCTTGCGGTTTCTTAGACTCTTTTCTCAGTCTCTTTTCTCAGTCTCTTTTCTCAGTCTCTTTTCTCAGTCTCTTTTCTCAGTCTCTTTTCTCAGTCTCTTTTCTCAGTCTTCCCTTTTCCCCCCCTTTTTTTGTTCTCTCTCTGTGTCTTTCCTCTCGCTCCACACCACACATCCCAAATGGCATACAAGGCCAAGCTCAAGGCCCGGATTGAGCTTCCGACGAGCGAGCAGAGCCTGCCTTCGCCCTTCCTCCTGTCAGCAAAAGCACAGCACCACTTCCCCCGACGACTTCACCCCGACCTCGCTCTATCGCTCTCTTCAACAAATCAACCCCTTCCAAACCCCTCCCCAGAATGCAGCACCAAGCAGCGGGTTTGCATTGTGTGTTGTGTGTGAGCATCGTCGCGTCATGCGAAAAGCGTCAGTACAAGCCTTCGTTCGTCACAAGCTCGAGCTCGCATTCTCACTGCGATCTGACTCCACTGTTTGCGAGGCTTCAGTGCTGCTCTGGGCTGCTGTTGAGCCGAGGGGAGGCGGCTTTGGGTTCTTGGGCGGCTTCGATCTGGGTTGGAGCGCACGTCTCTTCTGTTACCAAAGTCACACGTCCCAGGCTCACTTCCACGCTCTGCCCGTGTGTCGCTCTGTCATTGGTGCGGAATGTACAGGACCTCAGGAACGTTCCAGGAAGGCGGCGTCACAGTGTCCAAGCATGGCTTCACGTTCGAGCCAGAGAAAGGTCGGTCATAGATCCGCGCTCAGCAGCAGATGCCGTTCGTGATACGCCATCGCAATACCTACAAGCACAATGTGGATGAGTCGCAAAGACAAGCAGACAATAATCCGGCTATTTCGCGTTCGTGTTGCGGAACAAAAAAAAAAAAAGAGTTTTTTTTACTCAGCAATCTCTTCGTTCCAAAAGCAGCTTGTTTTTAGGGTATTGAGTGTGGAAATTTGTGTGACTTACCCCAGTGTCTGATACTTCTATGCTTGGATCACCTTTTGCCAATACGGAATTTTGTGGACTCCATCCTCTGCCGGGGGCATACGCAGTCGGAACACCGACTTTCAGTGGGCAATTCGAGCTGGAACCGCTTCCAAGCACTGGCAAGTCGTCCTTTCCCCTTCCAGCTTTTTTTTGTTTTCTGCTTTGTTCTGGTGTTTTTGTGGTTTTGATTTTGAGTTCTGTGCCATGGAAACCTCACCTGCCTTTTGCATCCTCATAGGCATCTCAAATTCCCCGTCCTTGGATAGCTTCAGTCGGCTTGGAGCAGCCCCTCAGTCAGACCTCCACCCAGTTCCGTCTTCTGCGGACAAAGCCCTGCCCGCGAGCACAGGCTCGCCTGGTGACACGTACCATGATGACATGGCGGACGAGTTTTGCTTTGACATGCCAAACACGCAGCAGTCGCCAGCGCACAGCTCATCGTTACCATTGTCGCCTGCACCCAACGTCGCTCATGGCCACCGCCACAGCTACTCGAGCACAAGCACGTCGTCGCTGCGCACCAGCTTGCAACACCTTGCGGTGACTCGTGCAAGATCTACCTCGTCTTCGTCTCTCTTACGCCAGTCCGGATCTGGAGCTCCTGCACCAGCATCCCACTCCCCTGCAGCCGCTTTGGCAGACACATCCGCTGCACAAAGGACTCATGGTCACCAGTATTCTCGAACGATGAGCTACGACGCCTCGAGTGGCCGGCCGTTAGGCGAAGACGTAGGAGCCTCCAGCGGCGCTCCGTTGACTCGTGTCGCTTATCACGGATCGGGCTCCAATCTTGCGCGAACCGCCACCGTCAGCAACCACCCCCTTGCACGCAGTGCCTCGTCTGATGGATTGCTGCATGAGCTCAATGACGAGTTTGTTGAAGACGAGCCGGCGCAATCGTATTCGCCTGCAATTTCGAGCTATTCCAGCTTCAATCCCAACATTCCCGCCAATGTTGCGCGCACGCTCATCCAGCTCGAGGGCCGGGATCCATCGGTATTGGGGCGAAGAAGCAGTGTCATTCCAATCGAAGAAACCGGATACTACACTGGTTCGGCAGCTCAGAGCAGGCTTTCTTCGCATGTCAGTCTGACTCAAACCAGTGCGTCCAGCTCTCCAACAGGGCCCAATCGAGGCCCAGCAATCCCACCGACCCGCCCCCCTTTGGCAGAGGTCAGACTTGAGGATTTGGATGTGGTTGGCGTTATTGGTCGCGGAAGCGGTGGCGCTGTGCACCGTGCACTTCATGGTCCTTCAGGGCAGACCATTGCGCTCAAGGTACGGCCGTTGCTCTGGTGGTAGAGATGTGTTGTTCTGAAGCCATGCAAACGGGGCTCGAGGCGGCCTTGGCCCTTTTGCAAATGTTTCACTTTTCGATTTGGGTTTTGCTCATTGAATTCTTCTGCGTTTGAATCGGATTGTCGCGCGTAGGTGATTCCATTAGATGTCACCGATAGAATCCGAAAGCAGATTCTGCTGGAATTGCGCACCTTATACGAGGCCAATTGTCCGTATGTCGTGCGATTTCACGGAGCGTTTTTCCATGAAGGCTCCATTTCCATCGCGCTCGAGTACATGGACGCCGGTTCGCTGCACAGCGTCGCCGAGGCTGCAGAGGGTGGTATTCCGGAACTGGTGCTGGCCAAAGTTGCCGAGCAGGTGTGTGAGCATCACAAGATTTTTTTGTTAAAAAACAAACCCCCCTGCGCGTTTCTTTTCCACCCCATGATGACTGACTCACATTGAGACTCGCTCCACGTTTTGATTCGACAGATTCTTCACGGCTTAGTGTACCTGCACAAGGAACGTCACGTTATTCATCGCGACATCAAACCCTCCAATCTTTTGATCAACCGGCAGGGACAAGTCAAGATTACAGACTTTGGGGTGAGCGGGCATCTGGCCACTTCCATTTCGAGTTGTGTGTCCTGGGTGGGCACCATCACGTACATGTCTCCAGAGCGAATTCGAGGGCATTCGTACTCGGTCATGTCCGATATCTGGTCGTTCGGGCTGTCCATGATGGAGCTCGCCCTGGGCCATTTTCCATTCCCTCTGCCATCTGCCAACGACGGCAGTCGGCCCAGTGGCAACAACGAGGAAGACCGGCAGCAGATTGACTTGGAAGCGTCCGGTTCGGTGCGGTTTTTCGAATTGCTCTATCATATTGTAGAGCAGCCCTCGCCAACGTTGTCTTCAGCAACATTTTCGCCCGAATTTGTCCAGTTCTGCGCCGACTGGTAAGTCAGCGTTTTTTTTTTTTTGTTTGGAAGGTGATTGTGGCGGACCACATTTTCCTCTTCATTTCATTTTTCATGTGTTTTTGTGCTTGTTTCAGTCTGAACCTTCAAAGCGTCCAACTGCGCAACAACTCTTGGGATCGCCCTTCATTCGCAAACACAAGGCCACCGCTTTCGACTTGGGTGAATGGGTCTCGCAACGCAGCCGGCCTTGAGTTGTTCCGTCGATCAAGCAGAAGAAGAAGAAGAAGAAGAAGAAGCGGGGTGTGTTTTGTCATTTTGTTATTCTAGCTGCCTTGTAATTTAAATTTTTACATTTTACGAACGCACTCTGATGCACCCACAAAGCGCATGGACGAAGCGAGTGTCGTCCATCACCAGTCACGTTTTTTTTTTTTTTTTTTTCCAGCATCTCTTGGCTTTTGACAGCACTGCTGGTACGCCTTGAACTCCCAGCGCTCGTTGTGATCTGCATGGTGCTTGCAATCTGAAGCGTTCAACGAGTGATGCCTCAGGGTGATCCTTGGGGGAGCTTGAGGGGAATGACATGTAGATCGGGGGGTTGGTTGCGAAGCGAGGAGTGGGAAGAGTGTGAAGAGTCAGTCCCAAGTCACGAATTCACCGTTTTGCTTGGCTGTGCTCGTCGCTGACACAGGCAGATCCCAAAGCCAAGTCCAAGCCAATCGCCTCTATGACTCTGATCCAGCGCGAGTTGTATGATCGAGTCAAGAATAACGCGATTGGATTGCTCAGGTAAGAGAAAAGAGATCCATTTTGATGGGGAAAAGCAAAGCACAAAAAAAAAAAAAAAAAAAAAAAAAAAAAAAAAATCGCGCATGCTAACAAAATAACGGCAGTTTGTGGAGGGAGCAGATTGGCGATGCTGGAGCAGAAACGATTGCCGAAGCGCTCAAAGAAAACCAAAAGGTGGTCAAGCTCATGTAAGTCGTCTCAGTATTATGGATGCTAGCGGGGGGGGGTGAGATAGTGCTCGCTGATCCTGATCAATGGACAGTTTGGGCGAGAATCGGATTGGCCACGTTGGGACACTCGCGATCGCTGAGGCAATCCGAGTGAACACGACACTGACTCAACTCAGGTGAGTGAATTTCATGCTCGCTCAGTGCAAATGCGAATTGCAAGAGTACTGACTTGGGTGGACAGTTTGAATGCAAATCACACTGGCGATCTCGGCGCTCGAGCGATTGCTGAAGCGCTCGTTGTGAACAAGTTTCTGCAGAAGCTCTTGTAAGCCTTGTCACAAGTTGCAGTGCTAGTGGCATCAGTGCACTTTGAGAATGCGCACTAATCCGAGGAGTCAAACCAGCCTTGGCGACAATCAGATTGGCGATGCAGGAACGCGAGCCATTGCCGAAGCACTCAAAGTGAACAAGACGCTGACCTCGCTCAGGTGAGTTGACCAGCAGATCTCTGGTGATGATGCCAAGGAATTTATGAAGCCGATTACTGTTGCTCACGGGCGGCGAGGGGGACAATCAGCTTGGAAAGAAATCAGATTGGCAATGATGGTGCACAATCGCTTGCTGAAGCACTCAGGGTGAACACGACGGTAACCAGGCTCGAGTACGTCAACGCTCAGTTGCTGATGCTGATGAATGAGGGATACAGCATGCTGTGGACATTGAAGGTGCTCAATTGGTGGAGGGTCGGATAGCTTGGAGCAGAATCAGATTGGGGATGCAGGCGCTCGCGCACTAGCGGAAGCACTCAAAGAGAACACCACATTGACGCTTCTCGAGTAAGTGGCTGTGGCTGCCTGCTTTGTTGGGGCATTGAGAACCAGGCCATTTTTCTCACTCGTCATCCTGCTCGCAAACAGACTGAATCATAACGCGATCGGGGACGCTGGCATGGAGGCGGTTTATGATGCATGGGACGTCAACGCCACTGTGGAGGATACTCGGTCAGTTGCTCTTTTCTTGTTCAAATGTAGGGAGGAGTTCGGAGGCTATACTGTCCACCAACGGCGCATCATCATCCTGTGGAATTTTGGAATTTGGTGGCGGATGCACAGTTTCGAGAATCCTCAGATAAGCCCCCTTGCACTTGCCATGATTCCACGATTCACAACTGCCGAGGACTCTCAGACCGTGTTTGGCTTGCTAACCCGCGGTCTAGAGCTGGAGAATCAGTCTGCTTGCCTGCCATTACTGCCAGACGAAGTTGCCGAGCGGATTTTGGACGAAGCCTGCTACTGGCCGGGCGTGCAGCGAACTGAACGCGCCTGGTTTCATGAAACAAACCCCACGTGGTTTCTGAGAGTCACAGTGCCCAAGAACACCACTGGAGACTCAATCCGTGTGAAGGCAATTCAAATCGTCCGCGAGAGGAAGCGCTCGGACAGCGCGATTCATTGGGTTGTTCGCGACGAGCTAGGTGCTGTTCGATACGAAGGAGCAGTGATTCCAACGGTCGTCGGCTCGACCATCCAGCTGCTGACAATTCGGGCAGCGGACAATCCTCACATCCGACAAATGCGCGAAGGATGGGAGGTGCTCGTTCGACCCAGCGAGTATGCTCGAGACGTGCGTTTCGAGTCGCTTTATGTGGGCTATATATAGTCGACAATCGCAATCTTTTAGATATCATCATCTCAGATGAAACAAACACGACCATTTTTGATGTCCAGCTGCCCGTTTGTTCTCGTTCTTTTCATTCCCTCTGTCGTCGAGCTCTTCTTTGACTCAATTAAATTCCTGCTCGTCCCATCCTGCCCCCCTCCCCGCCTTTCGAGTACAGTAGTTCAGCCCCGACCTCAATCCATTCTGATTCTCGTTTATTCAATCCAGCTTTCTCAAAATTTTGCTCCAGTTTTTTTTTTTTTTTTTTTTTTTTTTCGCTGTGATTCCATTGCCAATCTCCCTTCATTGTGATTGAACCAATCTGCGGCCCCCTCTCCCGTGATCTCCATTTCCACTCCGACTCGCATTCAACACGCCCGCATCCATGTCTGACGTGTCATCCCCGCGTCCCGGGAAGGCCGGTGCGTCTGCTGCTGCTGCCGACGAAGGAGCGAGCAAGCCAGTCTACGGCGCCCAGTTCCCGCCACTGCATCGCGGCGGCCTCGCCGGTGCGACAGGCAGCCAGTCCGGCAATGGACCCAGCGGCTCAAGCAACGGCTCGCTGGGCGGCTCTGGCTCCGGCTCCGGCTCGGGCACTGGCACTGGGCTGTCCGGCGGCGCATCGGGCGTCTTTGCGTCTGTGCTGCACGCCGTCAGCGGGGCCACGGCCAGCCTGCGCAGGGGCAACACCAAGCCCGCAGTGCCCTTCGACGACTTCCAGGACGCAGCTTGGAGCGCTGACACGCCCGGAACGCGGACTCCGTCACCCAGCACGACGTTTCCACCAAGCCACGTCAATGCTGCCGCTCCTGCATCGCCCGGAGCAGTTCGCAACAACCCGCCGTTCGCGACTGCTAGTGCCGCTGCTGGTGGCTCTGCAGGAGGTAATGCATCCACGGGCAGCGCAGCTCCACCGACCCCGAGTTCCTCCTCAGCGTCTGCAGCCGCCAGCAAGCCTCCCTCAATTCCCTCGACGCCAACTGCGCGAGCGAATCCCGCGCAGATCACGAATCCTGGTAGCAACCAGCCTCATGCCTCTGGCCCTGCGACGACCGCCTCCGAGTCGGACGGGCGAGGGACCATCTCACGCCAGCAGTCGAGCGACAGGCCTCCCATTCCTCAAACGCCAGGCAAGGCTGGATCTGCTGGAAGTCAGGCAGAGCTGTCGGCCGAGCGAAAGGCCGGGCGCTTGGAAAAGTTCCGTAAAGTGCTGGAGGCACCCAATGTTGATTTAGGTGAGGGGTTTCGAAGGAAGGATGATGGCAAGAGTGTGCTGGCGGATGTCCGGAGTGTGTACGTGTTCGTTTCATTTCATTTGGGTGTTTTTTTTTCCGGTCCATTGATTACCTCAGATGCGCTTAAAAAGCTAAGTTGGTCTGGTATTCCGATTGAAGTGCGGCCGACCACCTGGCAGCTCTTATCGGTGCGTCCATGTCGTTCTTTCGTTCCTGTGCGGTTTGTGTGCGGGCCTCGTTGCAGCTGTTGCTCATAATTTCGAGTAACTTCCTCTCTCCGTTGGGAACAGGGCTACTTGCCTGCAAATAGCGACCGGCGCGCTCAAACTATCCAACGCAAGCGAGACGAATATCGTGGCTTTGTTCAGCTTTACTTTAGCGAGCAAAGCAAAAAGAACAACCAAGCCTTGTATCGACAGGTAGAGCTGCAGGCAGAGTGTATTACGTGCTGCAGAGATGGACCTGGCATTTATCATTCTCATTCAAACGTCATTGCCGCAGATTCATATCGACATGCCCCGAACCAATCCCGATGTTGTCCTGTTCCAGAGCGAAAAAGTTCAAGAGGTATGCCTCGCTTGGTCCAGCTGTTCATTTCTCGCCATTGCCGCCGTTTCATGTGATGTGACGATGTGCTGATCTTGCATCCTGAATGTGCGACGACAGATCCTTGAGCGTATTCTGTATATTTGGGCGATTCGCCACCCTGCCAGTGGCTATGTCCAGGGCATGAATGATCTCGTTACGCCGTTTTTCACCGTTTTCTTGACGCCACATGTTGGAGGTACGAATCCACATCTCTGCTCAAACGAACTCTTAAAGCTTTTGTGCTTAACAGGCGTCTGGAACTTTTGTTGTGCTTTTCTTCAGATGCCGATGTCGAGAGCTTTGATATCTCGTCTCTCCCGCAGGAAGCTCTAGACGTCATTGAGGCAGATTGCTTTTGGTGCTTGAACAAGTTCCTTGATCACATTCAAGATTTTTATACGCTTGCTCAAGTCGGAATTCAGAAACAAGTCATGCTTCTGAAGGAAGTTGTGACGAGAGTGGATGGTACAGGCACACTTTTTGTCCTTTATTGGCTGCTTTGCTTGCTTTTTGCTCATGAGGTTTTGGTTCGTCCCACAGCGCCATTGAACGACTTTCTTCAGAGCCACGACATTCAGTACTTGCAGTTCAGCTTCCGTTGGATGAATTGTTTACTGATGCGCGAGCTTCCACACCGTTGCGTTGTCCGGATGTGGGACACTTATGTGGTATGTGTGAAGGACGGGGAGTTTCAGCGTGCATTGAGCCTTGTTGGCATGGCTCTCACCCAACATCACCTTTCTTTGTTGTTGTCTGTTTTGGAACTTGTTCTCTAGGCCGAGGGAGATAACTTTGCGCAGCTCCACCTGTACGTCTGTGCGGCATTTTTGGTCAAGTTTTCGAAAGACCTTCGTTCCAAGACTGATTTCCAAGTAAGTCTGAACGTGCAACGTTGAGGTTGATGTTTCGCTCGATACTGGTTGTCCTCATTTTCGTCTGTTTTGATTGCTTGCAATTGCCTTCAGGATGTCATGCTGTTCCTTCAGTCTCTGCCCACCAACAATTGGTCCAACGACGAGATGGAGTTGCTCTTGTCCGAGGCATTCATGTGGAAGTCGTTATTCCACAACGCACAAAGCCATCTAGCTGCGACGCCTGCCAAAGGAGCCGTACTTCCTCATGGTGCAGGAATGCACTAACGTGTGTGTTTCACCAACGCACAGGGGATTGATCCTGTCATTTTTAATTTCAACACTTTGGATGTTTTATTTTTTTGTTCTTTTGTGACGAGATAATCAGTTCAGAAATTTCTTGGTTCACGTTTTTGAGACTTTTGTTTTTGTCGCTTGATTTCAAGTTGCTGAATATCGGAGACAGGCCGTTTGTCAGCGAGGTGTTGAACTACTACGCTCCATGGACAATTGCAGAAAAACAAAATAATAGTCATTGAACAACAAATACACACACCAAAACAACAACCAACACTGCAACACTTCCCCTTGATAATCCACAAGAGGCATCACACTTTTTTTTCTTTCAACGCGACACATTTACATGTCAGGCAGCGACACCTCAAGATGCTGAAGGGCATCAATCAAGCCCAAGACGCGCTCGTCGTCGAATCGCTCGGGTCCCATCATTTCGAGAGCCTTGTTGACAAACTTGCAGCCAAACATGAGCCACAGCATGACGGATTTGTTTCCCGCCGCCGTTCCGCCTGCATTGATAGCAGGAGAGCCCACCATCGGACCACCACCGGCCTTGAGGCCACGATGGCGGGCAGCCGAAGGCGACGAGCTTGGCGAGCAACCCGCAGCGGTGACCAGGGTGGGGCGTGCTCGCTCCACAATGCGCTCCATCAAGAGCTTGCATGCGTCAAAGATGGCGCAGCAGAGCAGCTCCTCCGCATCAGCGATGGGCGACTCGGAGCTGCCGTCTGCAATCACACTCGTGTCAAGGGTGCTGATTGCTTGGGATCGCGATGGCGTTGACGGGACGGACATGGCTTGCGGAGGAGGAGGCGGAGGCGGAACGTTGGCGCAGTTCTCATCGTTAGCGTTGGCAACGGGCGCGTCTGCCTTCTTGGAATCGCTGGAAATCGCGGGCAAGGTGCGCAGGAACGACGCCGGCTTAATCTTGTCAATGGACTTGAGAGTCTGGAACATGCGCAGCATGCCTTCAAACAGGTCAAGCACCTCTTGACGGTTGGCTTGGCTCTTGTAGCCAGATGCCTGGGCGCATGCCACATAAATAAAACGAACGACAGCGTTGATGGCGGCTGCGGTGAGCATTTCGCGCTCTTCCGAAGTTTGCAAGTGGATGCACTGCTCCACGAGACGCACGCCGGCGACAAGCTTTTCCTTGAGTCGATTGGTCGTGCGATCTTGAGCTTGCGTGAGTGGCGCAGCACGCTCCATCGAGTCGTCAAAGCCCGCGTGAGCAAGGCACTGTCCGATAAGAGAAATTGCAAGCTTGCCGAGGTGTGTGCGGGCACGCGCAAGCAGCTCGTCGTTGACGGGCAGATTGGCTTGGCGCCAAGCCTGCGCGTTATCTGCCAAAACCGATGCCCAGGTGCGAGACTTGCTGGCATAGTCGTCGCAGATGCGCTGGCTGCTCGTCTCAAACTCGATCGAATTCACGGTCGGCATGTCGAGGTACGAGTCGTCAATGGCAGCAAAAGTATCATTCTCACACGCGGCTTGGATGGATCGGCAGGTTTGCGAAAACTCGACCATGATCTCTGCGCGGCGCTCCATCTGCTCCCACTCCTTGTAGGTCGCCTTGAGCTCCTTGGAGCTGCCGGGAAACCACTGCGGCGCCGATGAGATGACTTCAATCATTTCGTCCACCTCTTCAATCGTCTGCGGGGCGAACTGCTCCACACGCTGCACGAGCTGCACCACCTCGTCACGCTTGGCGGCCGCAAGCTCGAGGAAGCTGGCTGCCGTGATTTTCCTGCTCTTGGCCTGGATTTCAGCCCACTGGCGCATGCGGGGATCAATGCCGCCGGTCGCCGGGGCAGCACCGTTGGAGCTGCCTGACGCGGTCTTGTCGGCCGCAGAGGGAGACGACTCGACGCCCACCTTTGTGCGCATGCGCTCGCGAAGACGCTTTTGCATATTGGACAACATGTCTTGGCTGGACTGGCGATCGAGGCTTGGGGTGGCTGGCGCCTGGGCACCGTTGGTAGCGGCCGCGAGATTGAGCAACCACGACGGGGGACGGGAGCCGGGAGCTGGCATAGCAATGGTGTTCAAACCAGACGCAAACGCGCGCTGTCCTCCCGCCATCATCGGTGGCATCGGCGGCGGCGGCGGCGGCGGCGGTGGTGGTGGCGGCGGCGGTGAAGCACCTGCTGCTGCTGCTTCTTCTGCTGCTTCTTCTCCTTCTGCAGCAGCAGAGGCAGCTTCACGTGTGACATCCTCCGTTTGATCTGCCACGCTTGTAGCAGAGCTGTTTTCTTCGATGGAAGTGCTTTGCTCGAGCTCCTCGAGAAGCTGACGGTGCACGGGCAAGGACCGCATTTGGAGCGCTGGAGATTCGGGCAGCGGCACGAGGGGTGCCAACGGCAACGGTGATCCGTTCTGCATCACAAGCGGCGAGCCTCCAGAATAGCTGCGGGATGTCCGAGGAGTAGTGATGCGCTCAATTCCCGCGGCCACCAACGTTTGCTGGGCGTTTGCTGCCAACACTGGCGACTCCAGGAAGATGGACTCGACGCGGCGTTGTTTTCCGCTCAGCGGAGTAGCACCCAACGACGGAGATGCCGCCATGGCTGAAGGGAATCGAGGGCGGCGAGCCAAAGGGGTTCCAGCGAGAGGGGCTGGCGACGCCACGGCGGCGGGGGCAACGGCAACAGCTGCGTCGTTGGTGGAGGGCTCTGCCGTCTCAGGTTGTTCACTGACTGGCGTGCTTTCAACGGTTTCCGCGACCTTTTGCTGTGTAGGAGTTGACTCGGTCGTAGGCTTGGTGAGCAGGGCCAGCAGCGCAGAGTGGCGATGCGAGAGACCGCCACGGGTGGGTGTCGTGCTCAAGTGCTCGTTACCCGTGCCAAAGGACGAGTAGCCAGACATGTAGCCAATGGGGCTGAAAGCACCCTCGAACGTGCCAGACTGCCGTTGTGCCTTGCTGAGCATTGGCGACTGCCTGTAAAACTCGCGAAGGGCCTTGCGACGAGCCACGCGCTGCTGTTTCGCCGGCGTCATCATGCGCGTAATGCCATCGGCTGGCGAGTTGCTTGCGCTGGACTCGCGGGACGACATGGATCGCGAGTGTTGAGACAGGGTCGGTGAGGATGCAACTTGATCCAGGGCGCTCTCGTCATGAGCAAACCCACCCTTGCTGGCATCGCCCGGGTTGAGATCCAGCTGTTCGTCTTCCATGACAGCGTCGACAGCCGTCTTGAGCAGTGTCACAACGCCCTCCCACATGTTTTTCATCTGGGAACCGAGCACCTGCTTGCGGCGACTCGAGGCAACGCGACGAGACAGCTTGCTCAGTTGAGACAGCTCGGAGGCGCCGGTGGTAGAGGACGAAGACGTAGTGGACGATCCATCCGCCGTTGTTGGCTGCAGCGATGTGTGGGCGCGGGAGGCAAATGTGTGAGCAAATCGCTGCATGGCGCGCTTCTTGACCGACGATCGGGGAACTGCCTGAAGTTTGGTGGGAGTGCCCGAGTTCATCTTGACTTGCTTGGACGGGGTGCCGTTGCTCTTGCGTGTGGCGTTTGGGCTGGGTGGCTGTTTGGCAAAAGTCGGTTGAGTATCACCACAAGTGAGAGTTGGCAGGTCAACTTGGCGCGAAGTGTTGGGTATGAGAGATCATGTTCTCGTGTGCTGCAGTAGATAGCAGTCGAGCGGGGTCGGCAAAACGGAGAAGAAAAACACGACGGAAAAAGACGAATTCGTTTGAAACTGAAACAGTTTGTTTCGAAACCAGTTTTGGTTGTTGACTTTAATTCGCTCCTTCTTCCGAGTCTCTCTTGCTGTGGATGCAATATCGTGTAGCTGAATGCTTCTGAGCACTACTCTTTGTGGCTACAGACATGAACCAGGGCAGAGTTGATCAAGGAACCAAACGCTGTGCCACATATGCAAAAGCGCGAGCTTTTTCAAACGACTCGTTTGCTTTTTCAACCGTTTCACTTTGCGTTTGTTATTTTAGAGCTTTCAGCCTCCCCCCACCCGCGTCTGTAGGATCACTGCTATCGGTTGAATCGGAGTGGGAGCTGCAGATACACTCGATTTCCGCTTACCTCGTTCTCATCGGCAAAGGTGTAGCTGCTGAGCGGCTTGTTCTCGGCCTTGGCCTTGATCACTCGCATAACCGTTTTCAGGCGCGAGTTTTTTTTGGCCGACGCGACCGGCCTGGCCAAGCCAGTTGGCGATGGCGGTAGCTGTGCGGGTGTCTCGAGTTCGATTGAGCTCATTGTGGACAAGAGAAGGTGAGAAGGCGAAAGAGCAAATCAACGAAAAAGAGCAGAAAGAAAAGAAAAGAAAAATGAAAGGAAAGAACAAAAAGAAACAACCCCAGCCAAAATAGACAGACTGAGCACACATCTCAGAAAAGTGGTTTAATGTTGAAAATCGAAAAATAATAAAAAGCAACACACAGCATACTAGTACATGCACCAACACCCCACACAAACAAACGCAAAAATCACCTTCTCACTTTGCTGCCGCTTGGAGCTGATCAAGTCGAGCAGCAATGGCAGCATGGCCGTTGGCTCGAGCTTCGTCGATGGGGGTATGGCCCCAGCGATCGCGCAGAAGCGGATTGGCGCCACCGACGAGGAGCGCGTCCACGAGTTTGGCCTGGCCCTCCGCACACGCCAAATGCAGGCAGGTGCGTCCATCATACTCGGCAGCGCTGAGGTCAGCTCCCGCAATCGTCCACAGAGACAGATCCTGCTGAGCGCGCTCGAGCGTTTCGGCGCTATGACGGGGATCCGAGCGGCAGGAGGCGGAGGCAACCATCACCAAGTCGCACAGCTCGGACGCCAAGGACATTGGACGGGACGCAAGGCCAAGAACCGCACCCCGGGCGACTAAAAAGCGCACCAGCTCCAGAGTGTGCGATGAAGAGGCAGCGGCGGACTCGTGCATGTTGATGCGGCGCTCTTGGGCGTGCAGCAGAGAAAGCACTCCTTCGGTGAGCGTGCAATGGCAAAGCACTGCGCGGTCGAGCGGCGTCTGGTTCCAACGGTTGGTGGCGTTGACGTCCGCGCCGAAATAGATAAGGGCTTTGACTGCGTTCAGGTTTCCGGCTCCGGCAGCCATGTGGAGGGCCGTGGTCTTGTCATAGTCGGAGAGGTTGGGGTTGACACCCATTTCGAGCATGATGGTGAGGAATTCTGTGGAATTCGAGAGCGCAGATGCTGAAAGCAGGGCTGGGCCAAGAGCCTTGAGAGCCACCTCATCCTGTGACAAAAGCAGGGCCTGAAGAATGTCCACGGCGAACGCCAGCTCGTCGTCGGAGGTGAGCAGCTCTTGCGAGCAGACCGCAGGACGCACCTCCAACTCTTCTTCCTCATGGACGTCTTCGCTCGAGCTAGTCTTGACCCCGTGGCTCTGATCGACAGGGGCGATGGTGGCGAGGGTTGCCTTGCGCTGGAACTGAGGATTGCGCGACTTTTGCAAGGCAATTAGCTCGATGCTCTCTGCCTTCTCATCCTGCTCAACGGCGGCGGGAGCGGCGACGACCTTGAGCTGTCGCGTAGATCGACCGCGCTGGATGGGCCGGCGCTTGGAGGCTGCAATCCGCTCGCCTTCCGCTGCCACCCATGTCGCCAGCTTCTCGTGGCCAAAGGTGCGAGCATTGTCCACTGGAGTTTGGCCATAGCGGTCCTTGTTGTAAATGCTTGCACCGCACGACAGCAAAACCATCACCAAGGACGGATGGCCCATGCTGCAGGCAACGTGCAGCGCAGTTCGCTGGTCGTACAGATCGCAGACGTTCACGTCGTAGCCCAGCTGCAACAGTCGAGCCACCTTGTCGGTAGCTCCGAGCGCCACTTCCTCGCACAGGGTGCGGGCCTGCGGACTGGCGGGCGTATTGTGCACTCCACCGTTGTGGCACAGCGCCAATGCGACAGTGGCTGGTTGCTGGGACGCGATGGCATCGTCCAAGGGAGTGTTGCCGTGGACATCCACCTGGTTGACATGAGAGCCGCGACTGATCAAAAAGCGCACGACTTCGAGCTGGCCCTCCGCCGCGGCAAGATGGAGACAAGTGCGGCCACTGTGCATGTCGCCGACATTCGGGTCGGCGCCCAGCTCGATCAGCTCTGCTACCGTTTGAACATCGCCCGTCGCGGCTGCCCAACACAGGAGCAGCGGTACAAACAACTGTTCGAGAAACTGCTGCTCGTGGGCGGAGGCTCCGTTGTTGAGTTGCCGAGAAACGCTCCGCACAGCAGCAAAGCGTGACAAGACACGCTCAGCCAGCCGCTGGCGACGGAGGTGATCCTCGGGAACGGTCATGCGGCTCAGCTCAACAGGCACTGCGCCGGGAATGGCACCGGCCATCAAGCAGAATGCAAGACTTGTGACGGCAGACGGAAACGTGAGCGCCGGCAAACCGATGGGCCGGAGCATGGAGCTCACAGCACCGTGCACAAACACGGACATGATGGTACCAGCCGTAGAGAGCGCAAACACACGAGCCGACAGGACGTAGAACATGCCGCCAATGGCGACAGCCACAATCACAGGATTAAATCCCCACAGGCCGGCATAGAATTGGCCAACTGGAACGCCGAGGGCAAGCGACATCAGAATGGCAAGGATGGAGCCGTAAACGCACATGACTGCTGAAATCCGGGAGCAGACTGCGGTTCCCGCGACAATAATGTATCCACTGTGAAGTGTCATGTAGAATGAGCCAAAAAACAAGAAGAAAAACCCAAACAAACAAACAAAAAAATAAAACAAACAAAAAAACAAAAAAACAACAACAAAAGGTACACACAACGGTGTAACTGTTGTTGCACGACACCCCACCACTCTTGAGCACTACTCACCTGATGTGATTTTCGAGGAAGAAAACTTGCGCGATATTGTACCCAATCACCTTGAACACGGAAGCAATGTCGTAGGAAATGGGAGTAATATCGGCGCCAGTCGTCGGTACTTGAAGATACGGAGCTGCGGCGGCACCCTGCGACGGAAAGTACGCGTACACTTGGCTGCCGAGGAGCCACATCCACGTCGCTGCATGGAATGGGAGCGTGAACGTGGCCAGCCCGAAATGGCGCACGAGAATGTTACCAATCACAACAACAATGAGCGTCGACAAGGTCGGAATGATGACGATTGGAATGTAGAGCAGCCAGTTGTCCCAGCCTTCCACGTCGGCATTTTGAAAGAGGGCGACACCCACGGCGCACAGAACACCGTTAAAGCCAAACAGGCCAGAGCGGATGGAGGCGCGGTTGAGCGACAAAAAGTACGCGATTCCCGTCGAGCAGAGCGCGCCAATGATGGAGCACACGCCATAGTAGCGCGAGTGGACAAAGATTGCCGCGAGGAAGAAGAGCCCCGAAATGGGGTTGTTCATGAACAGAATTTGACCGTAGCCGCGCAGGCAAGAGTCAATAAAGTGAGCCCACCAGAAGCGATCGCACCACTTGGCAGACTGAGGCATGGTGCCCGTCACCTTTCCAAGGACGGTGGAGACGAAATGCCGCATGGGGAGGTCGGCCGTCGCGGCAAATTCATCGCCATCCAGATGCAAGGCTGCCTCGCCCTGGGACTTGGCCTGCTGCATGTCAAACAAGTCGACGCGTCCCGATGCGTCGGTCGTCGCCATAGATTGGCTGACCTGCCGCGATGGCAGTCGTACTGTCGCAAATCCGTTTGCAGCAGCAGCTGCAGCAGCAATGACAGAAGGTGCCGAGGCGGTGACAGCCAACGTTGCGTCAGTTGCGTACGAGGACGATTCGCGAACAGTGACCGCATCATCGGGCACGGTGATGCTTTGTGGCGCTGAGCCGGTCGCCGAGCCATCAGCGGTAGCACTAGCGCTTTGGGCTTGCGACTGCTCGGCTTCCACTGCCAGCTCAATTTCCACCGAGGCGCCAGGCACAATCGCGCTTGCACGCAACGGTTCGGTCACAAGAACACTTCCGGACAAGGCAGACACCTCGGATGTGGATGGTGAAAGCGGAGGCTGGTCGTCCGTTGTCGTCGTTACCAAAATGGTTGGCGCAGGCTTGAACATTGGCGATGCTCCGCGCATTGTTTTCGCTGGCGCACGCAATGTAAGGCCTCGAGCGTTTGCATTGCCCACAAAGATGCTCGACCGAAGCGCGTGGTTTGCATCACTGGAATCCATGCTGGCAGAGTCATCAGTGGCAGCACCAGCACCAGCACCAGCACCAGCAAAGGGAAAGTCCCCGCTCGTTGGCAGCGACGGTGATCGCTCCGCCTGTCCGAGGAATTGCTGCGCATTGTTCGTGTTGCCAAAGTCCGACCACGCAGCGAGCTGTTCTGCATTCAGATCGTCTCCACCAAAGCTGTTCCGATGGAGCTCTGTGCCGTGGTCTGCGAGCAGGTACTGCACGTCGTTCGCAGCAAAGCCGTTCCACGCCTGCAGATCGTTCCCAGAGTGGTTTGCGAGCGCCGTCGTCCGCTTCATTGTCTTGTGGAAGTCGCCCCACGCAGCCATTTCCTGCTTTGTTCGCGGGCTTCCTGCTGCTGCTGCTGCTGCTGCATTTCCTGATGCCGACGAGGCTCCCGACACAGCGCTGCCAGTGCTATTGCTCGGCGTGAGTTTGAGCGTCCGCCCACCTGCGCCCGCGTTCGGCCCGCGAATAGTTCGCAGCGCCAGCGTGCGCGCGCCCAGCCCCGGCTGACCCGTGCCCGCGCGTGCCTGGGTGTTCCCAGAGTGTCTCGTCCGTGCCTGGGTGGCCGTGGCTTCGCTCCCTGCTGCTGCTGCTGGACGAAGGGTTGCAGTTGTTGTGGCTCGACCCACCGCCGATGCTGTCGCGCGGGTCGCTCCACCCTCGTTCCCACTGCTGCTCACGCTCTGCCCGCTCAAGCTGCTCCTGTCCTGCTCCATTGAGATGGTGGACACTGTGTCTGTCGCCATTGTTTGCACAGACCTCGTCCTCTCTCCAACAGCCCGGTTTGACGTGGTTTTTGAATGCGAAACAAAATCTATGTCGTTACGTCGCACTCTGTTGTTGTTGTGCAAAGCTTTCCAAAATGCCGGGCCGTTCGTCGAGATGCGAGTGTCTGAGTGTTGTGTGAGTTGTGTGTCTGAGTGTGTGTGTGTGTGCTGTGGAGGCAAAGCGATGAGCAGCGCAGTGAACGATGAACTGGATCTGGATTTCAAGGAATGAGTTAAAAACACAACATTAAAAAAAGTGTCAATTTTTAACGCATAAAACAAGTCACCATTTTAAAAAAGGGACAAAACAGCCAGCCATGTGGACGATGAGCGATTTTCAAGTCAGAAAGAGAACGAGAAAGAGAACGTTACAGGGGATCGAGGGTGGAAGGAAAAAGAGAGAGAGAGAGAGAGAGAAGGGATCAAACCTCTGATCTCGAAATCGAAAAACAACCCCGTTAGACACTTGCCAGCTTGGCAAACGTGGAAAACATGGCACGGTACGTCGCACTGAGCAGCTGCGAGCCTTTTTCGTAGTTGTTGTGCAGGCACTGGGGTCGTTGAGGATTCATGTTGGGACCTTAAGTGGGATTGCGAATGGGATTGTTGGACAAAATAGAGGTGAGCGCCGTGCAGATAAAAAAACCACAAACTGAAGCAAACAAAAACAAACAACCCCCTTGCCCCCGCCTCCCTCGCCCAAACAAACTGGCCAATCGACATACCGACAACGTGAATCACATATTCAAAGCGCACGCGACGGGGCGAGGGGACTTTCACGGGATAGGCCTTGCCAGCCTCGGCACTGGAATACAGTCGCTTTGTTTCGGCGTGCAGCGAGGGTCCCACGGCGAGGTTGATTGCCTTGTTGGTACCAGCACCACCGGCAGTGAGTCGCTCGTTGGCAGCATTGACGATAAATCTGGCGTGGGAGGAATGGAGCAACAGAGGAGGAGGAGGTGAGAGCTTGTTTGTCGAGAAACCACCTTTGGTTGTCTTGTCTTTACCGGCAGTTCACTCGCGTCAAATCCGAAACAATCACTTTGAATCTCTTGTCTCTCCTGGTGTATTTCTGTCGATTGCTGTCCTGTGAGCACAAGCAAGAGCATGGAAGCGTCAAAACCAAAACCCTAGCGTACCTCTTGCACAAGCCGATTCGTTTTCGAGTCCGAGATATCAACGAGTAGCAATTGTATCCGCGGATCAGGGTGCGCGTCTAGAAACTCTTCGACAGCCTGATTGCATGGCGTGAATGAGCAATTGCGTTTGTGTGGGGCTATTCGCCGTCAAGCAAGAATTCCCTTACCTCCACCAGCAGGATGGATGCCAGTTCGGCATCAAACATGTATGTGCTCGTTGATATGGAAGGAAATGCCAAGGTCGTGGCAAAGTTGTTGGCGGGCGTCGCATCAGCATCGTCATCCAGCCGCATCGGTTCGGACTGTGCGAGCGGTCGTGGCACCGGCGTCTCGCTTGCCAGCGAATCAACTTGCATCGAACGCTCGGTTAGGGCGCGCACTATTCGATGCGTGCCATCTTCAATCAGTTTGACCGTCAAGGACACTTCCGGATGCAAAAGCACTTGATCGCCGTCGAACAGGGGAAGTGCAATTGAATTGGACGCGATCGCTTTCGCACCCGGCGGGAAACTTGGCCGCACGACGATCGTATTTCCAGGTGTCTGGGACAATGATGGAGTGTGTGAGAGCAGAGAGGTGAGCAAGATTCGAACTTTCTGAGATTTTCCCGCCAAATTTTTGGCTCGAGTTCTTCTCGTCAAGCCTTGCGTCCCCCCCCCGCCCTCCCTCCAACGACTGCACTGCATACCGGCTGGATGTACGCAAATGTCCCGCCATGGGCTGCTGCCTTGACGTCAAGAACGGCGGCTTGGCGCGAGCAACCGCGAATTCGGATGTCCAAGGCAAAACCTCGTCCCAGTGTGAATGGGGCAAACACGACTGGGCAAATCCGAGGCTCATCGTCGCCGTCGGTGATGACCAGCTCCTCGTGTGGTGCTGCCTGCATCAGTAACGGAGCAGCGCGCACGGCGAGCAGTGTGCCGCGGTGCTGCAGGATGCAAGTCGGTCCTTCCGGTTCCATTTGGCTCGGTTGAATCTGAAAGGGAGGACTGATCATCAACTGCTTCATCTGCGTCGATCCTGTCGGCGTTGTCTGAAACTTGGTTTCACAAAGTGGCTGTTCAAGGTTGATCGCGTTGTCTGAAACTTGGTTTCACAAAGTGGCTTTTCAAGGGTGATCGATTTCGTCTGCAATACTGTATTTGCTTCTCATGTGGTTTGGCAGTCCTTTTTTGAATTTGTGAGATCGGCAGTGTCTTTCATTCTAGCTTGCAAAGGGTAAACGATCCTCGGCAGAAGCCGAACATGGTTTTTTGTTGAGCAAAATAGAAAAAAAAAAGGTTCAAAAGAACGCAAGATTTGGGTCGAAAGAGTTCGATCGATGCGACTGGAAATCGTTCTTGTCGTTCATCCTTTCGCCCTTCTTTCTATGTTACTATGCTATGCGATTCCATCCGAACGCCGTCTCTGCACAACCGACTTTACCCCCAACAACATTCAGAAACCGAAAATTACTCAACATGTAGCGAACGATGCGTTGCTGCGGAGCCTTTTTTTTTTTTTTTTTTTTTTTTCGGACGAAATCACGCAGCGTTCCAACGGGCTTCCCTGCATGGCGCACTTCCGCCGATACACCTCCCTAGCCTCACCACTGCGCTTACGCACACGAATCCGGGGTCTGCGCAGCGCTGGAGCGAGTACCAGCGCTGCTTGTTCGATGGTCATCATATTTTGTGGTTCTATTTTGAAAGCAACACCATTTTGGCTGATGCGGTTCCTACGATGTAGTCATACGTCGGTATCATTTCGTGTTAGCTTTTCGTTTCACTCGCAGCCACCCCCTCTTTCCCCCCTCCCCTTTCTCCTCTTACGTCGTCCTAGCCACCGACGTGTACGCCATCCGACACCTCATTCTCGCACACCGACATTTTTTTGAAAAAAGCGAATCAGTATTTCTTCTTCTTCAGTTTTTCGTGGTTTAAGCGGGTTCGGTGGAACAAAAAAAAAAAAAAAAAAAAAAAGTGGGAAAACGCGGGAAGCGCCGAGCATCGGCCTCGGATTTTGCATTTTTTGAATTTTTTTTTATTATTTTGGTGAGATTTGCCGCTGTTGAGCGTTTTATCAAATCGCGCCACCTTCCAAACTTCAGTCGCTGGTGCCACCGTTCAAGCAAATGCTCCACTCTTGCTGGTGAGATTGGGCAAAGCGGGCGGAAGTAGAGCTGGAAGACACACACACACACAAAAAACAAAAAGCGTAGGAGGGCATTGTTTGTTGTGTGTGGGCGTCGTTCTGCATCAAACGCTTTCATTGAGCAGCATTGATCTACCTGATAAACAGATCATAAATTGATCGATCATTAAATGCAAAGTTAAAAAAAAAAAGATCCGCAGAGATTACCCCCAAGATTGTGCTCAAAGCAGGCTGAATGAACTGTTCTCCATTGCGTCCTTGTCTGCCATCGATCGTCAAAGAGCTGACCCCCTTCTCCTTCCAATGCGCAATGAATGAACAGACACCTACTTGCAGAGTCCTCATAGTCAAGACCTCTGCCAATTCAGCAGTTTCCTATTCGAGCCCTATTTTTTGGTTGTCCCCTCTAGTTACGTCCAATCCAAAGCATAAATGGCGTTGCACCTCGACGCCGTGTCGGCCATCTATGATGGCGAGAGCGATCTTGCAGAGCGCCTGTCTATTGCACCAGATCCGACAGATACGGAGGCCGCTGCTGGGCTCAGCGCGCCCCAGACTCCGACAGACGCCTCGTCTGGCTTTTTCAAGTCCGGATTGCTCAAAGTGCTGTCCGTGTCCACAACCTACTTGCCAAGCCCATCGCGGGCGATGAGCAGACAACCAAGCACTGATCTGTCGCGCATCCACGACCGGAGCTACGAAGATGAAGCCATCGATCCGGCTCTCAACTTTTCGCCATCGGAGGCAGACAGTAGTGGTGACGACGGCCTGGAAATGTCACCAACGGTCGTCGATCTACATGCCCCACCTGTGCCCGTATCTGCGTCCTTGGTGGGGCGGTTGCGAGGGGCAGAGTCCTCGCGACAGTCCTCGTTTCGGCGAGTGAGCTTCCAGCCAGCAGTGGTCCTGTCGGTTGATGGCCGCAACTCTCAAGTGATCTCAATTTCACCGCCAGATGTCGCCGTTGAAACGCCGACCATCACGAGCGATCTCAGCGCCAGCAGTAGCGTGGACAGCACCACCACCATGATGCCAGCCGTCGCCAAGCCCGATTCATCCTTGCCACTGCCAGCCGCAGCGACGCCAATGCCTGCATCCGCACCTACTCCCTCCAAGAAAGCAGTTCTTGCGGGATATGCCATGTTGGTCGTGGCCTTGCTTGCCGTTTCATCACTTGTAAGCCTTCCATCACGCTTGTTGTACGTTCTGCATTGCCTGAAAACGCTATGCTACGACTCACTTTCTGGTACAACCTTCTCTACTTCCTCACCCCTCTTGCTCTGGTCTCTCCAATCACGGACAGGGTGCTGCCACCCTGCTGATGAAGGACGTCGACCCGGTTTTGGCCGGAGCGTGGCGCTTGCAATGCGCCGCCTTCTTCCTTTTACCCCTGTTCCTTTGGCAAGCACACACAAAAGTCGGCTGGACCTCCAAGGCGTGGCTGGCCGGCGTCCTGACACGGCGAAACATTCTTCATGGCCTTGGCGTGACTGTCGGCATGTTTCTGTTTTCTGCCACGTTCTTCGTGGCGCTTTCGTTTACCTCCCTTGCGCACGCATACCTGTTTAACAATTTGCATTCCGTCATTATCGTCCTGTTCCGCATCATCAAGCGCCAGCCCGTCATGGTGATTGAGATTGTCGGTACAGCCATCTCCGTCCTGGGAGCCGGCCTGGCCCTCGTGAACGTGACGGGGAATGCGCAATTCTCGACGACCAACATTGTCATCGGCGACATGATTGCCCTTGTTGGCTCTGTGGGCGCCGTCGGCTACCTCGTTTGGGCCAAGCGACTTCGCGCCGAGGTGCCTCTGTTTGTCTACATTTTGCCCGTCAACGTGCTCAACGCCGTATTGACTCTGGTGCTGTCTGTTGCCATGGAGGGCTCGAGCGCAGGCCCGGGCGTTCCGCTGGCGGAAAACGCCTTTGGTTGGCTGTCGCAAGAGTTTATCCTTGGAGCACTGTATCTTGGTGTTGTGACTGGCGTGCTCGGCATGGTGGCATACGCGGGCCTGCTCAACGTCGTTTCCCCTCTCGTCATTGCCGTGGTCATGCTTCTCGAGCCCGCTGTCGGCACTGTTATTGGCATTCTTCTCGGCGTCGAGCATGTCCCGGACAACTGGACAATTGCGGGCGGCTTTGTGACGCTTGTGGGAACGGTTGCCGTCACTCTTGCCAATGGAGTCAAGTCTGTGCAACTCGCAAAACAGCAGCAGTTGTTGCAACAGCAGGAACAGCAGCAAGGGCACGATTCCGACTGCCCCGCCGACATGAAACAGGCTGAAGTGCCCGCAATTGTCATTTCCCAGACAGAGTCGGGCGATTTGGTCCGCCAGTCGAGCGATGGCAGCGACGTGCCTTCGCACGAGAATGAGTTTGAGCTCGAGACGGGTGCGCGGTCGCGATCGAACAGCAGCAACGAGTCGAGCTAGTTTCAACGTTTTTTTGGTTTTGTTTGTTTTTTGTGTGTGTGATTGTTGTTTGGTGTTGAATAGTATTCTAGCTGTACGATGGAAGCAGTATTTTCAGTTCATGTTTGCGAGATCTTCGTCCATTTTTTCATTACTAAAAATTCGCTTCTTAGAGAACTCGACAGTCTTTTTTTTTTTGATTATTGTTTTGTCAGTCCGTTTCCAATGCAAGCGGCTCGCTCGGACGCTGTTGCGATTGTCACAGGTGGCACTCGCGGGATTGGCGCTGCCATTGCCAAGCGCCTGGCCCAGCAGTCATTTCGCGTTGCAGGTAGGAGAACATGTGCTGATTTGTTGTTTCAGATTCTCAGACAGGGATTTTTTTCGCAGTTTTTTTAATCTCGGCCTCGCTGCGCCACCGCCTGTTCTCTCTTCTCACTGAATCTACTTGCGTGTGGCATGCTTGAACTTTTTGTGCGTCATGCAGTGCTGGCGCGGTCGGAACGCGACGTTGCTCAAGTTGCTGCGAATCTGAACAATCTGGGTGCGCATGGACCAACCAGCCCAGTCGCTCCTGCCTCGCCGCCTTCACCAAGAGTCCCCACGACGACCACACGACCTGAGACGCCTGCGTCGGAAGGCAACCCAGCCAGCGCGGCGAGACACGTTGGAATCGCGTGCGACTTGCGCAATCCGGAAGCAGTGCAGCGTGCGATCGCTGCAGTCAAGAGCCAGCTGGGACTTGCATCCGTGCTTGTGAATGCTGCAGGAATAGTGTCTGATAATCTCCTGGTCAAGACGCCGCACGCGGACATGGCCAGTGTGCTGGAAACCAATCTGGTCGGACCAATGCTGACATGCAAGGAAGTCGTGCCGCACATGCTGCGATTACGCTCCGGCTGCATTATCAACATTGGCAGTGTGGTGGGCTTGGTCGGCAACCCGGGGCAGACCGTCTACGCGGCTTCCAAGGCGGGACTGGTTGGATTGACGAAATCGCTCGCGCTCGAGCTGGCCTCGCAACATTCGCGCCAACGTCGTGTCACCTGGCTTCATTGACGCGGGCATGGTTCATGCCATGACGCCCGCGGCGACCGAGGCGGCTCTAAAGCAAATCCCCCTCGGAAGATTTGGAACAGCCGACGAAGTCGCCGACACGGTCGCGTTTTTAGTTTCCGCGTCGTACATTACCGGGCAAAATATTGTCGTCGACGGCGGTCTATCGTAGTATCGTCGTTGTCGGAGCAGACAGAGCTGGGCGTTCGGCTCAGCAGTGTTTCCGTGCGTAGTTGACGGTTTGTTGTTTCGGCTTGTTAACAATCTAGGGCTTTCTGACTCTCTCGCTAGCAATCTCCCAGCGTATTTATGCGGCATTCATCACCGCGACACTCGGCTTTACTTGGTCGAGGACCGCGGTGCCGGTTTGTTTGGCTTGTTGTTGCAAGTTTTGGACAAAAATTTGTTTTAGCAGCGACTCTGGTGATCCGGATTGCAACAGCGAGCTCAATCACACATCTCACCAAACTCAGTGCACTACACACTTCCAGCTTCCCCCGAAAATCAATCTCGCTGGCTGAGCAGCTCAGTCTAAGATTTTACTTTTTCACTCTGAAACACACAATGAAGGCCAAGCCAGCAGCGACCAAGCCTGCAGCTGCTGCTGCTGCTGCTGCACCTTCTGCAGAGAAGAGTCTCGCGACTGGTTTCATCATGACGATGGGCGATGACGACGACGACGTTGGCGGTGGTCTGATGGGGATGGACGCCGAGACGCTTCAGCTGCTCCAGCGTGCGCGCAGCCAACACGACGACGACGACGACGATGAGGTTGATGCCGATGAGAACGGCAATGCTGATGATGACGAGGACAGCGCCGATCAGGGTCGCGCCAAGCCAAAGAGCAAGAAGAAGGCTCAGCAGCAGCAGCAGCAGCACAAGAAGAAGAAGGCCAGCGCAGGTACCATTCGCCCCCTTTCTAACCAAGCACAAGGCAGAATCAGAGTGAAGCTGAGTGGTGGTGAGTGAGTGAGTGAGTGAGTAGTGAGTGAGTGGAAGTGAGTGGAGTGAGTGAGTGAGGATGGAGGGACCGCGTGGATCCAACACACTGAAAGCGAGAGCGCAACTCGGACTGCGACATAACACTATTGGCACGAGGATGATGATGATGACTTGTGATTGCACTCAGCACGAGTGAGGATGGGGATAGGGCGAGGTTGGACGCGGAGCGGGGAGAGAGATAGAGAGATAGAGAGCAATGATCAATCCACATGGCTCATACTCACACACTCAAAGGCAAGCAAGCACTGGGTCATCATCACAACAGCGTCCCATTGCAAACAACCCGAAAGCAGGTGCCAATGTGTGCGATAATCTGAAAAAAAAATGACAGCGGTGACTGCGAGAGACGACATCACCACTTTTACTTGGCTACTCAGAACCATGTTGCTCAGAAGTGACATGTACTCACTCACAATTGCCATCAACGCACTTGTGGACACTTCGCACAGAGGACTCTGACATTAATCCAAACCTCGAGTTCGATGCCGATGGCGAGTCAATGGGATTTGGCGCGCGCCAAGCGATCCGTGTTTGACGATCCCGCACAGCGCCCGCACGGCCTCTCTGGCGCCGCTGCGGCCGCCGCTGCGGCCGTCCCAGACGTCACTGCCAAGTCGCTCGACGAGCTGATTCAACTGACGCGCCAAGCACGGCGCGTTCTGCCCAAAAAAGCCAAGTCCTCAGCCATGAAGGTTGATGATGACGAGGACGGCAACAACAACGACAACGACGACGACGACGAAGACGAAGACGAAGAAGATGGCGACAGTCTCGACGGTGACGTTATGGCTGACGGCAGCGACGACGAAGGGGAGGCCGACGACGAGCAGGACGACGATGATGAAGAGGAGCTCGACGAGAAAGCTCTGGCAGCCGCAAACAACCCCAAGTTGTACTCAGATTCGGAAGACGACGACGATGAGGCAGATGAGGTTGCACGCCCGCCAGCCAAGGGCAAGAAGCCCGCACGCAAACAACAAAGTTCTGACGACGAAGAAGACGAAGATTCAGAAGATTCAGATGATTCAGAAGATGACGACGACGACAACGATGACGACGACGACGACGACAGCCCAAAGGACAAGGCGCGTGCAGCTCGTGAGCGGGAGCGCAAGGAAAAGTTGAAGGCGGCCTTCTTTGAACAGGCACCCGCAGACATTATCTCGTCCAAGCAATTCACCGAGATGAACTTGTCCCGCCCCTTGTTGCGTGCCATCTCTTCCCTCAATTTCGCCAACGCCACCGACATTCAGGCGGCCACCATCCCGCCGGCCTTGATGGGTCGCGACCTCGTGGCTTGCGCCAAGACCGGCTCGGGCAAAACCGCTGCCTTCTTGTTGCCCGTGCTGGAGCGTCTCTTGTACCGCCAAAAGACAAACCCCGCCTCGCGTGTGCTGGTGCTCTCGCCCACTCGCGAGTTGGCCGTTCAGTGTCACGCCATGGGCGAGAAGCTTGCCAAGTTCACCGACATCCGGATGTCCCTGATTTGTGGTGGTTTCTCCACCAAGCGCCAGCAGGCCGAGCTCCGCGCCCATCCCGACGTGATTGTAGCCACTCCTGGTCGCTTGATTGATCACTTGCAAAACTCGCCTGGTTTCGACCTCGAGGGCATTGAAGTCCTCATCATGGACGAGGCCGATCGTTTGCTCGAAATGGGTTTCAAGGAAGAGGTTGATGAAATCATTCGCCAGTGCTCCGTGTCTCGCCAGACCATGCTCTTCTCGGCCACCATGACCGACGAAGTTGAGAATCTCATTGCGCTTTCGATGAACAAGCCGCTGCGCGTCTTTATCAACAAGAATACGGACACTGCCACCAATCTCACCCAAGAGTTTGTTCGCGTTCGCCCACAGCGCGAGAAGGAGAAGGAAGCCATCGTGCTCGCCGTGTGCAAGCGGTCCTTCCACACCAAGACGATTGTCTTTTTCCGCTCCAAGCAGGGCGCGCATCGTGCCAAGGTCATTTTCGGCCTGTTTGGCCTCAAGGCGGCCGAGTTGCATGGTGATTTGAACCAGCTCCAGCGTCTCGAGTCCCTGGAGGCGTTCAAGGAAGGGCGCGTGGACTTTTTGCTCGCAACCGATCTCGCATCTCGCGGTCTTGATATCGTCGGCGTTGAGACGGTCGTCAATGCCGACATGCCCAACACGCTTACGCAGTACATTCATCGCGTTGGTCGTACAGCTCGTGCGGGCCGCGCAGGTCGCTCGCTGTCGCTGGTGTGCGAAGGCGAGCGCAAGCTGCTCAAAGAAATTGTCAAGCACGCCACAGTCCCACTCAGCTCGCGCTCCATCCCGTCCGATGTGATTGAAAAGTTTTCCACCAAGATTCGCGGTGCCAGCAAGGACATTGCGGCTATTATGAAGGCCGAGAAGGAGGAGAAGATGGTAGGTGGCGTGACTTTTGGTCGGCATTTTGTAAAGCTGTTTTGCCACAGTGCGTCAGACCAACTTTAGACGTTCTGTGCTGTGTTGATTGTATTTTTTTGCTAGCTCCTTCAAGCAGAAATGGAAGCCGCGAAAGCTTCCAACATGATGGAACACGAGAAGGAAATTTACTCCAAGCCCGCTCGCACCTGGTTCCAGGACGCCCTCGCCAAGAAGACTTCCAAAGAAAACAGCAAGGTTGCTCACGCCGGCGGCGCAGTTGCTGACAAGGTGAGCCGCACGGTTGGATTTTGCGGGCTTTTTGGCTGGTGTTGAACGTCGGCTCACTTTTGCCTCTCTCGCGTGGCTTTTATGCAGGGCAAGACACAGCAAGCTCGTCCTTCAAAGCGAAAAAGCGAGGAGGATTTGCAAGACCAGCGAGTGCAGAAGGCTATGGGTCGCTCTGTCAAGAAGGCCCGGTTGGGCTTGAGGCCTGGTGATGGTGAGTTGTCGTCCACGCGTTTTCCGCTTTGTTCTTTCGGCCCTGATGTCACCCACTCGAGCTTGAATCACATGGCTAACCTGCGTGCGTCCATTGCGATGGAATCTTGTTTCTCTGCCGCAACAGCTCCTCCGCCAAACCCGAACAAGTCGCCCAAGCAGGCCAAGAAATCGGGCGGCGCGGTTGGCTTTGCTCGCGAGCTCACCGATGTTAGCAAGAAGAGCGTGCATGGTCTCCGAACCAGCACGAATCAACGCGATGGAGGCAAGAAAGGAGGCAAGGGTGGTGCTGGAGCCAGCGGCGATCGCAAGCGAGGCAATCCCAAGGTCACCAACAAGTCATTCAAGTCCAAGGCCAAGTTCAAGAGGCGATAAAGCAAAAGAGGCTAGAGTCGATTGGTTGGTGCGTTGCCTTTCAGGATGGCTGTTGCTTTGACCTTTTCATGTTGTTGTCAAAGAGAGTCTTTTTTTTTTCTTCTTCGTCTCTCCTTCCAGATTGGCATTCATGTTCATAGTCGGCGAACGACAATGGGGGGGGGGGCAAAGATTGTATTTTAAGATTTGGGCCTGTTTGACAAACACCAAATTGCATTTGAGCCGTTTCTCTTGAGACATTTGTCTGTGTTTCCATCCAGTCATGCAAAATTGAGAGCAACGCCTTCCCTGAACAACGATGATTGTCGTTAGGTATATCCGATATAGAGCGATCGGAATGGCGCATCTCGGTCGGACTTTCTCGGTCGAACTCGAACTTGCCAACCCGCGTGCAGTTCTTGGAGGCTGGGATGGCTCGCCGGAAAAAGCGTCACAAGCTCAGTGACGGAATCGACGAAAGTGGACGGTACAACAACTTCATGTCGAAGAGCTCCATACTCGTCTTCAACAATCAAGGTCAGCCCGTTGTCATCGGCGCTGCCAGAACGTGCCGTCCGGAACTTGTTCTTTTCACGAAGCACTTGAATTGCCTTCACTCGGATGGAACCTCCATCGATCATCCAAGGCACGGTGACTTTCAGCGCACGGACACGCCGGTCTTCATTGAATTGCTGGCGCTGGGAGCAATGGATGCCTTGCCAGTAATGCGCTTCGTCCATAATGCGCTCGGTGATGTTGGCTGGGAGTGCTGGGAGTGCTCGGAGAGGCGCCAAGTCATCCTCCAAGTCATCCTCCAAGTCATCCTCCAGCTCCGCTCCGCGGGTCAGCAAGCGAAGCACGGCCTGAATGTCTTCAGCAGTTGCCAGTCGTACATACAAGGAAAATGCAAGAGGGTTTATCTGGTCGTCCATGCTGTGCACCAAACGGCCAAAGGGAAATTGAGAATGACAGTCAACAGGCTATGTCATCGAGTGTTGGTTTGGAGGACGCTTTTGCACCAGTCGCAAATTGCCTCTATCGTGCAAGGGCAACTTACAAAACATCCGTCTTGTTGTTGACTGTGCGTGCTTGCTCAATCATCTGAACACCAGCCTCGCTAATCCAATTATCTGGGAGGCTGTTCACTCAATGAGCAGGGTTGACAATGAGTAAAAGTCTGGTTGACGCATGGCTCAGGGCCCAAAAGAAAACAAAAGCGCAGCAGCTTACTTGAGATTATCGAGTGTCGTGTTGACTGTGAGCGCTTCTGCAATCGCCTGCGCTCCAACATCACCAATCTGGTTGTCACACAAACTGTGCATCCATTCATTCTCACCAGTGAGCCACTCTTAACGTCCTCTGCTGAAGCTGCCCACCCTGATGCCGTCAGTCGAAATGAAACGCCGTACTTGAGTTCAGTCAGGGAGGCGTTCACTTTGAGTGCCTCAGCAAGCACTTTTGCTCCGGCATTGCCAAGCTGATTGAATTGCAGACTGTCCCTCCAGCAGTGAGCCATTCTGATATACCCTTTGGATCAGTACAAGTACGGGTACGCCTTACTGGAGCTCCGCCACCGTCGTGTTCAGTTCAAGTGCCGAGGCAATCGCTTGCGCCCCGACAATGCCTATCTTGTTCTTCCCCAAGCTGTCATTCCCCTCCATCAGTGAGCCACTCTGCCTACCATCGACTGGATCAGCCGCTCACATGCATCCGTCAACACGAGGTGCATTTACGTGAGACAAGTCAGTGTCTGGTTTACGGTGAGTGCCTCAGCAATGGCTTCTGCTCCAACATCGCCAATTTGATTGTCGAACAGTCTGTCCACACACATCCGCTCCATCAATGAGTATCCCCCCCCCTCTAATAATGCATCAATCATCAATCGAGAGAGCATGGCTTACTCGAGCCTCGTCAGTGACGTGTTCACTTCGAGTGCTTCACCAAGTGCAAGGGCTCCAGCCGCGCCAATCTGATTTTGCTCCAACCTGTCCATCCGCTCCAATCCGTGAGCACTATCGCCTACTCGCACGCATCAGCCCAAAAAAGTGAGATGTGGCCCTACCGGAGTATGCTCAGCAGCGTCTCGTTCGCTTCGAGTACCTGTGCAATCGTCTGAGCTCCCTCGTCGCCAATCTGGTTGCAGTCCAGACTGTTGTTGTCCATCCATGTGAGCCGCTTCTTCACGTTCTCTCTGCGTTTGAACATCCAGCCCCCCGCAGTCCAACAGTGTGATGGACTTACACGAGCCACATCAGCATGGCGTTCTCTCTGAGCCCGTCGGCAATGGCTCGCACGTCTGCGTCGCCAACCTGCCTTTCCTTCAGACTGCACGCACCTCCATTCGTGTCAGTCCCCCGCAACGCAGTCACATCACACGTTCCAATACATTCGGGCGTTTTTTGGTCCTTACTCGAGCATTCCGCTCGCCCTTATGACTCTGTCGTAGAACCAGAGTTGTCGCTGCGTCATTCTGCGAGTGTAGAGCGACGACATTGTTGCCGTGAAAGTACAAACAGAGACTGCTTCGACAACAATCTGAGCATTCTAGCAAATACTGAAGCTGGATGATATATCTTCAATCTCTTGCTGCAGTCCTTTATTCCTGTTTCTCTGAATCATGTCAGCATCCTCTGAGACGACTGCGGCTGCTGGGCCTTCTTCACCTTCTTCAGCAGTGACGACGAGCGCCACGACGTGACGACGAGCGCCACGACGTCCACCGCGCACAGGCAGCCACCCGTCGACGACAGCGGCACCTACTGCGTGACTCTGCCCGAGGACGTCCAGCTGAGCGGCAAGGCACATGTCAAGCCAAGCGGCGGTCAGCAGGTTGCGCTCGTCCTCACCAGCCGGTCCCTCGAGTGGATGCCCTTCGCCTCCTCCGACGCAGACACTCGTAACGTTGCTCCATCGTCATCGTCATCGTTTGCCCTGGGTTGTCTTGTGGTTGGCCATGGATCGATGGATGGATTGATGGATGGATTGGATGGATTGGATTGATTGAATGGGATTCGGATTTGCGACCGATTTTGTGCCGCCGGGCCAAACCAACAACATCCATACATACACACATTCACTCGAACAAAAGATCGCTCACCTGCTGAATGCTGGATACTGACATTGATCTGTTGCTGAATCGATTCATCAACCGACCGCAGATGGATGCATTCTGCTGTACGACGTGCTGCAAGTGCGCGTGCTGCCTGCCGGCGCGGTCAAAAAGCCAGCCAGCGTCAACAAGAGCCAGCCAGCCACCTACGCCAGCGTCAGGACTGCGATGGAGGTCACGCTGCTGCCTCGCTCAAAGCCAAAGGACAAGACAAGCAAGCGCGTCATGCGGCGCCAAGTCCTGTTCTTTGACAGGCAGGAGGAGGCGACCGAGTGGCGCGACGCTATTCACTCGGTGATGCATGGCGAGCGTATTGGCGGTACGGTTGGATGACATTGTTCTTGTACGCAGCAGTGCGACGGTGATGCTCATGGTACGCGCGGTGCGTTATTGTTTTGCCTTTTTGTTGTTGTTGTTTTTGTTTTTGTTTTGTAGTGGTGCCGGTTCCGCGAAGACTCCTCGTCGTTGTCAATCCCGTGGGCGGCACAAAGATTGCAGTGCCAACGTTCGAAAAGCAGGTTCGTCCACTGCTCGAACTGGCTGGGATCTCATTCCAGGTTATTCGTAAGCGGAATCCATTTGAAACGAAACTGAACGAAAGAATGAAATACCAAAACGCCATACCAAAACGCTCACCCCCAATACCCCGATCGTTCTGAACCGACAACAGTCACGACGCACCAAAATCACGCAATGGAAATCGCCAGAGACCTCGCTTTGGACAAGTTTGACGCGATCGTGACTGTCAGCGGCGATGGCTTGTTGCACGAAATGGTGAACGGCCTGTTTTCGCGGCCAGACTGGCCAGAGGCCGCCAAATTGCCCGTCGGCATCATCCCTTGCGGAAGCGGCAATGGACTTGCCAAATCCCTCGAAATCCGAGACATCCCATCCGCGACTCTTGCTGCCATCAAGGGCCACACTCGTCCGCTCGACGTGATGGCTTGCCACCAGCCGGGCATTGGACTGCGCTATGCCTTCTTGGGCATCTACTGGGGCTTAATTGCAGACGTTGATATCGAGTCTGAAAAGTACCGATGGGCTGGAGCAGCTCGGTAAAGCGTGGTTTTCGTGTTTTTTTTTTTTTTTTTTTTTTTTTTTTTTTTTTTTTTTTTTTTGCGTGTTTACGTTTTTTTCTCGACATTTTTTTTTGTCATCCCTCGCTTCTTGTGCTCATCACCTCGGCACGCCTTCTTACCGACGAACAGATTCACCGCCGCCTTCATTGGTCGCGTGCTGAGCATGCGTCGCTATGCTGGCAAAATCACCTACTTGCCAGCAAACCCGCACGACGAGTTTGACCCTCACGCCGTGCTGACCAATCCTCCTTCGGCGGCCAGCTCGGCAAACAAGACTTCTGACCGCCGACAATCCGAGGCCGATGCCGCGTTCAGTGCAACGGCGACGGCAGCGGCGCCGACTGCAGCCCACATTGGGCCTCCGATCAAGTTCTTGCACGCGGACGCCAACGGATCGGCCCACCCCGTGCACGGCGAGGACTGGCGCGTGATTGAGGGTGAATTCGTCATGGTTCTGGGGTTGAACGTGTCGTGGATTGACCAGACCACGCACATTGCACCCTACGCCCACCACCACGACGGTTTTATCGATCTCATGTACATTACGGCGCCGTGCTCCAAACTGAAGCTCCTCACCATGTTTGCCGACATTGAGAGTGGCAAGCACGTCGACAACGAGCTGGTCAAGTATGTCAAGTGCCGCGCCTTCACGCTCGAGCCCAACGGCCGTGGCATTGTGGATGTCGACGGCGAGCAGGTCGCCACCGCCAACATTGCCGTCGAGTGTCATGGCGCGTTGTTGAATGTGCTCTGTCCGCCCGACCTCGATCGGCCGCATCTCAAAAACTTTCCCGTCTACCACTCGCAGACTGGGCATCTGCACCAAACCGTGCCTGCACTGCCAGCTCAAGCGTCGTCGTCGTCATCGTCGTCGTCGTCTGGCCCTCGCGCGTGACTATTCTCCTCGCCTGTCACGCTATTCGAGGAGGTAGTTGATGCGATGCAGCGACGTAGTGTTCTCGGTCTTGCGCTCGCACTCTGCCATTATTCCTTGAACGTTGGTCTCTGATTTTGCCTTTTGTTACTTTTGTGTCTGATTCTTTGATTCCTTTTGTTTTGAAGTGTTCACCATTACAAAACCAATTCTTCCACACAAGTCAATCACTCTTCAAAATCCCCCCCCCCCATTCATCACAATGAGCGACGTTAAGGTTGGCAATATTGCAGGCATTTTTTTCCATTGCAACATTCGATTCCCTTTCTATGACTGACCATCTCTCTCTCCCTCCTTCGTCTTCCCCTTCTTCGTCTTCCCCTCCTTGCACATAGCCCGACATCAAGCCTGAAACCAGCGAGCACGTCAACCTCAAGGTCTCCTCCTCGGTAAACGCCTTCCACTCAATCCTCATGCAAATGCTCAGGAGAGTGCCGTGTTGGCTGTTCATGCACACCGACACACTCCTCCACCAGCGACCCACTTACACACTTGCAATAACGTACATGCAAGTTCTGACTGGATTGCCGTCGTCGCGATGACGGAGATGAGCGATCGAGGCTTTCGCTTTTCGTCTCTTGTTCCATTGTCGTCTCGCTTGCGTCTCGCCTCGCTGTTTTCAAAGCTTGTCCGATCTCGGTCGAGCGGACGAGCGGGGTTCATGGGAAGAGGCAGTCGCATCAGCATTAGCTCAGGGGTGATGGAGCTTTACACTTAAGCTTCACTCTCACTGAACTGAGCTCACATATGTGCGTTTTGCTTCCACTCATCCGATCATTGCATGCTGACTCGATTATTAGGACGGCAGCGAGGTCAACTTCAAGATCAAGAAGACGACCAAGATGAGCAAGCTGATCGATGCTTACTGCCAACGCGTCGGCATCAACCCCGCGTCGGTGCGCTTCTTGTTTGATGGCGCTCGCATCAACGGCGATCAGACTGCCGCCGATGTTGGCCTCGAAGACGGCGACAACATTGATGTCATGCAAGAGCAAACCGGCGGCTTGTGCTGGTGATGTTGCGTCTTGTTTCTTCTTTTCTGTTTCGATGTCAAAGTTTTCAAGACACACAAGTTTGGCACAACTGCCTTTGTTTCTCGACTGTGTGTGAATGTGTGTGTGTGTGTGGGGGGGGGAGTGGAGGAAGGAGAGCTCGGTTGTGGGATGCCAGTGATTTTGCGCAAGGGGCCTTTGACAACCCGAACGTTGGTAACAAACACCAAGAACGACTCTTTGATGAGCTGCAAGGTGGAGTCAAGTCGAAAGACATGGCAGGAATGCACTGCCATCTGCGACTGCACCTGTCAAAGACAGCGGATTGGCGATTTTCTCCGATGCCGTTACTGAAGCGGCAACAATTGGTCGTCGGGCACCTTTGCAACCTTATAGCCATTGGCCATGACGATTGTGGTCGATGATGATGAACGCCGTACTCACAAACTGCCAGTCACCAACAATAGTCGCGGGGGTTGTGGCAAAAGTCTTTGTGTTTTTCAAACCGGTTGCAGACACACGGAATGTTCGACCTCTTGTTTTGTTTTTTCGATCGATCCTTTTGGTCTTATTTGGACTTTGCTCCAGATTGCATGATTGATTGATTGACTTGCCGATCTAACGGGCTGCTCTGCTCTGTGCTGTCGGGTTCCGGAAGTGCGAGTTGAAACACCGGATTCGCATCCGCGCGCGGTTTTTTTTTTGTGCTGTATGTCCACCTCAGAGAGGGTTCCTCCTTTGTAACAACGAACGAGGTTTGTCGCACATGACATGATTGCACCAAATTGTGTGCAATTGAGCGGAAGTGGGAGAAAAAAAAAGCGGCGGAGCATTCGTTTTGTGTGGATGTGAGGTCATCCCCAGCCTCCTTCTTTTCGCCCCCCCCCCGCTCCCACTTCGCTTGCGTTCCGTCAGTGCTGCTGGCCTCTGTCCCGGCTGATCTTCCTTCTCTCGTTTTCCGCTGCGATCGTTGGTAACAAAAGGCGCGATTGCGAACAAAACAAAAACACAAGACAGCAGTCTCACTGCCATCTGTCACTCTATCTCGACAGATGTCGATTTTTGACCATTTTTATCGTTTTCGCTTTCTTTTCAGTCTTCTTTTCAGTCTTCTTTTTTTCATTTTTGATCTCGTTGAAAAGTTTTCATCCAACGCGAGATTGAAAGTTTTGTCGTCGTTTTGCTGCGTTTGTGTTGTAAGTTCCATGTTCTGCGTTCGCAGTCAAAGTGGCTGAACAAACATGTCAAAAAGAGTGGCTGAAGAACGCTTTGATCGCTCATCCTCCCCCCACTGCTTCTTCTTCCTTGTTCTCCTTGCTTGTGCTTCCACAGACACCTGGTATTAACAACAGGGAAAACGACAAGCAAAAAGCCGACAAACGGAGCAAGACATTCAAGATCGAGGATTTCGAAAACAAGCGCAAACGAACAAAGAAGGAAAAGGACAACTGGCAACCTCGTCGGAAGGAAGAAAAGTCGTGATGACAAGTTCCGCTCTTCCAATCGATGCTGCTGCTGACGCTGACATTGCGCTGCAGCAGTCAACAAGCGACTCGGAGCAGCAGCAACAACAACAACATCAACAGCCCAACGGACGTGCGCTGGCGTATGGTGGCAAAGTGGCTGTGGCTGACCGCACAATCAACAGCAATCGCAGCAGCATGAACGGCATCCGCATGGGGCGAGGTGCCCGCGCCTATGGCCAGCTCATCGATGATAACGACGATGGCAATGATGTCGATGATCATCATCGCAACGACAGCATCGTCAAGGACATGGATCGCGAGAACACAGATCCAACACAAGGCCCGTCTGCTGCAGACTGCAGCTTGGACCAGTCAACCCACAGCCTCCGCTTGAACGGCGACTCGAGCGACGACGAGGATGACAAGCAGCTGATGAGCACTGCCGTTGACCGCAGGCCGTGGTACCGAAGGATGTTCCAGGTGAGCTAAAACGATTCCACATGTCGTGCCGTTGTTTCGTTGTTTTGTCTTGAATTGTTGGATTGGATCTGACTATGCCAATCGTTCTCATTATTCTTCGCCTCGTACATCCTTTGGACGCGTCTTGTAATGCATGCTTTGGCCACTTTGGCAGCGAGCACCTCGTCAAGCACCAGCCAAGCGATGGAGGCCAAACCTGAGCGTCATCATCTTGGCACTCGGCATCTCTCTATCACTTCTCGGAGACGGATCCATCTACAGTATCATTCCCGCCAACTACGAGTCGATCGGCCTGGAGCCCTGGCAGGTGAGATCGGATTTTTTGTTTTTTGTTTTTGTGTGTTCTTTTTTGTTTGTTTTTCGCTTTGCTTCAGTCTCCCTGCACTCATCCTCACACTCACGATTGACCTGCTTGATCGGACATGCCGCTCTTTAGACTGGCTTTATTCTATCCGCCAATCGCTGGATTCGACTCATTAGCAACCGCGTCATGGAGCACTTTTACTTTCGCGTGCGCCCAATGTACTTGATGGTGGGCGCGTTGACAGTCGGCTCCATTACGGCGTTCAGCTACGTCTTTCCACCGCCGTTTGCGCTGTTTGTCATTTCGCGTGCTGCGTGGGGTGTCTGCTGGTCCACCATTCGTCAAGTCAGCGTGATGAATGTCATGATGACTGCGGACGACGAGCATCTGGGAGCAACAATGGGCATTCAAGACTCCATCTCGCGCATTGGCTATCTTGCGGGCAACGTATTTGGCGGTATCGGCTTTGACAATATGGGCTACCAGAACATCATGGTGCTGCTCGCCTCTCTGACCGTTCTCGGCATTCCACTCGGCTATCTGGGCATGCGCCGCGAAGAACTCGAAGTCTCCCGGATAGCAGACGAGGAAGACCGTCTGGCTGCCGAGGAAGCTGCCGCCGCCGCCGACGCCGCCGACGAGTTGGAAAACTCGGACAACAACACGGCGTCCGATCAGTCAGCGACCTCGCTGGAAGCGCGCGAGTCACATCTTGCCCTCGAGGTCCTGCCCGTCGAGACCGAGGAAGCCGCACAGTTGCACAAACCTGCGCGGGTTTCGGCGACACAGCGGGCACTTGAGCGCATCCGGGCCAAACGCAACTCAAACCCGAACGAATCGCTCAAGCAAAAGATGATGCGTGTGTGGCCGTTGCTCGTCTGTGGCACCGTCTACGGCATGGTGGGCGAAGGCATGATCATTTCCAGCTTGGGTCTGATTCTCAAGGAGACCGTGGGAGATGCTTTCGAACTGGGCAGCCTCACCATCCCCGTCACCACTCTGGCGGGTGTCTTTTTGGCTTCCCGCTGGATTGTCGATCTGATTGCTGGCACGTTCCTCGGTCTGCTCAGCGATCGCATTGGCTCGCATCGCGCCGCTGTGCTCTACTTTTCGATGGGCGCTCTTGCATTGATGTCGTCCGCGTCCTTCATGCCGCTCCTCATCATCATGTTTTTCGCGGCCACCGGCGCCAACATTGTTTTGCTGGCTGAAGTGGGTCGTGCTGGTGTCGTTGGGTACTACATGACTGCCGCCGACCTTGGCGCTGCAATGGTGAGTTTCTTTTCGGAAAGTTAGAGAGAGAGAAAGAGAGAGAGGCTGCAATTTTCGGAGGGAATCGTCTTTGGTTGTGGAATGTTTGCACTCATCCGCTTCCTCTGCTCGCAAACACAGGGCCCGCTCATCCCTTGGACCATCGAACAGCTGCATGCATCGACCACAACCATGTTTTATGTTGGCGGAGCCGCGTACACTGTCGCTGCTGCCACCGCATTTTTCGGTCTGAAACATTTAGCCGCCCAGCGCGCCGAACAGCTCAAGAAGCGGCTTGCGGCCCAGCAAATCAAGCTACAGCGCACCGCCAGCCGCCGCAAGTCGAGCACAGCCGCCTCGCGGTCTGCTTGAACCGGAATATGGCTTTGTCTTTGACCGTGTGCCCCGATGTCTTGATAGTGTACTGTATTTTTCTTTGTATTCAAACTCCACCTTATAGCTCGCACTGTTGTTTCCTTTGATCGTGAATCGACTTTCTGATCACTTCCAACAGCAAGCCAAGCAGCTTGAATTCTTTCTAAAATCAGCAAACAGCACTTTCTCTTTTTTTGAACCATTTCTTATTTTGCTATTTTTTATTTTTTCATATTTTTTCATATTTTTTCATATTTTTCTTTGAATTTCAGCCATTCATATTCGATGAGCGCGTTCGTTGCGTCGCCATCGCCGCCGCCGGCGCCTGAGGACGGCAGACCAGCCCCAACCCCATGCTGGATCGCGACGACGACGACGACGACGACGAGGACCAAGACGGCAGCAGCAGCAGCGAGGAGGGCGCGATGGAAGTCCCTTGGGCTTTGCTGCCTCCGCCGCTGCCACTTTCCGCTGCCGAGCCAGCCAGCCACACGGACGGCGGTGCTGCGCCTGCCGCGTCAATGTCGTCGCTGGCAGCACCATCCCACCGAGCTCTGCCGCACGACTCGCGCGCCCAGCTGGCAGACACCGGCCGCGGGAATGAGATCTCGTCCTTTGCGTCCGACTCTGACTCTGGCGCTGCAACCGCGAATGGAGCCACTCCTGACGATGACGACGATGGCGATGCCAATGTCAATGTCGATGATGGCGATTCAAACCAGCACAGAGCCCCTGCTGCTGCTGCTGTCCGTGCTGCGGTGGCTCAGCCCGCTCGAGTGCTTGAGCCGTCGCGCATTGCCGCTAATGCTGACTCGGGCAATGCGAATCGCTCGCCAGTGTCGCCGGTATCGCCGGTATCGCCGGCTGCCACCGCCACGGCCGCCCTGGAGGCGCTGCGAGACTCGTTCAACGAATCACAGCTGCTTGGTAGCGGAGGCAGTGGCCAAAAGGCATCGCGGAAGGCGCTGGTCGGCGACGAGTTTTGGAATGCGATTGCTGCCGAGTCGGAGATGAAGAATCACAAAAAGAAGGACACTGGCGACGACGAGGATGAAGACGACTCGCAAGATGAAGAAGGAGACGACGACGACGATGATGACGATGACGATGATGAAGACGACGATGGCGATTCATCGAGCGACGACGAGGAGAACAATCCCGGCTCGCGCACAATGATGGAAATCGACGACGACGACGATGGCATCGAGTTTGACGCCGAGACGGACGGCTGGAGCACGGACGCGGGCGGCGCCGAGCTGCGCGACTTTATCAACTCACTCACGCTCAACATTCCGCCATCGGTGCAACCAGTGCGCTCCATTCCAGTCACAGCGTCGGCCGTGCCGCTGTCGAAAATGTCCACAGAGCAACTGAATCGCGAGCTCTTCCGCATCAGTCTACGAAGCGGCGACGCTACTGCTGGTTCTGGCAAGTCCATCCTTGCTGCTATTAGCCATGGCGCTTCGGTCTTCTATCGTGACCAGCGAGGTACGTCAAAAGGCAAACCAAACCAACACACACACACAAAAGGCTCTATCGAATGTTGTTTGTTTTGCTGCTTCGTGCCTTGCGACTCAACATGTGTCTCTGGCTCTCAGGTCGCACCGCATTGTTTGCCGCTGCGTATTCGGGAAATGCCGAAGGGAAATGCCGAAGCGGCATCACAGCTGCTGGTTTGTTCAGCCGACGCAACGCACAAAGATTCGCTTTGGATGACTCCGCTTCACCTGGCTGCAGCGCGAGGCAAATTGGTAATGCGTGAGCCTTGCCAACATTCCCCAAAACATTTGCTCATTTTGGACTTGGGGGTTCTCCGCCGGCCTTTTCGTGTACAGAATGTCGTCGAGGTTTTGCTTGCGCGCTCAGCGGACGCCAATGCGAGAGATAAAGTTTACCGCACCCCGTTGCACTACGCTTGTCAGTACGGTTTTCTCGACATTGCAAAGGCACTCGTTGATGCAGATGCCGACGTTCACATGGCGGATCGCTCGTACCGCGTCTGCTTGCACCTTGCGGCCTTTTCCGGCAATGGGGCGCTTGTGCGCTGGCTCATTTCGTATGATGCCAACGTGATGGCTCGGGATCGTTTTGGCCGGGGTGTGTTGCATTGGGCCGCGACGGGTGGGTCGCAAGACTGCATCGTGCTGCTCGTTCAAGAGCAAAATCTCGACCCCAACCTGCCCGACAAGGCGGGCCACACGGCTTTGCATCTGGCGGCCCTTGAAGGTCACGAGCTGTCCATCGAGCTTCTCATTCAGTTTGGTGCCGTTGCGGACGCCGTTGACAAGAAGGGCAACACTGCTCTGCACGTTGCGGCGTCGCGCGGTATTTTTGACTGTTGTGCTACCCTTCTCAACTGCCATGCGAACGTCGACGCTCAAAACGCTGCTGGCAATACTGCTGTTCATCTGGCTGTGCTGGGGCAATCGGTTGGGCATCTGGAATGCCTGGAGCTGCTCATTAGTCGCAACGCCAACGTGAATCTTCTCAATAACGCGGGCAAAACGGCCCTCCATCGCGCGGCTGCACACGGTCGCGTCGAGCAAATTGGTACGCTCTGCGAGCAACGCGATTGCCAAGTCAACCTGCTCGCAACTGGAGGCCATTCGGCCCTCCATTTTGCCGCGGCCAGTGGCTCGTTGGATGCTGTTCAATTGTTGCTGGCGAATGGCTCTTCTGCACAAGCGTATGTACACTCTGCACTCTTGCTGCCTTTTCTCGAAGATTTGCTGACTTATTGTTGTTGTTGTTGTTGTTGTCTTGGTTGATGATAGTGTGGGCGAAAGCGGCATGCTCCCGATTCATTGCAGCGCACTGGCCGGTAGCGAGGCTGTTTGCCGGCAGTTGATGGATTTGTGCGACGTGAAGGCTGTCGATGCCAGGCAGCGCACTTGCTTGCACGCTGCCAGCAATCGAGGCTCCAAGGAGTGTGTGGAGCTCTTTTTGAATGCCGGCATTGATCCTCGGGCAACTGATGCCGCTGGCCAGAACGCCATCCATCACGCTGCTCAAGGGCACCATTCGCAGGCCATCTCTCTCATTGCGCAGTACATGCTGCAACGCATGTCACGAGACTCTGTCGTTGAGCTGGTCAACCAACCCGACAGCCTGGGTCGTCGACCGTTACATTACTGCGCGAGCGTTGACGAAGAGAATGCCAGGTAAAGCTCATGCAACAAAAAAAAAAAAAAACGTGTCTCGGGTTGTTTTCTCCAGAGTCTTACGCTCACCCGCTTTTTTAATTCCATTCGCTTCATCAGATGCCTCGATCTGTTGCTTCGCGAACAAGCCAATCCTGATGTTGTAGACAACGCTGGCCGGAATGTTTTCCACTTTGCAGCATTGAGTGACAATGCCGACATCATCGACACTGTATGTGTTTGCTGCTCTTGTTTCGAGTGACTTGCAACACACCAGTTCTCATCACTCATCGCGTTCTTGATTCATTGTTGGCCCATTCCAGCTTGCCCGTGCGTTCTATGAAATCAACGTCACGTTTGTTCGCGATCGCATCAACCGCGCGGATCAGCTCGGGTTGACACCCCTTCATATTGCTAGCTGCGCTGGAAAGTCTCAGGCAACACACGCGCTTTTAAAGCTTGGTGCTGATCCAAGCGCCGTGGATCGGCACGGCTGTGTTCCGCTCTATTGCGCCTCGTATTTTGGATTTGCCCCAGTTGTCAAGCAGCTTTTGTCCCATGGTGCCGACAACTCTGTACATGAAAGCCGACACGGACACACTCCCTTGCATGCTGCAGGTACTGGTGCCGCGTGCTTTGTAGAATGGCGGCCTTTTGCTTGTGTCACTGCTGACTTTTTTTTTGTTGTTCTTTTTGTGTTTTTGGAAAACTCAACCCTTCACAGCATCGAAGGGACACGCCGAAGCTGTCGAAAATCTGTTGGAGACCGTCCATTCCAACGACGTGCGAGACAATTACGGCAACACTCCACTGCTTCTTGCCAGCGCAAACGGCCACACCGATGTTGTCCACACGCTTCTCCTTCGCACAACCCACCCTTCTCTTCCAAACAACTTTGGCATGGGACCGCTCGTCCCCGCTATCGTTTTCGGGTTTGACCAGATTGTCGAGCTGCTTATTGAGCTTGCGGCTCCTCCAGCGACGATGTAAGGAGACTGGTGTTGTTCGTTTTTTGTGGGTGCTGGCTTTCCCACACTCACCACGCACGTTTCCTCCCTCTCTCCTCTTCTTGACCTTTGTCTTTTGTGTTGAATGCAGCGACAAGAATGGACGACATGTGCTTCACCATGCATGCCTGCGAAGCCGATCGGCTGTTGTTGAGGCCCTTTTGAAACTGCCAGGCATCGATATGACACTACCAGATCGCAGCGGTCTCACGCCGATGCACTATGCCTGCTTGAACCGGGATGATTCTGCCATTGTGCCTCTGCTGAATGCTGGCGCGTTGCCGACTGTCGCTGCCAAAATACCCGCGGATGCATTTACACCCTTGCATCTGGCCATTGCCTTTGGAAACAACCTCGCTGTAGAGGCTCTGCTGGGACAGTCTGACTGCCACTGGCAATCTGCGACAGACGTGCTACAGCGGTACGAATGCCTCCAGAACTTGTGTGTGACCAACGTTTTGGCGGGGACTTGCTCTTACTGAATGCCGATTGTTTTGTTTCCTGCGACAACAGAACTCCGCTTTTCTACGCTGCACTGACACTCAATGTGCGAGGCTGTGAGCTGCTGTTGGAGCACGTTGCACCGTCGCAGGATCAGCCCGATTCCTCGTGGAACGCGACCGATTCGTACGGCGCCTCCGCGTTGGTTTTGCTGTTGGCCCTTCAAGTCAGTCAGCGCGAACAAATGATTGCCGAGCTCCGCCACAGCGTCAAGCGCACGGGCAATGTTGGGTTGATTGCTCGCGTCGACATGACACAGGTTCCGGCCGATCTCGACCCTCATGCTAACGAGGACAAGGAGGTCGAAGATGAATCCATCCTCGAGCTCGCCACGCTGCTTCTTGATGCCGGGGCTGATCCAAATTCCACCAACGCGTCTGGATGGAGGTGTGTTTTTGAGCTTGAATTTTTTTGTTTGGCTTGGATTGGTTTGGATTGGATTGTTGAACGAACGAGCTTGATACTGACGTGCCTGGCTACTCGCTGCACTTGCATTCCAGCTGCCTGCACTATGCTGCTCGCTTTGACCGAGTCGAGCTTGTGCATCTCTTGTTGGAGCGTGGCGCGTCGCTCACCGCCCGAAATGCAAGTGGGGAGACGCCGCTCGACATTGCCGCTGGCCATCAGTTCGCCGAATGCGTTACTCTTTTGCAGCTTGCAGCCACTGGAGTTGCGGTTGATTCTCTACCCCGCAAGGAACCGAAGGAGTCCTCGAACGATGGCGCTTCTGACGCGGATGCCGAAGAGGTGTCTTCTGACCCCTCCGACTTGGGCGCAATCTTATCAGGTGAGCAGAGGATGCGTCTTGTGATTGCTTCTGACTCGATTCGTTTGCTTTCCTGAGTTGGTTATTCACGCACGCGATCTGTATGCTTTTTTTGCCTTTGCCTTTGCTCGTTTTCCTAGCCGCCGTTGTCAACCACCAGTCTCGACAAACCGGTAGCACAGGATCATCACCTACGAGCTCCGCGGGCGAGCCTCACAATCGAGCCTCTCGACTGTCGTATGCTGCCGTTGCTGCAGCAGCAGCAGCTTCTGCCGTTGCTGCGACCACTTCCGGTTCGTCTCCGGCACCATTGCAAGACGAAGACACGTTTGAAGTGTCTGTGGGTGGCGAGAATGACGGCGTTGTTGTCGCTCGCTTGGCCAGCTCCGGCCCTGTGGCGGTGGATGTATCAGCAATGATGGCCGAGTTTGTGCCAATGCCCGCTCCTCGCGTCATCTTGCCTGCGAGCCCGCAAGCGCTCGACCCTCTGACTGCCAACCCTCTCGCATCGCCGCTGGATGTCTCTCAGCTCGCCACGACCCCAGTTCTCTCGCGCGCCAAATCCCCAACCCCCGGGCTGGCTCGCGAAGCAAGCATGCCCGACGCGGTTGAGGACAGGAGCTTGGTTTCATCGCAGCCGGCTGCAACCACTGCTCCCCCTTCCAGCGTGGGCTCATCTTCACCTCAGTTTAAACTCCTGCTCGTTCTATCTGCTGGATTCGCTGCACTTGCTGCTTTTATGGCATGGAAGGTGCGCCGAGTTTAAAAACCCCCAAATGTGTTAGCGATTGTGGCTTTTGTTTTATTTTTATGAAATGTTTTGCAACGACGTGCCATCCATTCGTACAGTGGTATTTTATTTGACAATGCAAACGGGAATGTTGAGGTGATGCACGGCATGCTCGCTGACTGATCCCAGCGCGAATCTGTTTGTCGCAATGAATGTTGCAAAAAAACAAATTGTCAACAAAACGAAGCAAACGTGTTTTTCCACTTTCCGACACAAATCAAATCTGTCGCACCTTTTGAATCCAGAAAGCGCTCGTGTGCCCATGATGAGCATGTCTGGACGTTGCTCGTTGACCATGCTTTCCAGGATGAGATCGACATCGTCGCCATGTCGCTCGTGGTAAAAGTATGCAATCTAACAAAACACAAGCAAACATTCACACAAATCTCAGAACTCTGAGCATTCTACCACGTTGCGTTTTGCGTTCCAGCATTTGTTTTTTTCTTCTTCTGAAAATGCAGTCCTGTCGAAGCACTCACTGACTGCTTAACCGGCGCAGTAATCTCAGAAAGCGACACAATTGCGTGGGTTTTTGCACAGCAACCCCCCATTTCCCGCTTTTTCTCCATTTTCTCAGCAAAAGCCGTCCCACTTTTCTCAACGTTGCTCTCTCCCCCTCTCTCTCTCTCTTCTGTACATCTTTGGACAGCCTCTTCGCTCTTTTTGTTTTTGATTGTCGCTCTCAATGGTCCATGCCTCTGCCCTTCGTTTCAAACTCGTAGTAGTGGTCTCGATGCTACCTTGTCGTTGAGTGGAGCGAGTGCGCGCTTGTACTTTTCCAGCACTCGCTTGGCCTTGTCTTCCGCTTCAATGTTGTACGCGCGGTCAATGTTGTCGAGGAAGGGCAGCGGCTGCGGCGGATTCAGCGCCGTTGCGTGGATAATCACAAGCATCACTCCCGTATGCGCTGCACCGGCGACGGCGGCGCGCGACGTGGGCTGCTGGGTGGTCGTGGTGGTCGTCGTCGTCGTTCTGGGCGTCGGCGTTCGGTCGGTCGATCGCTGCATCCGCGCAGCCAGCTCGACAGCGTGACGAAGCGCGCGATCAGCACACTCGGAGCCATCCACAGCTACCATGATAATGTATGGCGCACTCGGCGACACGTCGTCGACAATCGCGCCGAGGCTCGCAAGCGGGTCATCAAACGACATTTGTTCTAAGCAAAGAAAAAAAAAACGAAAAACAAGGTGCGTTCTCTGAGAAAGTCAAATCCAACAAGAAAAGTCGAAATGAAGAGTGATAACTTAAGCTCGAGGACCATCAATGTTATTGTCAAGAGACATGCATCTGGTCGCTCAGACGTGTTCATGCTTTTTTTGGGGGCGTTTGTTTGTGTGGTTCTCAGATCGCACGTCGCTCAGCATTTTTCATACTGTACACGATTGTACAGTTACGTTGTTGTCCGTTTGAGGTCTTTTCATTCAACAACTCACTCCCCTTGTTATTATTATTGTGGCACAGACAGACACACATCGACATGGACGACGACGACGGGATTCAGCTCAACTTTGCGCCGTCCAAGCCAACCAAGCCAACCAAGCCAAAGCCAACAAAGACACGAGGCAATGGAAATGCTGCTGCTGCTGCGGGTGGTGGCTTCCAACGCCGCGCCGACCATCACGGCGGTGCACGACCATCGCACTATAACGCAAGCCGCGGCTGGAGCGACGCGGATCGCAGCCACATGGGAGCAGGACGAGGCGCTGCTGCTGCAGGACGAGGCGCTGCTCCCGGACGAGCATTGCCATCGAGTAGCAGTAGCAGTAGCAGTAGCAGTAGCAGTAGCAGCAGTGGTGCTGCTCCTGGTGCTGCTGAGGGCAGGCAAGGCGGATCGCGCAGCTCGGCCGTGCTCGCGGCGTCGTTTGGTCAACGAGGCAAGGCGTCGGGACTCGTCTCGTCGCTGTTCAGCTCCAACCCAGGGGATGCTGCGTCAGACACTGCGCGCGGTCGGGCTATCGACACGGCGGCGGCTGCGACAGCGGCTGGTGCTCGGTCTGCCAAGGTCAAGTCCATTGGCGAGCTGGGCTCGAGCTCGAGTCGGCAACAACAACAACAACAGCCTGCGCTGGACCCGAACGGCGTCGAGACGTTTGCCGATCTCATGCTGGACAGGAGACTGCTGGACACGATCGAAAAACACATGCAGCTGGCCGAAATGACACCGGTTCAGCGCTTGGCGATTCCCGTGATGATGCGAGGCGATGATGCTCTCGTCCGCTCAGAGACCGGAACAGGCAAGACGCTGACATTCCTTGTGCCGATCGTCAACAAGCTCGTGGCGCGCACCGATACCTTGCGGCGGACGGACGGCGTGCAGGCCATCATTCTGGCGCCAACACGCGAACTCGCATTGCAAATCCACACCGTGCTCCAGCAGCTGCTCAAGGGACACATTAACATTGTCTCTGGCCTCGTGGTCGGTGGTGAAAAGCGCAAGTCGGAGAAGGCCCGATTGCGCAAGGGCCTCAACATTTTGATTGCAACACCCGGCCGTTTGCTCGACCACCTACTGCACACGCGCTGCTTTTCTGTCGCCACTGTGCGCTTCCTCGTGCTCGACGAAGCCGACCGCCTCACCGATCTCGGCTTTGACAAGGACGTGTCGGCCATCGTTCGAGCGCTCGACGGTGGACGCTACGACATGGTTCGCGAAGAGCGCGAGGCGCGAGCTGCCCGAGAGCGCGAGCTCAATGGCGGCCAGCCCGCGAAAAAGTCAGGCAACGATGACGATGACGATGACGATGACAATGACGAAGAGACTGCCATCGAGCTGAAGCCCCAACAACAGCAGCAGCAGCAGCAACAACAGCAGCAACACCAACAACAGCAACAGTCGTCATACCAGCAGCACAACCGGGTGCATCGCCAAAACATTTTGATCTCTGCCACGTTGAAAGAAGGTGTCAAGCGCTTGGCAGGCATCAGTCTGGAAGATCCCACCTTTGTGGATGCGTCCCAGCAGGCCCTGCGCAAGCTCGGCGCCAAAGACTTTGGATCGCTGCCGTTGAGCAGCACGGTGACTGACGACGGCGATGAGCTGTTTACCTTGCCCGAGCATTTGGTGCAATGCTATCTTGTCGTGCCACTCAAGCTGCGACTGGTCACCCTGGCAGCCTTCTTGTTGCATCGCTGCGCTGCGAAGGGCAACAAGGTTCTCGTCTTCCTCTCGAGCCGCGACTCTGTCGACTTCCATTACGAACTCTTCAAGTCAAGCGTCATGTCTGCGGAACCTCTGGCGGAGGAGACCGAACAGCAGCAAGACGTTTTGATCGACCCCCAGATTGCCAAGCAACTCGCCGCCGTCCAGAAAGAAGTCATGGATGCCCGACGCGCCGCAAGTGCCAAGCATCGAGGGACCACCATGATGCAAGTGGACGGAGAAGACGAAAATGCCAATGTGGACGACAGTGACGAAGACGAGGATGATGAGGTCGACAGCCATGACGATGACGGCGACTCGGCCGGCTCCGAGAGCGAACCCGAAAACCCAGACGACGAGACGACGAGCCTTCCATGGAAGCTCTCAAGACCAAAATGGCGGCCGCCAAGAAGGAAAAGAAGGCAAAGAGCTCGACCAAGCAACCTGCCAACGCTCTCTTCCGGGGTGTTCCCATGTTCAAACTGCACGGCAACATGAATCAGCAACAGCGCACGCAGGTCTTCCGCGACTTCGGCCGTGTTTCCAGCGGTGTCCTGTTCTGCACGGACGTTGCATCTCGCGGTCTTGATCTGCCGAATGTTGACTGGATTGTTCAGGTGAGTTGTGTGCCGGTTGTCTGGTGATGATACTGCTTTTTTTTTTGCTTTCGCACACTCTCGCTGAGCTACACCTTGTGACCTCCTTACTACTTGCACAGTTCAACACCCCAGGCGACACGGCAGATTACATTCATCGCGTCGGCCGCACGGCTCGTGTGGGCCGCACAGGCCATGCGCTCCTGTTTTTGGCTCCCCATGAAACCCCGTATGTCGAGACGTTGGCCAATGCCCACGTCAAGTCAATCGAGCAAGTATCGCTGGAATCGGTGCTTGCACCCTTGTCTGGTATTGTCGAGGCGCGATTGCCCAGCGACCACCCGGCGAACATGGGATCGAAGAGCACCAAGCGACGCGGAAAACGCAGCGGCCTGCTCTTCAGCGTGGAGGATGCTGCTACCGCGGTCCAGCAGTGCTTTGAGCGTGCCATCATTCTTGCACAAAACAAGCTCCAGGAGGAGGAGCGCGAGAAGCATCGCAAAGAACTCATGGATCAGCGAAATCATCGCAAGCGTCGTGGCGATGCGGCTGCCGAGGAAGCAGAGATGGACAAGGAAGAAGAGCAAGCGGCGAACGGTAAGCCAGCCAAAAAGCGCTACTCGTCTGCAGCTGCGTTGGCTGAGGCAGAAGAGGCTGGCCAGACCAACGTAGCACTGCTGGCACGTGCCGCTTTCCAGTCCTTTGTTCGCGCATACGCCACCTACCCAGCGCTCCTCAAAAAGATTTTCCACGTGCGGCTGTTGCATCTGGGTCACCTCGCCAAGAGCTTTGCCCTGCGCGAAGCCCCCAAGGACATTACGGTACAAGGCCAAACTGGTGGCGGCGACTCGCATGCACCGACAGGACCCGGCGGTGCGCCCATTCAGCGCAAGAACAAGCGACTGGACTTTCGGTTGGATGCCGAAGGGAATCGGCTGCCTCCCCCGATGCCGGTGGCTCGACCAAAGCGCACAGCGGTCGACGAGTTTGGCGATGGCGGCAGCAGCAGTAGTTCTGGAGGACGTGGCCAAGCCCACCTTGGTCATCACGTTCAAAAGAAGGCAAGGTTGTTCCCGAAGAGCATGATGCCCAAGGGTAAAGGGAAGCGATAGTCTCTGAACATGTTTGAGTTTTTGGGCAATACACTTTTTTTTTTCGGGTTTTTGGGCTGTTTTTGATCGTTATCGACATGATGTTGAGATTGAGAGGTTTTGGTTTTGTCGGTAGCGTCATGATGTGCATAGATTGAGAGCTTGGTGGAAGAGGGTTTTTTTTTTGTTCTTTTTCTTTATACAAGTGCAAGCTTCACAATAATCATCATCAGCAAGCAATCAACATGGACAAATAGTCTAAAAAACAACAAAAACCAAAGCCCACACATACACAATGGTAGCAAGGCTGGAGAGGAGAAATGAGACCGAGAGGCGTCGACAACAAAAGCAACGGAAAACAGCAAAGTCTGAAACATCCATTATTCAACAATCGTGTTGATAAACTCAAGGAATCGGCTTCGGTAGTGTTCAGGATGGACTGTTGAGATTTCAGCATGGACCTGAACAAGAGCCAGGACCAAAAAACAAAAATAAAAATAAACAAGAATGTGAGCCAATGGATTGTTGAAATCCCATGACGGCAACTCATGACGGCAACTCGCTCGTGGTCCGTACGCCATGTTTCATCGTCTTGGCGGTATGCGCAGCCTTCTTTTTGGCGCCATACACGGTCAGCACGTCGATGATGGCCACAAAGTACACCTCATCGTGCTCTTCCGACGAGCTGGGAAGCGAGTACACATCCACGTCTTGATCGATGGGCTCTTCACCTTTACTTGTTCGGTGAATGCCCACAAGGAAGCTATAGTCCATCAGTTTTAACTTGGCGAGGAACTGGTTGTTGGAAAGGCACAAAGCAAGTCAAAGAGCTCAACATGAGAAAACAACTTGGGCAGGAGCGATTGCTGTCGTGCAAATAAACCGAAAATCAGGGGCTCCACTCACCGCAGTGTCACGCTCCAGCGTAGCAATGAGTTGCTCTTTGATGTCGTTGCCGAGGTACAGTTTGCGGTTTCGGGTGCGGAGATCGTTGTCTTTGAGGGTGGCACCGCCCTTGGCAATCTCCTCCCCGTCTGCCGATCGTTGCACGGTAGAACCTTTCAAGTCGTACTTTTCTTGGACTTCGTGCGTGGCACTAAAGACGTTCCGCTGTACGAGCAGATACGTCTCCACGTTATCCACGGTAATTCGGTACATGCCGACGTATTGAGGAAGCAGAGTTCGAGCCGATGTTTCGACAATGTACTGCGGCACAAGGAAAAAGAAAGGGAAGCAAGGAAAAAAAAAAGGTGTCCAAGAAACAAGTGCAGACGAAGCAGAAAAAAAAGCGTGGAAGTGAGTAAATCGAAGCGTAAACACCCCCCCCCAAAACACAAAACAGGCAAATGAAAAGTGGCCCGTACAGTGTGATAAAGGGGCAAAATGTTGTGCATCAAGTCCACTTCGATTTTGGACATGGACTTGACAATAAATCGCTTGTCGTGGGTCATGTAAAACGACGCGCCGCTCTTGCCGTTGGCTTCCACCGGAATTGGCTCTGCGCCTGCCAGAGAGTACTGCGAAACAACAAGAAAAGGAACGAAAAAAAAAAAAAAAAAGGTCAGCAAAAACACATCGACAAGCGTACACCAACGGCAGCAAAACTCGTTTGGCCTACCAAGTACTGGTCTGCGTCGACGCCAAATCGCTCTCGCAAATCGACCAGCACAATTGGGCAGTACTCTTTGAACTTGAACTTCATTGGCAAATCCGATCTGTGACAGAGCATCAAGAAGGCCCCAGCAATGTCAGCCCCCTCCTTCCAATACAAAAAACTCACACACACAAACGAAAAAAAAACCCCATAGTGCAATGTGATGTGCCATCGACACAGGTTATGTACGTGTTGAACTGGTGGTTGTGAATCTTGGTCTTGGAGTAGGCCTTGAAGTGGACTGGCAGCAGCAATGTCGGTCGCTCGACTTGCGACAATTCGTTCATCTGCAATGTTGGGTATACGTTTGTTCATTGAGTAGCTTGTTCATCGGTTTTGACAAGGCAAGATTGTTGTATGGACTGTGCTGTGCCATTGGCGATCGAAATCAAAAGTAACAATTGCATCTCATTTTTTCAGTCGTTTCGACCCCCCGCCTTCCCCCTCCCCCTCCCCGCGTCCAAACGAACAGTCATTCATTGCACTGAAGGAAGGAGCGATGATTGTGACGCATCAAGCCAGACAGAAGCACTTGCAGTTGTGCGGGTCGGAGGCGCACAAGTATAGAGAACGAAAGCCGCTTTTTTTTTTTTTTTTTTTTTTGGGCGTCCCAACGAGCGCTTTGCTTCCCCTCCTCCAAAACTGCCGCTTGTGACGACATCATCTTATTCGTCACAGTTGATTCTACACAAGCAGGGAAGTGAGAGAGAGTGGGAGTGGGAGTGAGAGTAAGGGAGAGTGAGAGGAGTTAAAAAAGCGAAGGCTGGGCCAATGACAGGTTTCCAGTCTCCACACACACACACACACGGATGCAGGAGACCAGCGCAAGGATGATACACACAGACAGAGAGAGACCGAGTCAATGCACAAACACACAAAGCAGAGCAGCCAAAGCAACAGAAAAAAGCAAAAACATTAAAAAAATAAATAAAAAATAAAAGAAATTAAAATAAAAAAATAAAATAATAAAATAATAAAAATTCGGCTTTTTGTTTCAAGTTGTATGGATGATGATCATGATGATGCTCATGATGATGCTCGTGATGATGATGATGATGAAGTTGGAGCCCGCGCACCATAAAGTTGACGCCCCACTGGAGGACGGCCTGCAGCGGATCCGAGGCGCGGAAGACCTTCTGGTTTTGCTTGACGGGCTTGAATCGAGACTTTGTATTCATTGGCAATAGGATGAAAAGACTGAGTGCAATAAGATTGAACAGGAAGCAATAGTAAGGATGAGGATGGTCTATGGATGGTGATGGCAATGTCGATACAAATGAAAAGAAGTCGTGCAGCTGCACAGGGACGAGGAGCGGAGCAGGTAACAAGATTCAATACCCCGACCTGGACTGCACACACAACAGCCATCCCCTATTCGAGGGTCCAGCCGATTGTGTGTGTGTGTGCGGATGGTATTTTCACTGATTTTGCACTGTTTTTGGGAACCCCCCCCTCGCCTCCCTCTGGAAAAAGCGTTTTGGATTTGTTTGAATCGGCTCCTGACATCGGGTTTATCCAAAGAAATTATACAAGTAATTTAAAAACAAATCGGGGGCCCGACTAAGGTAACAGGACGATGTGGTGGCGTGAAATAAAGCGGAAAGAACGCCCAAGAGTTAGCAGAGACAACAAGCAGACAGCAAACAAGCTTCCTAGAGCAGAAGCACGGTCTACCTGAATCATTATAAACCAATTTATATTCATTCCTTCTTCGAAGGAGCCTTCCGCACCCCTGCCCAAACCTCCATACCAATAACAACCATCTGAAGGAGGAGCCCACGACGGTCAAGGTCGCTCACTGGGCGGTCGGCGACCTTTAACATGCGCCAAAGTTCACGGTACTTCTCGTACGTGATAAGTTTTGGATATGCTTGATCATTTCGGCTGCTGCGGATGCTCTGTGAAAGGTCCCAGGTGTCGTAAGAAAGCGCGTGTTCTTTAAGTACACGCGTCAAACTGTCCAGATGAGGCGCGTCACTCGAGGCATTTGTGTTCAGTGTGACGCGAGCGATTTCTTCGCCTAGAAGCGTGCGGAATTGTTGTGGAGATGTATTGCGGTCTCGAGCTAAATCAATAAAGTAGTCACTGGCTCGCTCGAGTGGAGCATGGAAGGTGATGGCAGCACTCTCTTGCGCACTCTGCTGCAGCATGCTGGTCTTGAGGTCCGCGATCTTAGCCTCAAGCTTCTCTGCGTGGGCAGCGTGGCTGGTCTTGAGGTCCGCGATGTCGGTAGCGTGGCTGGTCTTGAGAGCGTGGCTGGTCTTGAGGTCCGCGATGTTGGCCTCAAGCTTCGCTGCGTGGGCAGCGTGGCTGGTCTTGAGGTCCGCGATGGCCGTTGTGAGTGTGTCAATGGTGTGGTTGAGAGCGTCCATGCGCGGGTTGGGAGGGACGAGCCATAGCTCAAAATTCTGGTGGCGCTGCGCTGGGGCTGCCTTGGAAGCTTCGAGCGCCGCTTTTTGCTTGTAGCACTCGTCGAGTTGTGTCTGCAACTCGCGGATCAGCTGCTCGGGCGGGGGATCCTGCGAGCTATGTGCGGGGACTGAAGAGGAAGCCAAGTGATGAGTGAGAACAGACCATGGACAGCAACAACGAGCGGCGGTTGTGTCACTCACTGCCAACGTGGAGACAGCGCACCGGCTGCATGACAAGGTTTCTCGGTGACGCAAGGTCGTGCCCAGAAAACGGCAGCGGGAGAGGGCGCGAGGACATGGCCAAGACAATTGTCTTGGCGTTGGCGTTGGCGCTCGCTCTGGTGCAGTCAAAGCCGTCTGTGCGATGGCTCGCCGTGTTGTGAGCAGTTGCTACGGTTGCTAGCATGCGAGAGCCGCAAGCAGCCAAGCGAGCGGCACTGCGGGAAGCCACGAGCATGGAAAATGTCGGCATTCAAATAAAAAACCGAAAAACAGAATTAACAAAAAACAAACAAACAAGCAAACAAACAAAAAAACAGGCTGTACAGGTTCTAAACGCGGACATGCGAGAAACAGTTTGGTTGGTCGATTGGTATCGGGCACCACAGTTTGCTCCAGAGGCATCTGAATTGCTGTTGCAGGCTGTCTGTGGACACAAATAGTGGCGATAAGGTCGTCATTCCACTGACATGACAACAATCAGTCTTTTTAACAATGGAATCACACGCCTCTCCCAAGACCGCCTCGGTGCCCTCTTCCGGGACTTCTCCCGGAACTTCTCCCGTGGGTTCTTCAAAGCGTCAAGCAGAGGACCCTTCCGGAGGTCAATCCAAGCGTGCCAGAACCGTAAGCGGACCGAGACCTGCCCGATATGGTACTTTTGAAACCTCACAAGTTCTGCTCGAACAGCGTGCAAGCAGCAGCAGCAGCAGCCAGGCAGCACCCCCTTCAGTCAGTATCCACATGCTTGGTTTCTAAATGGACGATTGGACAGGGAACTGATTGTTGCTTTTCTGCTCGAACGATAGGTTAAGAAGATGATCGAGAAGCTACCCCAGAGTCTCCGCCAGTCTTTCGGTACGATTCGTCCACTGCTTGGAGTGTGTCGTTGTTTCGCCGACTGGCGTGACAACAGAGCTTCCCTGGAAGAATGCTGGCCTTCGCAGGCACCTGCTCGAAATGCTGTCCTCCAACCCAGACATCGAGCCAGAAGTGGTGAAAGCCCTTGTCTACGAGTTCAGTTTTTTCTCGTGCAAGGCATCTGCTCTTGATGTAGCCCAAACGCGCAGTGCAAGTTTGAAGAACAAGGACGCAACGCACCCCCAAGGAAAGCCTCTCCGAGCCGTGGATGAGCTTCTTGATTGGATTCAGACGTGGCTCACAAAACAAGGTACGAGTGTGTGTGTGTGTGTGTGTGTGTGTGTGTGTGTGTGTGTGTGTGTGTGTGTGTGTGTGTGTGTGTGTGTGTGTGTGTGTGTGTGTGTGTGTGTGTGTGTGTGTGTCCTCGCTATTTTTCACGATTTCGTTGAATAGCCTCATTGAAAACAGATTCCGCACAGATTCGAGAGTCTCTTGAGGCCCTGCTGAAAACACTTAAACGGCGCTCGCCCTCCCAACATGGTGGCGAGTACCCCCTCGTCGACCTGCAAGTGGCAACCAAAGCTCTGGAAGCCAACATGACCAACAGGCTAAACGCTTCAAAGAACCAAACCGAGGCACGATTGGAATACCGATCGTCCATCGCCTCGACACTACCCGGTGCTGGCAAGTCCCGCCTTTGTTCCGAGTTCGTCAAAAACATTGCCCCCAAGTTCTTCAAGGATCATCAGCTGCATGGGGTTTGCTTATCCACTATGTTCAATTTCTTGCACCCATTTGACTCGTCAAATGACTGGACCATCGTCATGGGAGCCCACCACGAGCACGCTCTCTCAACTCGTCTCTTGTCGGCGTACTTTGACATTGAAACCAAGGTTTTTCAGCGCAATTTTTTGCAAACTGGTAGCTTCCAAGCGGCGGCGTGCTTGAGGCTCGTTCAGGAGTTTGAATTCGAGCTCCGTCATGGACGCAAACCTGGCGAAGGTGATGAGTTGCCGTACCTCGCGATTGCTATTGATGAAATCAACAGACTACTTGTAGAGCCGGACAGCGCTCTCGTTCCCCCTGATGTCAAGGGCGACGCTCAACGACGGCGTCATCTGCTCAAACAAACGTTGATGTCTCTCAAGGAGGCTGCTGCGGCAGGCCAGCGTTTTTTTGTGCTCTACGCAGGAACTATACCTGATCAGCTCACTTCAGGTCTGACAGAGACGGGACACACACAACCCGCTGGGGTCAGCAGCTTGGCGGTTGACCCTGTACCTTTGCCGCCGTTCAAGAGCAGGCATATTGCCCAATTTGCCGACTATGTGGCCGCAAAATTGGATCGTTACAAGGATTCTCCCCAAGTTTGGCGGCTCGACGCATCCATTGTGCATAAACTTCGCATTTGTGGCGGTTTGCCACGCCACATTGAGGTTGCGCTTGGTCTACCGTTTCACACAGCGATCGCAACACCAACGATCAGCATTCCCTCTTTGATCGAGCTGGTACATTTTTGCGCATTCACGCGCACCGATGAGCCACAGGAAAGCGACAAGCTCGGCTGGATCAGCTCAGGAGCAGCTTTCGTTGGTATGAAACAACGCTCATTCAAACTTGTTCGCTTCCTGCTTCGATATCTTACACGTGTTGTTTGACACAGATGACATTCCGAGTGGCAGCTCTGTCTTTCAATTCAACTTGTTTATGAGGCTTGATCTTGGTACGCATGGCGGTTGACATCTGCCTGTTCTTCGTGATGCGAAGGGCAAAGTTGCATTTTAACTCAACGCAACGACATGTACCACGTTTTTGGAGGCGTGCAGATTCACCATCCGGCAGTTCGCCTGACGCTTTTGGTCAACGGCTGCAGGATTGTCTTCAGAAGATTCGCGAGGGCGTGAATCATCCTCCTTCTGCGCCCGATTTGTGGGAGCGAATCGTTGTTGCCCTTTTCAATCTGCGTGTGAGGGCGTTTCTGGCCAAGGAAGTGAAGAAACTCGCAACGATGCCATCCTCGATTGATGTGCCTCTTGAGCAAGTGCTGCCAGGTGTCACGTTTGGCCCGGGTTGCGCAAATCTTAAGCTTCGATTGACACCGGAAAACTGGAGACAGGGAGGCCAATTTATGCAACTCGCGGAGCCCTGCACACCGGGAATTGACAGCTACCTGGAAGTTACAGTCGTCGATTCTGTAGGTGGCTTTGAGTAGCTGTTGTTGTGTTGTTTTGAGCTGTTGTTGTTGTGTCGATTTGACTGAGCCGACATTCTTTTTGGGCTTTGGACGCCTACAGGCCAACCAACTGTCCGAGGCCGTCATTGGTCTCCAGATGAAGCTTCATATGGACCTTCCAACAACAGGTCCTGTTGAATTGCAAACCTTTGAACGGGATGCCTTTAACTATCTCGAAGGAAAGTATCCCGGCAAGACCTTGTTCGTCGGTATAATGTCCACTTCTAGGTTTGATGCTCCGAGCCCTGCGCAGAACGCATGGGTACTGGAGCGTGACAAGTTGAACGACTTTGCTCAAGGATTTCAAGTCGCCGTTCAGAGTAAGGCCCCGTCATTTCTTCGTGACTTGGACTGTTGACTAAATCCCGCTTCCGACAACGCGACAGGTGCATACATGTTTGACCCGCATCATAGCTCTGCCTCGCACATCGCGAGTTTTCTGTATCCGTCGAAGCCACAGAAAGTTTGCAACGCCCTTGCTCGCCTGATAGTCGAGACTCGCGCGTCACTTCGCCCACTATTCACAACTGCAAGCCAGTTGCACCAGTTTTTGATCGCGAACATTGGTCGATCGAGGACAGTCTCGTGGACGTCTGGCAAAAATAACCAGGAGCGACATGAGTTCACGCTCCAGCCCGATGATGTTCCGTCCGTTGAGCAGCTGTGCTGGTACTTGGCTTTGCCTGAAGACCCCGTCGCAGCCACTGCCGGTTCGTCCTCGAGCTCTTCGGCCATCTGACGCGAGCTTTATGACAACGTGGCGGACAGCCGTGGAATTCACAAAATGCCCATCCACTTGGTCATGGGCGCGCTTGCGAGATGGTGCCAGCAATCCAGCGCTGGGTGCAACACTGCTTCAGCAGTACTGGCAAATGTTAGATGCCCAACGACCACAGTGCCAAGAGAGGATGTCATCGTCGTATTGTTGTGACGAGATTGGGTTTTTATTTGCAAATGTCCAACAGGTTTTTGTTTTGGTTTTGTTTGTGCTCGTCTAAAGCTTTATTAAGAATAACAAAGAAAAAAGAACGTAGGATATGAGACAGTTGAATGTCGTCATAACGCACACCAGTGAAGGCAAGCGGGAAGGGTGCTCAAGTGCTCACAGAGGAACTCGAACAGATGATCAGCCGGGCTGACAATGGAAGGATCGGGCATCCCCCACCTGTACACCACGAAAGACATTCTGCTAGCCATTTCGGTTCACTAGCAAGTAGACGGCTGGCAGGCGGTCCCACTTCCCTGTGCTGGCCAATGAGAGCCAACGCGCGGTGTATTTTTATTGTCGTTGTGTGGTATCTCAGAGCGTGTACTTTGCAACAGATGGTTCGGGACCTGAGATTTGGTTATTACTCGTGGAGCTGATCACCTCACTCAATGTTGATCCTCAAAGATTTGCCATGAGAATTTCGGATTGACAACAACACACACAGCGCAATTGACAGCATGAGCGGGGTGACTAAAGTTGCTCTACGCAATGCACTGGATTGGTTTTGCAGACACCTCCTTCTTCTGGCCCTGGTCTGCGCAATGCACTGACGTGCCGTTTGATGTTCTTACCATTGTGCTCAGTATTGCATCTTCGTGCTCTTCTTTTGTCTTTTGTCTTTTGAACAAGTCATTCTTGTTTTTTTTGTCTTCTTCTTCTTTGAAATTTTCTTTTTCCTGCCTTTTCAGTTTCATTTTCCCCTTTTCTTACTCTTCCATCGATGGAATCAAAGTTTCTGACTGTGGCGCGACGTGAGCGCAAGCAGGTCGAATCGGCGCTCCTTGTACGGCTTGCGGCGAGCTAACAATCCGTTGTTGTTGACCCACCGCGCTCGCTTCCCTGCTCTCATTCTCTCTCGCTCTCTCTCACTCTCTCTCACTCTCACTCCCTTTCATCTCGCTCTGTGCATCCCATCACTTTGCTCGCACTGCTTCCGCTGCGCTGCGTTCTCGATCGGAGCTCAATTCAAACAAAATCCTCGGCGGAACCAAACGAAAGCCAACGAAGCAATGGTTTTTTTTTTTTTTTTTTTTTTTTTGCTTTTTACCAAAAAACCGCCAACTCTGTGTTTCCAATCGTCCTCGCTTCGCTTCTCTGGTCACTGTTGATGACACGTAGAGTGATGATGCGCGAGGTCGTTCATGGGACGACAGCGAGGCAGGTCCTGAGCGATCAGAATACGCAGCAACCGGCAACAAAATCAGGAGCGACGACCAATTTTTAATGCTTTTTTTATTTATTTTATTTTTTTATTTTTTTATTTTTTTATTTTTTTATTTTTTATTTTTTATTTTTATTTTTTATTTTTATTTTTTATTTTTTATTTTTTATTTTTTATTTTTTATTTTTTTATCATAGGATTTAACATTGGGGTTTGTGTTGTGTTTTTGTTGTTGTTTTGTCGTTGTGATCACGACTTCTTTGAATGACTTTTCCATTCTTCTGTTGCGCTCCTTGTCTTTTTTCTTCTCCTTGCTTGGTCGCTTTCACGTCCCATCCATCCATTCGTTTTGCTCGGCGCCTTCAGCTGGAACCCCGTTTTTTTTTTCCCCGCTGTTGTTCCCCTTTCATTGTGTTTCATGATGGATCGCACAGTTGATTCGTTTCTCCACTTCCCCATCACAACCCTTTCGTATGCAAATTCTGTTTTAAACACTTTAACTCTATCACGCAGGGCAAACAATAACAAACAGACCTGCCTTTTTATTTTATTTTTTATTTTGTTTTATTTATTTTATTTTATTTTATTTTATTTTATTTTTTATTTTTATTGTGGTTCGCGTCCATGACAAGGGCACATCAGAGGCAAAGAGGCGGGGGTGGGGGGTGGTGGATGCGATGGAGATGACATCGCAATGCTCCTATCTTGTCGTCTGTCCCCCCTTCTACGCATCGTAAACAGGCAGAGGCAGTCAAATCGAAATTTGAACAGATTCAATGCTCACCGCTGCCACTGCGTAATCATCGTCTTGTCTGCCCTGTCTCATCCTCACCTGATGCCGATTCTTTCCTCTCTCTGGAATAGGAAAAATGCGTCCGGGCTTGGATGAGCGAAGTCCTCGGAAAACCAATCCCGGAAGATTTCGTGAGCTTTTTGCGCAACGGTGTCATTCTGTGCGGTAAGTCAAGCAAGGACGAGTCCATGTTGCATCACAGCTCCCATCGCATGCAGCCAGTGCAAATTGTCAACCAAACAAAAAAGGGGTTGGGGGGGGGGATTGGGAAACTCATGCCATCCTTGCTCACTCTCAATCAATCTCACTCTCATTTCTCCCTTCTTTTTGGCAGAACTCGTCAACACAATCCAACCGGGCTTGATCCCTGCATCGGTCGTGCGCACAGTGCCGTCCAAAATGTCGCCATTCCAGGTGGCTCGCTCGTTTGACAACGTCCGACACTTCCTCAAGGTCTTGCCGCTGCTTGGCGTGCCAGAAACCACGCTCTGCTCACCCGGCGACTTGGTCGAAGGCAAGGACGTCAACAAGTTTATCAACTGCGTGTACAACCTTGGTCGCATTTGCGGCACCAACGGCAAGACGGTCAAGATGCCCGCACCTGCAGCACAGTCTGCGGCGCGATCGGCCAACGTCCGCTCCATCTTTGGCGAGCAGGAGCTCACTGGTCCGTTCGACTCGAACGAGCCCGTTCTGTGGTACCACAAGGATCCGCTGGACAAGTCCAGCGCGGCCATCCTCGTCAAGGCCAACGGCACAGCAGGCTGCTTCATCATCTACCCCGAGCGCAACAACACAAAGCAGTTCAACCTCACCATGCTGCTCCCGTCGGGTCTGCATCGCCAGTTCCGCATCCAAACCTTTGGCACCCAGTTCTCACTCGGTGGCACCCGATTTGCCTCGCTCAACAAGCTTGTCGACCACCACACCAAGTGGCCTCTTGCCGATGGCCAAACCCTCAACCCGACCGTGCAGGTCATTGCACAGGCGGCCATGTCTGCCGAGGACCGCCGCAAGTCGGTCATTTCGCTCGCCGAGGACGACGACGACATTAAGCGCCAAATCCAGTCGGCGCACGAGGTGGAGAGCAGCGCCAACAAGCTCAAGTCGCTTCTCGAGCAAAAGACAAACCCAACCCCGGCCGACCTCAAGCAGCTCGAGACGCTCGACACGACCATCCGCTCAGCGCAGGCCAAGATTGTGCTGCTGCAACGTGCACTGGGCACCGAGACCAGCTCGGACACTTACCAGGACGCCAAGCTGCTGAAGGAGGCTATTGCCGTGCTCGACGCCCAGCAAGAGACGATTGGCGACGATGAGGACGAGTCGGGCATTCCGCACAACTTCCGCGTGCGCACCTTCCTTTCGCCCAAGTTTTGCGACCACTGTGCCGGCTTCATCTACGGTCTCGCTCGCCAGGGCCTCAAGTGCCGCACATGCGGTTTTGTGACCCACAAGCGCTGCCGTGAGCATGTTTCGCACAACTGCATCAACCGCCCCGACGCAGCCGTTCCGCAGTCGCCCAGCGCCGTGGACGACAGCAGCGACACGGAATCGCTCGCCGAGGAAGCCGAGCCCGAGGACATTACTTCGCAACGCTCGATCGGCAAGGCCATGGACGCGCTCATCCGCGACTTTTGGAAGAGCAACACGCAAGGCGCGGCTGCTTTGCCTGTCGCCAAGTTTATGCGGCTGCTGGAGATTGCCTTCCCTCGCGTCGACCTCCCCGAGCTGCAACGCCGCTTCAAGAGCCTGACCGACGACGAGCTGGGTTCGCTCGGCGTTGACCAGTTTATGACCTTCTACAAGGTCTTGTTCATCAACACTCACTCGCAGGGTCTGTTTGAGGCGTATGCCACGTTCAACGGCGAGACCTTGTCGGCGCAAGAGTTCCGAACCTTTTTGACGGTCGAGCAAAAGCTCTCTGCCACTGAAATTGACGCCATTCTCGCCCTGCTCAACTCTGTTCCGCTGACCCAGGCGGTCACGGATGCCACTCTGCTTGAGGCGGCACCCGTGTCGACGGGCGACGATGTTGAAACGTCAGCCCTGCTCGAGCCCACGTCCGTCCTGCACCACCTCAAGAACAGCGCGTCTTGGCACGCCGGCCATCGCGTTTTTGGCCCTGTGCTGGGTGTCACGTCGGAGCGTCGTCTCACGATTGGCGGTTTCCTGAATTACCTCGTTTCAGACGTCAACTCGAGCTGGCTTCGGGCGCACACCACCGTGTACCAGGACATGACGCAGCCCCTCTCCGCGTACTTTATCAACTCGTCGCACAACACGTATCTCGAAGGCGATCAACTGCGCAGCAACTCTACCGCGGAGGCGTATGCAAAGGCCCTGCAGGCCGGCTGCCGCTGCCTTGAGCTGGATCTTTGGGAAGGTGCCAAGGACGAGCCCGTCATCTACCACGGCTACACGCTCACGACCAAAGTTGCAGCACGCGACGTTGTTGAGGCGATTGCCAAGAACGCCTTTGTCGCGTCGGACTACCCCTTGCTGCTCTCGCTTGAAAATCACCTCGGTGTCCGCCAACAGCGCGTTTTTGCCCAGTACTGCATCGACCTGTTTGGCGACAAGCTGGTCACGGCCAAGGACGGCTGGTGGGAAACCAACCCGAGTCTGCTCCCTTCACCCCAGGAGCTCCGCGGCAAGATTATCATCAAGAACAAGGCGCATTCGTCGCGCAACCAAGCCCCGCTGGACCCGACCGAAGAAGACGAAGCTGGTGAGACTGGCAGCCAGCTCGACGGGCCCGCCGACGGCGCTGGCGCTGGCGCTGCTGGCAGCAACAACCGCGCGTCAATGATTTCCGACTCGCCATCCCCGTTGAGCACGCCCGGCTCGACCTCGTCCATGTCTCTGTCGCGTGCGGACGCCGCCAGCTTGGCGGGCCACGGCGGCAAGCAGAAAAAGCAGCTCAAAATTGCGCAGGAAATGTCGGATGTGGTCGTGTACACCAAGTCCGTCCCATTCCAATCCTTCGAGCACAGCAAGAAGACGTACAAGTGCTACGAAATGTCGTCCTTCCCCGAAAAGAAGGCGCGCAAGGTTGCCAGCCGCCAGACAGCTGCCAAGCTCACCTACCACACCAACCGCTTCCTCATGCGTGTGTATCCCGACGGCATGCGTTTCGACTCGTCGAACTATCTACCTCAGGTAAGCCGAGTTTTGCCACTTTGCGTGTTTTTGAGGTTGCTTTGTTGTTGCTGTGTGACTCGTGTGCGGCGCTCACAAAGTGCACGTTGTTTTTTTTTTGTGCCGCTTTGCAGGAGTTCTGGAACTATGGTGTGCAAATGTCTGCCATCAACTTCCAAACACCCGATCGTGCCATGCAACTAAACGAGGGCAAGTTCCTTCAGAACGGCAACGCTGGCTATATTTTGAAGCCAAAGTATATGCGCGAGTTTGCCGATCCCGAGGTCAAGGCCCCAGCCGCTGATTCGGTAAATGCGCGAACAAACATTAAGCATGATCTCACATCAATACCATCCCATCGACATCCATCTGACAAAAATATCTGTTTTTTGTTTGTTCTGCCTCCTTTTCGTCTGTTCTGTGCTCCAGGGTGTGCACAAGACAACCTTGACCATCGAGCTGCTGAGCGGACACCAGCTCCCTCGCACGCGTCGCCAACGACGCCGTTTGCTTGACCCTTATGTTGAAGTTGAAATTGTCGGACAGCTCGGTGACGACCGCAAATTCTCATCGTCGACCGTTTTCAAGAACGGCTACAACCCAGTGGTAATGCATGATTTGGTCGATTTGTACTCTGCGTGCGTCGTTGCTTTTGCCATTTTTACTCACTGGATTGTCTGTTTGGTTTTTGGCAGTGGGATGAGGCGTTCGAATTTGAGGTCATGTCGCCCGAACTTGCGCTTGTGCGCTTTGTTGTCATGGACGAATCTGTTGGCCCCAAGGAAATTGTTGGCCAGTACACGATTCCTCTCGAGTCCCTCCGCCAAGGTAGGCACAACGGATCTGAGTGCGATTGTTTCTTGTGTTGTCAGTTTTCTTGTGGTTTTGCTCACATTTCTTTTTGTCCTTTTTTTCGTTTTCCGCTTTGATCTAGGGTTCCATCACCTTCCTCTCAAGCGACCGCAGCCATTCGCCAAGTTTGACTTGTTGCACCACTCTTCCTTGTTTGTCAAGGTTACAATTCAAAACTAAAACAAAACAACGAGATGATGCTGCTGACGACGCGTGCAAAAGCAATCTACTGCCGCTGTCAACTCTTTGTCTCATACTGTATGCTGTTTTGTTCTGTTGCCTTGTTCCTTTCTTGATATTGTCGTTTTTGGTTTTTCTTTTTTTTTTTCTTTTCGTTTTTGCACAAAAGAGCCCCTTCAATTACATCACTACAAACATTTTGGAATTTCTGACAAACAATGCTTCACCAAGGCAAGCTGTTCAATGGCGATGTCGCACAAACACTATGTTCAAAAAGGACGCAAATACAAAAATTGCGCTCCCCCTGGCTCACGCCACTAAATCCGCCAACAGCAGCACCTCATTTGTCGTGCCGGGGATGTTCACTTGCTGGCTGACCTTGTTCACGCCGTGAACAAAAGCTCCGGAAGGGCCCGTGCCGTCGTTGGAAGCGAGCAGGGTCGAGTTGTGACGCGCCGACCAGATTTCAAAAATGTCCTTGCCGACGGGACCCAGGGCGCTCATGGCAACGCTGTACAGGAAGTTGCGAATGCCGAGGTTGACCAGCGGGACGGAGGGCGTCTCGAACATGATGTCAAAGCAAGTGAACACGCCGAACGTGACGTTGAAGGCCGAGGTAAAATACACCAGATCTGGCGTCGCGGGTTCGTCAAAGCAGTTCAAGTAGAAGACGTGCGTCTTGTAATACTTGGCAACCATCTGAGGTGAAGTAGAACAAAGAGCAACAAAATGCAATGAATGAATTTTTCAGTTTGAGTTGGATTGCTCGTAAACTCAGAAAATCGTCCAATTCGGGGTAAACAGCGGTTCAAAAGCCACTTACAATGCCACGCTCGTCAAACACTACTTCCGTGTTGTACTGGAATCGCCCGTCGCGGGGGCATCGCGGGTCGCTCGCCGTGGTGCATGGCTGGACGTCGTACATGTTGATGCTCACGAGAATGCCATAGTTGAGCGCAAAGCAGGACGCGTTGCGGAACACTGGCGGCGCCGATGCATCGTAGCACGGAGCAGTCTGTCCAGTTGCATTGGAGACCGCCGGCAGGTGCTCTGCGAACGGCAGCAGCTGGTCGCGGTCGATAAAGTTCTTTGGTCCGAGGCCAAACTCTGGGAAGACGACGACCTGCGCTCCGCTCGCCTTCGCTGCGACCATATGGAGCTGAAGTTTTTTTGTTGTTTTGCATTTGAGAGGCAGATAAACCGAGACCCCCAAAACAAGGCAGAGACGCGAGAGAGGTGAGTTTGAATCTCATGCGAATCCATCCGAGCAATCTACAATCTATCATCTCTCTCTCTCTCTGCACGCGGCAATCTCGCCAATCTTCAAACGGGTCGGAGTCAGTTCGATCTGCAAGATGCGCGTGCCGAGAAAGGAATACCTCGTAGAGCGCCATGTTGGCGGCCATCATCTCGACGGGAGTGGCGTTCGCGGGAAAGACCGGCGAGTGCTCGACCATTGCAGCGCGGTACGGCACACCCGCAGTAGCTGCAACAACAGTTAGGCTGGAAGGCGCAATCAATAGCAGCATCGCCAGTGCAGCCAATGCGCCATTGCACACGAGCAGAGTGGCTCTGGATGCAGCCATATCGGTACTAGAATCACGACTGAGGTTTGGATTGAATTTGGATTGAAACTCAGAGCCAGATAATTGTATTGCTCAAAAGGACAACACAAAAATCATCATCATCATCATCATCATCACACACACAAAACTTCTTCAATCAAACAAACACAACAACACTCAGTGGTCGCCGTAAAGGTTGGAGCCAGAGAAGGAATAGTCGGGCGTCGACTGGAAGCACTCGCTGGCCTTCGCGGTGTCGACTTCAACGAGACCGACGCTGGGTCTGGCCGGGTTGTAGGCAATGTAGATGCGTTGGCGAAGGTCCTCGAGCTTGGCCGCGTCAAAGTAGTTGAACGGACGCAGGGTAAATCCGATGCCTTGACCGGCAATCGTGGTGAGGGGAATGTCCTCGGCAGACGGGATGTGGATGGAGCCGACATTCACCCAAAGCACGAGATCCTCCTGCAGAATGCTCTCGTCGTCTTCGACAAAGTCGAGGAAGCGGACGAGCGGCACGTCTGGAGCGTTCATGTCGTAAAAGTGCTCGACCGAGCGGTGTTCCGACTCCTTGCGCTTTGTGGCAACAAAGCTGTTTTCCAGCCACGAGAAGGCAGGCCACCACTCGAGCGCAGGCGTCTGCAGGCTGTTGGCTTGCGAGTGCAGGTGGAACTTGTAGCCGCGGCTCACGCCCCACGCATTGGGTTCGTCCGTGTTGATCACGGTGATGAGGTGCGGGTTGCTTGGGTTCAAGCGCATCTTGGAGGCCATCTCGGTGGCAATCAGGTTGTGGGTCAGCTTCTTGGCGAGCTTGGAGGGAGGCAGGAAGGGGTTTTCCGGGAAGGTGTCGTACGCCACGCCAATCGAGTCGACCGTGTTTGCAGTGCCTGCAATGTCCAGGTCCACCTTAAAGTTGAGAATGTGGTCGTGCAGGTTGCCCATCACCTGGTCCTGGACGCGCGTGCCAAACTGGTTGTCGTTCGCATCGGCCCAGCGGCCGGCTTGCATGTAACCAGTCGCAGACATGTCCACGTCCATCGAGCCGTCCAGGAAGAAGGTGTACGTCAAGACGTAGTCGTAGTTGTACACGGTCGAGATGAAGCGCACCACAAGGGCGGTGCTGTGAATGCCAGTGGCAAAGTCGAGGCCATCGTTGCCCTTGTTAAAGTGCGAGGCGATGGGCGTGCCCAAGTCCTTTTCAAAAATGCACACGGCGCCCTGGAAGTGGGAAATGTTGCCAGAGTTCCACCACATGAACACGTCCGCAAACACGCCCGTCTCTGGGCAAGCGACGCCTCGGATCAGAGGCTGGGCCGCAGCGCCCATGCCCCAGCCAGAGTCGTCGTACTGGCTGGCAGACTGGGCTGCCGGGCGGCCAGAGTAGGTGGCGGCGGCGGCTTGCTGGCTGAGCTCGTACACGATGGTCTCGTTGAGGAAGGAAATGTCACTGAACGAAATGCCAGAGCGGAAGCTGGATGTAATGAGGAACTTCCAGCCCAGGTACTCGACCTGGGGCCCGTTCACGGTGAACCGCTGGCCGCCAGGGTTGACGTGGCGAGGAGAAGCGTGCTGGGCGTTCTGGCGCGTGGGCTTGGACTGCTCGATCAGGTAGTACGGGTCTGTCGGTGCCGGGAAGTTAATCTTGACAAAGCTGGCATTGTTGTTGTACTGGTCGATGAGCTCGGCGATGGTGTCGTACGCCTGCAGGTTGTAGGCGACGCTCTTGACAAACCAGTTGGAAGGATCGACGTCGGTGTGATCAATCATCAGCTCCAGGCCGGTCGGAAGCAGGTAAGGGGCGCCGTCCACGTTGTGCATGGCCCAGACCCAAGTGTGACGCTCGGTGCGGTTGTAGCCGCGCGGGGACGAATCCGTCCACGTGAGGGCTTCCTCATCGTACGTGCCGCCAAAGGACTCGGTGCAGATGGTGGCGAGCTGCCCAAAGGCGTCCGTGATAATCCCTTCCAGCAAATCGTACTCTTGGACGGTCATCGGGCGCATAATCCAAGGGACGTGGCGCACGGGCCAGACCCGGAAGTTGGATGCGCTGACGGGCAGCGGGCCGACGCGGTACTCGACCACCTCAGGGACAGCCCACGCGCCGTGGAAGATGACGACGCGCGCAAAGCGGATGGGTTTGGGCTGATTGTTGCCGTCCCGCCAGTTCAGCACGTCAAACTTGGCCGGCTGGTCGAGCTCCATCGCCCAGATAAAGTTGTCAGACAAGGCCGCGTCGTCGTACGGCGTGAGTTGGAGCGACGCATTGCTCATCAAGGCGTGGAAAATGTCTTGGGTTTCGGACGGGTACAGGTCTTCCAGCGGATGCGGGTCGGCAGCCGAAAACGGCGAAGGGCCAGGTTTCGACGAGCCAGAGGCGCCAGGAATGCCGGTCGCCGGGCAGCTATCGCGACGAGACGCGGCCAACGCTTCCGACTCTTCGAGATCCTTGTGGGTGGTGTAAATGACGCCAAGCGCGACGGAAAGGCCAATCACTGCGCCAATCAGCAGCAGCGAGATGATTCTCCACGTCATGAGCTCCTGCTGCATGCTCGAGCGGGCTTTCTTGCTCGGCGAAGCGTCAGAGCTGCCATCGAGAGAACGGAGCTCCATCTGCACGATTTGGTTCTGTGTTGTCAACGTACCAAGCAGGCACGAAAGTCAGTCAGAGCATCGATCACAGGTTGCATGAGTATTTGGAAAAGCAGCAATGTTCAGTGTCGTTTGCTGTGTTTGTTCTCCTGTATCGACAAAGAAGCCTGGGTTTGACTCATAGAGAGAGAGAGAGAGCGTGTGGAAAGCGAAGGATTCGCATTTCAGTCCGAAAGTCGAAAGTGACCTCGCCTCTCTTCCTTCCTTCCTTCCGCCTTTCTCCGCACAAGTCCAACCACCAAAGCCGTCACCCATTCAATCCAATGTGATGCATGTACACAAGAATGAGCGCGAGAGTGAGAGAGAGAGAGAGAGAGAGAGAGCGAAGGCAAAATAAAAGGGCGTGGGAGCATCGAAAAATACAAAAAAAAAAAAAAAAAAAATAAAAAAAAAATTGAAAGGCGAATTGAAATCGATTGAATGCCGATCCGCGTTTCGAAGCGCGAATACAGCGGTCCAGCTTCACTGGTTGGCAGTCTCCAAGTGCACGCGCTTGCAGTGTGATGCTGTTGTCTGAACACTCCCATGCCACAGCGAGACAATGCTCAAACATTCGGCATTAAAACCGATCAAAAATACAAAACCCGCTTAAAATAAAAAAATAAAAAATCAAAAAATCAACAACAAAATCGAAAAAAAAAGGGCATCCACTTTGACAAAACATGATGAAATGGCGGGCTGTTCGGACATTCAAGCCGAGGGATGTACGAGTGCGAGCGACAATCATGACATGGGCCGAAGGCAGTGGAAGCAGTGAACGAATGGGCAACACAGGAAAAAGGGGAAAGCGGAAAACAATCATAAAAAACCCAACAAGAAAACAACTTAAAACCGAGGTGACCTGTGCCACCCCTACCGCTCATGTCAAAGACTCATCCTCTGCCGTGTCACTTTAAGATGGAGAGAAAACGACGCAATCAACAAAGTCGAAAAGCCATCACGAATAAATGGGCACACTGTGGATGCAAGTTTTTACCAAAACAGAAAAAACTGAAAAAACAAAAACTGCCTTTGGTGACGGATTTGGCATGAAGCATCTTGGATTTGTGCTTCAAACAAAAGTACAAGCGACATTGACCTGCAAACATGACGCACAGCGAGATACGCATGGCAAGGAAGAACAAAATCCAAGAAACGTCAACATTTTTTGCTTGTTTTTTGTTTTTTGAAGTCTCCGCCAGGCAACAACTGGACGGGTGCCTGCTTGTTTGATAGTTTGCGAAAAGCAGAGCATGGGCAGAAAACAAACAAGTGAACAGCATGTCGTCAAACAACATTGCCAGACCTACCGGATTGGACGATAGCAGTGAAAACAACAATGAAACACGGAAACACAGATGGACGGAACAATGAAAAACAAATATTTGGGAGAACGGAATAACAAGAAAAAACATGTACACGGAACAACACCGAGGAAGACGAGAGGGGTTGATGAAAGAGGGGGGGGGGGAAGAGAGGGGACGTGACGAACCAACAAGAAAAAAAAAATACCTGTCAATCAGCCAGCTGAAAACATCAACCACTCTCTCTCTCTCAAGCACCAGTTCACAGAATCGGCCCTGTCAACGCACATCCCCCAAAAATTGCCGTATCAACACACCAACTCACCAGCCCCGGACCAAAGAAAAAAAAAAAAAACTTCAACTGTCTCCTCGCAACAAACTGCAATTCCAAAAGGAACCGTTACCAGAGCGAATGAGCTCGCGTACCGCTGCAACACATTGATGCCGGGAAACTGCGGGACTATCAACTGGCAAAAAACCAAAAGGTGAAATCCAACTCCCCGCTCTTAAAAAAAAAAAAATCAACAGGCGTCAACATGAGGGTCTTTACCTTGAAGGTGTATGATCGGGCCAGAGCAGTCGCTGAACAACCAAAATCAACCAACGGGGATGCAAACAACGGGGATGCAAACAAAAGTCAGCCAAACAAAAGAACAAGGATAAAAGCGAGAAAAATTTACATTTTGATAACAATTTTTTTGTTGTTTGTTTGTTGATTCTCCCCAATCGCTCCCACTCAATCAAACCAACACTCCAGTCAAAGTCAGACAAAGGTAGCACAGAGACAGGAGTGTCGGAGACCAAAGAGGCGAGCAGAGAAAAAAAAAAGGGAAACACGACTTGGGGGAACACACAAACGAAAAGAAGAAAAACAAAGAACAAGCAAAGGCAAACGAACAAACGAACGAACAAAAGTCTGAACGTCCTGCACAAATATTTTTTCTCCCATCTCTGTTCCGTGTTGAAGGATGCCAAGATAACAGCCATCTTTGTTTTTCCCGAACCATCAGAAGCGAGAACCGAAGTTGTTGCTCACCAATAGAAGTGCGACAGGTAGGCGGGGAAACCGGTCGGGGGAAAAAAAGGCAACCAGAGACAGAGACAGAGAGAGAAAAAACAAAGCGGCGACGGGAGGCGGCACAGGACGAAATAAATCTGCAGCAGACACGGACAGGCGAGCACGGAATGGGGTTTGAAAACAAAAAAAAACCACCAATCAAGAAGGCAGCAAAAAGGAGAGACGGTAACAAAGATTCAAACAAAAAGAAAGTTCAGCAACGCGTTTGGAAACCGAAAGAAAAGAAACCCAACGAAGCAAACGAGAGCGCGCGGGAATCCGCTCACTGACCATGTGAATTTCTTGAGCAAACGGAGGAAATCGAGAGAAAGAAAGCGCCGAACGGGGGTGGAACGAACGATTTGTATGAAAATTAACTGACGAGTGGGGAGAAACAACTTCCCCTCTCCTTGAATGACTTGGGGGATGGCAGGAAACGACAGGGCAAAGGCGTGAAAGGTCTCGAAAAAGAAAGGTGCGGGCTCGGAGCGCCATCTGCTGAACAGAATGGAAACGACAGGCAAAAGACGCGCGCGAGGGGCAAACGGAAGAAACGAGACCAAAGTAGGACAAATGGGTGTCGAGCTGCTCTTGATTTGTTTAAACAATGTGGTGGTGGTAATGGTGGTTTTTGTTCTTGAGTTGCTGATGATGCTGATGATGCTGATGATGATGACGACGATGACGAAAGCGAGGCGAAAGAAAGCCGTCCGTGCAAACCCCGAAGACGGAGACGGCGTTCAACCAGCCCACGAACTGATGGAACACATACATGCGGTTGATGCAAGCTTTTTAAAAAAAGGGTTGAGAACGCAGAGGTGGCCAACGACTGCGTTGAGCGTTTTTCCAATGTTTGTTGGTATATAGGATTGACTTGACCGGAAGGTAGCAAGAGACGACGACGACGAAGGACGGGAGACATGCGAAAACAAAAAAAAAAGTTTTTGTTTTGGTTTGTTGTGATAAAATCGAAAAAAACGAACTCGGACGCCTTAGAGCGCAGCAGGAGTGCAGCAGTGCGCGCAAAACTCGACAGAGACGCCGCGCTCAGAGACGTGAATGCAGACACCGCTGTCTGGGACTTGGCTGTCAATGTTGTGCTTTTTGGCAACCTCGTTTTCAAGGTTGTCCGAGGCAGAGCGCTTGAGTCCGCGTTTCTGCGTGCCAGGCTCGAGCTTGGCGGACGCAGAGGAGGATGCGGAAGAGGTGGACGCCACGGCGTTCACAAGGTTGCGAGTGGTGGAGTGGCGCGACTCGGCAAACGTGACGCCAGGCGCTTTGCCGACGGTGGCGAGAACAGACGACAGCATGGACTGGTTGGCAATGACGCGTCGGAGGTACTCGACCTCGGTGAGCAGCGCGCTGCACTTTTCATCGCGGGCCTGGAGCAAGTCGCGCAGATTGCCATTTTCCGCTTCGAGCTCGTTCACCTGGTTGCCAAAGTCGGACAGCATGCGCTTCTTGCGCTCGCGGTTTTCGCGCGCGGCAAGCGCGTTGCGCACGCTCTTGTCGAGTGTGTCGGCAGAGTCGACCGTGGCAGCGAGGGCCGCCGCAGTGGGGCGACCGTTGCGAGTGCGCATGACCAGCGCGGCGGCATTAGGCTCCGATTTGACGCCAAACTCGGACTTGACCTGGGCAGCAGCAGCAGTAGTAGTAGTAGTAGTAGTAGTAGTAGTAGTCGTGGTGGTAGCAGAAGCGCGTGCAGCAGGGGTCGGATGAGAGCGGCGGGAGCGCGTGACGGGCGGGATGACGGCACTGTCGTCCGCCGAGCGCCACTCCGAGTCGCTGTCATCCATGTCCGTGTAGTCGTCGGCGTGCTTCTTGACCGTGCGCTTGCGCAGCGATTGGCGCAGAGGCTGCGCAGCGGAGGGCGCGTCGTCCGAGCGAACCTTGAGCGAGTTGACGGCAGTGACGAACGGGTTGTGCTCGCCGACCGTCACGGCGCCTGCCGCCATGGCCGGCTCGGGTGATGTCAGCGCAAGGGAGGACGGGCCGGCCGCAGCAGGCGACGCGGCAGAGAACTCGCTGTCCGACAAAAAGTACTCCAAAATGTCCTGCGCCCCGTTGGACGTGGAAGCGGACGTCTGCGAGGGCAGCATCATGTCAGACAGCATCGGGGTGACGGGGCCAAACGAGTCGAGGAAGGAGGTGTCGAACGGCGGGATTTCCAAGAGAGTCATCGATGGGGTTGACTAGTTGAAAAGGCTTTCGGATTGGATTGCTGCGCGAGTTGAAGTGGGTTTTCCGAGTTGCTTTTTGGGTGGAAAACCTTGAAACCCTTTGAAACCCTTTGAAAACCTTGAACAATGGCGAAAAAAGCGAGAATGAAGAGTGGAATTGCGCGAGGTTGGAAACAAGCAAGCTGCAGGGCTTTTGTCCTTGTTCGGTAATAGTGACGCAATATCCACGCGGAACTTTTGAAAAAAAAAAGCGCGGAAAAAAAAAAGGGTTATTTGGCTGTGTTCGCTTGTTGTTCGGTTGAGCTTGAGTCTGGGAGGGCGCTGACGAGTGCGGGGGAGGTGACAAGCGTCGGGCAACGGGGGGGGGGGAAGAGGCGGGACTTGAGCGAGGAGAACAAGGAGAAACAGTTCAAAAGAGAAAAAAAGAAGAAAAAGAAAAGCGCAACAATGGAGCGAACTTGGTGTCTGAACGCTCGGGGTTGCAGTGAAGGCGGAGATGGAAGGAGATGGAAAGTGAGTGAGTGCTGCGAGGGGGTAGCTGGGCTGGCTGGGCGGAGCTGGTCAAGCGGCGGAAAGAAGAAGAGAGAAGAAGAAGAAGTGAGTCTCGAAAAGAAAAAAGAAAAGAAGTTTGCTTTGATGAACGTTCGTAAAAAGTAAAACACGAACGGAAAAGAAAGAAAAAGAAGAGGAAAAAAAAAAAAAATGAAGACTGACGAAACAGTCGACTTCCAAATCGAGAATTAAAGCTCAGTCAATTTGAAATCAAAAACAAATAACAACGAATAACAACGAAAAACAACAACGAAAAACAACAACGAAAAACAACGAGAAAGTCAGAAACAACGAGAAAGTCAGAAACAACGAGAATTGGGAAACAGAACAAAATGACAGAGAAGCAAAGCGTGTCGCGGTTTCGACCGTGCATTGATCTGCACGACGGCAAAGTCAAGCAGGTACCCCCAAAAAACGCAAACAGATGACTTGGAGCGAGCGTCGAGCCGTTGATTGACGCACGATGATGATTGACTCTTGTTTGACTGTCGATCTCGGCTTCAAGATCGTCGGCGGCACTCTGGCTGCGTCGGGAGTGACCACTGCAGAGCTCAAGACCAACTTTGTCGCAGAGCACGACGCGGGATACTACGCCGAGTTGTACCGCACGGACGGGCTTCTGGGTGCTCATGTCATCAAGCTGGGGCCCAACAACGATGCGGTAAGGCCAGAGTGGTTTGTTTGCATTGAGGTGAAGGCGGGCTGACCTTGAGCGCGCGAATGTGCAAAAAAACTCTGGTCTGTGTGCGTGCGTGCGTGCGTGCGCGCGGGACCACACAGGCAGCCAGACAGGCGCTGATGGCATGGCCTGGAAAGCTTCAAGTGGGTGGCGGAATCACGGATGCGAACGCGCGCGAGTGGATTGAGGCCGGCGCTGCGCAAGTCATTGTGACGAGCTGGCTCTTCCCAAACGCACAGCTGGCCATCGATCGGGTCAAGAGTCTCTCTCAGGCAATTGGGCGAGACAAGCTGGTCATTGATCTCAGCTGCCGGCGGCGGCAGCACCCTGACACGGGTGCAATGACTTGGTTTGTTGCGATGGACAAGTGGCAGACCATCACGTCCACCGAAATCACCCCGGCCCTGCTGCAGGAGCTGGCACAGTACTGTGTCGAGTTTCTCGTGCATGCTGCAGATGTCGAGGGTCTCTGCCAAGGAATTGACGAGGATTTGGTGAGGCTGCTGGGCGCGTCGTCGCCCATCCCGTGCACGTATGCCGGCGGCGGCAAGCACATCTCCGATCTCGAGCTGGTAGATCGTCTTTCCAACGGTCGGGTCGACTTGACATTTGGCAGGTAAGGGAGCAGTGGTGTGTGCATGTGGAGGAGGAAGCATTGCCGTTTCGTGTCCAGCTTTGTCCGACAAAATTGTTGTTGTTTTGTGTCTCCTCGGTCAAGTATAGTGATTGCGTTGCATGGAATCAGCGCCATTCGGGCCACTAGATTGATTTGCCAAGTTTCGACAAGCGGCAATCGATTCAATGTACAACAACACTCGTTCCATTTTTTAATCAAACTCTCTCCCTGCTCATCTCTTCCAATTCGACCAGATCACTATGCAGTTGGTATTTGGAGCAAAACGTGTTTTGTAGATTGACGACAGCAGCAGCGCGAATGAACAAACCACAACAATCAAAAACTATTAAAACCAACAAAAACCAAACAACAAGGGAAACGAATATTATCAAATCAAGAGGGGATTGAGAATCGAATGCATCGCAGAAAAAGAAAGCCCCAGAAGCCTCACGACTGAAAGCGATCAAACCACTGTCTGCATGGCAGAGACGAGAGCAAGATCTTGGATGCCTTTGAGAAGACGCTTAATGTGCCCAAGCTTCTCAACGCCCAATTCAGCAAGATCTTCGCGGTTGAGGAGCAAGAGTTCCACGCCAGTGATGGCGTTGCCAGCGAAGGCGGGAATGTACTCGTCGAGCTCTAGCGCGTGGAGCCAGGAACCAATGGTCTCGGTCGACCAGGCGCGTGGGTCTTGCTGGTCTGTTGTGAGCGCTCGGTGCATGCGAATTTCGCTTTCGGTGCGAGACTGAAGCACGGCAAACCCAAGGGCACGCGGCGACGAGGGCGACCCGGGAAGCGATCCCGAGGATTTCACCGGGACGGAACCAGCTGCCGCTGCTGACGATGAGCTGACGTCCGACGCGCTGGCGCTCAGCAGTGCAGACGCGGGCAATGTGCTAGTCGGTGGGGCAGCAGCCACAGCAGCCGCGTTCTCTTGTCGCTCAGCTTCCGGCATGCTCGGGGACACAACGACGACGGGCGCGGGAGCACCGCCTGCGGGAACACTGCCAGATTCAGTGCTGGTTGCACTCGTCGCAAGAGCAGGTGTCAATGACTCTCCGGTATCGAGGGACTTGGAAACTTTGCGCTTTCTCTGCAACACGACCCAAAACGAAAAAGAAAAACAATAGAGTGAGACTCAAACAGAAAACAACAGCAACACAAAAAACTCGACGAAACGTACAATGCCGGCGAAGGACGATCGCTTGGTCTTCGGACTAGTGTTGCCAACCTGACCGGACGATGAATCAACAATAGGCTCGCCGAGAATGTGAGCGCGGGCATTGAGCACAGAGGCTTCATCGCTGTTTGAGCGCTGGAGCGGGGAGCGAGGCGTGCTGCCAGAGGCGGCGGGGCTGCTCGAGCTGAGATTGAGGGCGAGCAACGAGCCACTGGGAGACACATCGGCAGCTGATGCAGAGTCGGGAGATGTCAAGGGCGATGCCACACTCTGCATGTCCATCACACGCTTCATCTCGACCTCCGTGGTCTTCAGCGCAGCCAAGAGCGCATCGCGTGATGCTTCTTGGATGGTGGCGCCTGCGCCCATGTCAAACATCCAGCGCACTTCCTGCAGCAGCGTTTTGGCATGCTTGGTAAAGTCCATCATGTACCGCCGAAGGAAGGCCTGCTGTTGGGGTTGCAAGCCAAGCGGTGATGTCATGACGGGGCTGGACGAAGCAGTGACAGGGGATGCGGACGCGGCGGTCGAGGCGGCAGCGGCAGCGGCGGCAGCAGTCGTTCTTGTCAAAGTGGGGCTCTTGCCCATCACAGTGGCCACAGAAGATGAAAGCGTCGGCGCTGAGAGAGCAGCAACAGCAGCCGGGGGCTGTGGCAGCGGCGATGACGTGCCGACGGTCGCGCTCGCACTGCCAATGGAACTGGAAGAGGCAGCAGCAGCAGCACCGCTTCCCGTAAGCCGTTCGTACGCAGCCTCGACGGCAATGGCGAGCGGCAGCACTGTTTGCTCAATTGCAGCAGCTTCTCCGGAGGCAGCGCGCAGCTGTGCGATGAGGGCTAGCGTGGCGTGCGCCAGGGGCATGAGCAAGGATCGCTCGTCTGCCGTCATGATGGCCGCGGAAATGTCGGGGTTGGAATGCTTTTGCCGACGCAGCTGCGTCTTGACAGCTTGCTTTTCCTCCCACGAGCGCAACATGTTCAAGAAGGCCTTGTCTCGGGAAAGCATTTGGGTGCGCGTCTTGTGCGTGATTTTGATCACGCCCGGCGCTTGCAGCCACGCTTCGCCGTCCACTTGAATGGGAATGGGCTCGTCCGACTTGAAAGAAATCTTAATGCTGCGGCACTGCGCAATGCGATACGGACGGATGACTGGGAACACTTTGGACGCTGCCATTTGCGTCATGCCAAACACGGCCACAACCTCCAGGATGCGATCGTCGCAAGCCGGGGGGCTGAAGGCGTCTTCCATCTTGATGCCCCAAAAGTTGGTTCCGCCCATGTAGCTCGGAATGTTGAGCACCACAATACCCTGGAGCTTTGGCAGAGTGATGACTTTGCCGTCGCATTCGAGTTCCAGCTTGGTGTGCAAATCACGACATGATTGGTGCACAAACTCCATGCCACTGAGAACGCCATACCACATCATGTTCTTGATGCGGCTGCGGAACTTTTCGGGATGCTCTTCGCGCTTGTTGTGGAAGGCCAGACCAATCTTGGCGTCAAGACCAATGCCAAAGTAATTGTTCATCACTGCAACCTCCTGCAGATCGCGCTGCGAGCGCGACCGCTGGATTGTCTTGGGCTTGAATGCAGCCTTGATGCGCTGAATGGTACCGCGACGAGCCCCCTTGCGCAAGGCCTGACGCAGCGCAGATTGCGCCGTTTCAGTTTGGCGGATTCGCAAGGTGATTTCCTCCACCAGCTTTTTGATGGAGCGCGCAGATAGCAGCGCGGCGTTGGAGCTGTCCACCGGGCTGGACGGTCGCTGCACGTCATCGGCGGCCGAGGAAGACCCCGCTGTTGCTGTTGATGATGATGATGATGCTGATGATGCTGATGCTGCTGCTGATGCAGAGCTGCTGGCTTGCGAGGGCTGGGAAGAAGCGGACGACAATGCCACGCTCTCGCCGTTGCTGTTGACCTTGGACAGCAGCTCGGTCACCATGTCGTTGAGTTGAGTGCACATGAGCGGAAGCTCATCATCGTCCTCGTCCTCGCTGTCGCTGCCGGCAGGCAGACGCTCGCCAGACGCGTTTTCATCGTCGTCATCGTCGTCACTCGTGCGGGTGCCCAGACTCAATGCGCGACCAAGAAGGACGTTGATGGCGCGACGAAGCTCGTCGGTCGCGCTCACCACGCTGCTTTCATCGCCGGGGATGAGCAGGTTGGACAGAGCCACGGCAATGGTCTTTTGCAGACGGCTCAAGTCGTCATCCACTGTCGGGGGAGTTGCGGGCTGAGCTCCGTCGGAGAGTCCATCCGTGTCGCTTTCTTCCAGCCCGCTGGTTCCGCTGCCAACGACGCGGATTTCAGACGCGTCCTTGACGACAGTCGCAACGTGCTCGATCGAAACGGCCGCCGAGCCAGCTGCAGCTTGCGCGACCTGGTACTCGAGATCGGCCGCGCGAGCCTCGTTGTCGGACGCTGCGAGTGCCTCTGCTGAAGAGGACGCAAACGGACCCGAGGACGAATCGGGAGAATCCGAGCGTTCACGCTCGCTGTGGCTACCAACAGCGCCGCTTGCGCCGCCGAGCTCCAGCACTTCCCGAGCGTCGGGGCGCTTCTTCTTGGACGAGCGCTTGCGGGTCAGCGACTTGCGAGTGCGCTTCTTTTTGACCTGAATGCTCCAGCGATCCAGCATGGTCACGTGCGAGCGCTCGTACTCGTCGATGAGGTTGGCAAGATCAGAGTCGTCATCGAGACTGGCTCCCCAGCCCAGAACACGCGCCAGGTCGTTGCCAGTGCCGATGGGCAAAACGCCCACCTGCACGCGAATGTTGAGCTTGTCCATTTCGGCAAGCACCCAACCGATGCTGCCGTCTCCACCACAAATCAAAACGCGGAACGTGTCGAGCTGGCGGAAGAACATGAGGCCGGGAATGGGACCGCCTTTGCCCAGGTCGAAAATCTGGGCCGGGTTGAGCAAGCGCTTGAACCGCCGCATCACCCGAACGCCCTGGTTGCCGCCGCTCTTTGTGTTGACAAACACTGCCAGTGGGCACGAGCCTGGTGGCTTGACGGCCTTCCATTGCTTTTCGCCGTCTGCGGTCGTGGTCAGCGTGATCGCGTTGGGCGGCAACATTGAGGTGCGGTGGCGACCGAGGGTGCACTCGACCACTGCAGTGCTAAGACAGCCAGAGTGCACCGTTTGCTGGCACCACAGGCACCGGTAGTCGGCTAATCGCTTGGAGCTGCCGCAGCCCTTCTCGCACACTGCGCACCGCGAGCTTCCGGGGAGATTGCCCATAATCCATTGATGGGGCATTGTCTGTAAGTTGGTGTAGGATGTGTGGTTGATTTCATCCAAAAAAAAAAAAAACAAAACAAAAAAAAAAAAAAAAACACCAGTGAGCAAATCAGAATGTGCAACCTTTGCCTCTAGCAAACCCGAAAGCAGCAAAACATACAACCAAACAAACAACATAAACAACACCAAACAAAAAAAAATCCTACCAAAGAATCGCTCGACGGGGCGGAAGAATTCATGCTGAACGCGGTCGTCCATTTACATTGCACGGGAGCGGCGGCAGCGCAGCGGGAGTGCACGGAAAATTTGCACACTTCGCAGGACAGCCCTTGCTTGGTGACGCCGTGAATGGCATCGCCGCAGACATTGCAAAACGTCAGACGCTTGTAGGTGGCCAAGTACCAGTTGTGGTCTTGCGCGCCAACGATCGAATAGGCCGTGATGCGCGCGCCTTTGAGCGCTCGAATCCAATCCTCCATTTCTTTGCGGCTTTCAGCCAGGAGGGTGATTTTGCGCGTCTCTGTGATGATTTTGAACGAGTGGCCCTTGTTCTTGCTCGACGACTCGGCAACGCTGACATTTGCAATCAGCTCGACGCGGTCGTACACGGCCTCGGATTGTGCCTGCGAGACAAAGAGCGTCGAGCCTCGCAGCGTGTAGTAGCGACGCTTCCAGCCCTGGACTTTGGTCGTGTACTTTTTCAGGTACCCTTCCTTGACAATTTTTTCGTTAAAGTCGACTGGGTCTGAGGTGACAACGGGAACTGGCGACGACAGAGCAGCAGACGATGCTGATGAGGGCGACTGCAATGGTGTGCTTGTCGATAGCGGTGAGGATGCAGAAGCAGCAGCATTAGCAGCAGAGGAGTGCGTGCGGTCTCCTCGCCGATCATCCGTGTCGCTGCTCGTGTCTTCCGACGAAATGTGACGCATGTACGGTGTCGCTCCCGTCGCTGCCGAGGCCACAGGCGAGCCAACGTCCGAGGACGAAGCAGTTCCCTCTGGAGCATCGACGGACGAGCCACTGGTCGACCGGCCCATCGAGCTTCGTGCCGACGACTGGTTGGCAATGGCGATGGGCGCCGTCTGTGCCATGGGCAGCAATGCCGGCGTCGTTGGTTCTGCGACTTGGACCTCCATTTTTGTTGGACGAGCAGCAGAACGAGAAGAGCGCGGGTTCCGTTCCGGGCTTGGTCAACGTCTGACAAAACAATCGACGGGCGAGCAGTGAGTCCTCGCTGCACAGAATGAGATGATAAGATGAAGATGATGATGCTGGGATGGAGCAACAAGGACGGTGTGTGTGTGTAGAGTAGGGGAGAGGGAGACGGCGGATTCAAAAACAAAAACCGCAGTAGATGTAAAGTCTCCACTCTGCCGCCCTGGTCTGGCCTGCGCTGAGGACGTGTTCATTACCATAGGAATAGACGATGCAAGGCGTCATCAATAAGGGGCAAGTGGACAAGCCCAACAAGGGGAGTGTTCCGAATGAGAGAGGCGCGCAAACGATTCTTGGCCATCGTGCCTTTTTTTTTTTTTTTTTTTTTTTTATAACTTTTGCATTGGCATTTTTTTTATTGCGCACTTTTGTTTGTTCATTTCCAGCAGGGGCCCCAACTTCAGCGACCAGTCCCAGGAGAGCGCAAAGAGCTATACAACCAACAAAACCCACAAAGCAACACAGGAGGTTGGCGGACAGCCGACAAAAGCTCCAATTCCAACAGGAATCAAAGCTCGGTTCGGATTTTTAGATTTTTCAATATTATTTGTATTGGTTTTGCCATTGCAGTTGCCCCTTCCACGGCGGGGGGGGGGAGGAAGAACCCCGAGCTCGTTACTCCATGCACCTCCACGCAGCAAGGTGACCTTCGACGGTGTTCTCCGCCACGGCCATCGACGCAGCGTGCCGCGACTTGCGTGGCTGAGTTACAGCGCATATTTTTGAATGCCGCTTCCATTTCCCCTCGCTGTTTCCTGGTGTCCCCCACACGTCCACCCATCCCGCGCCTGCGGACTGCAATGGAGCAAGCAAAGCTACCACTACTGGCAGTTGACATGCAATGCAGTCGCGTCGCTATCGGTGGCAAGCAGCAGCAGTTCTTTTTTTTTTTTTTTGGTTTTTTTTTTTTTGGTTTTTGCCTTGCCAACGTCGGCCCGCTCTGCCGAAATCCACTCCACGCCTTGCCACCCGCTTCCGTCGACAGGGTTTTAAAAATCAAACACTTTCCCCGTCTTTGACTCAATTCTGCACAACTACCGACTGTTGCGCTGGGCACGAGAGATGTAAAACGGAAAAAAAAAGCTTACACTTGTGCCGAAAAATGAAGAATGAATGGAGCAATCTCAACAAGCAACCAGGACGGCATGGGTGAAGTCTGTCATTGTAAGAGGGTAGTTGTATTTGAGACGATGGGTGGGTGATGATTGATTGAGCGAGACACGCAGAAATGCAGAAATACCGGTCGATCTGTCACGAAACATACTGGAATGTTGAAACACCTTTTGGGTCTGCTCGACAGGGTACGGATTCAAAAAAACGCAGTGGTTTATGTATACACAGGCAGCAAAACAAACACCTGGTCAACTCGACAGAAAAACGGCAACAGCGGCAACAACGACCGTAACAAAGAACGACAAAAAGGAACACACACAGAAAAAAAAAAAGTGGCAGAAAACGTGTTAGGGGGAAGAGGTAAGAGTGTGGGCGTGATATTGAAGGCGCACGCACATACATGAAGCAAACCGGTAGTACATTGGCGCGCGGATGGGTGTGGTTTGATGGGGGGGGGGGAAAGAAGGTGAAGGACGAAAAACACATAGAAAATCAAACTATCTCAAACTCCGCTCTTTGCGTAAAGTGCAAAGAACGAAAAATTCTGGCGAGACAAACATTTTTTTTCTTCCCTCTCGAAAATAGCGAGTTGCTACTGTGGCTCTTAAAGGAAATAATCAGCTTGCGGCTTCTTGACGGGCGCGCCTCGGTTTTCTTGCTGTGAATTTTCAACGCAGACACCCCAGAAGCATCAACGTGAGTTGCCCAAAAATCCCTCAACCAGTCCAGATGCATCAAAGAGTTGCTGGGACACCAACCTGAGGAGCAGCGTTGAAAATCTTGTAATTCGTGTTCAGATGCTCGTCCAGCTCGAGAATGGCCGCAACATTGCCACAGCTGCATCGAGACAGCCATGGAGTGAGTAAAATATCAAGATCAATGGAAAATCAACAGTTCAAACGCTCCCAAAAACGTACCGGTAGCAGTAGTTTGGTGCAGACCAGACGGTGACCACCGAACCGTTAAAGTGGAGCTTGTAGCCGTCCATCACCAGTTGATGGGCGCGGCAAATCAAATCCAGATTGTTGGTCTGGTTAAACTGTTTAAAAAAAGAGCAGCGCGGGAGTGAGAGAGATCAAGGCAAGGAAAAAGAGACCAAAACAAAGATACAAAAAAAAAAAACCATCTGGTCTCAGTTCTTGCTGGTGTTGCCTTACCTGAGCGGCAATGTCACTGCCAAAGAGATAGCCAGCACCGCGCGGGCTCAAGCCCCAGCCGTCAATGTCTTCGGGGTCCGACCAGAGCAGATCGCACATGGGACCGTCGTGTGGGACTTCTTGCTTGCGATCGATCGTGCGGATGGCGTCGAGTGTGTTGATGGCAGGCGAGAGACCGCCGTGTACGCAGAGAATCTTGTCGTCAATGAGTGCCGATAGCGAGAGGTAGTCGAAAATCTCGGTGCAGTATCGCCAGACGTTGACCGAGCCGTACTTTCGCAAGCATTCGTCGTAAAAGCCGTACACTTGGGTGATTTGACGACTCTCGTGGTTGCCTCGGATAAGTGTGATGCGGTCTGGGTATCGCACCTTCAGTGCCAACAGCAACAGGAAGGTCTCGACGCTGAAAAAGCCGCGATCAACAAAGTCGCCCATAAACAAATAGTTGGTGTCTGGCACGTCGCCGCCGACCTGGAAGAGCTCCTTCAAGTCGTAAAACTGGCCGTGGATGTCTCCGCAGATCTGCAAGTTGAAGAGGAAGGGGGGGGGTGAGGGGTGAGTTTGGCTGAAGAAAAGCAAAGAAGAGGATGGCTTTTGCTTTCTTTCTCTCTCTCTCTCGCCCGCCCGCAACCCCCCGCGCGTCCACACAATCCGACCATCAGAGCATTCGTCTCACTGACCGTGACGGGTGCATCGACGCGCTGGACGTTGGACTCTTCAACGAGAATCTCGCGCGCCTTAGCGCAGAGAGCCTTGACTTCGCTCTCCTTGATGACCTCGCAGCGTCGCAGCTGGGCGATTTGCCTACAACAAGCACATGTGCGCATCCACAGAACAACACAACACAACCGTCAGTTGACATAAGCGGGGCTCGCGACGGGCCAACATAAAGCGAGCCAAAGAACCAAAAAAAAAAAAAAAAGATTTCGTAAAATAAAAAAAAAATAAAAAAAATGATAGTGACAATGTTGGATGGGTTGAAGGGGCAGGACGCATGGGAGCAACGATGTAAGACCCAAGCACGGTGGATGAAGCGCATTCGTGAGAGTCAGCGTCAGCGTCAGCGGCAAGACTGCGAACGAGAGAACGAGAAGAAGGAAGAGACAATGGAAAAACCAAAAGAAAAGAACAAAAAAAAAAAAAAAGGAAAAAAAAAAAAAAAAGACCACACGCGCGCTTTTTGGCTTTTCTGGCTTTTTTGGTTGCTGCGTTGCGTTGCGAGGCGCGACACAAGAGTTAGGTTAGGAAGAGAGAGAGAGATGACGCGCGACCAGAGAGCGAGAGGCTGCAGAACAGCAGAGCGAGGGCAAGCGCAGAGCGAGGGGCCACCGAACAGCAGCAGAAGCAGCAACGGGACCACATCACCAAATGCTGCTTTAACCTCCATCTACTCTATTGCTGTGTCGCCTCGTATCAGTCTCCTTTCTGTTCAAGTCTGCATCGAGGGAAAGCAAAGAGCAAAGCAACACTCCCACCGTCCAAGCGGCAGAGCGGAGAGAGAGAGGGAGAGGAGAGGATTTGTTACCGGTCGAGATCGGATGTGGACATTCAAAACACTTAGGAAGGGAACTGAGCTGATGCAAGATCTTAGCAAAGACGAAAACAACAACAAAAGCAGACAACATGAACAATAATTGCAAACACAAAAAACTCTGAGGTGGGATGCAAAATCAACGGGGGAAAACGAAGCGACTTTTGAGCAACGCTCAAGTCCAACACGCGACGCTGTTCTCTCGCGATCGCTTTGATTCGCGGCATCGCAATTGAGCTGCAAATGTGAAAAAGTGGATACTAGACTCTGAAGTGAGATGGAACGTGTCTTGCAGTGGAAGGGATTCCCGGTTCCGACCCTTTTCGTTCTGTTTCCCTCAGATCGAGCGTTGTTGCTCTTAACTCGCGACATCAGATGGAGCTCAAACTGGGTGTATGCCAGGCCTCATCGTCGTCTTCATCTCCAATTGTCGATTTCCCCCCACTGATCGCCCCATCTTGATGGCGGCATCGTGTCATCGCGTCATCATGCAAAAAATTCGCCGCGCTCAGAATTGTCATTCGTTCGACGAGCTGTCGCCCCAAAGAGCGCTCATACTTGCCAACTACAATACACGATGACTGCTTCCACTCATGGTGTTGACCTGGATGATGACAGAGCAACGAAGAAGCAGAAGAAAGCAGAGCTTTTCTTTTGAGGACGTTCTTCACAGTTTCCGCCTCAGTCTACGTTTTTTCCAGTCACACACAGAGTCACTCACTCACACATCACATCATCAGTCGCCATGGGCAGCGGAGAGTTTTCAAGCGGTTCGTTGGAGGAGCGTCTTGCCGCTGAGCAAGCGCGCAGTGCCGAGCTCGAGCGCCGTCTGCAGGAGGCCCAGCTGCGGCTGCAGGTGCTCGTGGGCAAGGACAAGCACGGCGCATTGAATCTCGACACTCCCCTCAAAGCGACTGCCGCCGCCGCCGCCGCCGCCTCAGCCACTGCTGCTACCGAGTGAGTTGGCTTTGTTCTGTGTCTGTGTTTCAAAGTGCCACTGGGCTGAGCTGCGTCTTGAGCCGGGGAGTGGAGGGATTCAACTGCATGTGTGATATGATAGCACGGGGTTTTGACCTTCAAAATGAGCCGGCTTTTTCCGCTTCCACGTCTCTTTGCACTGACTGACTGACTGATCGACACCATCATCCCCCACTTTCATGTTGCTTGCTTGCTTTGTTGTCTTGGCTGTTTTGCAGGTTTGAGTTTGACTCGATTGAAAGCGCGCTCGTTGACTTTGGTGAGTGTTCCGCTTTGTCGGTCATTTTTTTGCCACATGTCGAGCACTGCCCACAACTCAATCACAGTCATGGAACACTGCCTGCTGGGGTTGTTGTGTTGCTGCTGGTCTGACGTTGAACTGACTCTGAACCGTTTGGTGACATTTTGTTTGACTTGGTTGAAAAAAACAGCCGCGGGCAAGTTTGTCGTTGTCGTGGACGACGTCGACCGCGAGAACGAAGGCGACTTGATCATTGCCGCCGAAGCAATGACGCCAGAGAAGATGGCGTTCATGATCCGTCACACCAGGTACACGAGAGCAGCACAGAAACAGCATAGATTCACACATTACAGCCCGAGTGGTCTTTGATGATTCAATCTAACTATCTGAATTGACGTGAACTTCTGACTTTGCGCGGATTTGTTTGCATTTTGGTCTCTGGTGTCACCACACAGCGGCGTCATCTGCACACCCATGCTTGGATCACGCATCGAGCAGCTCAATCTTCCCATCATGGTCGAGAACAACACCGACCGTCACCGAACGGCCTTTACCGTCACCGTCGACTTCCGCCATGGTAAGCAGCACATTGGAGAATTCATTCTCGTCGTCGTCTCCACTGAAAGCTCACCTCACACGTGCCTTCATAAATCGTGCAACGCCAGGCACTTCGACCGGCATCTCTGCCGCCGACCGCTCGGCCACCTCCGTCGCGCTCACCAACCCTAACGTTACCGGTGACGATTTCTTGCGCCCCGGTCACATCTTCCCGCTGCGTGCACGAGAGCGTGGTGTGCTCGAGCGTATCGGACACACCGAGGCGTCTGTCGGTAAGTCAAAATCAACACAGGACATTTGTTGCCGGTTGTTCTAACCCTGACAAATTTTTGGGGGTAATCGCTCCATTGTTGACAGATCTCTGCCGCTTGAGTGGACTCCAACCCGTGGGTGTCTTGTGCGAAATCGCCAAGGACGACGGCACTATGGCTCGCCGTGATTACCTCGAAGTGTTCTCGCGCGAGCACGGTCTTAAGATGATTACAATTGCCGACCTTGTCAAGTACCGACAAGCGCTCGAAAGCAAGCAGTAATCGAGAGGAGCGTACACTCTCTGGCATTTTCTCTCTCTCTTTCTCCCTCTCCCTCTTTTCTCACTCATTGTTTAATGATCTCTTTTCCCTTCCCCAAATTGTTTGTTGTTGAGCTGTGTCGTTATTTGTCGCCTGGTAGGCTTGTACCAATCCCTCCCCCCATCCCTACGTCCACCCTTGATCCGCCCACTCAGCTCTGAGATTGTCTTTGTTTCCACCAAGCAAACTGCCCAGACGCGCTCACTCAGATCGAACTTTTGCACAAAAAAGCAATTGTCGAGTTCTATTTGTTTTGTGCTGCGTCATGGGCAAGTGCTGGAATTTCACCGTCAATTGCATAAAGCTCGTGCAAGGAATCCACCACGAATAAAAGAAGAAAAGATTAATGATGCTTCTCAAATGTCCATGTTTGCTTGCTTTATTGAGTTTCATGACTTTTGGTGTTGCACGGCGATCAGATTTGACCTTTTCGACTTTATTGATTTTTGCATTCAAATTCAGACGGGATTTCCGGGATGCGACTTGTCGTGGTACTCTCGACTGTGATCTGGGGGAGTTGTTCCGATGGGTCCAGGGCCAGAGTGTGGGCGCAGGTCGCGCTGGTTGGTCGTGAGCGGCCCGGCGTTCTCGTTGCTCAAGTCGGGGCCCTGATGCATTTCAGTGGACAAAGTGCTCGCCGTCCCGCTTCTGCGCCAGCTGGAGTGCTCGTATGCATGGTCCCATGGATAGTCATGGACGTGGTGCAAGTGATGGTCCTCGCGATGCGTTTCCGGTTGCTTGTCGGTCGATTCCGGGCGAGCTTCTGTCGTGGCGTTTTCCTTCTGTTGCGACATGGTTTTTTTTTGTTTTTTGCTGTGTTTTGAACAGGTTTTGCTGTTTGTTTGGACAATGAAAGCACGACGGAAAAAAAAAGTGGATTGCATTTTTACAAAGACGCCGAGGAGGACGAAACACCCAAAATACTCATGCACCATCGCTCACAGCACGACTGTGCTCGCTGTAAAACTGCTGGTACCAGCGACGCACGCGCGCAATGGGACCGTCGCCCTTGACAAGCAGCGGCGTGAAAGAGTAAATCTTGTTTTGCCACACGGAAATGTCGTCGCGGAAGGCATTGATGGCCTCCATGACGATATACCGAACAAGCAGGCGGGGAATGCGCGGATCCGCATACCACACATCCTGCACGCGCTGCATCAGAGGACTGAGCGGAAGGAAGGTCTTGAGCAGCACAATGTCGCCATGCGGCGTGGTGAATCGAAAGTAGACCACTCCGCCACAGCCGTTGAATGTTACGCGCGTCGATACGGGTCGGGGTGCCGGCTGTGGCGAAAAGACGCTGTACAAGTCTGCCACGTCGTTAAAGTAGCTCAGGTGAGGAATGTCAGGGTTGGGTTCCCAGCTCGTTTCATGCCGAATAAAGGTCAAATCTCCGGCGACGGGGAAGGAGAGTTTGCAGTGCAGATAGTTAAAGTGAGCGGAATCGGCAGCATTCTCCACAAAGTCCTGGCAAGGTGGAGAGAGAGAGAGAGAGTGTGTGTGTGAGTGTGAGAAACAAGCAACAACAACAACCAAATCTCAAATCACTGATTATGGCGATTCACGCAACGACTCACTTGGATGTGCATGGGTGTCTCTTGACTGGCTTGCCCGCGGTACTTGTACCAGCCAGAGTCGATTTCGGGCAAGGGGAGCGGCAGATACGGAGCCGGGCGCCCTTCGGCGTCGAAATACACACAAATCATGGTTGCGTACTCGGAAACGCAGACAGAAGGCGCGTGGACAATGGAGGTCGATGCTGCAGACTGCCATCGGAGCTCTGCAACTTGCTGCTGTTCGTGGAAACCTCCCCCGACATGCAGGGGCCGACAAACCCAGCCGTGCGTTTCACAGACAATCGAATTGTCGGATTGCAGTCGGAGGCCTTCACCGTGGCACGAGCCGTGGGCTTGGGAAGAAGCTTCATCAACATGAGGGCAGCCGTTTCGGAGCACAATCACGCTCCCATCATGGGATCGCCAGACAGACCAGCGAGCCCCGAGCGCGTTGAGAACGACTGGAACCGCTCTTCCGACGACAGCGTGCCAACTGTCAGTGAGCTTGTACCAGCTGTTTGGGAATCCAGGAGGAAACGAGGCGGTGCGCCACGTGTGCTTGGCCTCGTCTTGGACTTGGCGGACTTGCAGACCTCGAGTGTTGATTGGCGCAGCGTCCAGCGTTGCAAATGCTGCAGCATGCCCAAAGACGCTCCTGCAAAGCCACCGTCCCGCGCCGAGGCATCCTAGTGCACAGACCCCAGCTCCACCGAGCGCACACAGGTGTAGAGCGGCGGCCATCAATGAGGGCGAGATTGAGATGACCACAATTGCGACAAACGCTGACTGCCATCGCAAAGTGCCTCGGTTCAGAAGCGCCTTCCAAGTAGCCGTGTGCGTAAAGATCGATGAATGGACGATGGCCCCGACCAGCACTGAAACAAGCCCGACATCGCCATGGGGAATCATTTTCACGGGGTCTGTGCAAGCAAGCAAGCAGCGCAGTAATTGAAGTGAGGCTTCAGTCAATCGCTCGATACCGACAACAGACTCGAGCACTCATTACCTGTCAGCCCGAGCACAACAGCAAAGCCAAGTGCGACGCAAACGACCGTCAACGTGGAGAGGTAGCGGCGAGCAAACGCCATTGCGGATGGTGCGGAAACCCTCGGTTCAGCGGGCTTGGATTTGGTCAGGGAAGGCGACGTCGAGTTGGACTGCAGTGTGCTCGCAACCGATCGTGGCAGAACGGACTCAAACAACATGCCTCCAAGCGAAAACGAAACCGAATGCGCGATCGCCAACGTGAAGCACTCCCAGAACGTCCAGTCGGCCTGGCGCATTTCGACAAAAGGCAACGTGCAAAACACGTAGTAAAACCACAGCGAGCACCCGAGCGTAAAGGTGGCGAGGAAGGAACTTTTTGCGATGGAGCGGTAATTTTCAATCTAGTCGGTCAACGTAGGCAAACAAGAAAACGAGGTTAGCTTTCGCACTCGACCCTCGCAGAGCTGAGATCACACCGTCGCATCAAAAACGCAAAATAAAACAGCAAGACCGACGACATACAGTATGCGGAGGGGCGTCCGGGTTGGCCTCGCCAATTAGCCGTGAAACAAACGCAGAAATCAACATGCCCAGCACCATGGAGCACGTATGTCCGAGCGCCGCCGTTGGGTAGGTTGCAGAAGACTCGCTCGCAAGCAGCAGCCAGTTTTGCGCAATCTCAGATGATGCGTTCGAGGCAGATGGCAGGGGAACGGCGTTTTTCATTGGTAGACCACCAGACAGGTCGAATCCAGGGGTGTAGACCCTGCTGGCCCAGTATCGAGCACTGGACATTGAAAAATCCATCCAATGTCCAACGAGTCGACTGACGCTCGGCGGCAGTGGCAGAACAAGACGTTCCAGATGCGGTTGGTGGGCCGGCCAGGCCAGAACGCATTGGAGGACAATCCAACCGACAAAATGCAGGACAATTCCAAGCAAGAGCACAGAGCCAATGCGCCATCTGGCAGGCAGCTGCGACACTCCTGCAACAGTGCGCATACCCGAGACGACGGCATGGGTGAAAAGCGCAGCGAGCGGCGTCACCGCGAGTAATTGCAGTGTCAGCATGGAAAAAGCAAGAACAAAAGGGAAAAAGAAAGAAAAAAAATAGGTTGAAAAAAAGTTGAGTGAAAGAAAGGGGAAAAGTTGGGGGAAAAATGCAGGAAGAGCGAGAGGCAGAGCGCTGGTCGAGAAAGGTGAGAAAATTGCGCGAAATGTCACACCTTTTGCTCTTTTACACGTCCCAAGCTTCAATGACAGAAGCCCCACCAGCACACCAACCGCGGCGAGACAGTGTAGAATATAAAACGAAGCGTAAAAAAAATGACGAGTTGGGAAGAAAGCGAACAGACGGGAAAAAAAAAAAAAAAAAAAAAAAAAAAAGTGACCCTCCAAAAAAATCGAGACCATTGGCGAGCCAACTGGCTGTGGCCCAATCAGAACGCCGCAACCAGACTCGCGTCTCGCCACTTGCCTGCGCCTGCCCCCGGCCACCACTTCAATAGCGCAATGTGGCATCTTGTGACTTTGCGGACGGGACGAATCCCGACTGCAGCAGGTGAGACAGGACGATTTCGGCGTTGCGCTCGACGAGGTGCGCGGACGCGAGGCGCGAAGATTGCTTGCCCAAAGTATGTGCGCTCAGCGTTCCGAGGCGCCGGGCAAAATGATACGCCTCGCGAGCAATGACGTAGAGCTCGTCAAGGTTGCTGCAGGAGGGGTTTGAAGTGCGAGACGCGGCGACACTCGGGTCGAAATTGCCGATTTGGGCGCCCGAGAGCTGAAAGTGCTCTGCTCGCCACTCGAGCGCCCCAAAGAGGGCGTGCACATATTCCTCCATCGGGTCAACGACTGCAGGCGCAGGAAGCAGCGCGACAAGGCTGGTTGGTGCAAAAATGTGGCGAAACTGCTGGACGGCAAGATCAAACCTTTGCGGGAGCTGGCTGCGCATGGCGCTCATGGCAAGTTTTCGCTTTGCAGAAATCATGAGATGGTGGGTGCGGGACAATGCCAGCCCGGTCTTGGCAGGAGGGGACTTTGAGCTGGAGGTGGCTTTCGGGTCGCACTCGAGCAGCAATTGTGTCAGAGCGCTCACCGCCGCGAGATGGTCTCCCTTTTCAATCATGGAGCTGGTAATGGACGCAAGGCGCTGCTGGAAGTCCAATACTTCAGGGGCGTGCATGGCTGGATCGAGCAGCAGTCGCGGTTTGCCGGAGGGCAGCAAAGCCGGATTGCGCTTGACTTCGGCTGCGAGTTGCTCGGGGGAGGGCGGGGTTTTGCCACGAAATTCAAGAGCAACCAAGCTTGCATCGAACTGGCCAAAAGGGTGGGTCAGATCGAGCGGGGCTGTACACCGAAGGCATGAGCAGGCAAAGTGGTAGCCACGTTCCACCTGCGCCTGCCATTGCACCCGTGCCTGCAGCAAATCCCGGTAGGACACGAGCAACTCTTGACCCTCCGCGATGCGTGAATGCGCGCGCACAACAACCCGATTGGCGCGAAGACTGACGGTGCAGTTGGACAGACAGGAGTGGTTGAGCAGACTTGCTCGTCCAGCCACAAACACGCCGCCATCCATGGCAAACCCGTTGCTCCGCGCGAGGCACGCGAGATTGAATGCCATCTCGGGAGCAAACGCATTGTCCGAGCTGTCTGTTGGTGCAGAAGCGGAATTGGTTGAGCCGGAGGAACTTTCCAGAAACGGGGCATCGTCAAGTCGCGAGGACAGATGGAAGGATGCTGCAGCCTCCGCATGAGTGGCATCGTGCTGGGCACGTAAGGCGTCCACCCATTCGTCGTCGTCGTCGTCGTCGTCGTCGTACTGCTCCTGTGGTTTCGAGATGGCCGACTTTGACGCCCCACTCGACTTGCCAGCGCCCAGATTGTCAATGACGACTTGGTTGGATGCAGATGATAAAATGTGACGAACAAGGAAGGTTCCAGATGCAATTTCCTCTGCCTCCTTGACGGAGAGTTTGTCGCGGTGCGTTTGCAGCCGTAGCAGTGCTTCATTCACGGATACGGGAGCACTGTGCGCGAGCAATTGAGGTGCTGCAGCTGCTGATGAGGTCTGTTGCTGTTGCTGTTGTTGCTGTTCGCGCTGGTGCTGCCAGAGCATGGTGCACACCAGCATGACTGACCGCTGCGGAACGCGAGGTGCAATGCGACACAGCGCGTCGCACATTGGCTGGTGTCGTGTCGCGTCGGTCCGCTGGCAATCCGTCGAGCAATAGTGTGCATACTTGCATCGCTCGCACGGGGTGACCGCGGCGCACTCAAACTCGGAAAGATACGGCTCGTCGCTCTGAGACACGACGCCCAAAGCTGACGATTGGTTGCGCGCCATGAGCCCACAGCGATGGCAGTAGAGATCGAGCTGGTCTGCATCGTATGCCACTGCAATAGGCGGCTCTGTGAAGATGCACTCGCCTGGAGCGATGGCGCGCGTGGCAAACAGTCCATTTCCAGCTGCAGGGACGTTGCGAATCGCGACCGGCACCCGCTCAGCGGCAACCGGGGCAGCACCACTCTTAGATGCAGATCCAAACCATGCACGCGTCCATAGCTCGTGGTTGTCCGGCAGCAGAGGGTGCGCTTCGGTGGCTGGGCTGGTGTTCTTGGCTTGAACTTGTGCGTCAACAGCGCTCGCCGGCTCCTTCTTGCTCTCTGTCTTGGCATCTGCTGGGCCTGCAGCACTTGCATGACTTGATGATGATGATGGCTGGGCACCGAGTCTCGAGTCATCATCACCAGTTTCGTTTGCGTCCTCGTGTGACAATCCGCCGCCTGGCACTCTGTACGATCGCTGCTTGTGCCGCGAGGACGTCGTCTTGATCATCTCCGAGACTCGTTCACCTGACAACTGACAAAGCAAAACAGTCCCAGAGAGAAGTGCAATCCAAGTGGCGATCTGTTCCGGACTGAGAACAAAAGCAAATCCGACTGAGCCGAGCTTCATTTGGCTCTGCGCTGCTCCGAGATCAGAGGTTCATGAGTTTCATTTCGTTTCGTTCTGATCTTCATCATGTCGTTCTCAATTCGTTTCAGAGCTCATTCGTTCTTTTTTTTGTTGGGTTGTCGTTGTCGTTTCGTTATTCCAGTCTGCCATGTCTCGTGCGGGCGATCAATACAACCGACTCCGCGATGACGACAACGACGATGGCGATGATAACGACGACGACAATCACAACGACCGTCTCGTTGGAGGCGATGATGATGATGATGATGATGATGATGATGATCAGCAGAGCGAGCACGGCCGATTGAACAACGACGGAGCAGCGCGCCACGACGCCAACGCCAGCGATGATGATGACGATGATGATGACGATGGCAGCAATAGCAATGCACCCATCCATCAACAGCATCAGCATCAGCAGCAGCATCGTGATGGCTGGGATCGGCTGGCCACAGCAGATGATGATGATGATGATGATGACATTGGCCACAACGACGACACTCGGACGACCGCTTCCGCCAGCAATGCAATGCTACTTGATCCGACGGGTGAGGTTGTGGTTGACGTGAGCCAGCCGACAGCGACAGCGCACCAGGCACCAGCACCAGCACCAGCGGTGGAGGTGGTTGTCGGTCAGCATGACTCCGCCCACTCTCACTCTCACTCTTACCACTCTGACTCTGCGAACCCCCTGCGTCCATTGCACGCTGGCACGGAGCACCGCCCGGTCGATGCTGGTCGGCAGCTGCAGAGTGGATTGCCAGCGTCGTCTTCGTCCTCGCCGTCCTCGTCGTCGTCGTCGCGTGGTGGCACGGGTGTCACCAGCACAGCAGTCCAGCCACCACTCCCTTCTTCAGTGTCCCTGCTGCACGGCGGCGAGCCAGCCCAACAAGCATCCGACGCCACAGCAGCCAATGCAGCCGCTGGTCTGACGTGAGTTAGTTCGTGTTTGCGCTGTCATGCCGTGGACGGAGTGTTCCTCGAACGATGGTGAATCGAGGGACGGAGGATTTCGTTGTTTTTCAATGACACGCTTGTCGGCGGTCATGGAGAATTTTACTCTGTTGAAGAACGAGAGGAAGGAGGGGAGGAGGGGGTGTTCAATGGTCTGGGATTGATACAAAGAGTGATATCTCAGGCTGAGGAGTCGAGGCGGGAGGGAGGTTGGGAGAGAGAGAGAGAGAGAACGAAAAGAATCGCTTTGACAGGACGTGTCTGAGAATCTGAAACTCTTAGCTGAATGATTCAAACAAAACAAACATCTCACTTTGCCGTGTTTCTTTTTTTTTTTTTTTTTTTTGTTCTTTTTTTTTTTTTTTGTTCTTGATGCAGAGCTAATGGCTGCCAACCGTCGCTCATCGATCGCGTCGGAATCCTCTCAAGAATCACATTCTGGTGGGCCAACCCGTTGCTGAGGAAGGGCTACAAGGGCGCGCTGCAAATGTCAGACCTGTGGGACCTTGCAGATCGTGACGGCGCCGTGGTCGTGTGCCAACGCTTTGAGGTCGAATGGGAGGCGGAGCTTGCACGCGGACGAGCGGAGGTCGAGCGCGCGCGTCGACTCATCGCCTCGAACAGTGCGAACGGTGATAAAGCAAGCTTGGCCGGCGAGACGACCTCCACCACCACCGCTGCTGCTCCTGGTCTTGCTGCGCATCTTGTGCTGGATCCAATCCCGGCACCCCGATCGCCGCGAAACCTCTTTGGACTCTTGTCTCGAAGGGTCGTGCGGAGCTCTCGGCTGGCAGACAACGTGTCTGTGGCGCGCACCTTTGTGCGGACGTTCAAGAGGGAGCTGATGCGCACCCACATGCTCCTCACGCTGCAGCTCTTCTTTGTCTTCTTTGCGCCCACCTTCTTGCTGCGTGAGCTCGTCGCCTATGCACAGGACAGGGGTGCACAGCCAGTGTGGCACGGCATCCTCCTCGCGCTCGGCATTCTGCTGAACGAGACGGGCCGCAGTCTCGTTGTTTCCCAGTCCTTCACCGAATCGATTCGCGTTGCTGGCCGAGCGCGATCTGTCATGTTTGGCATTGTCTACAAGAAGGCAATGCGCCTGCGGACGCTGGGCAACAAGTCGATCGGCGAAGTCATCAACATGGCGTCCAACGACGGCCAGAGAGTCTACGATGCGTTCGTTTTCGGCTCGTTCACGTACAGCTCGACTCTCTCGACGGTGGTCGGTCTGGCTGCATCCTTTGCCATCATCGGACCGTTCTCGCTCGTTGGGTGCGGCGTGTTCATCATGTTCTACCCCATCCAAGCCATGATTGCACGCGCCGTCGCACGCCAACGTCGCGAAACGATTGCATTCACCGATACGCGCGTCCGCCTGATGAATGAACTGCTGACCTGCATGCGTCTCGTCAAGTGCTACGCCTGGGAGGACTCGTTTGCCTCCAAGGTCGGCGACATTCGCTCGTCCGAACGGCGCGTCCTCTCCCGCGCCAGCTACCTGCAGAGCATGAACTTCTCCCTGACCCCACTCGTGCCGACGCTTGCCTCGGTGCTGTTGTTCACCTTCCACTCGCTCGCTGGCCAGACGCTCTCGGCCTCGACGGCATTTTCCATTACTTCCATGTTCAACGCCATGCGCAACGCCATGAACCAGCTGCCGCAGGCCGTCAAGAACGTCGGCGAGGCTTTGATTAGTCTGGCGCGTATCAAGAGCTTTTTGCTCATGGATGAATTCTCATCCGTCCTGAGCAGCCCATCCAACTCGCTGGACGCGATCAAGTTCCGAGACGCCTCCTTCTCCTGGGCACGGCCCGAGGATGACATCCGCACGACCGGCGTCGAGAGCGCTGTTGTTCCTGCACGCCGTCCCGGTACCAAAGTGGCTCGGTTGCTCAAGCGCATTGGCCTGCGAAAAGGTAAAAACACGACCGAGCCAATCGCTCTCGAAGCGTCAGCCCCGTCGTCGTCGTCGTCGTCTGGCGCTGGCGTTGGCGGCGGTCGTGGAGCCGGAGGCAAACGCGGAGGGGCAAAGTCGGGCCCTCCCAAACCCATCGGTCGGATCAAAGATGTCTCTCTTACCGTCGAGAAGGGCCATCTCATTGGCGTCTGCGGCGCCGTAGGATCCGGCAAGTCCTCGTTGCTGTCGGCTGTGCTTGGCCAAATGCTTCTGGACAATGGTGATGTTTCAGTGAGTGGCAGCATTGCGTACGCGTCTCAGCAGGCGTGGATTTTCAATTCCTCGCTCCGCGCCAACATTCTGTTTGGACAGGTAAGGAGAGAGGGAGACACAGAGCCGTCGTGGTTTTGTGTGCTTGTAGTTGCTTTTTTGTTTGTTTTGAAATCAACAGTGCTTGTGTGTTTACTGACTCTGCACGTTTGCACTCAGCCCTTCAACCAGGAGGCCTATGATCATGCAATCGATGTCTGCTGCCTGCGGGCGGACATTGCCATGCTCCCTGATGGCGACATGACCGAGATTGGCGAGCGTGGCATCAATTTGAGCGGCGGCCAAAAGCAGCGTGTCAGTCTTGCTCGCGCCGTCTACAGCAACAAGGACATTTACCTGCTGGATGATCCCCTGAGTGCTGTGGATGCGCATGTTGGAAAACACATTTTCAACGAGTGCATTGTGCGGAGCCTCCATCAAAAGACAGTGGTGCTCGTGACGCACCAGCTGCAGTATCTTCCCAACTGCGATCTGGTCGTTGTTATGGATGACGGGCGCATTGGCGAGCAAGGCACCTTTGAGCAGCTCATGTCGATTGAAACCAGCGCGCTGCGCTCGTTGATTCGCACCTTCCACAGCTCCACAGCAGACGAACCGAGCGGCATCGCATCCATTTCTCCGATTGCACCGGTTGCTGTGCCTGCTGCCACCTCCGGTGTCGCTGATGCTCCACCACTCCTTCGACGCGAAAGCCGCCGTGGCACTCTCCTCGCTCTCCTCGATGCACACAACGCGCAGACCAAGCCGGAGACGTCAGCTCCCGTCAAAAATGCTCCTGAAAAAAGTGAAAAGTCTGCAGGTCAGTCTCATTGGTGGATGCGTCGTTGGTTTTTTTTGCTGCGCTGGTTTCTGCTCAGTTTGTTTTTCTCGTTCTGCACTCACTCGCTCTGTTCTCATTGTCGCTTCCAATTTCTTTTTGTTTTTTTGTTTCCTTCGCCGATTCAGCCCTCATGTCCAAGGAAGAAAAGATGGAAGGCGCAATCTCCAAGGCGACATACTTGGAGTACATGCGGGCGGGCGGTGGCGTGCGCATCTTCCTTGCGTTGGCGTTGGTGTTTGTCTTCTCCATGTCCATCAAGGCATTCTCCGACTGGTGGTTGAGCTACTGGCTGCGCCAGCCCCCGTCGACGATCATGGTGAACACCACCATCATCGACTCGAACGGCACGGTGAGCTGGGGGTGGGTGGAAGAGCCAGTGACAAGCTTCAATCTGAAGGACTACCCAGACTTTGGCATGTACGTTGGAGTCTACTGCGCGTCGGCCGTCCTGCTCATGCTCGTCCAGATGGTCCGCGCCTTGTTCTTCCTCCGAACAACGCTGACGGCCTCGCAAACCATGCATCGCGCCGTTTTCGACAAGGTGATGCACGCGCCCATGTCGTTCTTTGACACCACGCCCACTGGTCGACTCCTGAGCCGCTTTTCCAAGGACATGGATGAAGGTATTGTTTAGGGCCATTTGTTTTGCTTTGTTTTGAATTGGGGACAAAAGCGCAGAAAAACGATTCATTGAACTTACTAACCGTTCTACGTGTTTTTTTTTTGTTTGTTTGTTTTCAAAACAATCTAGTTGACGTCAAGCTGCCATTCTATGCCGAGCAGCTTTTGCAAAATGGCTCTCTCATCCTGCTGACGTTTGGCATCCTGGCAGTGATTTTCCCCTACTTTCTGCTCGTCTTCATCCCGCTGGGCGGTTTGTTTGCCGTGTTTAACACATTCTTCAACCGCTCTGCGCGCGAGCTCAAGCGTCTTGACAACATTTCGCGCTCTCCCATCTTCAGGTACACAACAGCAACTGCGTTGATTTGGATGAACGACGCAGAGTTCGGATTGCAGGCCGCTCACATTCCTGTGTTTGTGTGGTCGTTTGTTTGTTTATTTGTTTTCTTGCTTGTCCCCTCTGACAGTCATCTCACGGCAAGTGTGCAAGGAACGGCCACCATTCGCGCGTACGGCATGATGGACTTGTTCATTAACGAGTACATGAAGCAGGTGGACGCCAACTCGCGTGCCTTCTTCGCCTTTTATATTGCCAACCGTTGGCTGTCCATCCGGCTCGACGCTCTGACGACCCTGGTCTCTACCGCCACCGCCTTCTTTATCGTTCTTACAACCGGCTCGCTCTCCCCTGCTCTGGCCGGCCTGGCGCTGTCGTACTCGCTGCAGACATCGGGCATGTTCCAGTTCACTGTCCGTCTGATTGCCGAAACGCAGTCTCGGTTTGTGTCGGTCGAGCGAATCCAGTACTACACACGCACGACTCCTCAAGAAGGCATTCCTCCTCCGCTCGAGGACGACGCAGACGCGTCTGGAAATTCCTCGGGACGTCTGTCTGGCATTGAGGAAGACGGTGACGACGACGACGCCGTCAAGGAGAAGCAAACGACTGACGACGATCATATCGCTCTTGTGCTCTCTGGTGCTGCTGGTTTGCCCACTGGGCGCGCTCACGTCCCGTCCTCCCGTCTGCAGCGGCTGCTCGCTCGAGTTCACAAGCCCTCCGGTCATGGCCACGCTGTCCGCGAGCCCCTGCCGTTGGTCAATGTGCACTACGCACCCGTCAACGTCCCCGAAGATTGGCCTGCTGCGGGTGTGGTCGAGTTCCGGAATCTCAAAATGCGCTATCGCGACGGCCTTCCGCTCGTTCTCAAGGGTCTCTCCTTCAAGACACGCCCTCAAGAGAAGATTGGTGTAGTTGGGCCGTACTGGTGCTGGCAAGGTGAGGAGAGGCTGTGGTTGTGGTCGTACCTTTGGTCATGAGCTTGATTTTTTGTTTTGTTGTGTTGGTGCTCACCTTCAATCTGCTCCTCCGCCCTTGCCCCCCCCCCAATTTCATTCTGATGCTGCTCAACACTTCCAGTCCTCGATCGCCGTGGCTCTCTTCCGACTGGTCGAGGCGAGCGCAGGCTCGGTGGTGATTGACGGAATTGACATTTCTCGTGTGCCTCTCCCTGTGCTCCGTGCTCGCCTTTCCATCATTCCGCAGGATCCTGTGCTGTTTGTGGGAACCATCCGGTACAACTTGGATCCGTTCAGCAAGTATTCTGATGCCCAGATCTGGGATGCGCTGAAGCGATCGCACATGGCAGACCGTGTGACGGTGATGCCGCTGCAGCTGGAAACCCCCGTTGTGGAGAATGGAGAGAACATGTCTGTCGGTGAACGTCAACTGCTGTGCATTGCCCGCGCCTTGCTGCGCCACAGTCGCATCCTCATTCTCGACGAGTCCACCTCTGCTGTGGACACCGAGACGGACGCGCTCATCCAGCAAACCATTCGCGAGTGTTTCCAGGGCTGCACTCTGCTGACCATTGCTCACCGTCTCAACACGATTCTCGACAGCGATCGCATCCTGGTACTGTCTGAAGGCCGGGTGGTCGAGCTCGATTCGCCCCAAGCCCTGATCGACCGTCCTGACTCGCGCTTTGCACAAATGCTCCATGCCGCGAACACTGCCCACTGAGGTGGTTGTTGTGTCTTTTTTTGTGTATTGCCTTTTCTGTCTGTGATTGTATGAATATAGATCTACAGAATCTTTTTTTTTTTTTTCTCTTCAGTAACTCAAAGTGTCCAAGTTGAGTTGGTTCACATTCAGATCAGTTCTGATTTTTTTTTTTTTTTTTTTTTTTTTTTTTTTGCTGACTCGCCTCTCCGTTTCTGCGTTCCCCCTGCTGGATCACAAAAAGCGTTTCGCGTCGAACACTTCAACCCACGACCATAAGCGCGCGCTCTGAGAAATGGCGTCTGGGGCTGGGGCGGTCCGGCGGGCCAACCAAGCCGGCACGTCGTCCACTGCGTCGTTCCAGGAGGCCCAAGCCATCCCACACACGGGGCTTGTCGGCCGTCCTCGCATGGAGAACAGCCCCCGCGAGCGCACTCCGCTGTCCATGCGCCACTACCGCGCGCTGGTCGAGCTGCTCCTCGACCCAAGCGAGGTCTGTGCACTTCCGTTTGAACTACCGCTCCCTCGTCTCGACTCCCCAACTCCCGCTCCACTTTGGACATCTCCCCACCCCCCCTTCCCCCAAACTCTCATTTCACTCTGACAAGCCATTCGGTCGCATCGCATGGCTTGCTTTCCCATTCGGTTTCGGTGCTCTTCCTCTGTTCGTTTTGTTCGGTTTTGCGTTCGTTGCGGATTATTGACAACTGCGAAAAAGTTTACTGCAAAAAAAAAAAAAAAAAAAAAAAAAAAGCATTACAGCATCGTATGATTTTGAGCGCAAGACGCAGTTTCACTCGATACGGAGAATTCACTGATTTTCCACTCTGCTGGTCCTTTTCCTATGTTTTGTGTTTTTCTTTTTCGGAATCTTGACTGACTCACCGACTTGACTTTTCTGACTGCCATCACTCACTTCGCTTTTCATTCACTCTTGTGCGTGTGCAGGCCTTGATTCGCATCTTAGGGGACACGACCGAGCAGTGCGATGCAGACTACGTTGCTGGCCTTGTCATTGTGATTGCCGAGCACCACCGCGTCGCACCCGCGGTGCTGCAGTCGCTTGCCACATCGAGCATCGAGACCGCGCGCGCTCCAGAAGCGCTGTTCGAGGACGCGAGTTTCATCAGCAGGCTGCTCTCGAGCTACGCCAAGCTTGTCAGCGAGGGCTTTCTCTTACACGCCTTCCAAGCCTCCGTTGCAAGGCAAGTGCTTGTGTTCCACGCCAAGTGCGCCACACAAACAGACAGAAAGTGGGATTTGCCTCCGAGTGGCTCATTGTTGGAGGTGTATCCAACTTGTCGTGCAGTTTCAGAGATGTCGACAAACACTTTGAGCGAAAGGGTCGACCCGTACTCACGCTTCAACTCGTCTGACATGTCCGACCAATGGTGGTTGCGTTTTTTTTCTTTTTTCTGAACAACAGAGTCATGGCGCATCCTGGATCATTCGACATCAACCCCAACCGTGTTCGCGTAGCGGCAGAGCTGGAGGCCAACCATGCCGCGCTGGAAAACGCAGCCGCCTTGTTCGTGCAGTGCTTGGAAGAGTCGGTGGAGGCGTGTCCGTTCTCGCTTCGTGTCGTCTGCCACGCCTTGTATGTTGCGACGATGAAGCGGTTTCCGACCAAGCCGCACGCCGGGCTGGCAATCGTGTCCCGGTACCTCGTCACCCACCTCCTGTGTCCCGCCATTGTTATGCCCAACATGTCTGGACTGAGCGATACCTACCCTCGCAAGGAAGGCCACTCCGGGCTGGTGCAGATTGCCAAGATTCTGCAAACCGCCGCCCGCGGAGCCACCTTTGACGCGAGCGAAAACCTCGCGCGATGCAACCCGCTGGTCAGAACGCTGACCGTCCGCCTGGAAGCTGTCATGACCCAGCTGGCCATGCCAGTCCTCGGCACACCGGAAGAGCAGCGAGCGCGACTCGACTTTTGCAACGTGGCTGTGCCGGACGATCGGGTTTTGGCGTGCGTGGGCAGCCTGCACCTCTACCTGCATCGCCAGAACATGCGCATCACCGAGTTCTTGGCCTCGTGCGACTCACATCGCGCACAAGTCAAGGCCCAGATTGCCGCACTCAACGAGCTCAAGATTATTCTCACCGATCTCGATGTTGAAATGTCGCGCATTGCACCCACCTCCAGCCACGGCTCGCCGCTGGCTCCAAGCAGCAGTGGTGGGATCGCCAACAGCTCGGCATCCTCACGGTTTTCGAGCATGGAAATCTCTGACGTCTTGACTGGCGCACTGAAACGCGACAGCTCGACGCTTGGCTCGGCAGCGCCGTCCAGCACTACCTTCTCGGCAGCATTGCACGCACCGCCAGAAACCAGCTTCACCACTCAAAAAGAAGTGTTCCTCAACGAGTATCTTTGCGGCGAGGACGTACGACCCCCGCTTGTGGCAGTGACCGAGTTTCTCGAACGACTCAAAACCATCTTTACAGACCACCCGCTGCTCGTCAGTGCGAGCGAGGGGCTGCATGCCTTCCGCACACAGCGTGCTCCCGTATCGTCGTCTATTATGGATTTGTCCCATGTCCAGCAACGCATCGCCATGGCGTCGCAGGCGTTCGAGCAGCTCCAACCGGTCTCGCAAAGGAATTCCCTCCAGCCACCCGTTTCGGTCGACTACCACGGGTCGATGCATGATTTGAACGTCATCGACGGCGGCTCGAGGAATCTAGCGGGCTCAATGTCGTCTCTAGCAGGCGAGGCGGCGCTAGCCCGTGCAATGGAAATGAGCTCGGTTGACTTGTCAAACGGTTTCAAGGGACTGAATGACGACGCCAACACGGCAAATAACGCGGCCGCAGAGCATAGCCTGTCCGTCCCGCTGATTGGCTCACCTAATCGCCTTTTGCGTCGAGGATCCTCGTCATCATCAACATCTTCTTCTTCTTCTTCCCACCCGTCGCCCTCGGTTGTTGGCGAAGTGACGTCCAAGCTTGGCGCCATCAACCTGCAGGCCGTTGCCGAGAGCATTGACTTTCAAGAGCTGCTTCTCAACTTGGCGGAACTCAAGGCCATCAACCTTGGCCTGCTGGTCACGCCGCAGGAACAGCTGTGCTTCTGGCTTAACCTTCACCATCTCCTTGTCTTGCATGCCCATGTTGTCAACGGCTTGCCCAGCAACACCAACCAGCGCAAGCGTATGACGCGAGTATACAAGTACATTGTTGCTGGAATGCCGTTCTCGTTGGAAGACATTTTCGACGGCATCCTCCGTGGCAATCCCAAGGGAACAATCAAGAAGGACGACCCGCGGTTTACGCACGTCTTGACCAAGTATGACCCTCGCGTCCACTTTGCCATCTCGTACCTGACCGTCTCCACGTCTCCCATGCTCATCTTCCACCCCGAGTCCCTTGCGTTGGAGCTGAGCGTGATTAGCAAAGTGTTTGTGCAGCAATCGTTCAGTCTCTCCGTTCCGCGCAAACGGGTGATGGTTTCGTCCGTGTTTGACACGTATCTCAAGGACTTTGGCAATCATGCCAACGATGCTGTGCGCTGGGTTGTGTCCAACATTCCCCGAGCTGACGCGACGCAACTCTCGTCCATTCTGATTGGCGGCAAGTACGATCTGGTCTACACGCACTTGTCCTGGGAGCCTCGTACGCGCGTTCTATTCGTTGACGTCCCTTCACTTCAACAAATCGATTTGCATCAAGTGTAAGCCTGAACTTTGCTTGTGTCGGGGGAAAAGGAAATTTTGAACTTGCATCTGACGATGATGATGAGGCTGTTGTGGTTTTGTTTGGTTTTTGTGGCTGTTTTGATTTGCTTAGATACATATCAACCTCCCTTGGAACGGAAGCAATCAAGCGACACTTGGCCAGGTTCAATCCTCCAGCCGCGTCAACGGAACCCAAGCCCAGCAACGCTTCCATGGCGTCGCTCGCCAGCTCGGCTCCAGTCATGCGTCAGGCCAACTTGAATGACGACATTGGTGTGCTCAACCAAGACATTACATGGACGAAAGAAGGGCGCAAGGCGACAGTCGTCGTCGAAAGCTTGCTTCGCCAGCTGATTGAACTGTGCAACTTTTTTGCGTTCGAATGGGCGTGCATTGCGGGCAGCCCGGAGTTCAAGGCGTTTCTGTACGATTGCGCCGAGCTTCAAAAGGTATGCAATGTTTGCAATCGAGGGTGTTCAAACAAGCGAAAAACAACCAAAATTGCGAGAGTTCGATTTGTAGTTCATTTGTGGTTTGTGTTCTTTGTCCTGTTCTTTTTTGTTGTTCTTATTTTCGTTTGTTTGTTTGCTTGCGCGTCCAATGCATGTGCTCGACAGGTCTGGCTCAGATCTCTATCACGTCCGGAACTGACCGCATTTTGGCTCAACGTGCACAATTTGCTGGCTCTGCACCTCTGCGTGATGCATAGGCCATTCGTGCACATGTCGGCGTTGAATGTGAAGCAGGTGTCGACCAGCTACAAGTACTGCATCAGCGGCCTGGACTTTTCGCTGCGTGACATTTCGCGCACCGTGCTCACGCGGAGCTTCAAGTTGACCGATCCTCGGCTGGAGCTCACGTTGGCTGCGGATGAGCGCGTGCATTTCGGGCTCACCATGTATGCGCGTGGAATGCCTCGGCTGCGCATTTACGACGCGGCCACCCTCTCAGAAATGCTCGATGTTGCCGCTCGTGACGTTGTCAACATGCTCGTTGTCGTCGACGAGGCCAAATTGCGACTCACTGCCCCCGAATGGCTCAAGCGGGCCTACAAGGATTACTTCAAATCGCGGCAGTCTGGCGAAAGCGAATTTGCGAATTGGCTGTGCTCTTTTCTCCCAGAGAGCGTCGCAAACCGCCTTCAGGAGCAGCGCGTTGCTCAAAAGCGCAAGGCCATCAAAGTCACCTTTGTGGAGTTTGACTGGTCGCCAGAGCCGTGTCAGTTGCAAGACCAAGAGATTAGCTCCTCTGGCCAGCCGCTTGCGTCCCTCCTGCAGTCCCGATCCCTCGTTTCCGTGCCAAAGAGCGTCATCCCGGGATCACCGCGAGAGTCCGGCGATCTGGCCGCAGCCATCACCGCGCTCAATGTCGTGCCTGGTCGCTCGCCTGAAACGTCCCCCAATCTCAAGCGTCGCGGCATTCCTGGCTTGCCGCCCTCACAACCGACAAGCTACAGCAACGCTCCGGCAGCCTTGAGCTCCCAGTCTGCCATTTACAACACCCCTCCGCCCACCGTTCTCATTCAAGCTCCGCCCAGCCCGTCTTCGATTCCTGGAACGAGCGTCTAAGGCTTTTTTGTTTGGTTTTTAAGTTGCCTTTTCTGTTCATTCATTGTTATGAGCGTTTCTTTTTTTCTCTTTTTTTTTTCTCTATTTTTTGTTTTTCTTTGTTCTTGTGATTTGGTCTGTCGATTTTCTGTTTTGTCGGTTGATATTATATCGAGGTTTCGTCCAATGTTCTCATAATCTTCAAAACATCAAGCACATTCCTCTTGTATCGATTGCAGAATCCCATCAGGTCGGTGGCTGGCCTCGAACAGGATCTGTTCAGAATGCGTGTCAAAAAGGGCGAGTGAGTCATCTGTCGCTTTCAAACTGGACCCCAAGCGCATTCGCTTACATGACATGTAACCTGGAGGGGGTGCTTGAGGATCCGAACTACTATCGCACGAAACAAACACACAACCAAAGTCAGAGCGCATCCAAAAAAGCAGAAATCCCACAGCAACACAACCAAACCCAATTACAATGGTCTGAAAGCCTGAGGGTCATTCAACGGCAGAGTCCAAAGGCTGGCAGCTGGAGGCTGTGGAACACTCTGGGGAGACCGAGCAAACAGAGAGGAAGACCCGGTTGACGCACCAAACATTGGCGACGAGAACATGGACGGGGCAAAAGCGGTGGCGGTCAGATCTGGAAACGCGGCAGCTGGCGTCGCGCCCGGCACAAAACCGTAGTGCTTCGGCACGTGCTGGTGCTGTTGCGTGGTCGGAGGTAGCACAGACTGGATTAGACCCGCTGAAAGCGACGTCGCCCCGTACATTGATGATTGGGATTGCATTCCAATCGGCCTCACCTCAAAAGGCTGATTGGCATTGGTCTGCTGGTGATGCTGCGGCTGTGGTGGTTGTTGTCGCTGTGGCTGTGCCTGCAGCGGTTGTGGTTGCGGTTGCGGTTGCAGCTGCGGTTGTTGCGGAGAAGGTCGAGAAGATGGACGAAACACGATAACTTCCTCGGCATCTGCTTCATCATCGAAATTGCTTGTTGGCGATCGAGAGGACGAAGCTGCCGCTTGTGCTTGCACGCGGGTTTCGGTCGGTGTGGTCGTCGCTCCCGACGACGGCCCCGAGACAGCTGTTGCAAGCGGTGGATCGTTCGCCACTGCCTTGAGGCGCTTCAAGTCCGTAGCAAATGAGCGCAAGACCCCATTGCTCTGAGCAGAGCAGAACAGCAACGGTCGATCTCCAACATATGTCGAAGTTGCCCAATACGCGCCAGCCACGATACAGTGCAATCTGAAAACAATCACTACCAGTGAGTGTCAAGCAAAAAGGGCGCCAAAGTTCACCTCCATCATGTCGCAAAAATGACGTACCTCATCACTTTGGAAAGCACATTGCCATGAAGAAGCAAGTCACGTCGATGTTCTGGCAAAAAGCGCAGCTTGTCGTGTTTTGCTTGCATGAAGGCACAACCACGAACAAGCCAATCCTCTACGTTGGCGTCCACTTGTTGCCAACCTTTCGACGGAGGCTGATCAAGGAGCATTCGTTCAGCAATCTCACGACATGGCTCCATGGACGAACGAAGACTGGCGGATCGCTCCAACAATCCGTTGACCACTGCAGTCTGCCAAAAAAAAAAAAAAAAAAAAAAAAAAAGAAAAAAGCGGTGCATGAAACGCGACAGTCAGTAGCTTTCAAATCACAAAGGCCCAACAAAGTTCACCACAAATGAACAAACCGAAACAACACACACACACGTACAATGATGAGAAAACTCTGCTGGCACTTGGCTTTAAAGCTTGGAAAGGCCAGAATATCACTGCGGGTTTGCAACCAGTCCATGAACAGCTTGAGTGCCGGCAGTGCAGCCATATCGCACAGCTGGTCCGGTGCATTGGAGAATCCTGCCGTCAGGAAGGACTTTTTGGCAAGCGCAGCAATAAGGTCAAACACAAACGACATGCTAGTTTCGGAAAGCGACGACGATTTGCCCTCGCGATTGCGACGAGCGGTCAGCGCTTGCACCAATCCTTGTGAGAGAGAAGAGGACTCGATCAAGGCGTGCATGGCGGAAGAAATATTTGCGGAATCCGGCGAACTCTGAGCGTAGTGTTCGCATTCGATTGCGTGTGTCACAAAGAAAAGGGCGACGGCCACGAGCTGCGCCAGCCACGTGCTCCCGACGCCAGCCGTGGGTGATGGTGTCGAGCTTGCAGGCGGTGTACTGAAAAAGACGCTCGGATGTGCATTGACATCTACTTGATCTGTGCTCAAGAGCGTGGTTGCATCGCATGCCCCGAGAAGCTGTTCAAACGCGCTCAACGCGTCCCGTATCACATCTGAAAGCGAGAGTCGCGGCATTGGAGCCGCTTGCCTGTTGTTCGTCGATGACGGTCGGTAATGCGAGGAGGGATCAAACGTCTCCGCACCCGAAGAAATCATATCGACAACCAACAAGTAGCGTTGCCAGAACAACGTCAGTGGACTGGGTGACTGAGTTGTAGGTGCAGCACCACTGTCAGCAGTTTCCGGTTTTGTTTGCAAAGCGCTGCTCTTGAACAATGCGCGGGCAGTAGCCTCCCGATTCTTGTCAAAGACGAGTCGGATGTTGTCCGTGGCCTTGTCAAACGGCGACGCCGATGCGAGACTTTGCGTGTAATAAAACAGCATTGGTAATTGGTTGTCTTCGTGCGCTAGCAACATGGCGATCTGGTTGAATGCGTTTCCGCTGTCTGGGATCCAGAGCAATGCTTGCTCGTACAGCTCTTTGGCGGCAGTCTGATCGGCAACCCGGAGCTTTGGGATTGCGGGGACGATCGGCGCCTTGTAATTTCGCTCGCGAGCGGCGGCTGGAGACGGACGCGCACCAAGTACGAGGCCAACCGAGGGCGCAGACATGCCGCCAGTATCTGACCCACGCTGCTGCTCTGTTAATTCGGAAATCATCGCCAGGTACTGGTCATTTTGGACTTGGTAACGCGCCAAATCGCCTTGCCGCACGAGTGCCTGGTGAATCATCTGTACCAACAGTGCATGCAAGGAATGTCGTAGCCGAGTCACGTCAGTGTCAAGCACGGGCCCGTCTGACGGAGTCGCGAGGCGGTGCTCGCCAAGCAGCCTCACGCGCAGCTGTGCGTACGCTTCCTGCGCCTCGATGAGCGTTTTCTGCAGCGCTGAAACGGCCCGCGTGAGTCTCCGCAGCTCGGTTTCGTAGCTTGAATACACTTCCTGCTGCCTGGCAGTCGCCTGGGGGCTGGGGTCCCTTTGCTGCGCCAAAGCCAGCAGCTCGATGCTGGCGCGCGAGATTGCAGTCGCGTGCTTTGAGCGCGACGATCGCAGCGATTCAATGCGTGCATAGTACCCGCGCTGCCACAGGTGGCGCTCCAGTCTCGTAGCAGTCTCTGCAGCAAGCTTGGGGTTTGTGCCATGGCCCGACTTTCTGACAGTGGTTGACGGAGCGGTTGGCTCACCGTCGCTCGCGTCCGAATTCGAGTCGTCGTCGTCCTCGTCGTCCTCGTCGTCGTCCTCGTCCTCGTCATCCTCGTCTTCGTCATGAGTGGTGTTTCGCTCGGGTTCGCCTTGTCGTCTCCGCCTGTAGCCCACTTGCAGCGGTGCCCGGCTTGCGCTGGCTGCGGCACTGACTTCAGCAATACTGGTCTTGGCCTTTGAGCGCGCGCTCTGCTGCCCCGCTCGGCCATGTTCGGCGTGCGAGGTCAATGCATCATCTCGTCCACTCGGTTGCTGGGCGATGGCCAGGGCGCACATGAGGGCCTCTGTGTAGCTCGAGCGCAGTGACGCAAGGACGAGTCCTCCGCTGTCGTCGGCGCCAGTCCCAGCCCCAGCCCCAGCCCCAGCCCCAGTCCCAGCCCCAGCCCCAGTCCCAGCCCCAGTCCCACTCTTGGCTGACGATGGCGCAGACGAGGGCGTCGGGTTTGATGTGGAGCGCAGATGGTCGAGCAAGCCCGCAATCTGTGCCATATGAAAGTTGAGCGCGTCCTCGTGTGACGCCGCGCTGCTCTGCATTGGATTCAGAACAAAAAGATTCTAAGACTGGATAATGTGGAAGTGCTCTGTCAGAAAAATATGAGCGAAACAGTAGACTGGATAATGTTGACAGGAAACAACGGGTTTTACAGTAATTTTCGAGCTTCATTGTGCTTGCTTACAACATAAGCAAACAGCAAAAACAACGAGAACATCAACATCAACATTGACAGCAAAAGAAACAAACAATACAAGCAGATATGAACAGAGAACAGACAGAAAGAACAACAAGACAAATAACAACAAAAACATGCAAAAGCTACATCAAACACAAACTATCAAACGTAAATGCTGCGCGTACGAGCCCATTTATGCGCAGTGCGGCCGCGCGGGGCTTCAGAATCACCCTCGGCAACGTCGGTCTGGACGTCTTGGCCTTCCTGGGCTTCCTCGGCGGCAATCGCATCTGCAGTGTCATCCGCCAGCGCTGCCAGTGTATGCAGCGTTTCGGCGTTTGTGAGCATCTCATTACCGCGCGTCTCGGACATGTGGACGGCAGCAAGAGGATTGCTGTAGTTGGAAATGGTCGGCGCAGGAGCGATAATGTCATTCCAGCTGGAGCGCTTGGACTCTTGCATCGAAATGCGCTTCAGCTGCTTCATGCTGCTGTTGCGTGCGAGCGTGCTGTTGCGAGCAAAGGTACCCGCGGTGGCAGCTGACGATGAGGAGGCGCCGGAGGTTGAGGGATAGGAAACATAGTCCGATTCAGCCTTCGCCGGGGACTTGGAGCGATGAGGCGGCTTGGCGGCAACTTGGACGCTGTCATTCGACATGGAGCCAATGACGCTGTCTGGCCGATCTGACACGATGGGAGCCATTTGGCTTCGCTGGCGGCGTCGGTAGGCATGCACCACCATCACGACAATCGCCAGCAGAATCAGGACCGAGAACACAATGACAGGCACGGCCTGCGACGTGTTGCTCAAAAAGTCCGAGCCAGAGTCATCGCTTCGCACACAAATGGTATCGTTCGCGGTCGAGCAGGTGAAAAGATTGCTGGCGCATGGGCTGACGGGCGAGCACCGGACACAAGAGCGGCCGTCTGCTGCGAGGTAATACCCGGAGCTGCACTCGGAGCAGATCGTGCCTCCCGCAGAGCCACTGACACACGACGAGGACTGACAGTTCGGAATGGTCAGGCAGTCGCGGCACACTGTATCGGTCGTGCCGTTGACGCCACCGCAAGGGGTCGCGACGTACTGGCCGACGTCACAAGAAAGACACGCGGCGCAGCTGTCCATAGTGGAACCGGCGGCAGGAATGCGGTAAAATCCCGAGCGACACGTGCGACACTGCCGACTGAACGAGTTGGTGCACGACGTGAAGGCGCAGTTGGTAATAGACGGGCAGGACAGACAGAGACGGTTGTTGGTGATCGAGCAACCGGCTGCCTCGTACGTGCCATCGGGGCAGGATGCCAGACAAGAAGAACAGGTGTCGCTGGTGAGACTTTGCTTGAAGGTTCCAGCCACGCACTGCGAGCAGCGGCTGTTGACCGAGGTCGAGCAGGTCACGCCGCCAGAGGTGCAGTTGCTGATGGGCGTGCATGCCGTGCAAACACGATCGGACGTGCCACTGGAGCTGCAAGCCGTGGACTGGAAGGATCCGGCAGGACAAGAGTCGGAGCAAAGCGCACAAGAGTCAGGGATGCCCGGAACACGGTATGAGCCAGGCGTGCAGCTGCTGCACTGCGAGTTTTGCGCTGAGGAGCAGGTGAGTGCACCCGACACACACGAGCTGATCGGAGTGCACGCAGAGCAAACACGATCTTGGCTAGTGGTCTGCGAACATGCGGTGGAGGCGAACGAGCCGCTTGGGCATCCCGACGAGCAGGCACCGCAAGAGGTCGGCGAGAGGAGGCGGAATTGCGCGTTGCATCGAGAACACTTGACCGAAGCTGGACTGGTGCACTCGGTGCTATTGCAGTTGGGCAGGCCGGGACATGCCGAACAAATCGTGTCGGATGTGGCAGAGCAGGAGGTGGAAGCGTACTGGCCAGCGGGGCAGGTGGTGCAACGAGTGCAGACGCCGCTGGCGGTCGGCGCATAGTAGTCTGCCGGGCATGACGCAACACATGCGCCGTCCAGCTGATAGTGGCGGCAGGCAACACAAGCAGACGGGCCGGCACCAGTGCAGCCGCCCGAGCACTCGGCGTCGCACGTTCCACAAACAGCATTCAGGCTGTCGCTACAAGCACGAACGACGTACTCTGTTGCAGGGTTGCATGTTGTGCATGCGGTGCAAGCAGCGCCATTGAAGTACTGGGTGGACGAGCAGGTCGCGCAGATTGCATCCGAAGGAGACGAGCATGTCACAAAGGTAGAGCAGCCCGGGACTGCAGCGCACGGCGAGCACTGGCGGTTGGTGGTCGACGAGCACGGAACAGACTCGTATGAGCCTCGCGAGCAGTTGGAGGCGCATGACTGGCAAGTGTCTGCCACGCCATCCACCAAGAAACGTTGTGCCGCACATTGCGCGCACTGGGAATTGCCACTGTTGGTGCACGTCAACGGAACAGAGCAGCCTGTGATGCTCGTGCAGTTGAAGCAGGCATCCACCACACCATCCTGGAGATACATGCCCGAAGCACATGTTTGGCATTGCGAGTCAGCACTGGACGTGCAAGTCAGAGGACTTGTGCAGCCGGTCACGCCCAAACAAGTGGGACACGTGTCAGCTCCCATAGAGCCGACATCGAGAAGGTACCGACCAGCCACACAGGAGGAGCACTGCGAGTTGGACGGACCACTGCACTGAATGGACGAGTTGCAACCCACCACGGGCGTGCACGACGGGCATGAATCCATGACCCCGACCGTCCCTGGCGCGCGGTAGCTTCCAGCAAAGCAATTTGTGCATCGCGAGTCGGAAGCGGAGGAGCATGTGATGGGAACTGCGCATCCGGCAATGGGCGAACAAGTTGCGCACGTGTCGGGCACGCCAACACCGCCAGGAACCAAGAACGTGCCAATCGCACAAGCGGCGCATCGAGAGGTGCTTGCGCTGTCGCAAACAAGAGGGGACGTGCAGTTTGCAACCGGCTCGCAAGTTGGACAAAGATCACTCACGCCGGTACTGCCTGGAGCGAGATAGCGTCCTGCGCTGCACGAGGTGCATCGAGAGTCGGAGCTGGTTGTGCAGACGAGCGACGAGGTGCATCCATCGATCGGCGAGCAGGTCGGGCATGCGTCCTGCACGTCGTTCCTGAGATAGTGCGCTGCCAGACAGCTGGTGCACTGCGAGGTTGTCGCAGACGTGCATGTAATGTTGGAAATGCAGTCCGTGATTGGACTGCAGCTCACGCACTGATCTTGCACTCCATCGAGCAAAAAGAGGCCCTGCTGACACGCAGAGCATTGCGAGTCCAACGTGGATGTGCATGACAGGACTCCACTGCACGACGCAACGCTTCGGCAAGGCTGGCAGGTGTCTGGGCTCGAGCCCGTGCCGGGTTGCAAGAAGGTTCCGACAACACAGCTGGAGCAGTGAGAGTTGGTCGAATTCGAGCACGACGGGGTGGCGGTGCAATTGACAATGCTCGCGCAGGCCACGCAGGTATCGGATGTGCTGGCTGAACCGGTCGAAAGCCAAGTTCCAGCCGCGCAAATCGAACAGCGGGAGTTGCTGGAAGCAGTGCAGCTCGTTTGGCCTGCGCACGATGCGATGGACGCACACGCGGGGCAAGAGTCGGCCACGCCGGGACCGCCTTGGCTCAGATAGCGGGACGAGGCGCAGGCAGAGCAGCGCGAGTCCACGGCCGATGTGCACGTGATTGCAGAAGAGCAGTTGGCAACCCCTGTGCACGCGACGCACGAGTCGGACACTCCAGGACCACCGTTGCTTAAATAGTATCCTGCACGGCAGACAGAGCAACGAGCGGCAACTGCCGAAGTGCACTGGACACTGGTGGCGCAGTTGGGAATGGCGGGACAGCTGGCGCACACGTCTTGAGCAGGGGAGGCGTTGTCCATCAGGTAGAATCCGTCGTTGCAAGAGGTGCATTGCGAGCTTCCGAGCGAGACGCAGGCAATGCTCGAGGTGCAATTGACGATTGAGCTGCACGAGGTGCAAGTGTCAAGGGTGGAACTCGTTCCGACGGACAAGAAGGTGGTAGGAGCGCACAACGAGCAGCGCGAGTTGGAAGCCGAGGTGCAGGTCAGGTTGCCCGCACATCCCGGCACTCCCGTGCAAGGAGAACACGAGTCTGGTGCGCCGGCCGATCCAGTCATCAGGTAAAAGCCTGGAGCGCAACTGTTGCATCGCGAGTCGAGGCTTGTCGTGCAGGTGCTACCCGTTGTGCAGCCAGAGACGGGAGTGCAAGCGACACAAACATCATGGGTGCCCGCCTCGTTCAGCCAGAAGCCAGCAGCGCACGACGAACACTGCGAATCGCCACTTGAGGTACACGTGATGGCCCCGCTGCAAGAGGCGATCGGGGAGCAGGCTTGGCAAGTGTCTGGCGTCACTCCAACCGCGCCGACCGCTCTGAACGTGCCGGGTGCACAAGTTGTGCAGACAGAGTCCGCCGCAGAGGTACAAGTAATGGACGTAGTGCAATTGCCGACAGGCGTGCAGAAGGGACAGGTATCTGCCGTTGGGGAGATGTTGTCGCGCAGGTAGCGACCAGGTGCGCACAGAGAGCATTGCGAGGAACTCGAGGACGAGCACGACAGGCTGGACGTGCAGCCTGCAACAGGAGAACATGCAACACAACTGTCTACAGCTCCGTCTTGCAACCAAAAGCCGTCTGCGCAGAAAGAGCACTGCGAGGTGCTGGAGCTGCTGCAGGTCAGAGAAGAGGCGCAGTCGGCCACTGCCGTGCACGAGTTGCAGACGTCCGCAAGCGGCGGGCTATTGTCCTGAAGATACAAACCCGCCGCGCAAGTCGTGCACTGTGAGCTTGTGGCGCTCGTACAGGTGACAGCAGACGTGCAACTGGCGACGCTGGGGCAGGCAACACAAGTGTCAGCATTCGGCGCTGCGTTGTCGACCAGGTAGTAGCCCGAAGAGCACGATGTACACTGAGAAGATGTCGCCGATGAGCAGGTCACCTGGGATGAGCAGGAGGCGACTGAAGAGCAGGGCACGCACTGATCTGGGGTCGAGGAAGTTCCAGTTTGCAAATAGTAGCCCACAGCGCAAGCGGCACATCGCGATGTCGAGGGCGAGTCGCACACCACGCTGGACGCACAGCCTGGGATGGCCATGCACGTCTGACAGTGGTCTGCCGTGCCCTCCGCCAGGTAATATCCAGCCTGGCAAGCTGTGCACTGCGAGTCAAATGCCGTTGTGCACGACACGGCCGAAGCGCACTTGTCCACAGGTGCGCAAGTGGTGCATGAATCGGGCGACGCTCCCACAACGCCTGGAACGCGGCGGGAGCCGAGATTGCACGTGATACAAGTAGAGTCTCCGCCAGTGGTGCAGGTGACTGGGACGCTGCAATTGGCAACCGGCGCACACGTGGGGCATTGATCTGCAGAGCCGACAGTGCCACTGACATGATACTGACCGTCGTAACAACGGGAGCAGCGCGAGTTGGACGACGACGTACAGCTCGGAACCGCCTCACACCCGGCAATCGGAGTGCAAGCAGGGCACGCGTCCTCGACGCCTTCCTGAAGGTACCGTCCGACGGCACAGTTCGAGCACTGCGTTGTACCGGCAGTCTGGCCACACGACAGAGTGCCTGTGCAGCCATCGATGGACGGGCAGCCTTGGCACACGTCGGGTGTCGGTGAGGCATTGTCCTGCAAGAAGGTGGACGAGCGGCAGGTTGTGCATTGCGAGGAAGTGCTGGAGACGCAGGTAATCGGCGAAATGCAGTCGACAATACCAGGGCACACCACACAAGAGTCCGCCGCGCCGGCAGAACCAGCACTCAGCCAGTAGCCCGCCGTGCATGCCGAGCAACGAGATGTCGTGGGCGAGGTGCATGTCAAGCTGCCACTGCATTGAGGGACTGTCGTGCAGGGCGAGCAGACGTCTTGGACGCCGTCCACCAAAAACCGGCCAGTGTCACAAGTCGCGCATTGCGAATCCGAGGTGCCGGTGCAAGTGACGGTAACAGAGCAGCCGGCAACGGCGGAACAGGACTGGCATTGGTCTTGAACTCCATTGACAAGGTAAAAGCCCGCGCTGCAAGCTGCACACTGAGACGTAGTCGAGTCCGTACAAGTGGTTTGCCCGGCGCAGTGGGAAACAACCGGACAGGTTTGACACGTATCGGCCGTCGCGCCGGGAGCGCCAACGACGCGGTAGGTGCCGGCCGAGCATGCAGTACAAACAGAGTCAAAGCTGGTCGAGCAAGAAAGCGAGCTTGCACAGCCCAGCACCGGTGAACAAGAGTTGCACGTGTCAGCCGCAGGTGACGCATTGTCATTGAGGTATGTGCCACTGACGCAAGTCGTGCATTGGGAGCTGGTGGCAGAGGTGCAAGTCAGCGAAGAGGTGCAGCCTGAAACCGCAGTGCAGGCCACGCAAGAGTCTTGAGTTCCGTCTTGCAGCCAGTAACCAGCGCTGCAGGCCGTGCACTGCGAATTGCTCGAAGAGGAGCACGACAAGGCGCCGTTGCACTGGGCGATGGCCGTGCAGTCGGAGCACAAGTCAGCAGATGGCGAGGCGTTGTCCACGAGGAACTTGCCAATCGCGCATGCGGTGCATTGCGAGCTGCTGGACGAGATGCAGGTCACGCCAGATGTGCAACCGGAAATCGGAGTACAAGTTGAGCACAAGTCTGCCGACGAGCCGCCAGGTGTCAGGTACAAGCCAGACTGGCACGATGAGCAACGAGATGTGGTTGAGCTCGCGCAAGTAACAGAGCCAGAGCAGCCAGCGATCGCAGGGCAGGCAACGCATTGATCGGGCGTCGAGCCGGTACCAGCAACCCGGTATGTTCCAGCCGCGCAGGCACTGCATCGAGAGGTGGATGCCGAGTCGCACGTGACAGTTCCAGTGCACGACGAAATCGAAAGACACGTCGCGCACGAATCTTGTGCGCCATCGACCAGGTAGGTGCCAGAAACGCACTGGCTGCACTGAGAATTGCCGACAGCCGTGCAAGACAGCACACCCGTGCAGCCACCAATGCCAGGGCAGTTGGTGCACGAATCAGCCAGCGATCCGACCACACCGGCGGAGCGGTAGGTACCCACGGCACAAGCCGTGCAGACAGAGTCGCCGCTCGTCGTGCAGGTCAAGGAGGATGTGCAGTTCACAATGCTCGAGCATGTTGGGCAGGAATCAGCAACACCAGCACCGCCAGCAGCGCGGTAGCGGCCGGGCTGGCAAGTGGTGCATCGAGATTCGCTGCTGGTCGCGCAAGTCAAATCAACAGCGCAGCCAGTCACGGAGACGCAAGGCAAGCACTGATCAGGAGAACCAGCGGCGCGGTAGTAGCCAGATGCGCAGGACGCGCACTGCGCGTTGCCCGCGCCAGTGCAAGTGATGGCACCGGCGCAGTGTGAAACGGGCGTGCAACCAACGCAGTCATCCGCAAGTGGTGCGATTTGATCGTTCAAGTAGGTTCCTGCTGCGCACGTGGTGCACTGCGACGAAGTCGCAGAGCCGCATGTCAGCGAGGAGGTGCAGTTTCCAACGGGGCTGCATCCAACGCAAACATCAAGGGACGTTGCACCGCCAGTGTTCAGCCATGTTCCGCTCTGGCAGGACGAGCAACGCGTGTTTTGCGAAGAGGTGCAGGTCAGCGCGCCATTGCAACCGACAACCGACGTGCAAGCTTGGCACATGTCCACGGTGCCTTCAACAAGGAACCGACCAGGCGTGCAGGACGTGCACTGCGAATTGTCGGCAGTCGAGCATGTCAACGACGATGTGCAGCCATCAACCACCGTGCAGCTGGTGCACCGGTCTTGCACACCAGCATTCAAAAACAGTCCAGCCACGCACGACGTGCATTTCGAATCACTTGCGGTGGTGCAAGACAGCACACCATTGCATCCAGCAACGGGCGTGCAGGCCGCGCACGTGTCTGCGGTGCTGCCAACGACACCAGCCGCGCGGAAGGTTCCGACAGCGCAGGTGGTGCAAGCCGAATCACCGCTGCTGGTGCACGTCAATGACGATGTGCATCCAGTCACAGATGTGCAGGTCGCGCACGAGTCAGCGGTCGGAGAAGCATTGTCCACGAGGAAGGTTCCCGCTGCGCACGAAGAGCATTGCGAGCTGGTTGCGGAAGAGCAAGCGAGCGCAGAGGTGCATCCGGACAGAGCAGTGCACGCCACGCAGGTATCCTTGGCGCCATCTTGCAGCCAGAACCCAGGCGCGCACGACGTGCACTGTGACGTAGTGCTTGACGTGCAGGTGAGTGATGAGGTACAGCTTGGCACTGCCGTGCAGGGCGAGCACACATCGGGAGCCCCAGCGACCCCATGTTCAAGGAAGGTTCCGCTGGCACAAGCTGTGCACTGCGAATTGCCGCTTGTAGAGCAGGTCAGCGCCGACGTGCAACCAGCCACCGGTGTGCAGCTCTGGCACGAGTCGGGCGTGGACCCGGAACCACCGATGCGGTAAGTCCCTTCGACGCAATTGGTGCACCGAGATGTGCTTGCAGACAAACAAGTCTCGGCAGAGACGCAGCCGACAATGTCGGGACACAGCTGGCAAGTATCCGGTTGAGCTTCAGATCCGCTCGGGACAAGCCATGTCCCTGCGGTACACGATGTGCACCGTGAGCTCGCGCCTGTGGTGCAAGCGACCGCCGACGTGCAGTTCACAATCGGTGTGCACGGGTTGCACATGTCCGGTGTTGCTGCCGAGCCAGGTGAGAGATAAAAGCCAGTCGTGCATTCGCTGCATCTGCTGGAGGACGCAGAGTCGCATGTGAGGTCGGAGACACACTGACCGACACTGGCGCAAAGAGGGCAGCTGTCAGCCTGTGGAGAAGTGTGGTCAACCAAATACCGGCCAGCTGCGCAAGACGAACACTGCGAATCGAACTGAGTCGAGCAGACCAGGGACGAAGTGCAACCAGTCACAGGAGGGCAGGGTGCGCACGTATCTGCGACGCCCGCCGCACCAGTCACTCGGTACAATCCAGCTGTGCAAGAAGTGCAGCGTGAATCCGTTGATGTAGTGCAAGTGAGCGCAGAGGTGCAGCTGGAGACGGCTGTGCAGGGCAAGCAGGTGCTGCTCGGGCCTTGGTAAAAGCCAGCGCCGCAGCTCGAGCAAGCCGAATCGGACGCGCTTGTGCAACTAACGCTGCCAGTGCAATGCGCAACTGGGGTGCATGTCTTGCAAATGTCGGCGACACCAACGGGGTTGTCAATAAGGTACGAGCCAGAGAGGCATGTTGTACATTGCGAGTTGCTTGCGGATGTGCACGATAACGCCGAAGAACAGTTGGCGATTGGGGTGCACTGCGGGCACGTGTCGGCCTGCGGGGCGGCTTGATCAAGCAGATAGCTACCGGAACCGCATGATGTGCATTGCGAGCTGTTGCTCGAGGTGCAAGTCAAGGATGACGAGCAGCCAGTGACAGCCGGGCAGGGAGCACAAGTATCGGGGAACGCGGGACTGACGGCGGGTGCAAGGTACAATCCATCCGTGCACGACGTGCAACGCGAGTCAGACGCCGACGTGCACGTCAGCGAGCCAGTGCAGCCCACAATGCCCGTGCAAGGCAAGCATTGGTCGGCGACATCGTGGTGCAAGTAGAAGCCTGGAGCGCACGCGCTGCATTGTGACGAACTGGCAGATGCGCACGTGACAGGTGAGGAGCACTGCGAGATGGTCGAGCAGGCTTGACAGGTATCTGCGACTGGCGACGCATGGTCCACCAGGAATGTTCCACTCGCGCACACGGTACACTGCGAGCTCGATGATGAGACGCAAGTGATGCTGGAGGAACAGCCAGAAACAGGCGAACAAGTGACGCATGAATCCGCGACGGGCGAAGTGTTATCCATCAAAAATGACCCGGCGTTGCACGCGGTGCATTGGGAAGAGGAGGCTGAGACGCATGTTTCAGTCGCAGAGCAGTTTGCAATGTCGGTGCAAGCAGCACACAGATCTGCAGCAGGTGCAGCGTTATCCACCAGGTAAAACCCTGGAGTGCAAGTGTCGCACTGAGAGCTCGATGTACTGGTGCAGGACAACTGCGACACGCATGAGGCCACAGGGGTACAAGCGATGCATGCATCCACTGGGCCATTCTGAAGCCAAAATCCGCTGCTGCATTCATCGCATTGCGATGATCCTGGATTCGTGCACGTGGTAGAACCAGTGCAATTCGTGATGGCCGTGCAGTCGGAGCACAAGTCTGCAGATGGCGAGGCGTTGTCCACGAGGAACTTGCCAGTCGCGCATGCGGTGCATTGCGAGCTGCTGGACGAGATGCAGGTCACGCCAGATGTGCAGCCAGAAATCGGAGTACAGGTTGAGCACAAGTCTGCCGACGAGCCGCCAGGTGTCAGGTACAAGCCAGACTGGCACGATGAGCAACGAGATGTGGTTGAGCTCGCGCAAGTAACAGAGCCAGAGCAGCCAGCGATCGCAGGGCAGGCAACGCATTGATCGGGCGTCGAGCCGGTACCAGCAACCCGGTATGTTCCAGCCGCGCAGGCACTGCATCGAGAGGTGGATGCCGAATCGCACGTGACAGTTCCAGTGCACGACGAAATTGAAAGACACGTCGCGCACGAATCTTGTGCGCCATCGACCAGGTAGGTGCCAGAAACGCACTGGCTGCACTGAGAATTGCCGACAGCCGTGCAAGACAGCACACCCGTGCAGCCACCAATGCCAGGGCAGTTGGTGCACGAATCAGCCAGCGATCCGACCACACCGGCGGAGCGGTAGGTACCCACGGCGCAAGCCGTGCAGACAGAGTCGCCGCTCGTCGTGCAGGTCAAGGAGGATGTGCAGTTCACAATGCTCGAGCATGTTGGGCAGGAATCAGCAACACCAGCACCGCCAGCAGCGCGGTAGCGGCCGGGCTGACAAGTGGTGCATCGAGATTCGCTGCTTGTCGCGCAAGTCAAATCAACAGCGCAGCCAGTCACGGAGACGCAAGGCAAGCACTGATCAGGAGAACCAGCGGCGCGGTAGTAGCCAGATGCGCAGGACGCGCACTGCGCGTTGCCCGCGCCAGTGCAAGTGATGGCACCGGCGCAGTGTGAAACGGGCGTGCAACCAACGCAGTCATCCGCAAGTGGTGCGATTTGATCGTTCAAGTAGGTTCCTGCTGCGCACGTGGTGCACTGCGACGAAGTCGCAGAGCCGCATGTCAGCGAGGAGGTGCAGTTTCCAACGGGGCTGCATCCAACGCAAACATCAAGGGACGTTGCACCGCCAGTGTTCAGCCATGTTCCGCTCTGGCAGGACGAGCAACGCGTGTTTTGCGAAGAGGTGCAGGTCAGCGCGCCATTGCAACCGACAACCGACGTGCAAGCTTGGCACATGTCCACGGTGCCTTCAACAAGGAACCGACCAGGCGTGCAGGACGTGCACTGCGAATTGTCGGCAGTCGAGCATGTCAACGACGATGTGCAGCCATCAACCACCGTGCAGCTGGTGCACCGGTCTTGCACACCAGCATTCAAAAACAGTCCAGCCACGCACGACGTGCATTTCGAATCACTTGCGGTGGTGCAAGACAGCACACCATTGCATCCAGCAACGGGCGTGCAGGCCGCGCACGTGTCTGCGGTGCTGCCAACGACACCAGCCGCGCGGAAGGTTCCGACAGCGCAGGTGGTGCAAGCCGAATCACCGCTGCTGGTGCACGTCAATGACGATGTGCATCCAGTCACAGATGTGCAGGTCGCGCACGAGTCAGCGGTCGGAGAAGCATTGTCCACGAGGAAGGTTCCCGCTGCGCACGAAGAGCATTGCGAGCTGGTTGCGGAAGAGCAAGTGAGCGCAGAGGTGCATCCAGGCAGAGCAGTGCACGCCACGCAGGTATCCTTGGCGCCATCTTGCAGCCAGAACCCAGGCGCGCACGACGTGCACTGTGACGTGGAACTCGATGAGCAGGTCAACGTTGAAGTACAGTTTCCAACGAGTGTGCACGACTGGCAGACATCCGCCACTGGTGCTGCATTGTCGAGCAAAAACGTGCCGGTTTGGCAAGAAGTGCACTGCGAGCTGGAGCTCGAAGCGCAAGTGATTGCAGAGAGACAACCTGGCACCGATGTGCAAGTTGGGCAGGTGTCTGGCTGACCAGAGATTCCGACAGAAAGGAACCGGCCAGGGGCGCATGCTGAGCATCGGGACGTGGTGGAGTTTGAGCAGGTAATACTACCAGGGCAGCCGACAATGCCAGGGCAGGAAACACACTGGTCGGCGGTGGAACCGGAGCCAGCGACACGATACGTGCCAGGCGCGCATTCCGAGCAGCGAGAGTTGCTGCTCGAGGAACATGTGATTGAGCCCGTGCATGAGGGCACTGAGGGACAAAGTTGACACACGTCTTGCTCGGCATCGACCAAATAACGACCCGCCGAGCACGAGCTGCATTGCGAGGTGGTCGCGGAAACGCAGGTCAACGCGCTGTTGCAACCAGACACGGGCAAGCAGGCCGTGCACGAGTCGGCAGCAACGCCGACAGCGCCTGGAACGCGGTATGTGCCACTTGCGCAGCTCGAGCAAACGGAATCGCTGGAAGTTGTGCAAGTGGTCGATCCGATACAATCGGGAACGGAGCTGCACGTCGGACAAGCATCTGGGGTTCCCGCGCCGCCCACTTGAAGGTACTGACCGGGGTTACACGCGGCACACCGGGATGTTGTGGCAGAGCTGCATGAGAGGGACGAGGCGCAACCGGAAACGGCGGTACAAGCAACGCAAGTGTCTTTGACGCCATTCTGCAGCCAATAGCCGGTCTCGCATCCAGAGCACCTAGAGTTGGCCGCGCTGGTGCAGGAAATGGTACCAATACAGTTGGACACGGCTGCGCACGTTCCGCAGGAGTCCTGGGCGGGAGAAGTTGCATCTTGGAGGAAGAATCCAGTGGCACAGGATGCGCATTGGGACGAGCTGCTCGAGACGCATGTCAGGGAGGAGGTGCACTGTGACACGCTAGTGCACGCTACGCAGGAATCCGACACACCAGCCGAACCCACACTGAGCCAGTACGCAGAGGCGCATGCTGAGCAACGGGAGTCGGAGGCTGTTGTGCACAAAAGAGACCCGTCGCAGTTCAAGATCGGGGTGCACACGGGGCAAGTGTCGGCAGCAGAGCCTCCAAGCTGGCGGCGACGGCCGGGAGAGCAGCTGGAGCACTGCGAGTTGAGTGATGTCGTGCAGGTTAGAGGAACCGCGCAGCCCACAATGCTGGTGCAGGGTGAGCATTGATCCTGAGTTCCGTCGCTCAAGAAGAGGCCACTCGCGCAGGAGACGCATTGCGAATCGGCAGAACTGCTGCAGGTGACGGGGCTGGTGCAGCCAGAGATGGACGTGCAGCGCAAGCACCGGTCTGCAACACTGCCAACGATGCCAACCGATCGGTAGGTGCCGCTATCGCAAGTTGAACAAACAGAGTCGATTCCGCTTGAACAGCTCAGGGCGGAACTGCAGTTTTGAACGGGCGTGCAAGTGTTGCACGTATCAGCCGCAGGCAACGCATTGTCATTGAGGTATGTGCCGCTGACGCAAGTCGTGCATTGGGAGCTGGTGGCAGAAGTGCAAGTCAGCGAAGAGGTGCAGCCTGAAACCGCAGTGCAGGCCACGCAAGAGTCTTGAGTTCCGTCTTGCAGCCAATAACCAGCGCTGCAGGCCGTGCACTGCGAATTGCTCGAAGAGGAGCACGACAAGGCGCCATTGCACTGGGCGATGGCCGTGCAGTCGGAGCACAAGTCTGCAGATGGCGAGGCGTTGTCCACGAGGAACTTGCCAGTCGCGCATGCGGTGCATTGCGAGCTGCTGGACGAGATGCAGGTCACGCCAGATGTGCAACCGGAAATCGGAGTACAGGTTGAGCACAAGTCTGCCGACGAGCCGCCAGGTGTCAGGTACAAGCCAGACTGGCACGATGAGCAACGAGATGTGGTTGAGCTCGCGCAAGTAACAGAGCCAGAGCAGCCAGCGATCGCAGGGCAGGCAACGCATTGATCGGGCGTCGAGCCGGTACCAGCAACCCGGTATGTTCCAGCCGCGCAGGCACTGCATCGAGAGGTGGATGCCGAATCGCACGTGACAGTTCCAGTGCACGACGAAATTGAAAGACACGTCGCGCACGAATCTTGCGCGCCATCGACCAGGTAGGTGCCAGAAACGCACTGACTGCACTGAGAATTGCCGACAGCCGTGCAAGACAGCACACCCGTGCAGCCACCAATGCCAGGGCAGTTGGTGCACGAATCAGCCAGCGATCCGACCACACCGGCGGAGCGGTAGGTACCCACGGCGCAAGCCGTGCAGACAGAGTCGCCGCTCGTCGTGCAGGTCAAGGAGGATGTGCAGTTCACAATGCTCGAGCATGTTGGGCAGGAATCAGCAACGCCAGTACCTCCAGTAGCGTGGTAGCGACCGGGCTGGCAGGTGGTGCAACGAGAATCTACATCAGACGTGCAGGTTGGGGCGGAGGCGCAACCGGCGACGGCGCTGCAAGGGGGGCACGAGTCCTGAGTTCCTTCAAGCAGATAATGCCCTGAAACGCACGCAGTGCACTGCTCATTCGCCGTGCTGGTGCACGTGACAGAACCACTGCAGAATGGAACAGTGTCGCATGTGGTGCACAAGTCTGCGCTTGGCGAAGCCAGGTCGACCAGAAAAGAGCCTGCATTGCAGGAGGTGCATTGAGAAGAACCAGCAGAAATGCACGTCAAGGCTGACGCACAGTTGGTGACAGGGGTGCACGAGTTGCAAGTATCGGGCTGGGTGGTTGTTCCCGAGACCAAGTACAAGCCAGATGTGCAAGCCGTGCATCGAGAGGTGACTGCGCTCGAGCAGGTGACAGACCCAGAGCATCCGACGACGCTCGGGCAAGACACGCATTGATCTGCGTGAGTGCTGTCGCCCTGAAGGAGGTAGGTGCCGGCAGCACACGCATCGCAACGCGAGTCGGCAGCTGAAGAGCAGGTAACAGAGCCCGTGCAGGAAGGAATGGTTGTACATCTCGGACACGTGTCTTGCGCTCCTTCGACCAAGTAACGCCCGGAGCGGCAAGACGTGCACTGCGAACTGGACGCGTCGGCGCAAGTCAAGGCCGACTGGCAGCCGACAATGCTGGAGCAAGCCGAGCAGAGATCCGGCGACGAACCTCCGCCAATGGACCGATAGGTGCCAGATGCGCACGTTGTGCATCGCGAAGTGGAGTCTGAGGAGCACGTGACGGGCGTGGAGGTGCAGTTTGAGATGGACGGACATGCTGGGCAAGAGTCGGCGTTTGGCGACGTCACGTCTTGAAGATAGCGCCCTGCAGTGCAGGAAGTGCATTGCGAGTCAGACGATGACGTGCACGTGAGAGAGGACGTGCACCCAGACACTGCATTGCAAGCTTGGCAAACATCGGGAGTGGAAACAGTGCCTCCGGCGCGATACAAGCCGGCGTCGCAGGCGACACATCGCGAGTTGGTCGCCGAGGTGCACTGCACAACGCTATCACTGCAGCCGGCAATTCCAGCACAAGGCACGCAATTTCCTCCGCTCAGATAAAAGCCGGCACCGCAAGTGGAGCACACAGAGTTGGAAGCGGTAGTGCAAGTGACTTGGCCCGAGCAATGCGCCACAGCAGTACACTGCTGACAGAGGTCGGCAGTCGGAGACGTGCGATCAACAAGAAAGTAGCCAGTATTGCAGCTGGTGCATTGAGAACTCGTGCTCGAAACGCACGTCAGCCCAGAGCTGCATTGCGCGACGCTTGCGCACGTTGAGCACACATCTGCCACGGGACTAGCATTATTGACGAGGAACAAGCCGCTGCTGCAAGACGTGCATTGCGATGACGACGCAGACGTGCACGTCAAGGCGGACAAGCAGCCAGACACGGCCGTGCATGGTGTGCATTGATCCGGCGAAGTTGCATCGCCTGCAGTCTTAAAGTAGCCAGCAGTACATGCCGAGCAGCGCACTGCGACGGCACTGCTGCAAGTGGTGGGGGCCGCGCAATTCAGAATGGCGGGACAAGTTTGACACGTGTCCGACGTCCCATCGACCAGATAGTGGCCGGCCGCACACTCTGTGCATTGAGAAGTGCTGGCAGAGGTGCACGACAGGCTGCCAGTGCAGTAGTCCACGGTGTTGCAGCCAATGCATGAATCAGATCCAGTGGAGGGCTGGTCCTCAAGGTAAGTGCTCGGCGCGCAAGCCGTGCACTGCGGTGTGGAGGCCGAAGTGCAAGTGACAGGAACGGTGCAATTTTGTACTCCCGGGCAAGTGTTGCAACTGTCTGCGAGCGGGCTTGCGTTATCGACAAGATACAGGCCAGACAGGCAAGAGGAGCACTGAGAAGATGTGCTCGACACGCACGTGAGGGAAGAGGTGCAACCAGGCACGATGCTGCAACTCTGGCAAATGTCGGCAATCCCGTCGACGAGATAGCGTCCGCTCGCGCATGTAGAGCACTGGGAATCGCCAGCTGTCGTGCAAGTCAGCGCGGACGTGCATCCAGTGATGTCAGAGCAGGGTTGGCAAGCATCTTGCGCTCCTTCGTGCAGCCAGAAACCAGCGCTGCATGCCGTGCACTGCGAGTTGCTCGCCGTAGAGCACGACAAAACACCGTGACACTGTGCGATGGCCGTGCAGCTTTGGCACAAGTCTGCAGATGGCGAGGCATTGTCCACAAGGAATTTGCCAATCGCGCAGGCGGTGCACTGCGAGCTGCTGGCCGAGATGCATGTTACACCAGATGTGCAGTCGGCAATGGGAGTGCAGGATGAGCAAACGTCTGGCGATGCGCCGCCGCCAGGTGTGAGATACAGCCCAGACTGGCACAACGAGCAACGAGAGGTGGTTGAGCTCGAGCAAGTAACAGAGCCAGAGCAGCCAGCAATAACAGGGCAGGCAACGCATTGATCGGGCGTCGAACCGGTACCAGCAACCAGGTAGGTTCCAGCCGCGCAGGCACTGCATCGAGAGGTGGATGCCGAGTCGCACGTGACTGAACCAACGCACGAAGCGACCGAAGGACAGGTCGGGCACGAATCCTGCACATCATTCATCAAGTATGTACCAGCGGCACAGAGAGTACACTGCGAGGTGGAAGACGAGGTGCAAGTAATGGCTGAAGTGCACTGGTTGATGGTGGGGCATGTCTGGCACACGTCAGCCGTGGGAGGCGCGTTGTCGACCAGGAAAGTGCCGCTCTGGCAGCTCGTGCACTGGGAGCTGGTGCTGGACGAGCAAGTCGGCGACGATGCACAATTGGAAACGGCAGAGCACGGCTCGCAGGTATCGGCAATCCCGACTTCGGACAGGTAAAATCCGGCGTTGCAAGTCGTGCACTGGGAAGTAGACGAGCTGGTGCAGGTGAGCGCGCTGCTGCACTGCAGGACAGGAGTGCATCCTTGGCAAGTGTCGGCAGTCGGGGCGGCATTGTCCGCTAAAAAGTAGCCCGACTGACACGACGTGCATTGCGACGAGGTTGGGCTTGTGCATTGCAACGAAGAGGTGCACTGGTCAACGGAAGCGCACGTTTGACACACATCTGCTTGGTTGGTGGGCTTGTCGATTAAAAACCGACCAGAAGCGCATGAGGAGCACTGGGACGTTGTCGCACTGGTGCACGTCAGAGAAGACGTGCAACCCACGACGGAATCGCAAGCTTGGCAAACGTCTGCGACAGTACTCGGGTTGTCGAGCAAAAAGTACCCAGAATTGCAACCAGTGCACTGCGATGTTAAAGCGGAGGTGCAAGTCAACGCTGACAAGCAGTTTGACACAGCGGTACATGCGACGCATGCATCCTGCACACCATCCTGGAGCCAGGATCCGCTCTGGCAGCTTGCGCACTGAGAATCGCTGGATGAAGTGCAGGACAGTTGGCCGGCGACACAGGAATCAACGGTCGAGCAGTCGTGGCAAGTGTCTGCGACAGGTGATGCATTGTCGACCAAGAACTTGCCTACGCTGCAGCTGGTGCACTGTGAGCTGGTGGCCGAGCTGCACGTGAGTGAAGAGGTGCAGCCAGAAACTGCAGCGCATGCTAGACATTGATCCGGCGACGAAGCACCGCCAGCCGAAAAGTATGTGCCTGCGCTGCAAGCAGAGCATCGGGACGTGGACGAGCTGGCGCAAGTGACTGGAGCTGAGCAGCCAGAGACGGCAGGGCAAACAACGCACTGGTCGGGACTCGAGCTGGTGCCCGCAACAAAATAAAAGCCGCTAGCACACAATCCGCAACGAGATGTGGTTGAGGACGCACAAGTGACCGTCCCAGCGGTGCACGATGTGATTGGCGCGCAGGACGCACATGTATCGGCGACGCCTTCAACCAGATAGTACCCAGCACTGCAAGAGGTGCATTGAGAATCGGTTGGAGAGGTGCAGGTAAGGTCGGACGTGCAGCTGGCCACGCTGGCGCACGGAACGCAAGTGTCGGACGATGCTCCCACCAGCTTGTAAAAGCCAGCTCGGCAGGTCGCGCAACGCGAGGTGGTGCTGCTCGAGCAAGTGGCGGCGACGGCACAGTTGGTGACGGGAGTACACGTGCTGCACGAGTCTGCAGTGGTGGGCGTTCCAACATTCAAGAAGGTTCCCGAGCTGCATGTGCCGCACCTCGAAGTCGATGAGGTGGTGCAGGTGGTGGTGCCCGGAACACACGAGGTAATCGGTGAGCACGAAGGACAAGTGTCAGGGGAGCCATCGAGCAAGTAATAGCCAGCATCACACAAAGTGCACTGCGAGTTGCCGCCAGATGTGCATGTCAAGCTGGACGAGCACGACGAGACGGGAGCACACACTTGACACAAGTCTGCAACGGATGGGGAGTTGTCAATCAGATAGTGGCCAGCAGTGCAACTGGTGCACTGCGAATTATCAATGGCGGTGCAGGTCAGGCTCGAGAAGCAGTCCGAAACTGGAGTACACGGCGGACAGGTATCCGAGGACGTTGGGGTTGTGACGGCGCCAGGCTGGAAGTAACGACCGCTTGCGCACGCTGAGCAGCGTGCAGAAGAGGCACTGGCGCACGTGACGGATCCCGAGCAACCGGAGATGGGAGGGCAGTTCAGACACCTGTCGGGCGTGGACGAGGTGCCGACCGAGAGGTAGGTTCCAGAGTAGCACGAAGCACACCGAGAATCGGATGCAGTCGTGCATGTAACAGATCCAAAGTTGCAATACTGGATGGAACCACACGCTGGACACGAGTCTTGAGTGCCCTCGACCAGGCGGTAGCCCGGGAGACACTCGGTGCACTGGGAAGTTGAGGCACTGGTGCAAGTGACGGCCGATGAGCAGGATGAGATGCCTGGGCAAATAACGCACGCTCCAGCCGAGAGATAATAGCCGCTGTTGCACGTGCCGCAGACCGAATTGCTCGACGAGGTGCAAGTGATGGTTCCCGCCACGCAATTGGCCACAGGGGAGCATGTGGCGCACGAATCAGCGCTGCCGTCAACAAGATACGTGCCTGCTGCGCACTGCGCGCACTGAGACGTGCCAGCATTTGTGCAAGTGATGACGGGAGACAGGCAGTTGGCAATGGCGGGGCACTGCAAGCAAGTGTCTGCCGTCGTCGTTGCGCCAGCACTGAGATAATACCCTGATGCACAGCTGGGGCAGCGTGCATCGTTTGCAGTCGTGCAGGTGGTGGAAGCGGCGCAATTGGCGACCGTGGCGCAGAGAGGGCAGGTGTCGGCCGAGCCATCGGAAAGGTAGTATCCCGAAGTGCAGCTGATGCATTGCGAATTGAGTGCGGTCGAGCAGGTCAGTGCTGAGGTGCACTGTCCAATGCTCGTGCACGCGCGACATTCCGTTGGCGACGCAAGCCAAAACCCGCTGTCACAGGCACCGCAGACAGAGTTCGAGCTCGTGGTACAGGTCACAGACGAGCCAACGCAGTTGGCGACTGTCCCGCAGGTCGGACAAGTATCGGCCGTTCCGTCCAGCAGGTAACGGCCGGCGACGCACGAGCCGCATTGAGAAGTCGAAGAGCTGGTGCAGGTAATCGGCGATGTAGCACAGCCAGAAACACTCTGGCAGGGCAAGCACTGATCCATGCTGGTGGTCGTTCCAACCACCAGATAGAAGCCAGCCGCGCAGCCAGAGCAACGGGAATTGGACGAGGAGGTGCAACTCAGGCTCCCGGCACAGTTGGGCACAGCAGAGCATTGCTGGCAAGTGTCGGCCGTGCCGTCGACCAGGAAGTAGCCTGCCGCGCAGCCTGTGCACTGAGAGTTGGTCGCGGAAGAGCAAGTGATGGAGGAGGTGCAGTGCAACACGTCTGAGCATTGCTGGCATGCTAACGCAGAGGTGAGCCAATATCCGCTGAGACAGGTTCCGCAGACAGAATTCGTGCTGGTGGAGCAGGTGACGGACGAGGGTTGGCAGTTGCTGACGGGGTTGCAAGTGTCACATGTGTCTTTGGTTGTGCCTGCATTGCGCCAGTAGCCGGCCGCGCAAGAGAGGCAGCGCGAATCGGCGGATGAAGAGCATGTTTCGACCGAAAGGCAGTTGGAAATTTGGGTGCACAATGGGCATGTGTCGGCCGCACCCTTGAGTAAATAGTAGCCACTCTGGCACGCAGAGCATTGGGAAGTGACTGCAGAGGCGCACGAAACAGCAGATGTGCACTGCGACACGGAGGGGCAGATGGTGCACGAATCGGGTGGCCCGGCGGTGCGATAGTATCCGTTGGTGCAACTGCCGCACGTGCTCGCGCTCGCGGCAGAGCATGTTGGCGTCACGGCACAGTTGGAAACGCTCGTGCACAGATTGCAAGTGTCGGCAGAAGTGGCCGACCCGGCCGTGTTATAGTAGCCGGTCGAGCACAACGCGCAGCGACTGTTGGAGGCGGTGGAGCAGGTCAGGCCATTGCCGCAGTTGCTGATGGGAGTGCATGCGGGACACGTGTCGCTCGAGGTGCCGGCAGAGCGGTAAAAGCCACCCGAGCATCCTGGACAGCGCGAATTCGACGCACTGGTGCACGTCGGCAGCGAGCCGCAGTTCGAAATGCTCGTGCACGCTGCGCAAGTCACCGCCGTGCCCGGAGAAACGTAGTGGTTGGCATCGCACGACGTGCACTGCGACGTGGTCGCCGAGGTGCATGTCAGTGCCGACGTGCAGTAGGTGACGCTTGTGCATGGGGTGCAGGTTCCGCCGTTCAGCCAGTAGCCGGAACTGCACGATGTGCACACTTGATCCGTGGACGTTGTGCACGTCACGGACAGGCAACCAGCAATGTTGTTTGTGCAGAATGGACAACTATCAAGCGTACCCTCCAGCAAGTAGCGCCCAGTGTCGCAGCTGGTGCACTGCATGTTGTTGTTGGTGGTGCACGTGATGGAGGAGGTGCAGCCCGTGATGCCAGGGCAGGTAGCGCACATTGTGTTTTGATTGTTGTCATCGTCGTACTTGCCGGCCTTACACGTAAATGTCATGACAATCTGGGAGGTTACTGCGGACGAAGCCGAGGGGTAGAGTCCGACCGCGACATTCAAGCGCTGGTCGCGGGTGACATCGAATCTCAGTTGGGTTTGACGAGAGTTGCAGTTGTCATCGATGACGGTCAAGACTGAGCTGCAACTCGTGTAGGCAGCCACAATCGTATCGAGGGCGGACGAGCTCCAAACCACGCCATCTGTAGCACAGGTCGAGATGAAAATCTCGCCATCGTCCGGGGCGACAATCGGCAAGAATGTGGTTTGGTAGAGCGTGTAAGAATTCGCCGTCGTGGTCAAGCCAGTGTTGTACGAGATCTGCGGCTTTGGGTACGGGGGAAACCAGGCCCAGGTTTGCGACAGGCAGGTGGAGCACGAGTTGCACAAGCTGTTGGTGGCCTTGACCACAATCCTGGCGCTGGAGGTAGTGCCTGCCGAGGAAGTCGAATACTGGCCAATGGCAAGACGATAGGTGCCCGCGCCCAAGGGGATTTCAATTCGCGAGTAGTAAGTGCTGGCAGCGTCATCGTTGCATGCGAGCTGTGTGTCACAACTGTCCCGATACAAGATGAGGTACGTGTCGCTGACACCGGGTGTTGCGCCGTCGCTTGGTACCAGGGAAAGGGTGACTGTCAAGAGAGGGCCGGGGACGGTGAATTGGAGCCAGTACCAGCTTTGAGAAGCAAGGTTGCAGTTCGCAGCAATGCCGGTAACGCGGGATGAAGCAAAGGCGACAGTGTACGCGACATTGTGCCCATTCGTCAAGCCGGTTGATATGACTTGATCGGGAGAAGTGCATGAGAAGGCGGCCTCTGCGGGTTGAATTCCCATCCTGGGGATGAGAGCGCTTGCCATGAGCGTCGCCAAGACGAGGCACAACCATGACGAGGCGGACGACCGTCTCGGGCGTTGGGACATCATTCGAGCAAGGGGCGCCAAATCCCGATTTGTCAACAACACAGAGGACGAGGTTGTTGGATTTTTTTTTTTGACGCTCGTTTGCCGCTTTGCCTTGTCGTGGGGATTTGGTTGGTTTTTGCAGACAAAACAAAACACGCAGGTCGTCTAGCCAACCGTCGATCGAGGCAACCGAAGAAGGGAAGGCAGGTGGCAAGCGATAAAAAGACCAGGCAACGGAAAAAAACCAAAAACAAAAAACGTGGACTTTTTGTTTTAGTTTTGAGTTTTGCGATCTGTGCATCAAGAGAGGCAGAACGAGACCAAGTTAGCACATCTAAAATTACATGCTCCCCCACCCCCACTTCCCTAGAGTAATGCCGCCACACTGGATGAGCGAGAGTGGTCGGGTGATGAGAGCGTTGATTTTGTTTTATTTTTTTTTTTCGTTTGTTTTTGTTTTTTTGTTGTTGTTATCGCCTTAATGAGTCATTTTTGGCTGGTTTGCGGCATCCCCTTCCCGCCCTCTGACTCTCCCTCTCTCTCTCTCTCTCTCTGTGCTCCTTCCATTCAATGGCAACGACGCGCAGTGCATCACTGTGCAGATGCTCAGCCACAAATGCCAAATTCAAACGTGAAACCGAACGCAGCAATCAACGCTATCGAAAAAAACACAGCTGCGAGTCACAACAACGTTCACACTTGGTTTTCGTCGCTTTGTATATTTTTGTTCGGTGCCTTGTCGCGATGAGCAGCTCGCGTTATAATTCTGTCTGCTATTTTTTTGTACTGCCGCCCTCGCGCTGCAGCGATGATGACAAGAAAAAGCACTCTCGAATCGAACTTTGCATCCGTGACAGGCAAAAGCGAAGCGGTTTTTAATTTTTCTTTTTTTGAAATTAATGTTTTTTGGGGTTTTTTTTTTTTTTTTTTGGTTTTTTTGGTGCTCGTCTGCATGCTTCGTCAACGTCCGCTGCAGCCACTTTCTCAACCAGAATCAGTGACCCACTGAGGTGACCTTGCATTAAACACCAGCCGCATGACGACAGCATCCCCCCACCCCCGCGTCGAAAGCCCCTCGCAGCAGCAGCGAGTCAAGGTCCAATTGCGGTTCATTATCATCGAGCTCAAAGGGTTGTTCTTGGCAACAAGCCGCCCCCCCCCGATGCCCGCTCCCTTTCAACAGACTGCCCTGCATCCGGATCCCACCGAGTCACTCAAGAGTCGCATAAACTCGTGCGCCAACGGGGCACGCAAAGGCTGACTGGCGCGGGACAGCACCTCATCACGAAAAAAAGGTGCGCGCGACCACCTGTCGGTTTCCCCTTCTCCTTGTTGCCCCCATTCCTCCTCCAGCCACGACGCCCTTCAAAGCGGATCAGTCTGCATTGCAAGAATCGCCGCTACATCGTTCGCCACACGTCGTGGAACAAACGGTCGATGTGTGAGAGAAATCGCGTTTGGGAAATAAAGAAGCACCTAATAGTAATAACGGGAAAACGCAAAAATAAAATAATAAAAAAACGAATGGAACCGAAAAAAAGAGTGCTCTGCCCCATTGTAACGGAAGCGAGCGAGCGAGCGAGCAAATGGACAGCGGCTGTGAACCCACCAAATGGAAGAAGCAGGCGTTGCCAAACAAAAAAGCGCAGGAGGATGGAGTTGAATCACAGAGTTTGGACAGCAAAACGACAACCACGATCAATCTCCCTCTTAAATTACGGCAAGCTGCAAAAATTACGGCAGCTCAAGTTGGATGCATCGTCGTGCTTTGTTGTCGCCATGAATTTGTGTTTGGTCAGAGGGGGTAAGAGCGGGTGGGGCTGTGCACGCATTTTTTTGAATCAATGGACAAGAACACTCCTGCTTGGTCAGAGTTCGTCATTGCCAGCAAACGCTCTTGGACGCTTGTTCGATCGGGAAGGGTTTTTCAGATTCGCTTTGAGGCTGGATAGCAGATCGCCCTTCGCATCACTACTGCCAGTCCGTCCAGACGGCTGCACGAACGACTGGTATTTGGACTTGAGGCCAGCAGCCCGCTTGCGCTCTTCGACCTGGATTTTGGCCTGGGCTTGAAGACGAGCCTTGCTGATGCAAACGTCGAGCTCATCACAGACCTCCTGGAACGGAACGGGGAGGGCGTGACAATCGTCAAACGAGCAGTCATCAGTCAGGCACAGCCAGCGATTAGGTTGACATCCCGTTCGGACACCTTACCGCCGCAGGTTCACCGACAGCAACGGCAGAAATCAGCTCGTCGCCAACCTTTTCAACGAGCCGCGAGCAAAGCAGCCGTTGTTGATTGTCCAGTTCCTCTGCCACGCACTGTTACCGCAGATGTCAATTGCCACAACATGCATGTTTGGGTGATTCACATTATGCGCAGAGCGCAAACGTCATACCGACTCCGTCAACAAGGTCGAGATGCTGGACTCCTTGGTACGCCGCCGAAAGCTCGCTTCGACCATTTTTGCCAGCTTCTGGCAGTGTGAGCAGCTAAACTCCTGCGCCAACATACGAACGAGATGGTGAGCGTCAAATAAACAACAACCACCCAGAGCAGGCACAACATCTCACCCACCTGATTGGCAAAGTGTTGCAGCTCGCCCTCCTTGTCGGCATTGGGAGCATTGAGCTCTTTCATGGACGGGCCGAAATCCTCCGGAAACATGTTTGCCACTTCGATCAGCTCCTCGAGCTGTGCAGGGTTCATTTTGGGCATGCCGCCCGACTTTCCGAAATTCAATGCGTCGGCAGCGTTGGCGCCGCTCTTCTTGGCCTTTTCCTTGAGCTTTTTGCGACTCGGATCTGGTCGCGCGGGTGGCGCAGGATGGACTCGAGCTTGGTCGTCTTGGTTCGGTATTGGGTTTGGATGACGGTCTCTCGCCGAGCCCGACGATCGCGAGATTTCAGCGTCGGGTGTGTAATCCCCTGCTGTTGCTTGTTCTGAAGCCCGGTCATCCTGGATGGAAGCGTCTGGTTGCTGGGCGGCGCGATCGAGTGGCGGCTGCTGGGTCGGGTTTCGTCCCAATTGCTCTGCTGCTGCGTCGTCACGTCGTCGCGTCGCTCCTGCTTCTCCCTCGTGCGCTGGCTCGGACGATGCAGCGTGATACGGCAGTGTTGCCAGGAGCACGAGTCCAGCGACCAGCATCCACGTCATCCGCACTGTGGATTTCGTCATTCAGTTCCCGATCGCTGAATCCAATCCCAAATCCAAATCACGCTCTCCTCGAACAATGTCGCGTTTTTCAAATGGAGAAAGAGTGAAACACGGGAGATGTCTGTTGTGCTGTCATTTTCGTGATCATGGGTCGAGAGTGAGTGAGCAAGCATCGGTGAGCTTTGAACGAGCAAGCCAAAGTTTGTCTCAGATTTCAGGCATTTTCTTTTTTTAACACTCCATCGCTCTCCATCGCTCTACATCCGACGTTTACAGTAATAATCCATGTCACTCTCACTCACTCACTTTCAGTCTTTTCTTTCCCAACCTTTTGAACGCCGCACAAGCGAACCATCGACGAGTCTGTCGCGACCGACCACCTCGTCAGTCCCGCCACCAAGCCCAGTGACAACAGCAACGACGGCAACCAGCACCACCACCACCACCACCACGAGCATCAGCAACATCCTCGCCGCCGCCATGCGAGCGAAGGCGATGTCTCTGCAGGACAACTTACTGCTGCTGCTGCTGGTGGTGGTGGCTCGATTCTTCTACCTCCGATTCCAACTAGAACGCAGCTCAATCCGAGCGACGACGTGCGCATTCGGTCGATCGACCCCCTCATTCCGCCACAGATTCTGATGGAGGACATTCCGCTGACGTCGCTTGCGCTGCGCACGGTGCAGGCTGCGCGGACGGACTGCCAGCGCGTCATCCAGCACGACCACGATGACCGGCTTTTGGTCATCGTCGGACCCTGCTCGATTCACGACGCGAGTGCAGCACGCGTCTATGCACAGCGCCTCAAGGAGCAGATTCAGCTGCACGCTGCTGACCTCGTCATTGTGATGCGCGTCTACTTTGAAAAGCCGCGGACGACCGTTGGCTGGAAAGGGCTGATCAACGACCCGTATCTCGACGGCTCGTTCACCATCAACAAGGGGCTGAGGATTGCAAGGCAGCTGCTGCTCGACGTCAACGAGCTCGGCGTCCCTGCTGGCGTCGAATTCCTAGACACAATCACGCCGCAGTTTCTGGGCGATCTGATTGCGTGGGGTGAGTTCAGGCGATGCGAAGATGAAAGGATGAACGCTGAAAGCACAATGCTCGCTGCTGAGCGTAGCGATGGAGGGTGAAGCTCACCTCGACAATGCATTTTGTTGCTGTTTATTGACTGCTTGTTTGACTGTTGACTGCTTCAGGGGCCATTGGTGCTCGAACGACGGAATCGCAGGTACAACCATCTCTCTCTCTCGAGCTTCTGTGAATCAAGCTTGAGACTGTTGTCACCGCATTTGTCTCACTCCCCCCCCCCCAACATCACAATTGTAGATCCACCGAGAACTCGCGTCGGGCGTGTCTTGCCCCGTCGGCTTCAAGAACGGAACGTCGGGATCGGTCGATATTGCCGTGGACGCAATCCGCGCCGCCAAGGCGCCACACCACTTTCTGTCGGTGACAAAGCAAGGACTTGCGGCGATCGTGACTACGGAAGGAAATCCTGGGTGCCATCTCATCCTGCGTGGTGGCAAGGCCGGGCCGAACTATGGAGCAGAGCACCTGCAAGACGCCACAGACCGCCTGCGCAAGGCTGGAGTGAACGACGGCATCATGATTGATTGCAGCCACGGAAACTCCAACAAGGACTACCGCAACCAACCCAAGGTGGCCACGGCAGTCGGGAAGCTCTTGGCAGCCGGGGCAACCAACATTGTCGGCGTCATGATTGAGAGCAACCTCCACGAGGGCCGACAAGACATTCCGGCCGATGCCGGCTTGGACAGTCTCCAGTACGGTGTGAGCGTCACGGACGGCTGCATTGGCTGGCCGCAAACGGTGGATGTTTTGGCCGGTCTGGCTGCTGCCGTCCGGGTCCGGCGACAGACCTTGCTGGCGTCCTCGTCCTAGCTGTTGTTTCGTTTTGTTTCGAGTATTGTTTCGTATTTGTTGACAGGCTATTTTGCTTGCTCTTGTAGATCTACGTTGAACTGCACTCGTTTGGTTTGGTTTCGTGTGTGCAAGTTTCCTACGCATTTGTTTTTTTTTTTCCTTTTCCTGAATCACTACAATCGAGCCCAATTCCCATTCGTCACACCATTTGCTTCATGTCACGTATGTTTGCCAGCGCGAAGTGAACTATTTCCGATGCCAAGTGGGATGATTACCTCATCCTGTTTGTTACACGGGTTGATTTCCCATTTTTGGCCATTTTCCACCGCCAGTCCCGATTCAACAGCAAAGCAAGCTTCATCTTCATCCCTTTCTACTTGTCTCACTACTTTCCCCTAAAACCCAAAGAAATGACCCTTCAGACATGCTGCATTTGCTGCTTCACCGAGCCGGCGCTGGACGTGGCCGCCATGCTCGCCATGAACACGCGCAAAGAGCTGATTGAGCTGAATGCGAAAATGCTGAATCAGCAGAACGACTCGTCGCGTTCGTCCCTCTTTGCGCCAACCAAAGACCTGTCGAGCATCCAAGTGACTGAGGACGAGATGACCATCTTGTGTGCTGGATCTGGAGCGCCCAGCAAGACACAGCAGCAACAGGAGGAGGACGACCAACAAGTCCGACAGGAGCCTGACGTGCAACAATCCGCGATGACGTCGCCATCCCAAAACGAGACGAATCATTCCGCAGCCGCCGTGCTCGAACAGCGCCAAACCACTGCCAAGGCCATTCTGGACAGACTGGCTGCAAACAGCATCCAAATTGGCGCGTGGCGGTGGTCGTCCGTTTGCTGCCGCGACATGTGTGTGCGCTGCGTGATTTACAACTCGACCAACACGGATCAATGGGGCCTGCCCAGATTGACCTGCCCATGCTGCGAGGGCGCTATTCCGCTCCGAATCCTCTTTGAGTGGCAGGACGCCATGATTCGAAACTTTCAAGTGCGCCTCCAGCTGGCGCAAGCAGAATGCCTGGAGGCAACGACACCGGAAAACGCCGACAAGGTAGCAACTTTTCAGCGCCACTTGGCGTCTGCTCAAGGCCGTGCAGAGCAGCTCCTTGCTGCCACCGTGCGTGGCATTGTGTACATGATGCGCACCACCAATCAGTCGGCAAAGCAAATTTCCACCAAGTTTCCCATGATTCTCTCGAAATACATTTTGCGCGCTGTGCAGCCACTGCTCACGCGCGCCTTGCGCCGCGATTCTCATGAGAACGATGAAGACGAGGAGAACGAGGAGGCTGAAGCGTCGTCGAGCCAGGCCCGTCCGCTAAAGCCTCGAGCAAAACGGTGGCAACCGCCGCAATCCATCCTCGATTGCATTGCCAAAATGACACGCGATCTGCACTCGGAAGACTCGATGAAATCCCTTGTGGACGATGGTTTTGTCACGTGTGCGCATTGCTGCGACCCGATTCCCCTCTTTTCGACGACCTCGATGCAGCAGACGCAAGCCGAGAGCACGACCGCGCAGGCTCATCCGAAGGACTCTGATATCGAGACGCCCGAGGTCCGCGACGTCATCGCCGCAGTCGCAATGAATGTCGACCCGGACTTGGACGCGTGTGTGAGCGCCCTCGCCGCCCATCGTCTCGAATGCCGCAAGCTCGAAACGGACATTGCCGTGTTCCAGGACGCGCTCAAGGCTGCGCAAGAAGCCGATCCAGCGTTTGTTGCGCGAGTGGCTGCGACGGAGGCGACCAGCACGCGTCGACGAGGCGGCAAGTTTTTCGGTGTGCGGCGAAACGACTTTGCTGTCGATCATCAACGAAAGCACGCAGAGCGAATCGAGCAGGCTCGACTGGATTTGAAAGCGGCCACCAATGCCCTTGAGGTCGAGAAGGCCAGGTTTGCTCTCGCCCTCAAGGAGAGCCACAACGCTTGCGCTGCGGAAGGCGCGGTGATCTCCAACCTGGAATTTGTGTCGCTGCTGCACAAGCACGATCTGCTGCGCGACGAATCCCACCCGTTCGGTCAGTCTGTGTACTACCATGACTTTAAGCATCTTGGCCGCGACTTTGGATATGACGGCGATGCCGATGCAATCGAGTTCTTCCGCCTGTCGCAGCAGCAGTACAGCAGGACGTTCGCGGAAGACACGTGGATCCAGTGTCCATCCTGCTACCTCGACACGTGCCGAACGTGTTTCCGTGAAGCGCACCCGGACGAGACCTGCGAGCAGCGGATGAAGCGCGACATTGCCAATCACGCTGTTGGCGAATGGAACACGTTTGCCTACAAGAATGCCGACTTTTACTTTGCCCCTGGCTCGGATGCGCACCGAGCCCTTCTTGTTCTGGACGATGATGATGATGATGATGAGGCTTCCAAGCCGCTGCTGGTGGAAAAGGCTGAGACTGCGCCAAAGGCAGCAGCTGCGACCGTCACCATTGTGACTCCCACGACCACGTTGTTGTCTCCGATGGCTCGCGTCCTGTCGCAGCTGTGGCAACTCTCGGCAGGCCCGCTTGGTGCCGTCTACAGCTGGCTGGATGGCACTTGGCTGCGACAGGCGCTCTCTCGTCTCATCCCTCGTCTGGGGGCAGCAGCGCAACGACCGTTGGTGCCACCAACTCTGCAGGAGACTCAGAATGCTCTCCCTGCTGGTCGCACTCGCGACACTCGAAACCGAGGCGCGGACAAGCTGTGGGATCGCTCCGATTTCCAAGTCGCACAGCTGGAAACCAATCTCGCTGCTCACCTCGTTGTTCGCAACACGACCCTTCCTTGCATGATGTGTCGGCGTCCCATCACGCGTGATGGCGGCTGTCCTCACATGGTACGTCCCATCTGGCGTTTGAATGATTGTGGTTGTTGATTTGTTGGTTGGTTGGTTGGTTTTTGTTTTTGTTTTTTGGCTGACCTTGAAACTGCTGTGTTGTGTCTTGCTGTTCGCCTGCCTAGACTTGCTCGTTTTGCACCGCAGACTGGTGCTGGGATTGCGCTTCGGTCGATTCATGGCTCAAGCAGGGCGTTTGGCCAACCGAGTTTGCCACCTCGCCAGTGTCCGAGGGCTTGCAGCTGGTCATGCAGAAGCTGTTCAAGCGTGCCAAAACTTGCGACCAGAACAAGAGCTCGGCAGACTACACTTTGGCGCATGGACTCGAGTTGCTGGGAGAGTCGAGTGCTGGCACGTCGAACGATGCAGCAGGCGCTCCTGCCGCGCGTGACAAGGTCCCCGCATACCACTTTGAGGAGGACGACAATGATGCCCAATACACCGTCGTTTCAGACTTCGACGATCCCTACTACGAGATGGCCCTGGCTTGGCCCAACGCCGAAGCAATCCGGATTCCCCTGTCGCGCAGCCAGCTCACCTATCTCCGACAGTGCATGTTCTACTATCGAACTGGAGATTGCTGCAAGGAGCACCACATTACTTTTTCTGCCACGCTTCCGCATCTGAACTGATGTGAATATGAATACAGGTGATTGATTGTGTTACCCCAATAGAAACTTTCGATTTTGTTTTGTGTGTGTTCATGTCATCGACCTTCGAGTGTCCTTGAGCAGATTGGTTTGTTCGCAGGTCAGAGTTGAGAAGTGCGCCGCAGCGACTGTGCCAATCCTTGCTGGCTGCAATTTTGTATCCATCCTACAGCAAGTCCGTACGTTCCCAATTCGATCAATTTACTGTAAACGCACAAATCTCGAAAACTCAGAGCATCACAACGCGCAGTCCTTGTTATTTTTCCCATCTCACTCTTGCCGAAATTTCAATGACAAGCGTGAACGACCCGCCGCCGACTTACACTGAGACCTCGCCGCCGGCCATGCCGGGGTGGACTGAAGGCACCGGAGCAGCGGGACCCAGCACCCAGGCAGGAGTGGTACTGAAGCAACACGCACATCTGATGACGACACGTTTGACATGTTGTTTCAAATTGCTGGCTCACACTCGCTTCGCTCGCCCACTATCTGTTTTGTTTTTCCTGTGCAGGGCGCTCCACCAGCATACGAGGCGCCGTTCTCAGCCTATCCTGCGCCATCTGACACTCGCAGCAGCCAGGCCGCTGCTGCAGCAGGTGCCCCTCCGCTGTTTGAGGCGGCAACTCAAACGCCTCACACTCCCACCTCGTCGGCGTTTGTCGCGCCGACCAACCATCCGCTGCTCTTCCGCCTCGCCGAGCGCTTCCGGATTCCCATTCTGTACAAGCGAACGGTGCACTTGACAGGTATGGAGGGGTTTTTGTTGCATCTTGTGAGAGTTTTTTTCATGTGGTGTGAAGCGGGTCAAGTTGGGATCTGGTATGAAACGTCACTGCCGCGCCTTCTTGTTTTGTCTTCTTGTTCCGTGTTTCCCCCCCCCCCCCCGTGCCGTTAATATGTTGTTTGATGTTGTTTGCTCATCGATGAATGATGGCATCGCGCTCATTTGCTTTTTGGACGTGCTCGTTTGGTACTTCCAGTGCTCGCTCTGAACAATCTGCCGCTCAAGCGAAATGGTACGAGTTGTCAGCTGTTTTGCTACTTGTCATTTTTGTTATGACCAGCGCTCACGCAACGACCAAATCTTGTCGCACAAACAGGCAAGCAGTTCTTCCCAGTCGTTGAGATTTTCCGCGTCGAGCCTGGAGGCACGCGATCGCTGTTCAAGTCTGGTGTGCTTGTCAAGGCTCGATCTCTGGCCGTCAACATCACCGTCAACTTGTAGGTGATTGCGGAGGATGCTGCAGATGTGTAACGACAAGACAACAAGCGCTTCTGCAACTAAACTCACCACACCACACTCCAACGACAGTTCGTTGGACGCTGCACCCGCCGCCTCAGACCCAACAGGGCAGGCGACGTGCCTGGAAATCCATGTTCGAGGCCACCGTGACATCCTGATGGATTCAACCCTTTCCATTCTCAAGCTGAGCTACGCCGAATTGGTTCAAAACCCTGCCGCGCGCGTTGATCTCGCGTACGGGCCGCTGCAGTTCCCCCTGCCCAAGCCTCCGGCGATGAGCGCAGCCGAGTCACGGCCCCAAGCAGAGCAATCAGCCATCACGCTCAAGTGGATGGTGGCGACCCCGGCAGCCCAGGACATTCGGTTTGAAGGCGAGTTTGTCGGCTTTTATGCGGCCGGCAACAAGATGCTTTCTGGGATGCAGCCCTCGAACGGAAATTTCATCATCCGCGTGGTAAGTCGGGGGGCATTGATAGTGCGCCGTTGGGTGGCTGGCAAAGTGACGAGTGAGAAATTTCAGGAGGAAGTGGCTCAAAAAGACTGTTTTGTTTTTTTTTGTTTGTGATTGTTTTTGTTTTTGTTCTGTAGAACAACTTGCCGGTGTTTGTCTTCCATGGAGACAATAGCGCAGATTGCTCAAACATTGTCATGTCCACCGCTGCTCGAGATGGCATTCCGAGCTCTCCCTTGTTGCGCCTGGTACGAACGACGCCCGTGACGCGGGATGCCAGTTGGACGATTCAAGACATGAGTTCCGTCCCAATCGCTCGCGTGTCGCTGCTCTACTCGCGCATCGACTATATGGGTGGCGGTGCCGTGCAAGAAGTGACGACGGATGGGCCCGTCGCCAACATTTACGAGGCGCTCCTGTCGTGGCCAAACGCGATTGTGTACCGCAGGCTCCTTCGGTACCTGCCGCCCCCTCCTCCTCCGCCCCAGCCGGCTGAGGGTCAAGCAGTAAGCATTATGAGTTTGGTGTTTGAGTCTTGCGGCTATTCGCGAAATGCAAACAGGAAAACAAACAAAAACTGATGGGCTGTTCTTTTGTTTGGCAGGCGCCTCAGGTCTTCTATCCGCCACCAACGAATGCAGGAACGGTGACCTATCCCGTGGAAAGCAAGTTCTCGGCGACCTTTGCTTGGAACGAAGACTGCGTTCAACTTTTGGCGCAGACCGTGGCGCTGTGCGTGGCGCGGAACAGCGTGCGCTCGATGGAACGGACGATTGTTGGTTCTTCGATCGCGCCCCTGATGTAGTTTGTGGCGGGGGAGAGGTGCGTCATTTGTAGTACTTGTACAGTATATTTTCTCCAACTTGGACTGCGCGATCAACGACCTCAATATCGTCCATTTCATCCAAAATTGTTCGTCTTTTTTCGTCATTTTTCGCTTTTCAGTCTTTTTTTCACTCTTCCACAATGAAGTTTGCTCTTGCCCTCGTTGCCTTCGTCGCCCTCTTCGCCTCTGCCCAGGCTGCCTCCGCCAACTGCGCCCTCTGCGAGCTCTCCGTCCGAGAGATTGTCAACGTACGTTTTCCACACACTCTCTCTCTTCCCTTTGGTCTCGCTTGGCAGGTCGACGCGCCATTGATTGAAAGTCACAAGTTTTTTCTCTTTTTTTTTTTCTTTTTATTCTTTTTTTTTCCTTCGCTTTTCTTCGCTTTTCTGCTGGGCTGCTGTCGTCGCGCGCTGGTGTGCTTCCTCCATAATCGTGCTGCACATGCCTTCCTCTTGCCACTTGCGCATCATCGCAGCCCTTTTGTTGTGGCTGGCGCAGTGGGAACGTCTGTTCAATGTGATTCTTTCTTTTTCGATTTATTTCTATTTTTTAATTTTCTTGGTTCTTTTTTTTTGTTTTCTCGCTTGGCTTTCGTTGTCGCGCACTCCCAACTCGCACTCCCAACTTGTCTTCCTCTCTCTCTCTTATACACAATCGATATGACGTGCACTCCACTCTTCTACTCCCCCCCCCCAAAAAAAAAAAAAAAAAACTTCAGATCAAAATCAAAAAACTCGCAACAATCATTTTAATAAAAAACAAAAAATGTCATGTGGCCCCCAAATTTTTATCATTTTTTTGTCTTTTGTTTGTTTATTGAGTAATTGGTTTGACTTTGGTACCATTTTCGCACTCTGCTGCGTTAATGCTGCGTATCCGCTCGCTCGTTGCCCTTCAAACAATTTTTTTTTTTCCTTCCTTTGCTCATTTTTTTTTTTCTCACTCTCTCTCTCTCTCTCTGCTACAGGACCTCGGCCAGAACGCCACCGTCTCCCAGATCATTGCCAAGGTTGCCGGCCTCTGCGACGACCTCCCCTCCACCCTCCGCTCCGAGTGCGTTGCCCTTGTTGACGAGTACGGCGCCTCCATCATTGCCCTCCTCGCCGCCGACATCCAGCCCGCTCAGGTTTGCACCCTTCTTGGCCTCTGCACCTCCACCGAGGCCGCCCAGGTCAAGGCCACCTTCAACATGGTCGGCAAGGGCCCCCTCTGCCCCATCTGCGAGTTCATTGTTGCCGAGGTCGAGAAGAAGATCACCTCCAACTCCACCGAGCAGGAGATCATCCACGCCGTCACTGGCATCTGCACCGAGCTCCCCAAGTCTCTTGAGTCTGCCTGCGACGACTACATTGACGAGAAGGGCGCCATGATCATCAACCAGCTCGTCAACAAGGTCACCCCCGTCGAGGTTTGCACCCGCCTCCACGAGTGCACTTCCCGTGTCCCCTCGTTCGTCGACCGCCTCACCAACATCAAGGCCATCCTTGAGAAGGTCGTCAAGGCCTAAAGCGCCAGCCAATTGTGTAGCTTTGAGTGGTTGCTGATGGTTTGATTGGATTTTCTTGCTTTATTGTTTTCGTTCTTTCGCTGAGCCAAACGCGAGGAGTGAAACATGGGGGAATGCACCAGTCAGACCAACCAGCTGCTCATTGTCAAAAAAAAAAGGCGCCGGCGCTGTGTCTTCACAATACACTTGATTTTTGTTTCTGATGATTGTTCTAGTTTTGCTCTTTGTCATTGCTTTATCAGCTTCTTCCTCTTCTCCCCCTGTTCCCCCACCTTCATCCATCCATTCCCGCGTCGCTATTGTTTCCTGCCAGCTTCCTTGTCTCTGGTTGCTCTTCCCCACAACGCTCGTATGCTTGGCTGATCCATCCAATTCGTCGAAACCAAAGTGCTCCTTTTTTAGCCTTTCCCACTTTTTTTTTTTTTTTTTTTTGTAAGTTGTTTGTTTTTTGGTTTTTTTATTTTTATTTTTTATTGTTGTCAAACTGGCTTTTTCGCGTGCGATTGGTGGACGCATGATGACGACGATACGAGGACGAACCATCCAAACGTGCCTCATGCATCAAAAACGTAGCAAACCCAGCCGTTGAAGGAGCGCCAAAACGTTGCTTCAAAAAAACCTAAAAAAAAAAAAAAAAAAAAAAGCTGTTATTTAAGCAATAATTTTGTCTGGCGTTGGCTTTGGTCGCGCCGCTGTTTTCTGGGCGGCACTCCTGGACACTGCACACACTCGCTGGGCTTGGCCTGTCAGAGGGCACAGTCCCCCAGGCTCGCTCCACCGACGCTGTATCGGCGGCTGGTGTCGGCGGCGCCTCCCGTTGCAACGAGCAAGATCAGCCATTTGTTGTCGTGTCTTTTTTTTTTTTTCTTTTTTTTTTTTTTTATGGCTTTGCTTGCTTCGGGTCGTTGCACTCCAACCAGCAGACCTCCTCCCCTCTGCTGTCATCCTCGCTCGACTCGCCACGTCATGCATGTGTCGAAGTGGTCTGCACTTGGTCACTGAAGCCGCGTCTCGCTCCACTGTTTAAGATTTGTTTTTTTCAAACCCTCTCCCCATCCTCTTTTGACGCAACGGTTCGCCGTCCGCCTGTGCGGTGCTGAGAAGCTTCTGTCTGATCTCTGTGGTTGATCGCTGGCGGCCACGCACGACTCGAGTCACAGCAGCACCGTCAGTGTGTGCGAACTAACTTACTTGACAAAAAAAAAAAAAAAAAAAAAAAACATTGGCTTTTTTGTGTGTGTTTGTGTTGGGCCTTTTTATAGTTTTTGCTTCAACGCTTCCGCGATGAAACGATACACAACACAACCGGAAGAAGAAGAAGAAGAAGAAGAAGAAGTTGCGCTTTGTGCTGCAGCCACCCTTTCGTCGAAGCTAGAGAGAGAGAGAGAGGAGCCGCAGATGAATGCCTTTGCACTTCACTCACTTTGCCATTCGCTCACTGCTTGCATCTCGACTCGACCCCTCTGGTTTTCACGACAGGTGGTTTCATTCAAGCTTAAAGGACAGGTTTTTTGTTTGTTATTTTGTTTGTGGGCAATTGGAAGCGCTCTATCGCCACAACACCCCCCTATTCGATCGTTTCTTCTGACTCCTCGCCCCCCCCCCCAATCCCCTAAGCCTCTTCGTCTACCATGACCTCGCTCGTGGCGCTGTTCGACTACAGCGGAGACGCAACGAGCACACTCACCTTCAAGCAAGGCGAGCGATTCACACTGGTCAACAAGGACAATGCAGATTGGTGGCAGGTGGACTACAAGGGCACGCCAGGCTTTGTGCCCTCTACATATGTCAAGGTGGCAGAGGACCACGCTCCTGTACCCTCGATGCCGGCTCCCGCACCACCAACGCAAGCGGCGGCGGCGGCAGCAGCAGGCGCCGTGAACATTGCCGAACTGCCGCTGCCAGACACTGCCTTGTTGGCGGCCACGTCGATTGCTGCAGCGTCTGCGTCGGGAGACACAGATGATTTGGATGCACTGGATGCTCTTGACAAGGCTTTGGATGCACAACGCGAGCAGTTTGACGCAGCGATTGCCGACGACGACGATGACGAGATTTCCACGCCCCTCTCCTCCACTAACTCGCCCTTGCCGGCGGCTGTGCCTGCCACTGCTGCCGCTGCATCCGCGTCCTTGGCAAACAAAGGCTTCCAAGGCAGGCGGAGTGTGTCCACTGAAAATTTCCAAGCCACCACCGCTTTGCCGGAAAATTGGGTGGAGGCGACCGATGCCAACGGCAAGACCTACTACTACAACCGCGTCACAAAGCAAACAAGCTGGTCACGTCCACTGGATCGGCCGCTCCCCGAAAACTGGAAGGCTGTTGCAGACGCGTCGGGCAAGACATACTATTACAACTCTGTCACCCGCGAAACATCCTGGTCCTTCCCTGCCGGTGCGCCGGCACCATCCACTGCGCCCGGCGCTGCTTCTACTACTACTACTGCTGCTGCTTCTGCTGCTGCTGCACCAGTGACGGCGGCTGCGGCTGCCGCCTCCTCCCAGCCCGTCTCACGCGGTCCCCCGCCTCCCGCAATGGTCTCTGCGCCCGTCGGCGGCAGCCATGGGCCCCCGCCTGCAACAAAGAAGAAGCCCGTCGGCTTGCCCGGCGCTGCCCCAGCAGGTGGTGCCCCAGCACCCACCTCCTCCTCCGCAGTCCCCCAATCCCTCGTGGCCCCTCCACCGGCCATTCCGGCAGCTCCTACCTCCACTTCACCCACCCCACCTCGCAAGCCAGAGCGGCCTGTGACGATGATTGTCAACCCCAACGTCCCAGTCACGCCACTTCCCCCAGTGAATTGGGACAGCCAGCAACCACCACATCCGCCAGCATCCGCTCCGGCACCGGCACCAGCACCAGCACCACACGCACCCGACGCGGGCGTGGCCGGTCCGCCAAAGCCCTCTGCCAAGCCAAAAATGGTTCCTCCTCCGCCGCCAGGCGGCAAGCCCACTCATGCACGCACCCCGTCCTCCGACTTGACTGCCAACGGAGCCTTGCCGCCTCCGCCTGTGGACGACGAGGATTTCATGCCGCCGCCGCCCATCCCTGCCGATCTGCCTGGCTCGCCCGCCCTGTCTGCCTCCCAGCGCTCAATGTCCATGACCGGACTCGACTCGCCTGCAGTTTCCGCTTCTTCATCGGCATTTGCCTTTGAGGACTTGGGCATGGAGAAGGCCGAGGAAGTCAAGTCCATCGACCCGAACACGGTCGCCGTCGAGGGCTATGTCAGCAAGAAGAATGTGCTCGAGTTTGGCCGCCCGTCCAAGATGCGTGGCTGGATTACCTACTATGTCATGTTGCTAGGCACTCGGTTGATTTTCTTCAAAGACCACAAGGTTATTCTCAAAGCCAAGAAGAACGGCACGGCGTTGCGTCCGCTCGGCACGGTCGACTTGATTGGCGCGACTGCCGACATTGCGTACGGGTACACTAAAAAGAAGAATGTCTTTTCAGTCAGCACGCGCAACGGCACTCAGTTCTACATGCAAACCGATGCCGCAACTGCCATGATGAACTGGATTACCCGGATCCAGACGGTGCTCAAGTCGTTCTCTGGCGAGACTGTCGAGACGGTGTCGCAGCAAATGAGCCGGTCGAGCATTTCCCAGACTCCCCCCAAGAAGAAGGTTGAGGACGACAAGAAGAAGAAGCTCGAGGACGAAAAGAAGAAGAAGCTCGAGGATGACAAGGCCAAGAAGGCCCAAGAAAAGGCCGCCAAAGACCAAAAGAAAAAGCCGGCCGCTCCAGGAGGCACGCTTCGATCGCGCATGTCCACGGCTGAGCTCGAAACCATTGACTCGACTGAAGGCGAGGAAAAGAAGACCAAGATCAAGAAGCGCCTCTTGTTCTTCTTCTCGCATCGTCCGACCATGGAAAACCTGCGTGATGAGGGTTTGATTCAAGGTAAGCGGTGATGTGACGGTCGCTTTGAACAGCAGCCAAACGCAACAACACAAAGAACAGTTGGCTGGACGAACGGGTTTCCGTAATATTGACTGTTGTTTGCGTACGATTGTTTTGTCAACAGATCCTTACTTTGGTGGAACGCTCTCCAAGATCTGCGAGAAGGAAAACTTGGAAGTACCCAGCTTTGTGCAGCAATGTGTTGAGAACATTGAACAGCGAGGTGAGTGCCTGCCACAATCGTTTGCAGGTCAACGTTGGGTGTAGAATGTTTGTTTTCTCTTTTGTCTCACCGCTACTATGTTTTTTGATAGGATTGGATATTGTTGGCATCTATCGTCTCTCCGGCTCGTCTACACTCATTCAGAAGATTCGCTACAAGATCAACTCGGGTATGGCTTTTCATTTCGTGTTGTTTGAAGAGAGAGGGGGGAAGGAAAGGTACCCTGCCTCGCTCTTTTTCTTTGTGGCTAACACAATGTCTTGGGTCTGTCTTTCGCAGACGAACCTCTCGATTTTGCCGATCCAATTTGCGAGGATGTGAATACGGTCACTGGCGCGCTCAAGCTGTTCTTCCGCGAGCTGTCAGAACCTGTCATTCCCTTTGACTCGTTCGATGCCTGCATTGCCGCCATCAGTGAGTACACTGTTGCCGATTATGGCGCTGCTCAGGGCTGATGTCCGTGCTGACTCCCCCGCGCTCCTCATTCCGTTTGTAGAGCAAGGTGATATTAAGGCCAAGGTTGAGGGCTTGAAAAATGCCGTCAACGAGTTCCCAGCCGTAAACTTTAATACTCTCCGCTTCATGGTCAAGCACCTTGCAAAGTAAGCCCTCATTTCGACGTGTCTGGCCAAGCCTGTTTATTTCGATGTCGAGAACGAATTGGGACTGTGACTTCTAACGCGCTGCGTCTTGTTCTGTCTGTTTCCCGTGCAACCTAACCTCACAGGGTCTGTGAGCGTGGCGAGACCAACAAGATGATGCCTCAAAATGTCGGTATTGTGTTTGGCCCCACCCTCATGAAGGCCCGCGAAGAGACAATGGAAATTGTCGTCAACATGGGTCTACAAACGAACGTGATTGAAGTCATGGTCGGGCACCACAAGGAAATTTTCCCATAAGAAACCCCCTCCCTTCCAGTCGTGTCGTGGGTGGCCTTTATGGGCCTTGTATTATGTTTGCTGCGCTTTCAAGCTGAGCCTCTGCTAGTTTCAGGAGCCAAACGTTTGTTGTACTTGTTTGATGGCAGGTGATTCTGTTTTTTGTTTTTGATGTTTTCCCTTTACTAGTGTTGTTTTGCTCTGTCGGAAGTTTCTTTTTTTGGTTTTTTATTTTCTTTTTATCGCTTGTTTTCGTGCTGTTATTGTTGTTGTTGTTGTTGTTCCGCTGCCAAATGTGCGATTGAGTCCTTGTTGTTATTCAATGTCATTACAACATGTTGTGATCTGGCTTTGCGCGAAGAGTTTCGTTTCTTGGTTTTGATTTTTGGTATAAAAAATTCTCAAGATCGTCGAATGGTGTCTTATCAGAATATGACTGGGAGGCAGCGCGAGTTGCGTGACCAAGTCAGGCTCGAGTACGATGGCACTTTGTGAAACCAAATTGCAGAATTTCAAATGGTCGAAATGCAAGTCCAATATCGCTTGGTTTGAGCACCGTAGTAGCCTCCCATTCGACGTCAACCTTGGCAAAATATGTTTATGAATTGATTCAAAGTGAGCAGTGGTATCGACGAGAGTTATTTTCAACCAAGTCAAGGGTTGAGAATGGCGCGACACGAAAAAGTGCTAAGATACGGAATGGCGGCCGTTCAGGAACGCCATTCCATCACCAATTTTACATTCGTACCGGTATATAGTCACTTTTATCTGTTTGGCGGCATTAGAACGAAAATGTGCAAAACGACAGAGCTGAGTATGATGAGAGGTATGGGTCTGGCAAAGCATTTTTTCCGCTTTTTTTTTTTTTTTTTTCTTTAAAGCAAATTTGCTTTTCGACCCAAACGCAGGGCGCCTACAACTTCACAAACCAGACGCTACTTGAAAGCTCGAACAAGGATGGCAAGCATCTTCGTCCCATGAAGCAAGGGTCACGCCAGGACGCGTCGGATCGAAATCTAAGTGAAACTGCGAAAGTTTTCGGTTTTCACTACGTTTTGTTCTGTCCCATCTTCCCATTGTCGCTCTAGTGTGATTGAGCTGTCTCAAAGTTCAATGCAGCACTTGCCATATTTGGATGTCGCTTTCATGGGCTGATGGCATCCAAAGTTGCAACGCAGAACGCGCACAATAACTTTTGTCTTGCGTTCGCGCGCAGATGGATCGCTGCGAGCACTTTCCCCTTGTCCTTTTCCTCTTCCATCCTCCATCGCACTGTCTCGCCGGCCTGTGTGCATGTATTCTGGTATTTCTTAGAACTCCTCCACAAAAGAAAGCAAGCAATGCCAGTCTCCGTATTTTTTATTTTTTGATTTTCAAACAATGACGCTCAAGCCAGTGTCGATCAACTTTGACGACAAGTGGCGCGAGCTCCGACAGCAGATGGAGCTGATTGTCGGCGAGCAGAGCTCAGAAGTCTCTGGCATGATCTTCCACGAGTACGTCCCAAACCCAGTGAATCACGGACACCGAACCCCCCGCCGTTTTTCGTTGTTTGCCTTGCACTGCACTGCGACCGCTCTCCAAAGCTACTGAGAAAGAGAGAGAAGACGTTCTTTGTAGGACGACCTTTTTTTTTTTTTTTTTTTTTTTTGTAAGAAGCATTTGCTTCTCGTGCTTCGACCGGCCTTCTATCGTTCGTTTCCTGCTCATGGATGGACGAGAGCGTGGGTTGCTTGCTTTGTCGAGTCTCATGCTCTGGAGTGCAGCTGGCTTTGAAGGAGAAGCGAGAGAGAGATGAAAAGAAAGAGAAATAGAAAAAAAATAGGCGTCCCCTTTGCCGTTTGCGTTTGGTGGAAGGTGCAGCCATCTCACGGCGAATGGGGGGGGGGACTGCTGAGCCGTCATGCCTGCTCGCACTGTCCTGATGACGGCTGATTCGGCTGTCCTGTGCGCTCGTTTCTGATGGGCCAGCAAAGAGGAAGTCAACCTTTTTTTTTTATTTATTTTTTATTTTATTATTTTATTATTTTTATTTTTTCGATGACGACTTTGCAGCCAACGTAACCGAGTGTGGCGCCACAGCAGCAGGGACGTGCGTGTGGATTGACAAAATAGATTGCCAGAGCAAACCACCAACGCAGCAGAACGCTCAGGTCAGCACAAACGCACGAGAAGGAGGAAAAGCCAAAAAAAAAAAGAAAAAAGAAAAAAAAAAAGGCTGAGTTCATCCACTGCTTTCACCCATTCACCCTTACCAAAGCATCAAAGGGTTGGGCTCCGTGTTGGACTTTTGGATTGCCTGCTGTGTTTGAAATGCTTTTCAACTGACTCCATCTTTGGGCTTTTTTTTGTTTGGCTTTGTGGCTGCGTTCGCTGGGGACGATTAGGATTGTGTACAGGGTCTGCACTGCCCGCCCAACGCCCTTTGCTGACAAGCTCTTTCGTGAAGTCAGCGCCTTCTTCTCGCGGCACGTCACTGCGCTGCGCGAGGTATGTTCGCAGCGAACAGCAGCACACATAACAGAGAGCCGCAGTGCCTTTGTTTGGGGGTGGTACTTTTGGTTTGCCTTTGTCTGGCTGTCTATGGCGCTCAACCACCGTGCGCTTATGCAACAGGGCATTCTCGAGCAAGAGTCCAATCTCTTGCCAGGATACGCATCGCGGTGGTCGACATTCGATGCAGGAACGGGCTACCTGCACATGGTGTTTGAATTTTACAACAAGCTGGCGACCAAGCACACGACGAGCGGGGCGTCCTTCCAACCCGACGACGGGTCGAACACCCCGATGCCCATTATGACGGTGTGTTGCTTTGTGAATGCGTGGTGGACTTGCCGTTTTTTTTTGTCCTCACTCGGCTGTTTTGCATCCTACAGCTTGCCTACAAAAGGTGGCGCGAACACTGCTTTGAGCCATTGAAAACCCGTCTGCTGCACAACATCTTGAGGTACAACATGGGCTCTTGTTCTGCTAACTGTCGCGTTTCCCCCCCCCCTTTGGTCGGTGATGCACGATGCTTAACGTTGACACTTTTGATTCGCTTGCCCTCTTCCAGTGAAATTGAGAAGGATCGCAACGGAGAAGATATTAACAGCTCGGTGATTCTGACGGTTGTGAATTCGTTGGTCACACTAAGCAACGACCCAAAGGCCCCTCTTGATGTAAGTTCTAGTGTTTTCGTCGCTGGTGCTGTGTTCGTTTGACTGACCGAAATCGGCTCGTGTTTTGCCACATTCTCCAACATGTTAGCTCTACAAGACGCAGTTTGAAGCACCGTTTCTGCAAGGCACATCCAGCTATTACCGTCGCGAAGCGGCAGCGTACATTGCCGACCACGACATTTCGGCGTACATGCGCAAGGCAGAGGCGTGGCTGGACAGCGAGCAGTTGCGCGCCCGCAAGCATCTCGATAGCAGTTCGTACAGCAGTGTCATCAAGCTCTGCGAGGCGGAGATTGTGACTGCCCACCGCGAAAAAATCCAAGCAGAGTGCACCCGGTTTATCGACCAAGACGCGCGCGAGGATTTGACGCGCATGTACCACCTTCTGCGACGGATTCCTGGCGGCATCGATCCGATGCTTGTTGCGTTCGAGCAGAACGTCACCGCAGCCGGCCTCAAGGAGATTGAGCGCCTCAGCGACGCTGCCCAAAAGCCCGAGCCGTACGTCGACGCTCTGCTTGTGCTTCACAGCAAGCACAACGACATTATTCGCACGTCGTTTGATAACGACAATCAGCTCATTGCTGCGCTCGACAAGGCATTCCGTTCCATCATCAACGACACAGCCAAGTCCAAGTCTGCTGGCAAAGCTCCCGAGCTCTTGGCGGCCTTCTGCGACCAGCTTCTCAAAAAGTCCAACAAGAACCAATCTGAAGCCGAGATTGAAGAGAAGCTGCAGCAAGTAGTAAGTTGGTTGCGGCAGGTTTTTTTTTTGGTTACTTTGCTTGGTACTTTTCGCTGTGGGAATGTGCTAACGAGATTTGTTCTCGCATTGCTAGATCAAAATCTTCAAGTATATCGAGGGCAAGGACATTTTCCAAAAGTTTTACTCGAAATTCCTCGCCAAGCGACTCATTCACGGCGTATCCGTGTCGGATGAGGCCGAGAGCATGATGATTGCAGAGCTCAAGGCTGTGTGCGGCTATGACTACACCACCAAGCTGCAACGCATGTTCACAGACATGACTGTGAGCGAGGACATTAACAAGACCTTCAACGAATTCCGTTCCAACAACGACATTCCGCTTAACATTGAGTTTTCCATGCTTGTACTTCAGGTAACGGTCGGGTGGTTTGGGTTTGTCGTTTTTTTCCTGCAGCGGTCGAGTACTGACGATGTGGCTTCTCTACCTTGTCCTTGCGGCTCAGACTGGCGCGTGGCCATTGGGATCAGCCGTCCAGTCACCGTTCAACATTCCTGCAGAGCTGGAAAAGTCGGTGACAATCTTTGAGGCGTTCTACGGCAAAAAGTACAGCGGCCGCAAGCTCAATTGGCTGCACCACCTGTCCAAGGGCGACCTCCGTGCGACCTACGGCTCGAAGCGGTACGAGCTGCAGAGCACCAACTACCAAATGGCCATCCTTCTCCAGTACAACAACGAGGACGTCTACTCTTACTCGCAGCTTCGTCAGCTGACGAATTTGAACGACGCCGATCTGAAAAAGACCGTCAAGTCGCTGGTTGATGTCAAGCTGCTCAACTTGGACAGTGGTGCAGAGGTAGTTTTGGTCGCTGGTTTTTGATATTTTTCATTTTTTTTTTTTTTGGAGCCGAGTTCTAAACGGGGTTGTGTTTCATTCAGGATGTCACCGAGTCGTCCTTGCTCAAGTACAACAGGGCGTTCAGCAACAAGCGGACCAAGATCAAAATCACCACCGCTGTGCAGGCCGAGACAAAGGAGGAGAGTGTTCAGACGCACAAGTCTGTGAACGACGATCGCAGTCTGTACCTGCAAGCCGCCATTGTGCGCATCATGAAGGTATGGAGCGTTCCAGGGATTTTGTTTGCATTGTAGTTTTGCTGTTCAAGCTCTGGCTCATCCATCATCCCTCAAACACGTCAGTCACGCAAAACGCTGTCCCACAACCAGTTGGTTCAGGAAGTTATCGTTCAGCTGTCCAGCCGATTCCAGCCTGCCATTCCCATGATTAAAAAGTCCATCGAGGGACTGATCGACAAGGCATACCTCGAGCGCGTGGAAAACACGCTGGACAAGTACAATTATCTTGCATAAGCGCGTTGTGGCTTGCTCGCTTTTGTTTCTCTCCCCCCCCCTTTTCATGAATTTTCCAGGGTGTTTGGTGTTTGGTTGTTGTACTTTTAATACTACCTCTTTTTTGTCTCTCTGTGTCAGAGTTTGGTTTCTCAGTCCTGTTGATTGTAGAGTTTGTTGCGACGTTGGGCTTGGGTAATGGATGGAGCAGTCCAGCCATCATGATGCGCACGCCGCACCACAGCTCTCATCCCAACTGAGCTTGTTGCGCAACGAACTCGACGACACGACGCGCCAACTCCAATACTACTCCAGCCAAGGCGACAACGACTACATGGCGCCGGTCGTGGTCGAACTGACGCAGCTCCGCGACCTGCTCCAAGCCCGGATCCGAGACGCCGAGACTGATGAGCTTGTTGCGCTTGGCTGCCGCGTCGACTCTGATCTGCATCGAGGCGCGAGTGACGATGAGGCCGGTCCGGACGTTGGCGGAATTGGCGGTGCTCATGCTGCCGAGCTGGTTGGACCTGGGCAGCGGTGCCGGGCACCGTTCGCCAACCGCGATGGCTCAGTCTCGTATCACGACGCCGTCATCTTCAGTGGCGGAGACGACGAGCGCCAGGACTCGCCGCTGCTGTCGACAGCAACGTCGTCAAGACTGGAATTGGGCGCGAGTCCAGCTTCACCACCACACGTCCCAAGTCGCGCGTGGGTGCTGTTCGCAACGCCAACAACAGAGGCAATGCTGACATGTGCCGCGTGGCTCGAGACCGGCAAGTGTCCTGATCTCGCGAGCTGTCTGCATGGACACGGTTTCGAAGTCGAAACGAGCTTGCTTCGTCCGTACCGTCCTGCCGACCCCAAAGCCATCACCACCCTGGAGCGTGACTCTGAGTGCCTCGTGTGTCCTGTTGAGGGAGGCCTGTGGCACAAGGGCGTGATTCTTCAGGTTGACGCAGGTTTAAACCGGAGCGCCGCACGACGACCAAACGACGACCAAAGCGCTCCGACAACAACCGTCTTGGTGCGTCTCGTTGCGGCAAACTCGGTTGTCTCTGTCAGAGCAAACCAAGTCCTTCCCGCCCAGCCATCGTCAGGCGAGACCGAATCGCAGGTCTCAGGTCAACTTGAACCCGCGCGTGGAAATCCAGAGAACGTCACCACCACTCTCGCGGCGAGCACCGTTGGAGATTGGGAGCGCTTCACCAACGCTATCGGATCTCGATTGCTGATGAAAATGGGATGGAAACCCGGCGAGGGCATTGGCGCTCAGCGTCAAGGAAGAGCCGCACCGATCGTTGTCAATGTTCTGCCGCCTGGGAAGAGCCTCGATGTCTGCATGGCCCTCCGCGAGCAGCGCAAGCTGCCGACTGTCGACTCTTTGCCTGCCGAGCCAATCGACGGGCCAAGCGACGCGTCGACTTCTACCGGATTGCCGTTGCTTGGAGCCAACGTGTCTGCCAGATACATGGCCCTCTCTCGCGATCAGAGGATCATGGTGCAGCAAGAGCGGCACCGCGTTCAAGCCAAGGCGGCCGTCCGCAAGGCCAAGCAAGACAATGCCGAAAAGCGGCGGCGGGAGCAGCTCATTCGTTCTGAAATGGGCATGTTTGGCGTTCTCGGCTCCTCCGTCTCTTCTGCCCTTGGCATTGCCTCGACTCCTCTCCCAACCGCAGCATCGCTTGCAAATTCATCATCGGCAAAGCGCAAATATTTCTAAATTGTTGTATTTCTCATTCAATATTTATTGTACAGAAAAGGGAGGTTTTGTTCAAATCAAGATTGTTTCAGAAACGGTTGTTTTCAATCCGAGTCATCATTCAGCACCAGAGGCAGACGAATTCGTCTCCTTGGATAATGACCTGCTTGTCGCACTCAGGCCTGTTTCGCAGACACCATGCGCCGAAAGGTGATGTTGAAGCGAGAATTCGGGACGCCCTTGCGTTTGGGCACCTCATGGTTCCAGAATTCTTGCATTCCACCAGTCATCAACAGTAGCGATCCAGGCGGCAGAGCTACTTCGATGCGCTGGGGTGGCGTGTTCGGGGGAAGAGCCCCTTTTCGGGATGTGACGATAAAGTCGCGCGTTGCACCCAGCGTTAGCGAAGCAATCACGGGCTGCGGGCCCCAGAGCTGCAGATCTTCATCCGTGTGCTTGCCAATGTAATCATCTCCGTTGCGGTACCAATTGATGTGGGCAGAGTCGAAGGCAAAGCGCTCCTCGATCGGCAACACCATCGAGGTGCACTGCGGGTCGAGTGCAACCGGTGAGGCGCCCTGCAATGTCTGCAGCATTTCTCCCGATAGCGTGCTCAACGCTGGCTTCAAGCGATCTGCAGACAGCCCCAGGGTAGCCGCGGCCGTGTGGCGAATGGCAGAGGCAATATCGTCGAACAGCGCCGGCCACGGCTGTGAGGGCACAGAGCGGCCCGTGTAAATGATGGGCTGGTTTCGCTTGTTGGTAAACGCGACCAGTCGTGGCTGCATCACCTCTTTGCCCCACATGACAACCGGTCGTTGCTCGAACTCAAACTGGAAGGCGGGTTCAGTGAGATTCGAGGCAGACCGCTCGTTCACAGCGGATGTTCCGGCTGCTGCAGCGGTCTCCCGGATGCGCCTTTGTTGCACTTGATGCTCATGGCCCTGGACCAGAAGGGCAGACAGCGTGCTGGCACACGAGTTGGACAGCCACTGTGGCCAGAGAAGTATCATCCCGTCAGGTTTGCTGCCGGGTCCTCCTCGTGCTAACGGAATAACTCTTGGAGGTGGTAGACGAGCACACAGACGGATTTCAAACGGTCGTTGCTTGGACGACGTGTCGCGATCGAACGCGGCGGAGATTGGTGCCAAAAGTGGAAGTTCGAGACCGGTTCTGCCTTGCGAGGCATCATCTCGCGACGCATCTTTGTCGGCTTCATTGTAATCAACGTCATCCGTCAAGTCAATGACTCCAGAATTATCGGGAGTGGCGGGGGTATCTCCATCTCGTGACATATTTGGCGATTCGATTCGCACGCGTTTGCCTGAAGTTGCAAACAAACACAAAACCATCGACACGTGTGAGCTATTGCAACGAGTTTTAGCAATCAGTCAGCATTAAACTCTATTCGTGCAACATGGTACTTGATATTGCATCGTCGTCAACGTTGTCGTGCGGTCTTCGCGAGAGAAATCTATCCATTGGAATAATTCTGCAACAAAAGAGCAGAGCAAAAACAAGACTGAGCTGCGATGCCCAAATTTAGAACCAGCTCTTGAAATTGACTTTATTTACACATCATGCCTTTTCGCAATTTGCGGACGCTTTGCGTTCCTCAGACGAGCATCGCCGCAAAAACAATACAAACAAGCAGACAAACAAAAAGTCCCAACCTCATGCCTGGGAAAAGGCTTGATACGCTTCAAACCGACCCGAGGTTGAGGTCATTGCCAGAGGCGTGCCGGGTTGAATGTACAGCACGCTACCGTACGCAACGGACTGATCGCCGCTGCTCTTAACAACCGCGGCGCCCGAGGTGACAATCAACAGGCTCGGGCCAGGCTGAGCAGCGAGTTCCAGCTGCGCGCCTGTTGTTTCGGCCACTGCGCGGGTGACTGCAAATTCTTGCACTGGCGGTTGAAACGTGGCCACAAAGCCGAGGGACGGCTGCTTTTTGGGATGCAAGAGTTGTTCAGCTGGAAGCCGAGACTCGTACGTGAGCATTTCCAGCAGAACGTCAACATCCATGAACTTTGGGGTGAGACCGGCACGAACGACATTGTCGCTGCTTGACATGCACTCGATGCAATCTAGGTTCAATGAGTGGGAGAGTTAGGAGAGGCAGTATTGAAAAGCCTCAAAACGCAGAAGCAACCATTTTCGCCTTCTTACCGCCTTTGATGTAGGCATGCGGTTCATTCGCGGCAAGAAACATGCCTTCCCCGGGCTTGAGATGAACGACATTCAAAAAGTAAATGACAAAGCAACCGACATCGCCAGGGAAATCTTGCACAACGTGCAGGATGAGCTTTGAGTCTTCGTCTTCGTTCAGATTCGGCTGTGACTGGAGCCGATCTACCAGTAACTGCAGCTGCTTGGAGACAGAGTCGCGATCCGCTTTCATCAGACACGAGAACACACGCTTGAGCGCCAAACGACGAGCATCGACGGGACCGTCCAGGAGGGCTTGGGCGCTGTCTTTGCCTCCGACAAGGGAGGCCAGTTCAGGCACGCTGCAAATGGCATCACGAATCCTCTCCAACGGCCTGAAGCCGCAAAGCGCAACAAAGTCGGTGAGCGCGATCGCCAGTTCCGGCTTGTGGTTGTCATCCGGGTAGTTTTGCGGATCGCGCGCATGCAGGACTCTGGCAAGGTCCTTGGTTGGATGCGCTTGAATCGAGAGCGCCTTCTTGATGGAGAGCACCTTGAACAGGAACGGCAGCGTTGCAAATCGGGCATCGTCCGTAATTGGCCTTGCTGGGCCAACAACATTGCCGGCTTCGGACTTGAATCGCAGCGGGGCCTTTGGATGCGTTCCCATCCAGAGCTGAATTTTTGCCAAAACGGTAGGATCAACGTAAGGTGATGTGTTCTCCAACAAAGACGAGCGGGTTGCTGTCGGAGCACAAAAGACCCCCCGCTATCATATCCTTTGACACGTCATCGTCCTGTGTCTCGTTACCTCTGCATAGGGCGCGTTCTCGTCGATGGCAAAGCGATCTGCTGGGCTGCTCTGGGCGTTGGCAAAGGCGAGCTGCGCGACGTTCGATGCGCTGCCCAGGCGACCCCAGGCGTAGTTCTGCACGGCGCCCAGCACTGGAACGACTGCTTTTGATTTGGGACGAAATTCACACCACCAAGCACCAAGGAGTACCATTGGGGGGTGAGCAACTCACAAACATCAGCAGCGATAGGTGTTAATGGCTGATGCGGTCGGGGGTTTGACTGACCTGAGACCGGGTTTGACATGAAGCGAAAATGTCAAACCAAAAATAGGAAGACTGAGCCGATGATATTCTCAGACTGAACTCCAACTACACACAGAAACACCCTCCCTCGCAGCCCTCGTTACAAAGCACGAGTAGCAGAGCAGCAGCGTCTCATCGTCGCGGTGCTCAGTAAAAGTTCAGGTCTTTCGTTTCCCTGATCACTGAGCAGTTGCGACGCTTTGGAGATGCTCGGCTTTGTGAGTGGAGTGGAGTGAACTTTTTGTTTTGTCTGTTTCGGAGAGCTGCTCAGTCGTGCCTTTGTTTATGGCTCAGACTGCCTCAATGGCTCAGACTGCCTCAATGGCTCAGATTCAATCCCAGTCCCCTCCATCATCCAGTCGCTGGCTTCGAGTCGCGCACCCGCCCTGTGCACGACTCGTCAACTGCCTGACTGCGATCGACGACGCCGTCGCACTGCTCACAGACACTCCAGCAGGACTGATCGAGCTGCACACGCTGAACGATGCAAGTCCAGCCAAGGCCGACGATGGCCCAACGCCGCCGCTCCACTCGATCGCATGCCGACACCAGTCGCCATTGCATACAGATAGTCTCACTGTCACTAGTACAACCGCTGCGAGCGGCGTGGCTCGAGACTTGTGCTCCAACGCGGATTCGGATGTGGATTCGCAGCCGACGTGCTTTGCTTGGCTCGCACACAACCAGCAAGACCCAACCCGCCATCTGGAACCGGAATCAGGGCGGCAGCATTGCCTGCTTGCTGTTGGAACCCAGGATTGCCGCGTGCTGGTGTTTGATTTCGGATTGCGCGTTGGTTCCGCGACTGTTCCGCCAAAGTTGGTCTACACTGCTCGCGTCGCGTTCATTCCGGCCGATATTGCGCTGACGCTTGTTCAGAACACGGACAAGGTTGCTGTCATCATTACGGGCGTGTGCGGCATCGCTGTGCTCCCGCCGTTCTCAATCAGCGAGCCATCGTCGCAGCCCGTTGTTGTTCATCACACCTTTCCATTCTACGGAACGTCTGTATGTTCGGTGGACGTGTCGCCGTGTTCTGGATGGATTGCGTTTGGGTGCTACGACGGTCGCGTTGCCGTGTTTCCCATCACTCCAGCACTGTTTCATGCGCCAGCAGCATTCGACGCAAACCCCCATCATCGACCACGGCTGCCGTCAGACTGCATTTGGCTGCTACCCTCTGGCGGGGCCCGAATCACCTCTATTGCGTTCTCGTCTTCTGGAACCTTTTGCGCCTTTTCGACTTGGGAAGGCCATGTTCATGTTGCGGCTGCGCGGCAATTTCCGGCAGACTCGGCGGCCGGCGCGGAAGTCCCTGCAGTGGCACTGACGTGGTCTCTTCTACCGGAGGGGAGTTTTTTCCTTGGCGAGTCGACCAAAGCCATTGAAACACATCCAGCAATGGTGCTAGCTTGGGCGCCACTGAGCACGAATGGCAACAACGCTGAACTTTTGGTCGTTGGCGGGCATTCCCCACGAATAGCTGTTGTTCAAGTGTCCCAGTCGCGACTTGTGGTGCATCAAGCACTCCTGGATACGCAGCACGGAGTTCGAGGGCTTTGCACGGCAAGCAGTCGTCAGAGTCGTTTCGGAGATGTTGTGGTGTACACACGTGATTCGACGTTGCACCACATGTCTCTGGATCTCATTCTCAGAACACAACCCACGGCAGTGGTATTCAAGCCCGCACAGACACTACATCTCCATCCAAGCGATGAGCCCAAGAGTCGTGGCTTCGCAATTCCGGAAGTGCCGACTTGTCTGCTCTCCGACGACAATGGCACCGTGTTGCACAACACGAAAGGCGACTTGCTCATTACTTGGAAGAATGCAACTGTGCCCGAAGTTGTGCCGGCCAACTTTGTACTATTTTCTCCAGGCTCGACCATTCCTTGCACCATTTCTCCACGTCTGTTCGCCATGTATGCCAGCCCGATGGTGCACGTGTATTCTCGCGATAAGCGATCCTGGAAGAGCATCTTGATGGATGCGCCATGCCTCGAATTCCGGTTTACCGATGGTAAGTTCGTTTTTGACAATGAGCGAAAAGTTGCGTTGTTTCGGGAAAGCAACTCTCACCAACAACGCATGACGAACGAACGCACCCACAGATGTTACAATCCATCTGGCTCCTTCTCACAGTGCTGCACAACAGCCACGGCGTGTCATTCGAGCCGAGCTCGCTCCAGACCGCTTTGCCTTAAAGTTGCTTGGTCTGGATGCAACTTGATGGATTTTTGACCGGACGACAACAAAGGGGGTTTCCTTTGATGTGTTCTCAGTCCTCCATTTTATTATTTTGTTAATACATAAACATTATTCGATGCCAACAAGCTCAGACTCTGAGCCGTTCCAGTCGTACTCGTCGTGGAGCGCGCGCTTTACCGAGCTGCGCATCCTGCTCTGGCGGTGCTCCGACCAGCTCCAGCACCACACCGAGACCAGCAGTGCTGCTGCGCCTGGTGCGACTGGTGCGACTGGTGCGACTGGTGCTGGCTGGAGCTCGATGGTGGCTGCCACTCCACGCGCTGGACTGATCCTCGTGCGCAGTCCGCCTGGCTGCGGCAAGACGACCTTCACAACCGAGGCGCTCCGAACAATGCGTGTGCCCAGCGTGGTGCTCTCATGTGCGTCTGTCGCAGCCGAGCACGACGCGCTGGAGCCGAGCCAGCGCGGGAGGACGCTCGCTGCTGCCATCGCCAATGCAAGCGCACTGAACGTCGCGTCACTGACCGATCCAAGTGTGATTCCCGATCACGATGCTGAACAAGATGCAGGCAGCAATGGCCAATCATCCGGACCACTGCAGACCAGGCTGGCCCTTGGCGTGCTCGTGCTGGCCCAACTCGAGGCGCTGTGTCGAGCGTCAGCAAGCGACGCACTCGCGGATCTGCTCCAAAACCACCTCCCGCGTCTACCACCACATGCAAGTGCATTGCGTGCGACATGTTTGTTGATATTCGGCCGCGTTGTCGCGACAACTGCGACGGGAGTAACGTTTTTTTTTTCTGGCTTGTTTTTGGTCTCACCCACCATCCTGTTTTTGCTTGTAGATTATCTGCATCGGACTCTTAAGAGACGGCATTGACATGCCACCAATACTAGCCAAAAGAGAGTCGGTCTCTGCATCCATCTCGTTGGCAGTACCAACCGCCGAAGAGCGCACAATAGTTATCGGCCGAATTCTCCAACGCCTTGTGCTGCAACCAAACCCAGAGAGCAAATCAACCATCGACGGCGCGGCATTGTCGATAATGCGGGTCACCCCCGGTTGCACACACCGGCAGCTTGCCCAGCGCGTTCACCACGCCCTGCGCACTTGCATCGCCGACGACTTTTCTACCACTGCATCACCCGACGCTTCTCCACCTTCAGTGACGCTCGACCGGCTACTTTCTACAATTCTGTCTCAACGCACGGCTGCTGGTTCAGCCCACAATGAGCCCACGCCTTCGCCAGCCTCCTCGAGCGCGACCTATCACGCGCCCGAACCGTGGAAGAACGTCGGCGGGTACCTGGAAGTCCGGAAGCGCCTCATCCAGCTCATTGCGCGTCCCCAGAGAAACCCACAGGCGTACGCTCGAATGGGCATCGAGCCACCATCGGGCGTTCTCTTGTACGGCCCATCCGGCTGCGGGAAAACGCTGCTCATCAACGAGCTCGTTGCATCCGAGTGTCCAGAGGTGGCGTTCATCCCTGTGCGCGTCTCCGAGCTGCTCTCAAAGTACCTCGGCGAGTCAGAGCGCAACATTCGCAAGCTTTTCGTGCGCGCTCGCCAGCTGGCGCCTTGCATTGTGTTTTTCGACGACATTGACATTATCGCGCTCAAGCGAGAAATGTCGCTCGATGGCGGCTCATCCGGCGTCGAAGACCGGCTGCTCGGTCAGCTACTCACCGAAATGGACGGCATCGTGGAGCGCACGGGCGTGCTCGTTGTCGCATGCACAAACAAGCAGCTGAGTGCGCTGGATCCTGCGTTGATTCGCGCCGGCCGCCTGGAGCACCATGTCGCCGTTGGCAAGCCCGGTGCAGAGTCGCGACTCGCCATTCTCAAGGTGCTTGCGCAGCGAACCTCGACCTCGGCCAATCTTGAATGGGTTGCTGGCCGCACCGAAGGCTACACTGGCGCGCGATTGACAGCGCTCGTTCGGGAGGCGGCTCTCTGTGCGCTCCGCCGTGACATTGAAGCTGTCACTGTGAGTGACGATGATTTCAAAGCGGCTCTTGGTTCTGCACTGTAGTCTTGTCGTTCTGCAGCAGGGGTTTTTCCAATTCATGAGCATTTTGTATTTTTGTATTTAATAATTCTCAGTTTCTCCAACAATGGTCCATTCCAATTCGTCCTCTGTTTTCTACGTGTACTGTACGTTTGCCATCATCTCCACATCCATCCAGTCACCACCTCAGTCGTCCCTTTTGGCATTTTTGTGTATCTGGATGAAGTTGCTCCGGCATCGCATCGCAGCCGAGGTCTGATCGTCCCAACCAACAACACTTCTCGTTGTCATGTTAATTCCTGTTTGCTTATTCATCATCACACTAATTTTGTTTATTTGTTTATTTTACGATGGCTCTGAGAGCAGGTCGCTCGGATTGCGGGCGTTGCTGAGAGCAGCGTGCTGCCACTGATCGCCTTCCACGCGAGCCGGCCGAGTCCGACCGCCGCTGGTCCGTCGAGTAGCACCAATGCCAAGAAGCAAGCCAGTCCAAGCAGTGGTGGCCAGACGATGGCGGGAAGCCACTTCCGACTGAGCGCAGCCGCACTCGCCGCGCTGAAGCCAGCGAGCCAGCCAGCCACGAGAGAAGACGACGACCCGAGTGCGACCCAAGCGAGCAGGGATCTCGAATCAAGGACATTGAGCTCACAGAGTCAAAGCCCTGCCGTGGACAAGCTAACGGGTGGCCAGCTTGCCGCTCGCATCCAGAACGAGGTTTGGCCATTTGGCGCGGTTTCTGAGAATGGTTCAGACTGGATCTGAGCGAGAGTGGTTGATTCAATCATCTAATCCTGCTCAATCTTGGAACTCGTTGATTTTGATGTTGGATTGTTTGTTGTGTGGTTCTGATTGAAAAAAACAGCTGCAGACCAGCTCGCAAGCCATCACGAGCGTTGCAACACTGGGCCAGTTGATACAGTTTGGGTTTCATCGCCCTACATTCACCAAAGACGTTCTTCACAGTGCGTTGACGCAAGGCAGCAAGTATGGAGAGGCTCGCTCTATTGGGGCTGGCAAGACGGCCGTCCTTGACTTTAGCTCGCCAAACATTGCCAAACCCTTCCACGCCGGCCACTTGCGTTCTGCCATCATTGGAAACGTTTTGCGCAACCTTCTGCAAGCAGTTGGCTATAAAACCGTCGCTATCAATTACTTGGGTGACTGGGGCAAGCAGTATGGTGCGTTTTCGCACTGCGCGTCGGACGATTTGGGTTTTTTTTGTATTCTTACTTGGAACGTGGTTGCGTTCATTGCAGGCTTGCTCGGAGTAGGATTCGCCAAGTATGGGTCGCAGGAAAAGTTGGCATCCTCTCCTTTGCAACATCTCGCTGAGGTCTACGTCAAGATCAACCGCGAAGCCGAGACCGACCCAGCCATTCACGATCAGGCACGGCAGCACTTCCGGAAAATGGAGACGGGTAGGGCCTCTTGTTGCTTTGGTTGAATGTGAGCCTTGGGAAAGCCTCATTTCTGTCGATTGCAGGCGACCCGGAGACGCTCGCCACCTGGCGCCAGTTCAAGTCACTTAGCGAAGTCGAGTACCGAAGCATGTACGCGCGACTCAACGTGCAGTTTGATGTTTACGATGGGGAGTCGCTGCAACACGAGCTCGTGCAACAGCACGTGGCTTCTTTGGTCGACAAGCTTGGCGTGAAAACGGCGTCGGAAATTGCCGCGTCGCAGTCCGATACCACCACCAACCAAGCCTTGGAATCACCGCCCGTGACGCTCAAACGCGAGGACAATGGCGCATTGGTGGCTCTGTTTGCCAATCCGCAGCTCAAACCGACAGTGCTGGCCAAAGCGAACGAGTCGTCCACCTACCTCACCCGAGACATTGCAGCAGCCGTTTCTCGCTGGCAAAAGTACAAGCCTGACCTGGCCTTGTATGTGGTGGGCCCGGAGCAAGCATTGCACTTTGAGCAGCTGTTTGAGCTGCTGCGCGTGTTGGGCTACAGCGAATACGCGGCTGCGTGTCGCCATGTTGCTTTTGGGAAGGTGGAAGGCATGAGCTCGCGCACGGGTAACATGGTCCTGCTATCGGATGTTTTGGAAGAAGGCGAGCAGCACATGCGCGAAATTGGCGAGGAGCGTGGCCTTGCTCGCAGCGAACGCACAGCAACCTCCTCCGCCGAGTCGACCGACGACGCTTCAGCAGCAGATCAACTCGTGGATCGTGCGCGCGTGTCAAGATCAACCGCTCTTGCTGCGATTGTGGTGCAAGACCTGAAATCACGGCGCTTGCGGGGATACAAGTTCGACTGGAATCAAGTTCTGCAAACGACCGGAACGACAGGGCCATATTTACTGTACACGCACGCCCGGTTGTGCAGGTACACGGCGAGATGATGGTTGGGGTTTGTTGAAATCCTGGTGGGTTCTGACTTGCTTGTTGTGCTGATCGACTATTTTTTTTTTTTAATTTTTTTTTGGATAGTCTGAAACGCAAGATGGGAAGCAACGCCGTTGCCGCTGACGTGGATTGGTCTCTGCTTTCCGAACCGTCGGCCATGTATATCGTAGATGTCGTTGCCGCATACCCGGATGCGATCGTGCGAGCCGCAACGCAGCTAGAGCCAAGCTTGCTGGTCGACCAGCTGATGGACTTGGCACTGGCCGTCTCGGCAGGACTCCGCGATCTTCGCGTGAAAGGTGCTTCCGAGGAAGTGGCTCGCGCGCGACTGGCACTCTTCGAAAGCGCCCGCATCAACCTCGCCAATGGACTTTGCTTGTTGGGCTTGGACCCGCTCGAGGCAATGTAGGAGGCGTTTGGGGTCAAACTGCTGAATCGATGGAATTGAAACTTCGGGAAACACCATGTCCATGTACTGTATTGTTTTTTTTTTTTCGTTTTGTAACAACACTACTAAAACTACACATCGTTCTCTGGCAAGTCAGGTGCCGAGTGAATGTCGATGACCTTGCGGACCATGGTTGGACCGCCGCCATAGTGCTTCATAAAGTACTCCCAGACCTTTTGATTGACACCACGATAATGTGTGACTGTGACAAGGAGCATGCACACACACGAAGTAACATGTGAGAAACCTTGTCAAAACACAACTGTCACAAAAATCAGTCCAAAGCATCCGTTACCTTTCTTCAAATGCGGCAATGGAACGCCATTTGCATCCAGTAGTCGATCGTTGGAAATCGGACCGGGAGGCAAAACATCTGCCCAAAGAAAAAAGCCAGAAAGAAAAAGGTACAGCAGAAATGAGAAAACCGTTTTCAGTCGCGAACCACCATTGAGCAAAGACCAACACTGACTGGGATCTCTGGAGCTCTTGAAATCAAGCCATTGCTTGAGCCAAGCAGCAGAGATAATGTACCAAATGCCTTGTTCATTGCAGACATCAAGCCGAGTGATGGCGGCTGTTTCCTCGTCTCGGCGTTGCTGCAGCTGCTCGGCTTCGCGCTGTAATCGCACAGCCAGGACACAACGGTTACAGAGGGCATAGCATAATGAGCAACTATCATTAATCAAAGGCCAACGCAAAAACACAAGACGGTTTCGTACCCAACACTCGGAGCAAGAGCCAAGAGAGATAATTTCGGGCCCTCCTTGGTGAACGTTCTGGAGGTACTGAAAAACTGACACGGGCACAGGCGTCACCAGCGTTTGGATGACGGACTCCAGGTGGATTTGCACTCCTGAGAATTTCGAGGTTTGACACACAAAAAATTCATGTCAGCAAAAAGGCTCATAGTCCCCAAAAACCAAATCCTCAACAAAAAAGAAAACAAAACCCCTTGCATAAACACAACGACACCTACCTCCATGCTCACAAAACAAGTCCCCGTTCGAGATGGAGCCTGGATTGGACAGGGTCATCCACGACGCCAGCCACTGCTTGGAAATGTAGCGCACAGAGGAAGCATCTGATGCGGATTGGTAGTCGCGCTCCATCAGTTGGGCGACAGTCGATCGCTCCTTGTCAACGGCAGCCGATTCACGCGAGTAAAACAAAATGTACGCCTCCTGATCCAACACGTCTTGGACGCTGACTTCTGTTGTATCCGAGTCGTCATACTCAAACCAACGGCCCGATTGCGGATGTTGCGCGTACGCGACATAGTGGCCGCTGTTGACGCCTCCGCGATGGGAGACAACGGCATTCAAGGTGTACAAGGTGTTGGTTTCGGTCGAGCCAGGTGCAAGGAATGGCCGCATGTCCAGGCCTTCCAGCGGAAACTGCACTGGCTGGGACAGCTTGGAGGACAAGTACGAGTCGTGACGGAAACGCTTGATGTGCAGGCACAAAACTTCGGGCAGCACGTGCACAGAGAGCGTTTTCAGGGCGTCGCACAACTTGTTGCAGTGCTCGCATCGGTAGCGCTCCGAGCCAACCAATTCTTCCGTGTCGCAAAAAGCAGAAAGACAAGCTTCTAGTGCCACTGGCTTCCACGACGAGAACGGATTAAAATGGCTTAGAATGCCGAGAATCGACCAGCTTGGTTTGGTTTCCACGAGGGCAACTTGATTGGCGCTGCCCTGCGCATCTTCGCCGTTGATAACGCGCGTGTCTTTGCGTCTGACAGCGCCAGAAGCGATCGGGATGTTCAAATCCCAGAAGCTGTCCACCGTGACCGAGATCTAGCGCAGAGCAAGCACAAAACACAAAATGGAGGCACAGAAATTGAGACAAACCGGAAATCGACAGCAACGACAACAACAGCAACGACAACAGCAACGACAACAGCAACGACAACAGCAACGACAACAACGACAACAACGACAACAACGACAACAACGACAACAACATCAACGAAATGGTACGCACATTGTGGCACTTGGCGCATTCGACTTCGCTCCGAAGCTGGCCTTCGAAAACAGAACTAATGACACTCGAAAACCGTTTCGAAGGTCCCGACGAAGGAGCTGTGGAGGTGGCAGTGGACTGCTGGGATGTGCTGGGTGAGAGGGCAGGAGTGGCGGGCTTTGACCCATCCTCCGCAGCCGACTCCTGCGTTGAAGGAAGATGAGGGTTTTGGCCCTCGAGGCTCTTCCGTTTGTCCTTTCTGGACATGCGTTTGACCAGCGATCGGCGGAGCTGACCAAAGCTTCTCCGGCTGCCGCTTCCGCTGTGATGTTCAGAGCTGGTAAGACCACCAGCAGCAGCAGCCGCTGCAGTAGTAGTGCTGTCTTCGCTGCCGTCTTCGCTTCCCCCGCGATTGGATGTGGTGATCGAGTCGTTTCCATCCAGAGATGCTTTCTCGGCAGCGTGAGCCTGTTGCTGTTGCTGGTGCTGGTGCTGTTGCTGTTGCTGTTGGTCGGCAGCAGCCGCAGCCGTCGGGACGGTGTGCACTCGGCGCTTTAGGTCGTCGTGCAGCGCGCTCATGAGCGTGCGCAAAAACTCTTGTGCGTCTTGATGGGCATAGCCTCGGAAGCTTGGGTTTAATCGCTTCACATCGTGAACGACTTGTGAGGGGGAGATCGCCATGGACTGGCCCGACCAGAGGTTGCTCAGCAGCTCGCAAAAGTCGTTGGTCATTTGCAAGTGGTCGAGCGTAGATTGGTTGTGAAACAGCTTGTGGGCCACTGGTCGGATGGGTGCGTAAAAGTTGGTGAAGAAAACGAGCAGCGGCCGCAGGTGTGCGAGCGCTTGCAGCGGTGCGTTCATGTAGCAAGTGTTGCCCAGGTTGTTGAGCCCGGAGATTCCACCGTTCGGCGACAATTCGGCCATCAGCGCTCGCGGATGCACTTGCAGGGCACGATGGCCGCCGAGACCAGTGTCTTTGCTGTGCTTGCTGCTGCTGCCGCCGCCGCTGCTGGTGGACCCGGCGGTTCGATCTCGATGGTGCCGCTGCAGCTCTCCACCCGATCCCCGGTTGCGGTTGGTGCGTTCATCGTCGTCTGTATCCATTGGGGTGGGTTGATTCGCGTTGGCGTGGTTGTGGTTGTGGTTGTTGTTGTGGTGGTTGGCGTGACTCGGTTGGTCATGGTCGTCAATGGGGGTGGCCGGGGCGCTGTCAGTGGTCTCCGACGACGCGATAAACACCTCGTTGTTGCAAGCGTAGCACCATATCATGGGCACGCCAGCCCGAATGACGAGAGGATGCTTGTGCGTTTCAAAGTGCGCCAAACCGTGTCGGCGAGATTGCTGGCCGCAGCCGACATGTCGACAGCCGGGCGAGAGACATACCCAGACATCCGACCCCGCCGCAGGGTCGTACGTTGCCTTTGCGAGCACGTCCGTGTTGGCATACATGTCGTAAATGAGTGCTTGGGCGAGCTGCAGCGTCGCGATGGACGGATGGCTGTTGCTTGACGAAGATGTGTTGGTCTGCGCGAGGGATGCAGCCGCCGCCGCAAGCGCTTTTGCAGCATCCGGAGCAAGCATCATCGTTGCCATTGTGTCTGGCGCTGTCTGGTGGTGGTGCTGTGCATTGCACTCGGCGCAGTACCGGATTGCCCGTTCCAGCGCGAGTGCCTCTGCTGCTGGCTGGCCATCGCCACCGCCATTGACAGTGTCACGCGCAGCAGCAGACGCGTTGCTTGGGACGGCGGCGGTCGTGGTAGCGGTCACCATTGGCTTGTACTGGGTGAGATCAGCTTGAGCGGAAAGTGCTGACGCGGACGAGGACGACGGCAACGAGTGGCGCGCCTTGGCCAGCTGCTGCCTGCGCTTGACGACGTGCTGGTCCATGAGCGACTGGATGATCTGCGGGAAGGAGGAGGGTTGGTGGCGGAGAGGGAAGGAGGAGGGTTGGGGAGGGAAGAGGAGATTAGGGAAAAGCGTTAGAAAACGAGTATAAAAAGACGAGGAAAAACAGAACGAAACAACCAAAAGATTCACTAAAACGCAAAGGAAAAAGCAAAGGAAAGAAAGGGTCGCTGTGTTGAAATGTTGAGCGACGTTCGTATGCCAATTTCGAATTAAAACCTCAACCAATTTCACATACTGCATTGTATTCAATTACTACTGCATTTCGTGCTTCTGTCTCTCCCTTCTGCACCATCCCAAAACGCACTGAGCATGTTCGTTTCTAATGCTCAGATAGTACCAAAACTACCACCGCCGAATAGTAACCAAGTCGTATGCAATCTATGACTCGGGGGATACGACGCCAAATCTCCAACCCTTACCCAACCCCACCCTAACCGTAACTCAGCCCTAACCCAACCCCCAAAAGCGCACACTCACTGCGAGATTGTCGAGGGACAGGACGCGCGCGGCGTGCGGGCAGCCGTCATTGTCGTCCGAGTTGGTCGATTCCGCGCCAGGCGACACCGGGACGGGCACTGGGACTGGCCGACTGGAGACGTCCATCATGACTGGCGAAATATGCGTAATCAACCCCCCTAGAGTTTGTGAGAGGGATCAAGGAGGGTAGCAAAGCCGGAGGGAGGAGAAGGGGTGTGGGGGAGCGCCGGCTTTCTTGTCGTCTCAGAAAGACAGACAAAAAGAGAGGACTGACCGATCTCAACTCAGACCTCCATCCTTTTAATATACTTTACAAGCATGTCGGCGTCGCGACTTGTTCGTGTATCACTTGGGAGACTTTCATAGATTGACATCAGAAAGCAAAAACTCACACAACAACGACAACAACAACAACCAACTCGCCAAACTACGCTCACTGACGGCAGAGCAGATCGAGTGTGGCACGGAGCACACGCATAAAGGGGCGGACGGTGGAAATTTCGAGACGCTCGTCGGGAGAGTGCGCGGCAGCGACTTCGGGGCCGACAGACACGCACTCCATGCCGGCAAACGTGCGCTGCCAGAAGCCACACTCGAGACCAGCATGCACGGCGTAGACGCGGGGCTGCACGCCATACTCGGACTCGTAGGCACTGCGCGTGGATTTGAGCAAGTCGGTATGGGGGTTGGGCATCCAGCCAGGGAAGCCGTTCAGCGCGGGCGTCGGGCCAAACTTTTGCAGCGTCTTGCCGTTGATGCGGCTTGCGGCAGTCTCTGCCAGTTGGGTGAGCCCGTGCGCCTCCCACCAAGAAGCGCCGTGGCTCTCATCCAGCCGTTGCGACACTTCCACCATGTGAGCGTCGTTGCTCGAGCGCGCAAACAGGTGGCAGTACAGCCCGCTGTCGGTGAGCTGAGCAACCGTGAAGGCGATGCTGGTTTCCACCAGGCCCTCGACCTCGCGACTCTTGTAAATGACGCCGTGGTGCAGGGACGTGATGTAGTCGAGCGAGGCACGGGTGGACGTTGGCGTCAGAGCGCAGAGGCGCGCGTTGGTGGCGCCCGCAGCAAAGGCGGGAGATTCGCCGAGCTCGTCCTCGACCACCTTGAGCGGCGTCGGGACGGTGCGGTGCCAGTCGTCAGAGCCACTCATGGTGGCAACCGCAAGCACTGCGTTGGGCTCCTGCTCGAGCGTGTAGCGCCCACGAACCACGCTGGCAAACGCCGTGTCGAGCAGGGTGACGACCTCTGCGACGTGGGCGGTGCGAACTGCCACCACTGCACGCGCCTCGCGAGGGATGGCGTTGATGGCCGTGCCGCCCTTGTACGCCGCAAGGCGGACATCCGCTCCAGCAGGCGCGGCATCGATCGTGTTGCTCAGGATGCGCGCGAGCAGCTGGATGCCGTTGCCGAGGGGCTCGTGGATTTGCGCGCCAGAGTGTCCACCGAGCAAGCCCTTCAGATGCACCGACAGCAGGGTGAATGTGCCCGGGGTGGAAAGCGCCGCGGCATCGTCGCCGTTCTCGGCCCACTCGACGGGCAGCAGCAGAATCTTTTCAAACCCGCCAGCGCAGCCAATGCAGATTGAGTTTTGCTCTTCCGAGTCGACGTTGATCATGAGGCGCGCCTTGAGCAGCTCCGGGTCAATGTCCATGGCGCCGCTCATGGTTGTCTCCTCGTCTGCGGTGAACAAGAGCTCGAGCGCCGGGTGGACAAACTCGCGCTTGTCCTTGTGCGAGCGGCCTTCGAGCTCCATGCGCTCTGGCGCAATGTCCTCCAGCAATGCCAAGCACGCCGCGACGCCAATGCCATCGTCGGCGCCGAGCGTGGTCGACTCTGCCTTGAGCCAGTCGCCGTCAATCCTGACGCGAATCGGGTCGACGTCAAAGTCGTGCTCGACGCCCTCGTTCTTGGACGTGACCATGTCCAGATGGCACTGCAATGCAACTGCAGCAACATGCTCGTACCCGGGCGTCGCGGGCTTGCAGATCAGCACGTTCCCCGCTCGGTCGGTCTTGTGCACGAGGCCCAGCCTGTCGGCCACTCCAGTCACCTTGGCTCGAATCCTAGTGTGCAAGCAAGCCAAAGCAAGCATCATCAAAGGCGTAGTGAGTGAGTGAGTGAGTGAGTGATGTGTGTGTGGATGGAATAGACTATCTCATCCGTCGTTCTTACTGGTCGAGCTTGGAGGACGGGCGCGGGGTCTCGAGGCACATTGCAAAGTACTTCCAGATCGCATCGCCGCCGAGCTGGTCGACGAGCGGAATCGACGTCGGAAGGTGCAGCAGCGATTCGGCGCTCAGAATGCGTTCGTGAGACATTTTGTCTGAGAAAGGGGGAAGAAGAACAAAAAACAAGGAAACAAAAAGAAAGAGTGAAATCTCAGAGATTGGGGGGAAGAGTATGGAATATATTTGAGACGGCAGAGCATCGAGTACAAAAAACTTGCCATCAAACACAAAAACGTCAGTCAATCAGTGCAGTGTGCATCGTCGCAAGTCTCGTAAAAAGCAGAGCAACAATCTCTGGTTGCTACTGGCTTTCGGAGGAGGGGAAAGTCGCAGAACGACGGAACACGACGCGCACCACACAAAAAGCACCACACTCGAAATGCACCGCGACAAATGCATCATCGACACATGCCGACATGCACACCACACGCATGCACACGTTACAAATCAAGACAAGACAAAAAAGCACAACGAGCCTAAAATTACACAGCGGTTGGCCGTTCCCGTGCCACTTGTTGAAACGGACAACCAGGCTTTTTGAAACCAAGCAATCTCGCGTCATGGCGCAGCGGCAGCGGCAACAGACTGTGCAGGGCCGCCTTGCAGCCATGCGGATGTCTTGTATTGGGCATGCTCTGGCAGCTCCAAGTCCTTCTTGGCCTTTTCGATATCCGCGTGAATGGCAGCGATCAGCGCGTCTGAGTGAATACGATGGCGTACAATGGCGTACAATGAAGTGAGGCTCGCTGCTCCTTTCATGCAACATTTTTTTGCTGAGACTCTGAGAATCCTTCAGTCTGAGACCAGTGCCTTCCTTTGCTTGTTCTTACCAAGCGTGGTAAAGCTCAGCTCTGGTCGGATGTAGCCCGTCACAACGACTGCGAGCTCGTCGCCGTAAAAGTCCTGAGCAAAGTCATGGATGATGTGCACTTCGGCCGAGCGCTTCTCGTTCTTGTAGAATGGGTTCCATCCGACGCTCATGACCATTGGGTAGACTGGAGCAGCAGCAGGAGCAGCAGGAGCAGGGGTCGACGACGAGCCCGAGCCCGACGCCTTGGACTGGGTGACCGACGCCCAGCCATAGTAGATGCCCGTCGAAATGCCCTCCGACATTGAGTTGGCAATGTCCTCGGGCAGGTTGGCGGTCGGGATGCCGAGCTCTTTGCTTCCGCGGCCGAACCCCTTGATCACGGTGCCGCGGAGGAAGGTCGGAAGCGCCGCTGTTCATCCGACGCAATACAACAAAAGAGTCATGTACACACCCCCCCCCCAACATTTCCAGTGAGTGATGGTAGCGAGTGTGTGAGACGGGGGGGGGGGGAAAGTGCGAGCGGAGCGGAGGATTGCGTCAAAATGGATGCGAAACGGAGATTTACAATGCAAAAGCACATGTTTCTGAGAAAAGTAGATCAAAAAGTAAAAGGGAAAAAAAGAGGGGGAAAACTTTTTACATTGTGGGCTTGGCGATGATGACGATTCGGATTGCGACGACATGAACGTAGAAACGTTGAGGGAGCAAAATGAAGACTGAGATTAAGATGAGGGTCTTTGTCTGAGACGACTGGACATCTTTGGAAAATCGAGATCATTCTCAAGAAAAAAAATGATGCAAGGACCCGACGGATGATCGCCGTATCTCAAAGTTACTGCAGAAACAAAGCGAGTGTTTATTCATTCTTATCCCTCGGTGCTGTTATGGCTTGGCATCAAGCGGCGTCACGGAAAACACGGTAACATCGCTCATGGTCGAGTTGCGCACAGAGTAGGAAAAGTTCCAGCCATGCGCAGCACCGCCAAATTGACCTTGCTTGTTCACGGCGACAAGAGCGCCCAGATAGTTTGGGTAGAACTTTGCGATGCGGCGCAGCGCATCTTCAGCCGCAGCAGTCGGCGTCATGCCCGCTTCCATGTTGCGCACGGCTTGATAGCTGTCGAGCCAATAACGAAGGAGAGGGGGGTGGTGGTCAGCGCACTACATCTCAAAGAAAAAACAAAAACTCCCAACAAAACCAACGCTGAAAACTCAATACCTGGGAAGGAAGCGCATCATCACGTCGCCGTCGCCAGTGGCGGCAGCACCACCAACATTGTTGTCGACGTAGGCTCCAGAGCCAGTGATGGGCGAGTCGCCAACGCGGCCGGGGACTTTGTGCGAGGCGCCATTCGTCGAGGTGCCGCCAGCAACATTGCCGTTCGCGTCAATCACAATCATGCCAACGGTGTCGTGATTGCCTGGACCAACAGCCGGGTTGATGCGGGGTGACGTGTGGTAGCGCGAGGAGCCGCGGTTGGAGGTGTTTGGTGCAGGCTTGTACGGGCCGCAGCTCGTGTTGGCATCGGGCAGCGTGTCGAGGCGGTAGTTGGGCTGGCAGTTCTGAGCCTTCCACGACTGATAGATGGAAATCGAGTTGTTGGTAGTCAGGCTCTCTTCCTTGAAGCCCATGGACACGGCAAAGCGAGTCGCGTCCTCGCCAACGAGCAGCGTGTGCGTAGTGTGTTCCATCACCTTGCGAGCGACCGAGATGGCGCTCTTGACGCGCTTGATGCATCCGATGGATCCGACATCGTGCGTGATACTGAGGCCAACAAACGATGCAGAGGTCAATGAGTGATACGACTCAAAACAACAGGAAACAGGAACATTATCGACTCACCCATCCATAATCATGGCATCGAGAGTCGTTTCGCCGTCCTCGTTAGGGCTGCCAGTCAACCAAAGTCATCGATGGTCAGGAATTGCAAGCAACAGCAACAGCAACAACAACGATCAACAGCAGAACTTTGGGCTTTTTTTGACAGTTTTACTACCTGCCACCGTAACCGACAGAGCCGTCGCATTGTTCAATCTCGCAGACAGTGCACCCAATCTCGACAGCGTCCACTGCTGACGTCGACGGCGTGGTAATCGAAGCCCAAGCTAAAAGAATAATCGAGAGCAAGTGAGTCGGTTGAGGCCGAGAACCTCAAAAGTGAGCGGCTGAGCGGTGTACCTGCACGAGTGGCGTCGGTGAATGGCCAGGTGTTGATGACGATCGGAAGCGATGCTTGGAACTGGTTTGCTAACAATGCGCAAAAACAAAACAGACAGAGTTTAAAGTTTCAGAGGTTGAGTGAAAAAGTGAGATGAAGAGCGAACGAAAGGGGGACGAAAAAGGGGAAGCAAAGGGAAGATTGAACGCTCGAGTGCTTCTTTGTGCTCAGGACTCGGGGAAGAGGGGGAGGTTCACCCACACGTCACATCGATGCAAGCATTGCATTTGTAACGCAAATCGGTGTTCGTGGTGTGCTCAGCAGTTCAGAACAAAAGCGTCGGAGAAGCACAAGATTGCCAAAGGTTCGAGTTGGTTCGGCGGTTTTTGCGCTTTACGTTCGTTGTCGCGCGGCTGCGGGATGGCTGCTGGGCGAGGGACGTGTGCGGCGGGGGATGCAAGGTAGGCACTGGCAGCATCGAACGCAGCAGTGGCCGGCGCGGGACCAGAAGCAGCAGCAGAAGCAGAAGCAGCGGAGGCAGCCAATGCGCCGAGCATGACGATGAGAACAGTGATTCGCATTCACACAAAGAACAGGAAGGACTGGCCGATCGATGCATGACATCCCAATCTCAAAAAAAGATCTGATTGATGAATGGATGCGCTTTATTAACTTGGAAATGGGCGACTGGGCTTTCAAACTAATCACAGCGAACGAGGATGGAAAAGCGAAGATTGCTGCGCTTTTGCGAACAAGCTTGCGGGACCAGCGCCCCCTGTTTACTCCACGATTATGCAATGGACTGGACGATAAACACAAAAAAGAGATAGGGTAGATCTACTTCATGATCCAGCTAGAATGCAGACAAATCATGGCCAATCTAATCAGTCTAACTTTTTTTTTTTTGTTCTTTTCTCCAGTGAACAGTAAGCCAACGTGCATCAACGAGCGCTCCACTCGTCTCATTCGATGTTCCTAGCTTCTTTTGAAGTGATCTCTGCTGGATTTCGACAGCTGGGCAATGAGCAGCTCAGCGAGCGAGGGAGTGAAACAAAAAAAAAAAAACAAGCAAAAAAAAAAAAAACAAGCCAAAGGAGCTCAGGGCGACTCTTTCGCTGTCTCTCACACTCCTGATCCCTTGATGAGGTCTGATGCAACAAGCTGATCAAGTAGCAGAAGCGAGGGGCGGAGAAGCAGCGAGGTTTGCAAAGCGCAGCCACACAGCATAGCGTCTGACAACGGGTGATGCGCCGTCTTCTTTCCCCGCTCTCGCTTGAAGGCGTAGTGTGTCAACGCAATACCGGTATTGCAGTTGGTCATGAACGGGGCGCGAAGGAGGGGGAGGGAAAGGACAGACAACGCACTGAGAATCTGAGCTAGTGGCGGTGAGCGCCTCAGTCAACACGAACCACCAATGCCCGAAGCCATGCATCACACACGATTGGCTCTCTGCATTGCAATTGTTGTTGAAAAACTGCGAGCTCACTTTGTAAATATTTCTGAATCACCCTCTGCATTGCAATTGTTGTTGAAAAACTGCGAGCTCACTTTGTAAATATTTCTGAATCACCTTCCTCATAGATGGCAACTAAAAAGTTTGCCTTTGGTCTGATTCTCGCTCTGCTGCTCTGCGTGATAAATCACGTCCACTTGGCACAAGCAGTCAATGCTTGTGGAGCTGGCGGTGTGTGCACATGCTCGGGAACCGTTGTCCATTGCCAAAGCCAATCTCTCACATCTATTCCGAGCGGAATCCCTGCCGACACCACTGAACTGTATGTGCTGCCGTTGCGCTGACCTTGCATCCATGCATTCACCGGCCTGACTGCGCTCACTACCTTGTAAGCACGCAACACAACGACAGCAAAAGTCACACAAACGGCTCACTTATTTGCGACTCTGTTTGGAAGGGATCTAAACTACAACCCGATCACCAACATTCCCTCCTCTGCATTCACGGATCTCAATGCGCTGAAACACTTGTAAGCAAGCAAAGACACGACGAATCGCACAACAGGCTCACTTGTTGGCGACTTCATGTAGGTATCTCCAAAGCAGCCGGATCACCAGCATTCCCGCTGATGCATTTATCAGTTTGACTGCGCTGAATACTTTGTAAGCAAGCAAGGACAGGTCGAGCCACACAAAGACGGCTCATTTTTGGCGACTCTATTTGCAGAGCTCTCAGTGGTTACTGGATCACCACCATTCCTAAAAACGCTTTCAAAGACCTGACTGCACTGCAGTACTTGTAAGCAAGCAAAGACATGACGAATCGCACAAAGACGGCTCATTTTTGGCCACTCTATTTGCAGACATCTCGGTGGCAGCCGGATCACCAGCATTCCTGCTGGCGCACTCACCGGCCTGACTGCGCTGACTCAATTGTAAGCAAGCAAAAACACGATGTACCACGCACAACCGGCTCACTCGTTTATGACTCCACTGGTAGAGATCTTGATCGCAACCTGATCACTAGCATTTCTGCAAACGCATTCACAGGCCTGACTGCACTGCAATACTTGTAAGCAAGCAAGGACATGACGAATCGCACACAGACGGCTCACTCGATTGCACTCTATCTGTAGGAATCTGCAAGACAACCAGATCACCAGCATTCCCTCCTCGGCATTCTCAGGCTTGACTGGGCTGATTGACCTGTACGCAAGCGATCTGAATGCACCATCTCAGTTCGCTTCTTACTTTGCGGGACTTGCAGGTTGTTGAATGCCAATCCCTTTACTACTTTGCCACCCGGTCTATTTTCGGGCCTGCCAAACGACCTATGTTTGTCGGCGGGTGGGCTACCATATCTGAGCCCCAACAACTTTACCTTTGGTGGGAACGCTGTCGCTCCGCCCAGCATGTACGGCAATGCATCCCAACCATACCGTAAGGTTCGAGATGACTGCAATCCAATTGTGATCGTCATGTCACTGACAACTGTACTGCAGCGTGTGATACAGCCTGTGCCACCTGCTACGTCGCAGGAAGAAGTGCGTGCTGCGGGATCAATTGTCTGACCTGCAATTCATCTTCAGTGTGCACTCAGTGCTATGAAGGTTATATCATGATGGATGGCTCCTGTGCTGCCATTCCTTCGGCTTTATTTGCCGCAGCTGCTTCAACTGTGTCGACATCTGCCGCATCTTTCATGTCAATCGCAGTGGCATCTGTTGCATCTGTTACATCATTCATTGCACAACTCGGCGGCGGCTCCCAAGCTGCCATCACTGCTGTTGCGACTGTCGCAACGATTGCGATACTTGAGCTCATACGCCGGCGCTCGCAAAGTGCAGTTGCGCGACCAAATGACTCTACTTTCGAGGCTGTTCAAATGTCGATCTCTCCTATGACCCGGTCGACTCGATCGCAGAATGATGAGGATACAACGGTTGGTCAAAACCGTCCACAGCCTTTGCACCAAACCACTTCGACGACCTCTGCAGAACTGATCTACGCAAATGAACGCGCGATCGTGACTGGCAGCGCTTCTCGTCGTATTCGTGAAAGTTTGACCATCGTGAAACATCTTGCCAGTGGCAACTTTGGCGATGTGGCGCTGGGTCAGCTGCCGTTCAACGTTTTGCCCCCGCGAGCTCAAAACTTGCTCGGACCTGCAGCATCCGAAATCGTGCAAGTGGCAGTCAAGTCGCTCAAGTCCAACGCAAACGAACAATCTCGCAAGGACTTTGAAATCGAGGCGGATTCGATGACGCCGTTTGTGCATGCAAATGTCGTGCGCCTGCTCGCGGCTCTGGTCGAGTCAGAGCCACAGCTCGTTCTGCTAGAGCTTGTGCAGTATGGCGATTTGCGCACGCTGCTACAAAAGTCCAAAAAGCAGTCGTTCGAGTGGACGCACAACGAGCAGATCCATGTCATTCGCCAGATCGCTCTCGGCATGGAGTATCTTGGCACGCTTAACTTTGTGCATCGTGACCTTGCCGCACGCAACTGCCTCGTGGGACAAGGAATGGTGGTCAAGGTTGCTGATTTCGGGCTTTCTCGCGAGCTGGAAGACGAGGAAAAGTACTATCGAATGCAAACTAACCGCGAGCTTCCCTTGAAGGTGGGTCGAAGGGTGAGAGGAGGAAAATGGCTGCTACTTGCTTGTTCTCTCGATGCTGATGAGTTGATTTTGCTCATGCAGTGGATGGCGCCGGAAACAATGACTGGCCCCAAGTTCTCGTCCATGTCCGATGTTTGGTCGTTTGGTGTGACAGTCTGTACGTCGAAGGCTCTATCGTAGTGAGGTGGGGCCAAACCTTGTTCTCAATTGCGACGATGCTT